GACAGCGACTTGATGTAATATGTCCAGTCGTGTGCGGATATTTTGGCATAAGCCTCTATATCCTCGGTTTTGGCTTCGTGTATAGCATTGGCGTGGTCTTTGCTGGCCTGGGTTTGAATACTTCGCAAATGTTGGGTCACCTGAGTAATGAGTCGATCGTCGTCGCTAGACCCTTCGGGCGCCGAGTTATCGAGGGTGAGACTTGAACCCTCATCCTCGACGGTTTCCGAGATTGGTTCGTCCCCCTGTATTGAAAAAAACGTGGTTAGTAGACATAAGCGATGAGGTAAAGCGCTGGAAAGGGTATTATTCACTTTTCTTCTGCGTTTAGATGGGCGCGACGGCGAGGATTGCTCGGGCGGGGCGGGGCTCGGACTAATATCGCGATGCCGGCGCGTCCTCTGTGATCGCTTCGATGACGGAGGCATACTATAAGCCCATTACAAGACAAAACCACAAGGTATTGGCGGGGTTTCCCAGATGACGCGGGCCGTAAATAAAATGACGGCGGGTTTATGCTAATTTATAGACCTCAAACTGGTGGGACGTGCGACGGGGTAGGTTCAAGGTATAGCGCAAGTAGGCGATAGATTTGGCGACAGAGTTGACAAATGGTCTTACCCTATTAATACGAGATTCGCGGTCGTTTCAATCGCAAGGCGGGATCGCAACTCTCCTGCGTATTTCGACCAAGTAGTTGCAGCTTGGTATAGATAAACGCAAACGCAAGTGGGGTATGTTAAGTCAAGGACGTCAAGGGTTCGTTGAGGCTCAAGGGCTGGAAAATGTCGCGGTGATGGCAACGTAGTATTCGACGCGGCAAGTGGGAAATGAAGCGCGCTGGTTAAGCAAAGGGAAAAAAAAGGTCGCAGAGGGTTTACAGCGCAAAGTATAAATATTTGGAAAGTATGATAGCAACCAGGCTCGTCACTCCAGATATGGTCGCCGGGGTTATAGAAGTGGACGTAGAAGCTCAGAGAGGGGGCCAACACAATTTGGTTGTGTTGCGATGCGATGCGATTTGATGCGATTAGTTTTCAAATATTGACTTGGTGATGTGGTTTGTTTAAAAAAATGTCGATCGGTCGCGCCTCCCTCTTTCGTTACGCAACTTAAGAACATCCCTGTCACTTTGTCACCCACTTTCCCACCAAGGCGCGTCACAGACTCATAGTCACCCTTTTAAGATATTAAAATACTTATCTTCAGCACCTCCCCGCCGGAATTATATTTTAATGTGCCCCAAGCTCCTCTTTCCCTCCTTTACGTACATAAGACATAAGATAAGATATCTAGATGTAGTTACCTCATATATTGAGGCCATGCTGTTATGCAGACGCAGACCTATTTTTATTGCTTCACGTTAGCAAGTATGTAAGGCCAGCGGCTAGCGGCTAGCCTGCGCATTACTTCTATTATCATTATTTCTATTATCAACATAATACATCATAGACTTCTAACTATACTGACTACGAATGTTTACTTTTTTATAGCAAACTCCTTAGCGCCCACTGTTTCTGTTTGCTGATTGAAAGTTCTGCATCGCATCCCGCATCCCGCATCCCGCATCTCAAAAATACCTCTATTGACGCAGTGATCCCCGCAGTTCCGTCGAGATGCTTCCAATTCGCTATATTCAGATTCTTCATCCACTCACCCGCCCTCACCCACTGTAATTGGCCTAGGCTGAATCCAGAACTGCCAGAGTCTGCACATCATTGCGGAGACCATCTTGACAGCCTGTGCGGCCTGGTTAGTGCAGCCTGCCTCTTCTATTCTTTTCATATCTCATACCTCGGCGCAAACGTCTAAAACCGTCCCAGGTCGGCTTATTCTTCAACCACTCACAACACTGCCACTTTTTATGGCTTAGTTGTCTTATACTATTACTGACCTACTAGCCTTGTCAATCAGCGTCTTACAAGATATGAGTTTTTACCCCAGGGGCTCTCAGTTTCACCATTGTGTTTTCGTCCAGTATAGATGACTCCGCCTCACCTTGATTACTACAAGCCAATTGAGGACTACATACCTTCGTAATGCTCTTGAACATACTGTATATCTATTAAGCGGGATTCCATTTTACGATGCATACCTAAGGTAGGTAGCTATATTAATCCTCGGTGGAATATTGTTTAGCCTCGGTTAGTCAATCTATATAGGTATTGACTATTAGGGAGATGGGTGTAAGTGGTTCGTTAGTTCACTAGCCGCTGTCGAATCAACTCCAATAGGGCTATTAATTATAAGTATACTTGTCGGTCTAAGTAACACTAGTATTACAATAATAGTCATTCATCTCGTACAGTATTGGTGAACAAAAGATCGGATGTTGTTCCTTCATAAAGCGCACATACAGTCCCAGCACAATTAGTGAAGCTCTTCCCCTCTGCCCCTCCAGCAACATCGTATGATCCACAGTGAGCAGATCTTATTTTGTTTCCAATCTGGCTGAGATCATCACGTTAGACTATCTCAATCTCACGCAGATCCTTAACCTTCATATTTCAAATTTCCTAGTTAACCGTGACCAATTAGACAACTATTTCTTTATAAAAACAGACCGATGTAGCTTACTAAATTATAATGGCTAAGCGGGTTAATTACACATTAATTTTTGAAAGATACATTTTATTTACTTCTATTAGATCACTAGCTAATGACATATATACTTGCACTATGGGCGAAAAGTCCCAGACAACGCCTAAGGCTTCCAGCTCGGTGGAACGCCAGACAACCCATTTATATTTCTAAAGAAGACAAGGTTCCCCTAGATAATCGGAAGGGGAGATAGGAGGTAAGCCTCGGTTCTTAGGGTTGACGGGATATGATCCCGGCTCCAAGCAAGTCTGAGTCTTACAGCAGGCTACGACGATATTTCCACCGCCGCCATCACGGCTATGAAGTCTATTTCGGTATAGCTTAGCCGAACCGTGAGGTTGTTGCCATAATTGGGGTCAATCAAGCCACCACAAGGTAACACCTGGACTCCTGGAGGGTTTCATTCAAAAGTCATTATCCTAGGCCGTAAGAGTGAAGATGCAACATGAGTATGCAGAGAGCCCAAAGATATAGGCTGGGTGTGTATCAGCCTCGTTCTCGAGCAAATAGCAAATCTTAGCCTATGTATTGATAGAAAAGAAAGAGCTGTAGCGCTGGAAGGTCGTAGCGCATATTAGCGCACATCGCAGTACCTAACCCCAAAGGCATGGCGCCGGATCTCTCAAGGAAAGCATCCCCCGCATTATTGGTTGTTTTGGGTAATCCGTAATAACTGAGACAAGTACATGGGTACCTATGGTAGTCCTTGCTTTAAGTATAACCGAGGGGACCTTCCAAGAAGTGAAAGTTATAGGTTATAGCTTCCTAGATTGATAGGTGCATGCCTCTATATATTACCTAGGTAGGTAGTATCTACTTTGTGTGACTGGCGAACCAATCGCGCGGTGGTTACTAGAAACTACAACAACAGCTCTAATCTAACTAAACCCACCAAAACCTAACCGCTCACCAAACATTATGCACTTTAAAATTGAGCATTCCTACAAACCTCCAATCAAAGAGCGATCATCACTCAACATGTTTTTGAAATCCACTCCGTCTACATATAATGTTGTCTGCCATATACTACAACGCTGATATGTCATACACCGCCATAAGCCATATCTAATCCATACATCGATAAACGACAACCCAAGCGTCGAATTCTCTTACCGGAGCATGGCATGATTCGTGCTAGGGGTGTAACAACCGGGAATTAGGAATGTCAGTGACACATCTCCAGCATTAGCACCAAACGTTCGCATGTGGGTGGCATGGCTAGTTGCATTGCCGAATGCCTTATCCAGGACTCTCGCTCCTCGGCCCGTATTACACCCATGTCATAGACCCGGGAGGATAAGGACGGCTATTCAAAGCTGGCCACTCGGCCCGGTTCTGGTAATCTAACAACGTCGGTACCGGGTGCTTCAGCAATACCGGGCTGTCTGGCTGTCTGCATATTTAAGCTTGACAACTAAAACCGACGGGGATTGGCCCATTCAATAGTCTTGTCTTAGTCGTACGGCAGCCTAGGAACCTATCGGGTCTTCTGTAAATGCACGACTAGTCAAGTACTTGTTTCCGAATGGGTGCCTCTTTATGCGAGCTTCTTTACCGCGGGTTATTTTACCAGCACTCGGGCTAAGCTCCGAGTCGTGGTCCGAGTCGTGGCGTTGTTTATCAAAATTTCCTCAACGCCATGTTGAAGATGTTGCCCTCATCCTCCTAGCCCCGTTACGAGTCGCATATCTACATAGTAAAGATGAGGTGGCGTTACTTTAAGGTCGGATATCTAAAAGGTCGGGTATCTAACCTACAAATAATATCCGCGATTTCGGCTTCCCTGCAATTAGACCGTTGTGATGTGCAGCTGACAGGGATCTGCTGAAGAATTCAGTCCAGCCCTGCCGACAAATCTCGCCGGTTTCAGTGTTACGCTAACCCGCAGGAGGTGTGGGTGTTTACGATAGCCAAAGGAATCGGGAGGGCTGGAGGGTTGCTTCGAATTCAGCCAATCACGCATCGACTATAAGATAAGTCTATATTGGCGGTGAGGTGTCGCAACATGATCGAGTTAGTGCTCGAAGACCTTCCTCTTGCTACTGGTTCCGAAACGCTTAGTAGTTCCTTGACTGGACATATCAACTGGGCTTCCATGATTCCTCCTGGGCAGCAAAGCTATCTACCTATTCTAGCCATTAGATCTCGTGTGGTTCCCGTGTACTCCATACTCTACAAGATATCGTCTAGTCGCCAGGGATCCACGTCTTCGGGGAAAGTATGAAGGCCACCACCTGCCGGCTGTTTGCTTTTGATTCGCTTGGACTATGCACTCTAGCAGAATGATGAATCGAGTTGACCAGCATCTCCATGCGGTGCGTACACCCGGCAATACTTCCTTGGGTGCATAACTACCTCTCTTTGTGATTGGACACAGTCAGCCTAGTCGGGCGTAGCCTAGCGTTACTCGTATACCATGCCATTAACGCTTACCAGATGGAATAAAGGACGATCACCCGATGATCCTAGGAATGCAGGTATAAAGCACCCATGGAGGCCGAGTCCATTCCCCGGAAACAAAGGCAGATAATCAGGACTGTCTTACTCTAGCATATTCAATCACAGCTGACACCATGCTCGTAGAACAACCCAGAGATATCACTCAAGGCCATCTAGAGAAGAGCAGTCTACTATGGCGGTCGATAGAAACCGAAGCCGTGAAACCGGTGCTTAGCCACGACATCGTCTCTACGTCTAGTACTTCGTCGTCCCCATCAATACCAAGGGATGTGGATGAGCCCTGTCTGCGTCTTGCCGTGAGAGGACAGGGGAATTATATATATTTAGCAGATGGGCGTGAAATACTGGATGCCTGTGGAGGGGCGGCTGTTGCTGTGAGTAGGCTGGCTATTTAACTTTAGAGACTCTCAGCCTTGAACCCAGGAGCCAAAGTCTCTGGATATTAAGAGGCATTATTGCTATCAAGTTATCTCTTAACGAGAAGTTCACTAACTTCTACCGAACAGTGCCTCGGACATGGCGTTAAGGAGGTCGCTGATGCAATTATCACCCAGACTGCTTCTATCGCCTACGTTCCTTGGGGTTTCATGGATAGCCAGAGCCGGCGAGATCTGAACAGATGGCTATCGCAAAATTCTAACGGGCACTTCACGAAGACATGGGTTACATCATCTGGTATGTTGTATTCCCGTCGCTCTATCGTGCGGACCCCTACTAAATCTCGCTTGTCTTCCAGGCTCCGAAGCGATGGAAGGCGCAATAAAGCTTGCCCGCGAGTACTTTACGTGGATTGGACAGCCGCAACGCGTGAACTATATCGCTCGGGATGAGTCGTACCATGGGATTACGCTGGGCGTGCTGTCTGTGGGAGGCCACGTAACCAGAAGAACCCCGTTTGAACCACTTCTAGCATCCAACGTCTATCATATACCGGCATGTAACCCTTACCGCCAAAGGTTTCCCGGGGAGTCCGACGACGAGTTTGTCTCCCGCAAGGCAGAAGAGCTCGAACAGGCGTTCCTCCGAGCTGGCCCAGACACTGTAGTAGCATTTGTCGCTGAGCCGGTTGTCGGAGCAGCAGCTGGCTGTTTGCCACCCGTCAGTGGCTATTTTAAGGCTATGAAGGCTGTGTGTGATAAATACGGAGCTCTACTTATACTCGACGAAGTCATGTGCGGCATGGGAAGAACAGGCACCCTCCACGCCTGGGAGCAGGAGGGCGTCACTCCCGATATACAAGCGGTTGGGAAGGGCCTTGGAGGTGGTTACCAACCCGTCTCGGCCATATTAGCTAGCAGCAAGATCACACAAGTAATGGAAGCCAAGGGCGTCGCTTTTACACACGGGCACACGTATATGAATCACCCAGTCACCTGCGCCACTGCCCTGCGGGTTCAGCAGATTATACAACGCGATAACCTCCTTCCCAACGTCCAGGCCCAGGGTCAATACCTAGAGAAGCTACTCCGCAACAAACTACAGAACTATCCCAACGTCGGCGACATCCGGGGCCGCGGCTTATTCTGGGGTATTGAGCTCGTCCGGGATAAAGAGACTAAAGAACCGTTTGACCCTGAACTTCAGATCGCGCGCCGCGTCCACGAGACGGCTATGGACGCACCGCATAACTTGTCAGTATATTTCGGCCAAGGGTGTGCCGGCCAGGGCAAGGGCGACCACATCATGATCATGCCCGCATATAACGTCACTCGGGACGTTATAGAGACGATCGTCGATAAGTTCGCGGCTGTCCTCGACGATTTCTTCAGCCAGTTGGAGAAAGAGCATGATGGGGCTGGGCAAGACTAGGTGTCTCCGCATCCTAAGCCCGAGTCTGCGAGTCATACAATATGTATCTAAGAATCTTACTCCTACTTTTTGTTAGTTTCTACCTCGTAGCATCGATTAGCTCTACGCGTAGCTTATTGGTCTATCGTCAATCACGAGTAACTTCTAACGGGAGCAAGAGGTGGAATATAACGCGGATGCTGCGTGCTTGCTAACCCCCGTTCTATGTTCATTATATCTGACATTATCGCTAGTTACTATTTTCATATAACACAATTACATACAATGTCTGTTATCTGTTGCTTTAGCAACTGGGACTAGCTGGTTATATATCTATGAGAGCAGTTGTCTCGGCTGGATTTCTAGGGATATATGAATATAACTACAATATGAAATAGTTCGCGGTTCAGATTATATCAGGTAGTCATTATAAACACTCTTTTCTTTACACAACACGACCGGCTTCGGCCTCGAAATACGTCGGAATGCAAGCTCGGGAATAGGGGGTTTCTTACGGTTTCGTTACGCATCTACTGTGTTTGCTAGCACTAAATAAATTAGGACAACGAAACCTGTCGGGATGAATAGGTAGTATATATTGCCCTAGATAAATGGCCTCTTAAGTAAGTATTAGATTTTACCTGGACGGTCTACGAGCGTATATACTGATATAGTAGTAAACACCCAATATTCACTATTCACAATCTCTCTTTTCCACCTCGTGGGTAAGTACCTAGGCACCTAAGATACGTCCAAGTCCTAGGTCGGAGTAATAAAATCCGGGGGTCTTCGGACCAGGTCTCGCACTTATTATCTGTGTCTGTGTCTTAGCTGTTTGCCACAGGCGGGCAGAGAACGCAGCAAGCAAGCACCAAATCCGCCTCGTGACGTCCCTACATGCCGCTTATGCGTTACATCGCATATCTAGCATGATGAGAGTGGGTCTGTAGCTAGGTATTATGCCTCAGCGCAAAGCGGTGATCGTGGCCGTTAAGTAGATTTGACCGGTTTCGGGTTCGTCGGGATGTGGCCCAGTGGGTAGGTGGTAGGTAGTAGCGGGTCGTAAAGGATGCCGACGATCGGGCCGTATTGGTAAACGTGCGTATGACTTTTCTCGGCCCGTGGGTGTGGCTGGTGGGAGGGTAGGAGGTAGTGTGCGGTGAGCGAGTTTACTATGTGAGAGGTCCTCTGGACAAGGATGGCCCGCGTGTGTGTGTCGGTGATCTCGTTGCTAATGAAGCAAGTTGTCGCTTAGATTATGAATGACCTCGGATGGGCGTATTCCGACGGAAGAGTCCAATAGGAGTGTTGACGGCTAAGGAGTCATCTTTGCTTCTAGATGTCTTGGATTCTGGACAAAGCTCTGGTAGTAACGTAACGTATAAGCGTTACGGTAGGCTTCCATTAAACCGCCGTTAAACTGGATCTCTGCAACTGTGATCGCTTCTTCGAAGAGGGTGGCACGATACTGCAACTCAGGCTTTCGATACCGGTGGCTACCTTCCTAGGCGGGACGGGAGTGATCCCCGAGCTCCGCTTGTGTGGGTAAGAGGAGGTGAGAGTACCCCTGACGGATATTGGTGTAGAGAAATGTAAAGAAATGCTGAGACGAGCTCCTCGGGTCTAGGAAGTTACAGGTGTGATGAAATTTCGTTTGCGTGTAAAACGAGACCGTTTTCTTACCCATAACTAATAGTGGGATATTGAGTTTTCACTCGTCGTCATCTTCATCGCTATCACTGGACCAGCCCTCTTTGTAGCTGTCGGCGATCTCAGCGAGTTCGTTGCCTATCATCTCACGATCTTCTAGACTGATGGAGCGGATAACAGCACTGCGTAAAGCTTTCACTTTGTCCGTGACGGTTGAATCCGTAGACAAAGCCGTCTGAACAGATACGCGGTCTTTCACTGGATGGCCATTGCTATCCCGAAAAATTTTAGGGTAACTGTCAATGATTGGGAAAGCCACTGACAACCGATAGCTGTGACACTAGTTAGCCTCAGAAGAAGAAAAAAGGGGGGGTTTCAAGGACGATTCCAGGGGGCTTGTTATCGACCGGCTAGACATACTTGTGGACTTTCGGGCGGTGTCGCATGCCATTCCTGTCCCTCATCTCCAGATCGCCGTCGCGATCGGTCAGCTCTAGGCTCTCTGGCCCTCTGTCAGCTAAAATTTGGCTGAAAATACGCCGTCGTCGCCGTCTCCTATAAGCTTGGTTAATATTAAGGTCCTGAGGAGAGGATAAGTCTATATCCAGAGTTGCGATCCCTTTCTGCGAGCCGGACTCGGAGTCAGCGTCGAGATCCATGTCGGTGCCATATGAGTTTCGCACACGTTCATCCCGTCCATTCATAGCATCGGCGTTTCCGTTTACGCCGTTTGTGCCATTTACATTCTGTTGAGACTTTTGTGGCTCGAATATACTTATCTCTAAGTTTGCGATAGTTTGCTTTCCAAACACGTTGAGAAGGTCAGTCATATTTCCAAGGTTACTTGAATGGACGTGATCGGAGGTCTTCAGGCGTGTGGGTAGAGTTATGCTCTCCAAAGCTGCGGCGAACAAAGCAGTTACATGCCAGGTTGACGTAGGGTCCAGCCGCACAGACGGGGGCAGAGGGGTCTCTGGCAGTGCAAGTGGGATGGTTAGAGATGCATGTGAGTTAAATTCCGCAAGAGCTCGCGCTTTGTTGGCAAGTCTTAGTAATCTCTTTTCCTGGTTGGGTATAAGTAATAAACGCCAGCATAAGTGTTGAAGTAGAAACGTACTCCTGATAAACCTCTATTAGGCTCTTGAGACCCCCAAACCCAAATAGGGGTTTTACCATATTCGTCCCGAAGTCGCTCGATATACTTGGCCGCAAACCCAGCCCAGGCGTCATCAATACCTGTCATGACCTGGAGGCCTTGCATCTGGTCAGCCTCCTCGACGAAGGAGCGCAGATCTCGGTCTAAGAGGTCGTGCTCCTTGTCCAGCGTAGCAAAAAGCTCTTCCCCCATATGCCACTTCTCAAAGGGCATGACCGTGGAGTTGAGTTCGTATTCACTCAGCTGGATAATAGACTTGGGGTGGAAGAAGACACGGTTGAAGTCAGACCAATACCTAACAGTACTCGTGGTAAGTTCTGGCGGTTCTTGGCCAGCGTCGAGGCTCTGTTGATATGAACTCGCCTCTATGGGTTGTTGTCTTTGCACTATAGTCTGACCAGACCATAGACTATTTGAGGCTGCATCATTGTCGATATCATATAGAGCATTGATCTTCCGTAAGGTTCCAAAGCCTCCTTTTAGGTCGTAGATGACTGTTCTAGGCATATAAGTCTCAGAGCCATCAGACCCGATACCCGGCCTGAAATGGACGTCATGATCAATAGGTGACTCCTCTTCGGCGCTATATGTGAAGTATGATTCCTGGGCATTCCAGAAATGGGTTGCCAGATAGTTGCTCTGCTGGCCGAGCTGCAAGGTAATGATCTCACGCATCGTAGAAAGACGTGATTTACCTAGGTACCTAGATAATTAGAGAAGAGCCTCAGAATAGAAGAGTAGATGAAAAGAGGGATAACTAGCAACTCATACAATGAGATCTTTTATGCAATATTCATAAGACATTAATAAAAGATGATGGAATGATGAGAGATGGAAATTACAACTGGCGCCAGCTGCCAAAGCCGATAAGCTATATTATTTAAGGCCGTCAATTGCCGCCGATAAAAGTTTCATGTTCTTATCGCAACCAATGTATTTGCATAATTTAACTACTAATAGTTTAGAGTTCAAGTATTTACTTACCTAAGTACATAATTCAACAGGTCCCTTTCAAAAATTACACCTACCTACGCAGTTTTTCCATCATTCTCCAAATAATTTGTATATATCGGTGCACCTAACATACTACCACATACTACTACATACTACATACCTACATATCAACAATGTCCCTAGCTCAGGAGTGGGAATCCTTCAAGACACCTCCCGCCAAGGAAGTAGCACCAGTTCCGCAAGTCGGCTCTCCGGCTCCCGTACACGACAATCTCACCCTCCCAACAGACAAGCCCACCGTCATCGTATTCCTACGCCATTGCGGCTGTCCATGTAAGCCATAGCTCATACCCGAGATCCTAGAAGCCGTCATCGATTATACGCATACGTCTAACCGTGTAAACTCCTCATAGTTGCAGAAAAAGCCTTTAGGAACCTAACCGCGATATCGACGCAATACAAGGACGTGCATTTCATCGCGGTTTCACATTCCTCGCCCGAGACCACGGAGCGCTGGGTCATAGAGGTCGGCGGCAACTGGGAGGTACAAGTGGTCGTCGACTACGAGCGAGAGCTGTACGCGCGTTGGGGTCTAGGCATCGGGACGACGTGGCAGATCATGGGCCCCATGTCCCTGTATAAGACATTCCGCCTAGGCAAGGACGAGAACATCTGGAACCGCGCCACCGAGAGCGGAAACAGGTGGCAGACCAGCGGCGCTTTCGCCATCGATCAGGACGGCATTGTGAAATACAGCAGGGCCGCTGCGTCTTCTAGTGAACTCCCGGACCTGGAGGCTGCCCTGACGAGTCTTGGTGTAAAGCTTAAGCCGAAACCGCCGCCGGAGCCGAGGACGGACGGGTTTTTATGAGCGGGGAGCTAGGCATGATACTCGTGAGGAAGAAGATACCTAGTACCCTACGCCCGGCAGTCTAGGGCTGGGGTGTATTGGATGCTTGCTATGAGCAATACTACGGGTTGTTGTTGATAAGAGGTAGATTGCGTTTGACATGTGGCGGAACGATTTATGTGGCGCTTGATAGACTCTGGGTTCTAAGACTGGAATTAATGATGACGAATAATATGAATATGATTAAGGATAACTTCATTTACTACGTGTCCATCACCGGGTTCACTTGTTAAAGATTGCAATTTGGCCTTTCGGTCCAGCCTTATGATTACAAATATAAGTATTATAGTTAAGTCCCCTACTAGATTATAAGTCAGTATTGTTAGTAACAAACTATAGTTACAGTTATCATCAGTGCAAGACATTTTACAAGTTGATATATCAATAATCTACAAATGAGATGGCATACATGCATCCCGACTCACCCCCGAACCTGCAGGTCGTCTACTTTGTTACTACCTATACTGAATAGAGATTTGGAGACTCTACATGTCATTTTAAATATATAAATCATGTAAACTGGTCAATTGGTTGAAAAGTGCGTTGATTATTCGTAAGTCTGGTAGCTCGTAAGTTACCTTCTAACAAATCATAATTTAAGATTATACTCATTATAGTTATTCCCCAACAGGATATACCCGCTGAGCTTTAACTCTATCTGTGATATAAGCTTAAGATTTAGTGCCCGCTTCGTCACCTCGACGACTCGATCGACCTCACAAGCCAGCGTTCTATCGCCCGACATATGTGGTTTGTCATACGCCAAAGATTATCGAGATAACTCTATTCACGACAATCCTTCTACATATAAGAGTGATACTAATTACAGATATGATTTTCATTATTTTAAAAAAAGATTCAAGGTTATTTATGCTTAAAAAAAAGCATAATTTAAATAGTATATGCATTATATAGCCGATAAGTGCGGTTAAGCCTTGTTGAAGTTGGTTAAAGCTGACAAGGGCTGGCCTATGGACAAAACTTTTGATAGGGACTTCCGTAGGAGCTTAATGGTGTACTTGAAGCTGGGCACTTAACCGCCATCGGAACAATATCAATTATCCAAGCTAAAAGACACAATAGTGGTAGTTAATAATAGGTACCTAACAACAAACAATTACATTGATAATCACCAACAAGAACGCCGTTAGGATTTAATCTGTTATATTATCGTAGCTATCAACAAATGCATATTCTTGTGATCATTTAACTCGATAATTAAAGCCCTTGCCAAATATAGCTCGTATATACGCCACTGGCTAGATTTCTTTACCTTCGTGACTCTAATATTATTCTTGCGTAACTCAATGAACCTATAAGCAACAATTTACGTAGAGAACACCTACCGCAAGGAGTTAAACCCCGTCCAGCTCGATCCTCGGATCCGATCGGAACATGCCATGTGGTTTTCTGGTGCCGTCTACGACGCTAGTCAACCAACAATCGTGAAATATTACCGACGGAGGCGGGTTGTGTAAAGAACAAAAAAAAAAAAAAAAAACCCACCGCTCGAAATAATATCCATAGGGCAATCCTGTGCTCGATATAGTAGTTGCTAGGTCGTTAATGTTCCTCTAGCTGCGCTTTATGGAATAGTCTTTCAGCCGTCAAGGCTGAGGATCTAGGTATTCCTTCGTTCTTTATTAGGCGGGTCTTCCACGTGCTTCGCGGACGGAAGAGGTTCGCCTTCCGAATCGGTCAATAACTTCAACTTTCTATTGGATCCTCCACTCGGCACAAATCTCATATCAATCTTTGCAGTGGCGGAGCTGGGTATCACGGCACATAAATTTGGGTTTGTGGCGTTCATCATCTCCAATGGCAAATGCTCCAGATATTCCGTCTAGCCTAGACCCCGATCCGATCCCGAAATAGCATTCTTGGTCTGGACGTCCGCATATACGGGGCTGGTCATACCCAACTCCCCGGGTTGAGCTTACTATTGGAAGGATTCGACCTTTTGTTTGCATCTGCATAGAGTATCAAGTAATAGTATCAAGTAATGATGAGGCGAGGGGCTTGTGATCTTCGCAATTATCGGCCCGGACAGAAACATTCGAGATTTGCGAAGATATCGCCGCTAGTCGGCATATCGTTGAACCCTGGTCCTAGTCAAGAACGCTTCTGGATGTTTTAACATTTATGCCGCGGTGGACTGCCAAGCAGAACATTCAGGGTTCGCGCAAGGCGAGAGCCAAGCAGGGCCCCCGCGACGAGTTTCAAAAGATGACCTCTCCCCGCCGGCGGGGCCGGCAGAGTCCCGACTACCTAGCTTATTCGACTACGCATTAGTCTGGGCTCGAGAGGTCTTCGAGATCCCTAGGCGGCATATTTCGTGAATGTGTAGTAACACTCGCCTATGAGTGTCCGGAACTGCCAGTAAGCATAGTGAACTAGAGCTCCTAAGTTTCATATGCGACCTTGAGTTAAAGTAGTGGCGCTTATTGGATCTGGAGGAGGGGCGAGTAGTAGTACGGCGGATAGGTAGACGGGGGTGGGTGGTTCGCGATCCTACAAGTCATAGCTTGGGCATATGACGCCGTTGAAGATGCGAATTGCCTGTCGGCCAGATGAGATTGTACATAGTATGGTGGACGCTACGATTATCTAGCGCCCATACGGCGTCCATACTCCGATATGGCCGGCGCCAGGTAGGTACTGCAGAGTAGACTTTAAGAAGGCTGAAACAGGAATCACTTAGCTACCAGCGTTTCAGAAATAAACGGTAGCAGGGGAGCTTAGACCAAATGCACTAACGACCCACGAGGAATGGCACTTTGGTAGCTCAACAGCGTCGTATCGTAGGCAGGGGCTCGTAATTCAGAACTCTCTGACTGCAGATAAAATACAAGGCTGGTGACGATTGGGGAAGGTGTAAAATGTCCGAACAAATGAAACAAGTCGATCTCTGGGGAGCCAAGAGGCTAACCAATCTTGCTACTATGTAGCAGAGGCCATCACGACTCCGAAGGAAAGTAAAGCCGAGTTATGAAACAGACAGACAAACAAACTGTCATGATAGTAGCTTTCGTCCGTATACCGAGGCCTTCAACCGACGTAAACCTCGTGAGATAATGAGGCATATACATAGAAATCCGTAGTTCATATTCGCAGGTAGATGACGAAGGTTTAAGGGTCCATAGTAGTGTACGTGCGCACTGCTAACATCCGTGATCGTGCTTCACCAAATTAATTTCAATCAGGCAACTTTTATGCCACCCATGCGTCTTGCCGCCAACGTGACATCTAGGACTCCGAATAACTCGCCGGATAGGCTGGAGGTAACGACGGTGGTCTGTACGCACGCGCCCAAAGCGCCCTTTACTCCGGCGATGGGCACATATTATAACTAAGCGGGATGATACCGCAGTTCCTAGTGGGAATTCGGCGGGTCGTCATTTCTAAATCGATCGACCCAGGCCGCGATGGAGAGCTGGTGTGATGATGGGCTTGGGTAGCACGGCAACCCTATCCCAGGCTGCAAAATCTCATGGCATTTTGTAATTCTATGCCCATTCTGGAAGAACTTGTGACGAGCTATGCCTGTTTCACGTACGTACTTGGCTAAAGAGAGCAGAGAGACCTACCCTTAGACAAGTCACAGTCCACATCCAAGGCCGATGGCGTCTGTTTCAGAGAGTCGTAGGCGGGGTCCAAGAGGGCTGACCGCATAGCGAGGATGCAAGGTACCCGGGGGTGCTCGAGGCTGGGGGGTCTTCAAGAATGATACCTTAGGTAGCTGTAGTTCGCTTTAGCTTTTGTGAGGAATACGAAAGGATTCGCCCGGTGGTTTGTTTACCGCAATGTTCATGCAGTTATTCAGGCACACCAATAAGATGACCCATCTCGCCTTACGTCCCGTGATTCGGTAAAAGATTGAGCATTGAACATGATGGTCGAGTACGACCACGACGGCAATACCTCGAGATGTTTCAACAACGTTCGTGATGTCGAGTCCATCGTGTTTCAGAATTGGCTGCCGAAGCTTGTAGGTAGTAGATCTAGTAGATCCAGTAGATCCAGTACGAGATCGCTAATTCTTAGACTTACTTAGACCAAGCAAGGCGTCCCTGGATCCGAAGCCACAGCTGGATCGGCTTCTCGTATTGGATTGTTTAAATTAATGGTCGTTTGTATTCATATGTGGGGGTCAGGAATGAGAAAAAGATGGCTTACCAGCTTACGAAGCTTGGTCAAGTTCAAGTTTGTACTTGCGCATAGTATTGCCAGTTTAGCATTACCTAAGGTAATAGCGGTGCTTACCGCTCTCGATAAACCGATAAAGCCGTACATAGTGTTAGCTTCATTAGGTATATGTATGTATTAGGTAGGTAATGGCCCGTAGCGTGGTCTTTTTTGGGCCATCTGACTGGCGTCAGTAGCTTTCTCACCACAACCCAATCAATTATAGTATACCCATCCTCTGGCGTGCTTACTTGCTTTCTCTCCCCTCCCCCTCCAGAGGCGGACACTAAGAATAAACTTAGTCCATCTTTACGGTCACTGACGGAAGGGCAGAGCCGCCAGTTTGCGAAAGCCCTAATGCTGTCCACCCACCGCTTACCGAGATGCCGCCATCCACCTTCTATCTCTAGCCAGCGGATATAATGCCAAGAACTTGGACGGCACAAGATCTATGGTTTAGTGCAGAGATGATAAAGATTTCTATTTATGTCGTGGCCGCGGCCAACGGCCAACTGCAGCAAACAAGATGTAAATAATCTGAAGGAGCCAATCAACCACCTGAGAAGCTCTCTCCTCGCGCTCCCCCCAACACCTCAAGCGATACGCAAGTTCAAATTAGCTTCTCAGCCACATCATTGGCTCATGGCGTAGTATTTAGCCAGTACAGAGGCCATACGCCAATGCAGGAACAAGCTTAACCAAGTTTGAAACAAAGCACTTAGTGAGTGAATCCATCTAGATAGAAGATACGAATTACGCATGTTTTGGATCACGGTAAATGTTCCCATCCACTGGCTCGGGGTATATGGTGGAGAAATCAACATGCTTTGCCCTGGCTATAATCGTGGCTATAGGTACTACCAGCCGCCGTAGTTGATCAATGGCATAAATAACGAAACGTACGCTTTTTACTCAAGATATAGGTTGGGGTGAGCTGGGTCCCTGGGATAGGCTTTGCCGACCGTGCAACTGGGTTAGCTTGTTTCTTGGCAGTGCTATATAAAGCTATTTTCACTAATAGGTAGCGTTTTAGGGAGGTGGAGGATGTCTCTGGGGAAGACATCTCTGGTAAAAGGATCACCTTCGCGTGCGAGATGCCTAATGCAGCAGTAAGCTTTTTATTCACTCCCATTCTTGCCGATGGGCACGCCACGCCCATTTGGGACTCGCAGTTCGTTGTGCGCGCTCCCAGAATCCCACCGTTGCTTTGCAGCTTATAATGAAATTGCGGAGGAGTTGTACAGCTTGCGGCGAAGTTGCCTATGAGCTTTCCTCGTAGAAAAGTTAGCTCATCCATAAGATACAAGCGCCCTATAATACCAGTTTTGGGTTGTTTAAACTCGTGTGTACGTTTGTTTGGATAGTTAAAATCCTGACGTACGACGTTGGCTTGCGTTGTAGGAAGACTAGAAGATCATGATGGTGAATCGGCATATGATAGTGGGTAGTTTTTAGTATCGCAAGGATAACGGGTCGATCAAACGAGCAGGAGATGCGGCATAGGATGTCGTCATGTAGCTAGGTAATACTACCTGTGAGTTTAGGACGGGTTGAATTTTCACAAGTGTGGCCGTTTTATATTTTGGATTATGCTGACCACGACTATCAAACTATCTGTTAGGTAATTCCAAGTCGCCTCACATGATCCGTACATACGTGTACATGATCTGATAAGTTAATTTAGTAAATATCTACATGTTACCCCTCGCTCTTTCGTCAGTACTAAGGGATTCATTCAAGCGGGAAACGGGATTAAGTTCTGGTGTGTGATTACACGGTGTCCCTTAGAGAGAAAGCTTGGATTCGACGCTCATAGTATTACATGAGAAGAGGAGATGGCCTCTTGAATTACGAGGATAGTCCCATCTAAACATACTATCAAGAGTCTCAGAAAATTATCCTAGTGATGATAACCATATCGCTGGATTTTTGCTGTTCTTGATTCAAGGTTCTGTATGGCCAGGGGACCCCTCCACGGACCATGGGAGCCGGCGGGCATGGCCTGTCCGGAAATCTAGGGAATGTGAGTAGGCTGATGGGTCCTTTTACCGATGGGATGGGTTTACAGGCCTGTCTTTCATGGTCGATTATACATAGTATCTTCTGGTATCATTGCAAAGAGAGTATATCTTGATGGGCTTGCAATACGACGGAGGAGCATATACACGACTTGAGAACCTTCTGATTAATAGGCCTATGATCTTCAGGATGCGATGCTGTGCATGAATGAGTTTGGGGGGATTAGTCCCTTGCGGTCGTCTTGGAAGGTTTGTACTTCCCATCCTCGCCTCCCAACTAGTCGTTCAATGATAAACTAGAGGTTGGTTGGTGGTCGTCGAATAGAGCAAGGTACAGGAGGTATGTAAATGCTGATTGGACCGGATCGATGCAACTGCACATGAGAGAAGGTGGGATAGGTAATGGATGAATCAGATACAAGAAAAGATTAGCGCCGATATCTGGTGTCAAGTATTTTCTGAAGCAATGCGCCAGGCGTGTTTCAGACTTACAGGGAAATCACAGGGGAATGGGGAATGGATAGAAGGTCGCAGGGATTGGGGGATCCGCGTGCCAATGGCAGGCACCCTTTCGTAGTATGGTACCATTCAGCGTCTTTCCCTCTTGGCATCGATTGGCAGGGGAAGCTTGAATAGATGATGGCAGGATGGATTGTGCAGGTGCGTGCCTAATACCCCATACATACAAGCGTACCTGCAGTAAACATGCCCCTAATTCTCAATACACCTCCGATAGAAAAGATGGCCTGAGTAAGGTGAGGTAGCTTCCTTAATGCAATGTGTGCTTATTAGTTAATAGAGCAAACTGAGCTGGCGAGTAAACCGTAATCAAAATAATCATGTTAAGTGCATTTACATTTCCTCCGTTTAAAGCAGCAATTAAAATGGCCAATTTGCTAAGGACGCCATTAATACATCGTTTAATCATTATTAGTTTTCCTAGGTTAGAGTTTGTCAACGATTCCTAATTATATACTCATTTGCGAATTTTACCATCGGGGAGCTAAAAGAGCCCCGGTACTTTGGTACTTCTTAGAATACATATCTACTACATGTACCTTGTAATTGAACATTATGTACGTGCGCAACTAATATCTCAATAAGCAGTGATAAATCCTTTTCACCTTTTCCCACCCTCTTCCCCTGTCGTCTAACCTTGTTCCTGTCATCCGCGATGTACTAGCATACGGAGATTACATGCTGACCCATACATAGCCCCAATTGGATTCTAACTGTGAGCTGTCTAAGACTTTAAACCGTGGACAAATAGCTAGGGCAGCACAGCAAAGCAGCAAAGATGACAAACTAACAGATTCAAAGACAACAACAGTCAAGTAGGATCGGGACTGTCTTATAGCATTCTTTGTCGTCTTGTGGCATACCTGCTTCTTACGGTATGCAAATGACATCCATCCCACTAAACTATCCTACGCGAAAGAGCTTCAATCCGCGTGGAAGAAGGCAACGTTAATATATTAAACCGCGTACGAAATCGTGAATGTATCGCATTCCGCTTATAACTCGATAAAGTATGGTAGGATGTCATGTCACTCTGCTATCACTGGAGTAGACTTGTGATACTCGCCGCCTTAACTTTGTCAAACCCCTATTCGCTTATACCGTATAGGTTGATAGCAAGAACGGAAGGGCTTGTTTTTAGAGATATGTTGCTTGGGTTGGTGTTACTTTGCTGTCTACCTACTTAGTTATTTTTATTGTAGTTATTATTTAACATCGCTCAGAAATAGTTATTATGGATGAGCTCATCCATCTTGGTACACTAGTGAAGATAGTTGATGACGATGGCGATGACATGTATTTAAAATGGTTGTCAAGTTGTCAAAAACAAACCCCTATACAAATATGGGATAGAAGAAAGAAACATGCTGGGTAGTTCAGGTCAATGCGCATACATGATCCATTACTAGAACAGTTCAGGAACCCCGAGCATGGATGGTGGGTAAAAGAAGGACCGTGAGCTGAGTCCACGTAAAAAATCCTTGTAACTTGATTTTAAGGTAGTACTCGCCCGTCTACATATCTACACCTACCTAGTGTATGTAAGAACCCCTGCTCTCTGTGGATAACAGAAGATATTTCCCGAATGAAGACTTTGAGCGAGGCGAGAGAGGTCGCACGGGATCGACGTGCCCTCATTCTGTAATAGATGTACTATGTAAGGTTGTCGATGGGGCAAACAAGACGCTTTGTCCACCGGGGGATACATACGATACGACGTCAGGATCGATACACGAATAGAAAAAGAAGGGTTCTTGAGTATATCGATAGATTTTGTTAAGACTCGCGGTATAATATGTCGAAAAGGGGGAGATCCTTTACGAGAAGATACAAGCTACTGCACTTAAGATTGCTTCCTCTCCACGCCGTAGCCGTAAAGGGGCAAAGGGTTAGAACCCGACGTATTACGAATAACAGCTATCGAACTTGCATTGCGTCGCCCATACGTAGTAAATGCTGATTATAGTTCGCGGCGCTGGAATTAACGAATACGGACCCGAAAATAAGCAAGTATTACATATATGTATACGGCGCACGCGGTGAACTTGCCTATTTACACACCTACATAGGTCCGTAGATATATCTAATACTATCTATCTATGTACGTAGTATTTAGTAGATCTACATACATACATACATGCATACCTACATATGTAGTAGCTGGCCTGACAGTTGTGGTTCACTTGCGATTTAGATCCTAATCAGCTGTGCAACCTCTTTTCTGTATGTATTACCAGGGTCTTCATATTAGAATCTATTAGAATCGGGGGCCTCCTTCGGGACGGACCCTTTTTTCAACTTAACTCGCGATCAAGATGGAAGTATTGTGTCTTGTCTGACGTCCTCTGTAGAGTACCTAGGTAGGCAACGGGTTGTGGCTCCTACAGGCTTCTCCATGCAGCCACGTTTCTGTGATGAGGGTGTGTGGAATAATGAAATATGGCATATGGTAAAGTATGCATTTAATGTAAAGGAACTCGGGGCGAGCATGTAGAAAGTACAATACTACGTACATTCAGGTTTACGGTTTACATTAGTAGGTATATACATAGTACAACAACCGGCGTTAAAATAAGTTGAAAGTGGGCGCGGAATGTCGTGCCCAATCTCGCTCGCGGATTCCTTGCAGGAAGGGACAGGAACAGATATTCCCATATCCGGGCAAGCGTGTACTTCCTAGGCGAGTACCTTTCCCATCCCGGCTAGCCTAACCTGGTTGGTCCATTTGCATTATGCCATTCTAAGCACACTTATCCATATTTTTCTTCTCCGTCTACTCCACTCTAAATCTCTTCTTTCCTACCCGACTGCACCGGCCAGACCTGGTAGACCTGGCAAGTGCCTGAGTCGACCCCAGCCAGCCGAATTCATTAAACCCCCCGAACTCCTCGCCTGCTTTTCTCTTGACCCTACTTACTTGAGTCCTCTTCGCAAGATCAGTTGTTCTATTCAGAACCCCTCCCTCTCTTTTTTTCTTCTTCTCCCTTTCTCGCCTCACAGTCTTTCGTGTTGCAGGCCATTAACACGCAATCTCCTATTCTTCTCGGAGAGCCCGCATCCGAAGACGACTTCATTTTCTCTTACTCCGCAACCGCGAGACGTTTTTATTGACTACGAGCGTTTATCCCGACTGTCCGGCACAACCGCAGCCCCGTCCTTAACATTTAGTTCATTGCACCATTAGAGCTACCATTCAACGTCCGGTCTACCTTGTTTGATCCTCGGAAGCATCTTGTTGACTATTTTCTCTGTTTCGTCACTTGACATTCGAGCATTCGCGTCTCCTTATCCTTGTTTCGATAAGCAAGATTGTAATCTAATTCGGATCGTTGTACTTTCCTAATTGGGTTTTGGCGAACTTATCAACAAGGCAACAACGACGAGGACGCACTTGCAGGACGTGGGCTGAGATATAGTCCGCGACTCAAACCGCATTGCACAATTATTATCTAGGGCGCGGTCTGTGCATACTAGAGGCGAGGGATTTAAAGTTCTAGATACTTGCCAACTTTCGTTTTGCCGGCTTAACGATTGCCTTGCGGTTTAGCTTACGCACGAACCCTTACGCTTAGCCATTTGCTAGAGGTAAAAGACGGCTAGAAAAAAAAAAATCGATCAGAATATTGCTCGGGCTGGACTCGGCGTTACACCACACATACGAATACACCTCGGTAGAGTTATCCAAGGAAGATTAGCTTAGGGATAGGCAGTGCCTTAGCTCCCTTATCGATATCAGGACGACTTGAGCATAAACGACACCGCGAACGATTTTCTACTTTATAACTATTGATAAACCCGATTTATTTCCCCAGGGTTTTGGCTGATTTTGTTAAACGATCGAGAAACTGCATAGTATATCATGTACTCACAACAAGCGGCGATGGGCACTGCGGTGCCCCAGAAACCGGAGACTTTCATGCTTACTACGGAAGCGCAACAAGCATTACCACATGACGCCCAAGTGGCCTTGCAACAAGTTGACAATTGTGAGTCTGAGTCCTATACAGTTAAGTTATATCCCCCCGCGTTTAGTCGCTTACAAAGGGCTACAGTAAAATATTTCCTTATCTCGGCGCCTGTTGACTGGCTGCCTGAACAATACATTCGACGTTTCCTATTACCGACAGGTGAATATGTCTCCTGTGTATTATGGAATAACCTATTCCATATCTCAGGTACAGACATTGTGCGATGCCTTTCTTTTCGATTTCAGGCCTTCGGTCGCCCTGTGAAGAATTCCAAGAAGTTCGAAGAAGGAATATTTTCTGATCTGCGAAATCTCAAATCAGGAACAGATGCTTCCTTGGAAGAGCCGAAGAGTCAGTTTTTAGACTTCTTGTACAAAAATAATTGCATACGAACGCAGAAGAAGCAGAAGGTCTTTTACTGGTACAGTGTGCCCCACGACCGTCTTTTCCTGGATGCGCTGGAAAGGGATTTGAAGAGGGAAAAGATGGGTCAAGAGGCTACAACTATGGCTGTTAGTGAACCGGCCTTGTCGTTCCAGTATGACTCTTCGCAATCCCTCTACGAGCAATTGACGAAGGCCCAACAAACCAATTCTTCGTCTTTCAACGCCCAGCAAGTCTCTTTTCCTCAATCTCAAGATCCACCCCCTGTGATGAGGGGAATGGATCCCATGCCTCCCCCGCAAATGATGCCTCAGTCGATGGCCCCTTTAGCGGATGGGATGGACGCCATGGTACAATACAATACAATGGCAACGATGGCCCCGTCTATGCCTCAGCATATGCAGCACGCAGTCAAGAGGGAGCCTGACTTCAACCGTATGCAGTACAACCAGAATGGTGTACCGATGGCTCATAGTCACGTGCGCCATGCCTCAATGCCAGCTTATGGTCTTGAATACTCGCCCGCACCCTCATTTGTCTCGTCGCATCTCGAGGATTACGGCAACCGAGGCATTTCATTCGAGCCAATTACACCTCCTCAGCAAGCATTAGCAATGGGAGCTGAGCCGGCCTATATTGTAAACGAGGAGACTGGACTGTATACGGCAATCCCCGATCATATGGCTGGGTTGAGCGGGATGATGCAGTTACCGCCCTCTAACCTGGCCGCGACACAGTTTTCGCGTGCTTATGGCGCCAATAATGTCTATTCTGTGATCGAAGGATCGCCGACGTACAAGCAGAGAAGACGGCGTTCATCCATCCCTCCTTCAGTATCGGCGATTGCGGGTGCGGGTGCTCAAGCGCAGGTAGCTGCTCACCGGCCCTCGGATCTGAGGAGGTCGGTTTCGGCGTCGGTCGGCCCCGTGGCGGAAGGTGACGAGTCTCAGAGCAACTCCCCTCCCGGCCTATCATATAGCAATTCAGCGATATCTCTAACCAACCAGCAACATATGGAAATGTCAAGACATGGCACCCCACTATCGACGGTGGAAGGTAGCCCCGCTCTAAACCCGATGTCTATTGAGCAACATGACTTCGCTTTCCTTAGGAAGGAAATGGGTTTCGACGACTCGCTTCATGAGCAGCGGGTGACGCAACCTGGAGCGAACGTGGTTCGCAGAGCTCGCTCAGCTACTGTTATGGAACTGGGACCTTACCCTCAGAAGTCTCATTCTTGCCCAATTCCTACGTGCGGTCGTCTCTTCAAGCGCCTCGAACACCTGAAGCGGTAAGATCAGATATTTTTTTTGTTGCTTGCGTGGTGCACCGTTGTGTATCTGACTAAATATCTAGACATGTGAGAACACATACCCAAGAAAGACCCTACATCTGCCCCTATTGTAGCAAGGCGTTCTCTAGATCCGACAATTTAGCACAGTATGGCTCCATTTTTCTTGTTTGTTTCGTTTGTCAACTTGAAGATCCTGTGATGAGCAACGATGTTTGTGCGTTTGTGCGATATACCTTCAGAACGAAACCCAGCAATCATTCGAATTAAGTGACAACATAAGCATACATCAACTCATCATGCGGAACGACAAGTTTAATCGATATGACAGAGACTAATCATTATTATAGACACAAGCGCACACATGACCGCGGCGAGGGCGCTGAAGGTGCGCTGAACCTGTCGGGTGAAGAGGAAGAAGAGTTCTCTGGCGAGGATCAGCTCGGCCCGCTCGAGGAAGCTTCGCCTAACTCGGACCCAGGGTATGACCCGACCTCGTTAGGCTCTATTGCTACGTCGATGCCTACATCCAATGGGCTTTCTGAGGACGGGATGCCCCAGTCAACCTACAACCCTTTGCACACGCTAAGTATGCCCATGACAATGAGCACACCAACAGGATCAGCAACAGGATCAATGTAATTGACGTTGCGTCCTGGGGTTTATGGGGTGCGTATAATGTGATATAACTGTCTATTATACGGCGGTCTTAATCCGGGGCTTAAGTGGGTTGACTTGCATGGTATAATTTGATTTAGACGTAGGGGATTTTATTTACAGGCGTGGGCTGGGCGCTCTGTGTTCAGCATTATTCTCGTTGGGGAGCGATTTGTTTTTGCTCACTTTACGCATGGGGGATACCATGGTGGAAAAAAAGAGGTCAGAAGCGTTTGATAGACGGACGGCCGGAAGACGTGAAGGGAAGGGAACAACTGATCCACACAGGATCACAGGAGCCATGTTCCTCCCTCGAAAACGACAGGAAAGCGCAGGAAGTCGACGGACCACTAGCACGCATGCATTTGTATATATATTCGCTTTCTTCTTTTGTTACTTTGACTTCGTGGCCGGCTGTAGGGAGGTACGGGAGATGATACCAGTTTTTTTTCTTTTATCTAGGGGGCCATAGCTGTCAGCTTGTTCTTTCGGGGGACTGCGAGCTGAAGACCAAGAGGAAAGGGAAGAGAAGAGGGCTTAGTATAAACTTTAAGCTTCAACAAATATTAACATCTATAACATCTAAAAGGTACTTAGCTATGTCCCTGGTGCCGAACTTGTTTTGGAAGTGATGTAACTTACCATAGCAGGGCCATGTGAGTTCGTGGAATGCTTCCAACTTATGTACATACAATCATTTTATGTATAATAGGTGTAGACTGGTCAATTGGTTGAAAAGTGCGTTGATTATCGCAAGTCTGGTGGCCTTGCAGGCCCTACTTATATACCTCTATGCAGCACATATTACGGCTTTAATCGTACCTTAATCAAGTACCTAGGTGACGTGGATTATTCGTAAGCTACTTTTTAATAAAACAATTACGGACAGGCCAGGCCAGGCGATTGTTTTGGTTGGAACTTAGGTAGATTCTGCCTACATAGCCATATCCCAAGATCAGGTCCAAACTCGACGCAATAACCCTTCGTAAATAAACTCAGGGCATATGTAAGTTTACTAGGTACCAGCTGGATGTCTCACTAGGGCGAATAGGGTGGACGGCGATGCCGTGTATTTAAATAACTACCGTTTCTATCTAATGCCTTGAATGTACCTCCTAAGGTAACGTAAAATTCTACTTGATCTATGAAGACGATGTTAATCATACCCACATCTATTTTCCACATCATCTTCGGGGTATTATCCAATCTCTCGATTATACAATGGCCGTGTGAGTGAGTGCCGATTCGCTCTTGTCGTACGTATCCTGAACGCAGAATAGAGGTTGCCCTCGTACTTCTTGACATTCCCTTGTTATCCGGGTTTCGATTTGATAGGTATGAACATATGTATAACTGGCCTTATGCTTTCTTGGACAATTCATATGCAAGATCATCCATAATCTCAAAAATCCTGCCAACGTCCCGGTTCACGTCGGGTCCCTGATGCTGAATCACAGATTTCACATAGTTTCTGTGCTCTGTTGCGAGCCAACTCAAGACGTATTGAAACTGATCGTCCTCCGAGCCGATTGCATCGCCGTCGATGCGTAATTTAGTCAGGATCTCCAATTTCCACGGTAGAAAGTTTTTGAGCCTGGCATCTTCAAGGTAAGTCGGATCTCGGAGTAGATGGTTGCGTTGCCTCCAATCTACGGGTCTTTCATGACGCAGCACAACTTCGATAATATCCCTACGCATCTGGACAATCGTCAAACGCATGTTGTCAATATCAGCCCTTATCTCAGTAAGATCGTCAGCGGTACTTTTAATTGAGGTTTTAACCTGATCACCTAATAATTGTAAGGTGGCATCGATAATCTGATTACAATCAGGAGTATTAGCAGACATTTTGCTGATTGTTGCTGCCGTGGCTGGTTATGGTTGTGAATCGAACAAGTGCGTACGGCGTCGAAGTAGTGCGGGTTTGATGACTGCGGGGGCCGTGGACACGTCGCTCCAGAAGAATATATATGAGCTGATGCAGAGGGGAATAAGAGTAGGAAGATTGGTGTAGTTTCTTGTGGATGCGCTTATACAATGCGATTCGTTGTAAGACATTGATGTACCCATCTCACAACACATCGCTGGATGAATCTGGGTGAGTCGCTCGTCGTTGTCACTCATTCTTTCACCGTCGCCTCCTCTTCCCACCGCTTCTACCACCAGATCTCCTATCATCCCCTTGGATCTCAGCAATGTCCTTCTGGCTTAGTTTCAGCATACCGTTCCTCAGCTTTCCTACTGCAGGAGCATCGACAGCCCTCTCAAATTTTCTGACTTTGGGTTTCCCTTTTGTGGCCGTACTCGTAGGACGCTCGAGGATGATGCCATTCTCGCGAGCCTCCTTACGCCTCTTGGTCTCGCGCGTCGTCGCGGCGGCTACGATGCCTTTCCGATGCGACATGGGCATCTTGGCCTGCTTGAAGATGCTCGACTTGGAGCCGAGCGCTGCTAGCCGTAGGTCCGTAGCTAGATGGCGATTGCGACCCGCATGTTCTATGCTGCCGTTGTTCTGGCCCGACCCGGAGAGGAGGTGCGATTCGGATAATAGACGTTGTAGCGCTAGGTCGTTTTTTAGAAGTGAAGGAGCATCTTCGTCCGCGGCATTTTTGTGCTTTGTCGCCGGGGTGGAAGAGGAAGTATTTGGGTCTAAAGATGAGGAAGGAACACGCGAGGATAGGTAGGCTTTGCTCTCGCGTTTGGAGAGGGGATCGGTGGAGAGCGTAGGAAGTTTGCTCGTGTGGGTGACTACTTCAACGACCTCGACTGTCGATGAAGTATGTGGTGTGGATTCTGATTCTGATTCTGATTCTGATTCTATTTCCGACTCGGAGTCAGATACGCCGCCCCAAGAGTCCTCAGAGGCTTCGTCTGAGTCGGAGCGCAGGTCTTCGGGTTCGTCAGTTTGTACCGGTTTTGAGGCGGTATGTAACGGATCTAACGGCGCAAACTGGGCTTCAAAGTGCTGGCGGAAGATAGCTAGAGCTTCTTCTTGGGATACCGAGGGTTCGACTTTCTGCGCGCGCGACTTGCGTTTGCCGAGTACTGTAGCCATCTTTCTGGATGTTGAAGTTGGAGGAAAGATGAAATAAAAATTTAGTGGATCCAAACGATTTAAACTGTAAACTGTTAAAACGTTATTTAGAGAGGTATCCTATATATCCACCAATCAATGAGCTTAATTGGCTTTATTAGTTTAAGTACTGACGCTAACCTCATAATGGATAGAGATCTAAAGTTGAAAAGCCCCGCCATCCTTAAGGTGAGTTTAGATATAGGTGCCTATTATTATTATAAAACGTATTATAGTACTTTTTTTTTAATTTTAAGCTGTTTGTTTTATATGAACATCACCCCAACACCTGTATAAAATACTACAATAATTACCTACCTACCTAAGGTATTTAAAACACCATGACACGGTTTAGGCCATGTATAGACCTACACGCCGGCCAGGTCAAGCAGATCGTGGGCGGAACCCTCGATAGCTCTACCGCCGAGCTCAAGACCAACTTTGTCTCGCAGCATTCCGCCGCGCACTTCGCCCGTCTATACCGAGACCACAATCTCGAGGGCGCACATGTTATCATGCTGGGCCCTGGAAACAATGACGCTGCGAGAGAGGCCCTGGCCGCGTGGCCCGGTCATCTCCAGGTCGGGGGTGGTATCAACGACCAGAACGCTGCGGCGTGGATAGAACAGGGCGCTAGTAAGGTAGGTTGATATATGTATGATTTATGATTTTCATATATAATATATAATGCAGCATTGTTGATTGCGAGTTCTAGTAGGTCATCATCACATCCTTCCTCTTCCCCGGAGGCAAGTTTAGCCAGGAACGTCTGGACGCCGTGCTGGCTGCCCTCGGTGGCCGAAAAGATAACCTCGTTATCGATCTTAGCTGTAGGCGACAGGGTGACGAGAAATGGTTTGTAGCTATGAATAAATGGCAGACTATCACCGATATGGAGGTAAACCAAGGTATGTATTTAGATGTCTATCCTCTCCGGCTGGAAAGCTTACCCTCCCATTAAGAAACGCCTAACTGAATGATACGCAGAGTCTATTAAAACTTTAGAACCGTACTGCTCCGAGTTCCTCATCCACGCTGCTGATAATGAGGGCCTCCAGAAGGGCATAGACGAAAAACTCGTCGAGAAGCTTGCAGAGTGGTGTAGCATACCCGTGACATATGCCGGTGGCGGAAGAAATCTTGACGACCTTGAACTTGTCAAGAAACTGAGTCGTGGAAAAGTAGATCTCACAATTGGAAGTGCCTTGGACTGTTTCGGCGGCACAGGGGTAAAATTTGATGATTGTGTTGCGTGGAATGCTAAGCAAGGGGAATAGGGGAATAACCCCGATAATAATAGACAAAACACCGGCTAGGGAATAGAAGAATCTTTTAATAGAACGTGCATACATGAGGGGAAAAGCCTACTCTACTTTGCGACGATAGATAAACTCTGAGTATCAGTCTCACCTACCCTTCGCGACAAGAAATCCGGTTGACAAGGTATAACCACAAACCACAAATGCAGCCCATCAAAAGATTCAGGGACGCCAGCGTAGCTCCGGGTACGGCATTTCCGAATGACTGTAGGTATAATCTTCGTCAATATCGTTATCCATCAACTGCTCGACCCTAGTCCACCTCTTTTAGTTGTCTCGATACATATTACTACAACGTTCCCGTAACTTTACGACCTCAACTCCTCCAGCTCTAGCTCCAGCTGTCGGATACGTTCACTCTGGTCCTGCGTTCCAGATCCTACCCGCTTCTTCAAACTGTCTACTTCGTCCGTCAGATGACTGATCTTTTGGCCTTGCACGCTAATCATGTTGGTCTGAGTCTCTAACAGCTGCTTGATCTCCTCCAAAGTTGTTTCGACGACGCCTGGGCCAGCAGTTGGACTGTTCGACGATGCTGAAATAGGGGCTGCTGTAGCCGAGGTTGATTGGTAAGTTGGCGATTTAATTGCGGGTGCCGCTTTCGGTGGCGGCGCAGAGGTAGTCTTGGTTGGAGAGGGAGGCGTCGGCTCAGATCGTGCAGGGATTGCGCTGCGCTGGGTTGGCTTTGAGATCTCTTCGAAACTCGACGTCTCATCGTCTTCTCCTTCGTCTTTATCTTCATACTTGGAGGCTATCGCAGCCATGGAGCGATTCTGCTCCTTTATCGTGGGAGGCGAAGATCGCGCGGCGACTGGTGCTGGCTCGGGTTCTTTTTGAGGTGTGGGCTTAGGTGCAGGGGCCGGAGCTGGTGCTGAAGCAGGTGGTTGGTAATCAGCAGGCACTTCAACAGGTGCACTGCCCTCATAGATGCTTTCAAAATCGATCTTCGGTGGCAGACCGGTTTTGCCAGACAGCCAATCACTAGCACCGATACCAGGTTTGACGCCAGAAGCTGGTGGGTAAATATCCGATTGGAATGTCTCAGCCCGTCGAGGGACAGTGAAGGAGATTGGCTCGATGTATGTGTCGTTAACCGTCTTGTATGCCCTCATGACTTCATTTTCATGGACCTTTCTATTGTGAGCTGTGATATTCATAATTAAAATAGATGGAATATGGTCACTTACATTCACTCCGCGCTTTGGAACGAAAGCAATACCTCTCTGAGGCTCAATCGACTTATACTCGGAAAGGAATTCGAACTTGTCGTTCTCATACTCAAAGTATCGGATGTTGCCATCTCTAATGCAATCTAGATTAGATGCTTATTTTTGATCAATGTTAAAGTTGGTAAGACTTACCCCTTTCCGGCGAGATACAAGCAGTTACAGGCGTCGTCTATGTCGAGGTTAGTTATGCAATACGTGAGAACTGAAGACTGTCTTACCCCAGAAAGGCATGCAAACGCCGGAGATGCTATCAAGAGTGTTTAGTATAATAGGCGTGTTGTTGCCAGGCTCCCAAAGAGCAAGCTGACGATCACTCATACGAGAGAAGCCGGTGGTAGCAAATCTGTTATGTTCTCCTAGCCAAACTGTTCGGCTATTTTTGGCACCCTCGTGGCCCGGTCCTTCATGTGCAGGGCGCTCTTGTCGTACATCCCATACGCGAAGTTTCTTGTCTCTCGAGGTTGTAACGAGCATTGTGCCATTGGCATTCCACGACAGGCTTTGAACAATATCAGGGTGTTTGAGCGTATGGGCAGCAGTACCGGTGCCTACATCCCATATTTTGATCGTGAAATCCCCAGAGGCAGAAGCAAGTATATTCTCGGCAGCAGGATTGAATAAGACCTGACCAACCTTCCTCGAGTGACCGGTCAATTTAGAAACGGGAGCTACGTCGGGTGGTTCCTCGGCATCTGTTAATAGGGTGAAGCCCTGAGGCACTTCCCAAATCATGATTTTGCCATCTTCGGAAGCTGATGCGATTAGACGATCATTAAAGGGGTTCCTTGAGCAATAACATTAGGTTAAGGTCTTCGAATAGGGGGGGATCAACCACTCCAAGGGTCGCGTGCGCACCAGTCGGTATCGAGAACGGCAGCAGTGTGGCCACGGAACAGAGGAATGACATCGGGGAGCTTGCCCTTCTCACCCAAGGGGATGACAGCAAAGGCACCTCCACCACTAGCCTCCCAATTGACGGAGAGATATTCTGGATTGGCCTGTTGCAACCGGACCCGTCAGCTCCTGGGCCTACCATGCAATGCAGAATGCAGACAACATAAGAGGGGAGGAAGACCAGACCTTAACCAAGTTGGTATCCCAAGCATTTCGGCTTATACGTATATTATCATAACAGAATTCCTTCCGTGTAGATTTGCCGAAGACATGTCCTTAGTCCTAAGGTTAGTCGGGTCATGCATGGCAAATCGTAGGGGAGCGCGTTGGGGGCGTACGGTACTTGGACGCTCGAACAAAGCGCCCAGACATGATTGGCTGTAGGCAGTAGGAAGTAGGAATGTGATTAAAGTAATAGGATAGGTAAATAGAAGATGAGGTATCAATCGGCGCGATTGTAGCGTAAAAAGGGTAAGTACATAGAGGGAGAGAGGAAACTGGTAGATGGTAGATAGGGGAGAACGAGGCAGCAAAGAAGCAGTAAAGATATTAGGTAAGGGTACGTCGATTGATTCAAGGAGTGGAATCTGAAGCTATGTACCTGGGTACCCCCTGTCGAATTAGTTGCTGCTAGCAATTAAATCAGCGGCGAGCCTCCTGAACTCGAACGAGAACAAGTGGATAAGGCAAGTGGGCAGGTGGGGTTTTGCACCGTACCCTGCACCTGCACACCCCGGAAAGAGAGGTTCTGAGGTTGTGCAATGCAAACCAGCTGAAATCACGTGTTCGTCTCGTTTAACTACGCTAAAATGTCCTATCGGCTTTTTAGGTACATAAGGCTCTTTAGCAGTTTAGGCCTATTAGGTACTTTACCTAGGTACCTTGGGTAACTCAGGCAACCTAGCGCGTCGACGCGCCCGCCTCTTTGAACTTTTTCTCTCCAAGAGGCGGTTTCCCATAGCTGTCGCATCTCCTCCCATAACTTCCCAGCCTCACCAACAGTCCGCCAAATTCAATATCTCAATATCGTTAATATGGCAGCTTTGTAAGTATATCCTGTGAAGCTGCTACCGCTTATTTTACTAATTGAGGGGCTTTGATAGTGAGAACTTCGATAATATCTTCCTGGACTTATCCAAAGAGTCTGGGAAGTGCCGATTCGCAGAAAATGGTCTCGGTTGGAAACCTTCTGCGGGCGGCAACACCTTCACGCTCGACCGCAGCGACATCGCCAACGCGCAATGGAGTCGTGCTGCAAAAGGCTACGAGGTTAAGATTCTCAAGAGATCCTCCGAGCTTGTCCATCTCGACGGTTTCCAACAAGAGGTAAACCATAGTAACTATTTGGTTGAGATAGGTCTTACAGTTACTGACAATATTGCAGGATCTAGAGCGCCTGAGCAAAATATTCAAGAACTGGTACAGCATAAATCTGGACCCTAAAGAACATGCATTACGAGGCTGGAACTGGGGTAAGACTGAGTTTAGCAAGGCCGAGCTTGTCTTCAATGTTCAGAACAAGCCTTCCTTCGAAATTCCCTACTCCGAGATTTCAAACACCAATCTTGCTGGCCGTAACGAAGTTTCCGTCGAATTCGCCGCATCGAACGAGGACGATACGGGCACGAACGGACACCTAGGTGGTGCACGAGGTCGCGGCAAGAAATCCGGTGCGGGCAAAGATCAGCTCGTAGAGATGCGTTTCTATATCCCCGGCACTACCACCCGTAAAGAGACGGAGGGAGAGGAAGCAGGAAGCGGTGCCGAAGAGGAGAAGAATGCTGCAACTCTATTCTACGAGACACTCATGGACAAGGCCGAGATCGGCGAGACCGCAGGTGATGCGATCGCTACTTTCTTGGAAGTTCTGCACCTTACGCCACGGTTCGTTAACTTGGTTCTTATTTATTTTGGAATGCTTCTAATCGTTACTATATAGCGGACGGTTCGATATCGACATGTATGAAGCGTCGTTTCGCCTCCGCGGCAAGACGTACGACTACAAGATACAGTATGAGGCTATCAAGAAGTTTATGGTCCTTCCGAAGCCAGACGATCTGCATTTCATGCTATGCATCGGGCTAGATCCACCTCTCCGCCAGGGACAGACGAGGTACCCATTCATAGTCATGCAGGCCAAGAAGGATGAGGAAGTGACGATCGATCTCAACCTCACCGAGGAGCAGCTGAATGAGCAGTATAAGGATCGTCTACAACCTCACTATGAACAACCGCTGCACCAGGTTATTACCTACATTTTCAAGGGCCTTGCTAATAAGAAAATCACCTCTCCGGCCAAGGATTTCATGACACACAGAAACCAGTTCGGCATCAAGTGCTCAATCAAAGCGGCGGAAGGATTTTTGTACTGCCTCGAGAAAGCCTTCATGTTTGTACCGAAGCCCGCAACCTACGTGTCGTATGACCAAACGTCTTCTATTGTCTTCTCCCGTGTTAGTGGCGCGGTCTCCGCATTATCAACTTTCGATATTGCGGTTCATATGAAGAGCGGTGGGGCGCCTCATCAATTCAGCAATATTAATAGAGAGGATCTGAAGGCGCTCGAAGGATTCTTCAAACTCAAAGGCCTGCGCGTAAAGAACGAGATCGACGAGGATGCCAATTTACTTGCTGCTGCCCTTCGCCAGGAAGTCATGGATGAATCCGAAGAGGAAGTGGTCGGTCCTCGAGCGGACCGTGGTTCCGCCGACGAAGATGAGGAGAGTGTGGATGAGGACTTCCAAGCCGAAAGCGAGAGCGATGTCGCCGAGGAATACGATTCGGCTCACGAATCGTCTGGTTCGGGGAGTGCGGAGAGCGACGTTGATGGTGGGGAGGACCGGGATGAGGATGAAGAAATGGCAGACGAGGAAGAGGAACCGAAGCCCAAGGCCAAGAAACAGAAAACCGGGAAATAAGGCCGAGCCTCTCCCCCGTGTCTAAATGGCCCGGCGTAGACTTTTAAGTTTTCATCGTTGAGTAGTTCAAGGGTAGGATCTGGCGGCAACGGCGTTACGGAGGCTTTGACGGCTTTGCCCAAGCACAATCGTTGCGTTTTTTTTCTCGTACGGCTTGCGGATTTCGTACGAAGCACGTGGCTGACTCGACCGTCTTGTATTGAGCGTAGCATACATATAGGGACAAGCACATCGAAGTAGTGCTTCACTGGACCTATACAGCAGCTAGTCATAATGATACCACATGATAAGCCTTCTAGGCATCTTCATGGATTAATTCATATATTGTGAATTTGAGTACATGGCTCTAGAGGATTAGGGGTGTCATTAAGGACTATATTCGGGTTAGTGAGTGTAAGGGGAAAACGTTAACTACGGGATTCTCGTTTCATATGCGATGTCTAGATAGTCTCCTACCTATCTTCTGAGGCCTCGACGGGATCTCCGTTGCCAAGCAGGGACGGTTCGAAACATGGTTAACTGTCCAGCGGACCGCGGTTTTCTAGTCGACGCCGTCTGTAGGTGAAACCCCACCGGTACCTAATCGTCTGCGGATCGCTTTTTTCTTTCTTTCATTTCTACGGCTAATGGTGGGTAGATCCGTTTTTGTTAGATAACTTTAAAAAGTTGGTATCATTCTCATATGACAAGAAGGTTGCAAGAGGACATGCGAGGTTTTTAATCAGAATATTACATACGTATGTAGTTATATCTATCAAGTATGTCCTATTCGACCGCGGAATGCTAGGCGAGGCTCCTATGACGTAGAAAAGAAGAGTTAGAAGAGTAGATCCTCCCGTACCGGTACATAAACATGGTACGCATATATGCATGTACAATACGTAAATCTTTACATAAGCGTGGTTTTTAAGGAGCATAAACACGGAATAAACCTTACCTTAACTCGGAAGGCCCTAAGTACGGGCACCGGGTATCTCCATAGCTTCCAGGGAAAGTATGAGGTTGTAATATCCCCCTTTTGGCATGGCCTGTTTCTAATTTTTACCCGTCAGCTTTCTGCGCCTACATACAGCCTACAGCCTACAGCCTACAGCTTACAGCTTACGGCCTACATGTATCTTACGAACCGCACACTGCGTACTAATGCGTATTGTACCTTGTGTATGTAGTACTGTACCTAACCTTAATACCTAAATACAGATAATATGTCGTCAGTCTATCAGTTGAATTGTTTCTTCATACCTTATTTGCCATTTGCCGTATAATACATTTTTGTTCCCCTCCCCATATTTTTATTTGTTTTTTTTGTTATCAATTCCTTCTTCCCGTCTGTTCTACATCTTTCGACACGGCAACGAATAACAATTTCTACAAAGGACAACTGCCTACTCCAATAGAAGATTAACCCTATGCAAGCAACTACACTTAGCCTACCTTAGGTCCCATGTCCGACCTGCCTAGATTTTATTTGCATGGTTTAAGGTCAATCAATCTAATCAGCCGACTCCGCATCGCGTTGCCTTCTTACGAATTACGAACATAAGACGTCGAAGGAGACTTGCAGACTGCAAACCCCCCAAGCTCGCCGCCCCCCCACTGCAAGAGGACCCTTTAGATATCAATAGCCACTCCGCTGTGCCGTGCTCCTTTTTCTTGTACCAAAAATAAAAAAAGGGCAAAAAGAAAATAAAAAAAAATAAACGTCCGACCCTATTTTTCCTCTCCACTCGAAGTCGGTGCTCTCTTATTTCCATTATTATTCGTTATTATACGGAATAATCGTTAAAAAGACGGTTTATTATTCGTCAATCATACAAGACAAGACAAGACAAGACGTGTGGACGTTCTTTCCACACACACCCCCATACCCCCATATTACCTTTCACTCGACACCCACGTACAACCATAATAAATGTTCACACAGCCTACGCCGCCATCGCCGGGTCTTTTCCCGCCTCTCACACCTTCCACAACCGCTCCACCGGCATCTCCCTCGTCTCCAGGTAGAGGCAGCAGGCTACGAGGCTTAATACATCTGCATCTCTTGTCGCGCGACACGTCCAGCCTCGTCCACCACAATAGGACCGTTCCTCAAGACACATCCACATCCACATCCACATCTGCACCTCCAATACATCCTGCAATACATCCTGCTTCCCCCACCACTACATCTGCTGTTCCTCATGAGGTCGACTCCGACCCGCTCAATACAGCAGATCCAAACGACGATTCGAGTAGGACCCATCGCCGCCGCGCCAGTAGATTTTCCGAGGCTGCTTCCGAGGCTTTGTTAAACTCAAGATCCGCATCGAATCCTCTACTTGAGACCGAGGAGCATTCGTCAAACGCAAACGCAAACATGACGCGGACACGGTCAGCAACTACGAGCGACGTCGCTCACGATGTGTTACCAACCATACGCTTCTCGGCATTCTTCGATACACGATCAAACCGACCATCTCTTTCCTTCACCCCGATTTCGCGTACGTTACCGACAGGCAAGGAAACAATTAAGGTTGGTAGATACTCGGAGCGGGAGAACCATGCCCTCGTGCCTATCAACACGCCGTCTGCTGCACCTGTGGGTTTTAAGAGCAAGGTAGTAAGCCGTCGTCATTGTGAATTCTGGTTCGAGAAGGGGAAATGGTATATCAAAGATGTTAAAAGTTCTTCTGGGACGTTTCTCAACCACATTCGTCTGAGTGCTCCTGGTACTGAGTCCAAACCGTTTCCCATTAATGATGGCGACATAGTTCAGCTAGGAATAGACTTTAAGGGTGGAGAGGAGATGATTTACCGTTGCGTAAAAATGCGCATAGAGTTAAACAGGGGCTGGCAATCAAAACCTAACACCTTCAAGTACGTTGTTGTACACCATATCATTTTCGTAATCCCTCAAGACCTCAAGAGTATTCCTACCTTACATTCGCACTTCGTTCTTTTGTCATTTCCATACGGTGATGGCGGCTAACAAATCAACAGCATGGCAACACACAAGCGCTTAAGAGACTTGACGTCACTGTCAGCTTCATCAGCCCATGCGCAGGATTGCTCCATCTGTCTAAACGCGATAGCAGTACGTATTATTATTATTATTCTGAGCGCCATCGGATCCTATAGTTTGTGTATTCGATACTAATATATACCTCTCTAATAGCCCTGCCAATCGCTCTTTGTGGCGCCTTGTTCTCATACATGGCATTACAAGTGTATTCGAGAAATGTTAAATGGGCCGTCGTGGCCAATCTTCATATGCCCCAACTGTCGGGCCACAGCCGACCTAGACGCCGAAGTAGACGAGCCATCTGACGAATGGCAACAGCTGGACTCGGGCATAGACGATGCTCAGGAAGAGAAGTCTACTCCTCCAGCTTCTCAACTGAACGGCGAAGCTGCGCCGCTTGCAATTTCCCAGTCGAACGTCGAAGGTAGCTCACGGCTGTCGTCGGGCGAAGGTGATGCGGGTGACATGACAATGCAGATGGACGCTGCCGCAGCACAGTCAGTCCTATTAAGACATGCCGTGACAGAGCCAGTCCCTATACCCAATGCGACACCACGTGTGAATGGTGGCGATCGGTCTACGACTAATCGGACACCATCACCAAACAGCAACCCCCCGGGGCCCGGCCACGAAGGCCCAATCACTCCACGCAACGACGCAGGCCCGTGGGTGTTTGATGGTAACCCAGCGCGAGTAAGCCAAGAAAGTACTCGGCGAGCTGGTATGAGCAGCCTGGACGCTGCAGCACAAGTTGAAGTGGACAGATCATAGAAAAGCCGCCGTCGTCGCCTTTTGTAGAGTCTAGGTTTATTTGTTGCCTAAAGTGGACACGTCTGCCCTTGAAGACTCGAGTGGGAGATGAGGAGAAGGGCGTCGTATAGCAATGCTGCAGTGCCATATGTATAGTTGAAGATTGAAACCCGACGAATACGTCGTAGTCTTCGGCAGCATACGCCCATGTCAGTGTTTTGAGATGGCTACGACATAGAATTTTGACCTATATTGGATTCTCATGGGTCATGCCGAGTATGGGAAGGGGTAACACAGGGGTGAGATTTGGACGACGTCTACTCGTTAGAATCAGGGGAAACTATATATTTATCTTTTATATGTTTACTCCCTATTCAAGATAGACCAGGCCGGGGCCTCAGAACTGGATATCATACCGGACTAGGTCTATTACCGATATCTTTGGAAGGCGTATGGAGAGCGAGAGCGTAGGTCCGAAGATAATATCTCACAAGATGAGGTGGATGAGTGTATAATTCCCAGGAGTTAAGAAATATGGCTATTCGCAGGCGCTTTCAGTTCCGGCGTCTTGGGCCCAGTTTGTCATTTGTCTTCCTTTTTCTTTGGGGGGATATGGGGGGTCTACGAAGCATCTTGTCTACTGGAGTTGTTGTAAAGTATAGAATGCATTCAAGGTTGAACCTGGGGGGAGGGACATCAGCCATGGCTATGGGAGTCGGATATAGGTATCTTGTGACGGCATAATACTATTATTATGAATTGGTCGCAAAGTCACAATAGCGAATTGAGATTTTAGGCTGCCTTATACTTTGGCATCTGTAACTTTAGATTATACTCACTCATATTTGGAGAAGGTGATGCGAGACTACATGTACCTACTACCTACGGTATATATGCAGTTGCCCTTTTCCCCAGCCCTATAAGCTTATTAATCAGGCCAAGTATTCCGTGCAGAGTGGGGAAAAGGTACAATACAAGCATTACATCCTGCCGTATCTATCCGCTATCTGCTAATGAGAGCTTAAAGAATTAGCTGCAATTTGCAATTTTAGGATTTGCGAGCTCGGAGACAAGGCGTGAATTTCGGAGGGTCCAATTCTACATCCATTGTACCCATGTACGCATTTCTTTACTTAGATTTGTAGTTAGGTATCTACCTATTTTTGTCATCAATGGATTCATTGTTAGCCCGGTCTCAAAGAGAAGAATAATAAGCCTCACCGACTAAAAATGGATTTATGATCTACATTTTTGCTTTTTTTGATTTTGATCTTCTTCTCTTTTCAGCTTCTTCTGCAGGCACAGGCACTATACTCGTGTTTTCCCGCTAACGCCGAAAAGCGAATTGACGTCGGAGATCAGAACTTTATATTCTGGTTGCGCTCAGTTTGGGAGCTGACGTTACTTGGAAGGGCGACGACAGAGTCCCAAAGAACAACCGCTCGGTGGTTGGTTGAGCAGGCCGCTCGGAACGACGCCATGGCGACTACTGCTGGGTACGATGCTAGGCAATATTGTATTATTGCTCGGAGCCTCACAAGCTAATCCGAGCTGTAGGGCTTTCATAGCGGGCGGTATCGCCGCCTGTGGTGCCGTCACGGCCACGCATCCCTTCGAGACGGTTAAGATTCGGTACGCATGCCCATTGTCCCCTCGTCCAAACAACACAAAGGGTTTCTAGGGAGGCGGGACGCAACTAACAGGGAATAGAATGCAGCTCCAAGGCGAGCTCCAGACCAAGGGCCACCAGCCGCACCACTACCGCGGGCCCTTCCACGGCGTCGGCGTTATCGTGCGGAACGAGGGCATACGCGGCATATACCGCGGCATTGGCTGCGCTTACGTTTACCAAGTTCTCCTAAACGGGTGCCGATTGGGTTTCTACGATCCCATGCGGATCCGGCTGGCCTCGCTATTGTTGCGCGACGGCGCAGCGCAGAACCTAGGGATTAATATGTTCTGCGGCGCCGCCTCGGGCATCATCGGCGCGGCCGCCGGCAGTCCATTTTTCCTCGTCAAGACGCGGCTCCAGAGCTACTCGCCCTTCCTACCCGTCGGCACCCAGCACAACTACCGCAACGCCATCGACGGCCTCAGCCAGATATACCGCGCCGAGGGCTTCGGCGGCTTGTACCGCGGCGTCGGCGCCGCTATGATCCGCACGGGTTTCGGCAGCTCCGTCCAGCTGCCTACGTATTTCTTCGCCAAGAGGCGGCTCGTCAGACACCTGGGCATGGAGGAGGGCGCGCCGCTGCACCTGGCCAGCAGTACGGTGTCCGGGTTTGTCGTGTGCTGCTTTATGCACCCACCTGGTAAGTCCCCAATCCCATCCCATCCCATATCATTTTTTTTTTGAGATGATCCATCGGGTAGACCAGACAGACGCATGCTAACATAAGATGACCCAACAAGATACGATTATGTCGCGACTGTACAACCAAAACGGCAACCTGTACAAGGGCGTATTCGACTGCCTAGGCAAGACGATCCGCACCGAGGGCTTCTTCGCTATATATAAGGGCTTCCTGCCACACTTGACACGCATCCTACCTCATACTATATTAACATTGTCGCTAGCCGAGCAGACGAATAAGCTGATACGCAAACTTGAGATCAAGATATTGCCTGCTCCGACGTTAGGAAAGGCCTGAACGGGGTCTAAGGCTAGACGACGTAACGTGACCGGGGACGACAGGGGAAAGGAAGTCGAGTAAGGGGGCAAAGCCAGCTTGAACATGGTGTCGGTTAGGGAAGACATTGTCTAAATAGAGCGGAGATATCCGGTATATGGTATTTATGTATTCACGGTATTCAGGTACCACCGCGTTTCATCATAGAGAGATGGGGGTAGGTGGGTTAGTTATACTTGTGGCCTATATTCAGGCGCCATCTTTTCTCTCTCCGGGTAGGGTCGGCGAGTTAGATATGGGATAGCGCTGTAGCTGGGACAAGCATGTCCGTTAGATTTACTTACTACATGTTCATTAGATTTGCTACTAGTATTTTTTTCACGAGAACCGGAGTGTTTAGAAGATAGAAATATTTTTGTTATTCACAGACTTCAGTCGCCGGTTTTTCGTATTGGTTGTCAAGGTGAAGGGAGGTAGGGAAGTCCCGGAAATACATAGAGGTAAGCTAGGTAGCTATCTGCTATTGGCGTATAGACCGTTGGCATCCGTAGCATAGCTTCCGTCTAGTCCCTGCTCTATCCCCGTTCCCGTCGTCGTCGTCGTCGTCGCCAATTTCACCCCGCCACCGCTCGTCGCCTAGCTCGTCGACCGGTGCGCCGCAGAGGCCGCAGTTAGTAGCATTACTACTTGTGATGTTTCCCTCGTAGTCATGATGATCGTGATCGGCATCCACAGGCCGCCGCAGCAATTTCCCCGTCGTACGCACGACGTTCGCCACGACAGAAGGGTAGCTGGCTTCGACTTCGCCGAAGTACCGCCCCAGCACGTCGTCGATGCTCAGGTCCCGGTGCGAAACTACCGCACCGCCTACACCTACACCCCCGCTCCCGTTGGTAGCAGCACTGCTAATCTTGGCCGCTTCGACAGGCGGTAGAAGCCCGATAAGCGGCGGCGAGGCCTGCGAGATATACAGCACGAGTTCCTTGCGGAACAGCTCGCGCAGCGGGCTGTAGATGGGGAGGTGTCGGGCGGTCTGGGTGGGGATGCCGTTGGTGGAAGCGATGTTGTTGTTGTTGTTGTTATTGGTGGCGTCGCTGGGGAAGCCCGCGGGGAACCCGTGGTTCAGGCTGGAAGGGACGGGTACGGCGCCGTCGTTGACAAGCCATGGTAAGGCGAATCCGCGGCCTTTGGCGGTCTCGGAAAGGGTCAGCTCGGCGAGGGAGGTGGTGCTGTGGCCGAGGAGGAGGGCGTCGCAGCTTTGGGCAAGGGAGGTGGCGAGGAGGACGTGCCGGACTAGGAGGCGGTGGATGTCGGCGCGGGAGGTTGTGGAGGGGAGGGATTGGAGGATTTGGGAGAGGCGGTGGGAGGGGGAGGGGGAGGAGTCTTGAGGGGTGGGAGTAGGGGTAGGTAGAGAGGTCCAGTCGATGGAGGGTAAATCGAGCGCGGAGCTCAGGGGCACGGTTTGCAGGTTTGCGTCTGGGAAGCGGGTGCGGAAGGCGGCGATGTAAGGGTCTTCATCTTCATCTCCCTCCCTATTACCTTCACCATCCCCATCCCCATCCCTTCGTCCCCCCCTTACAGTCGAAGAAGAAGAAGGAATAGTAGTGTCGTCGACGACATGCACGGCAACGTACTCGAACCGCGACGTCTTCTGCCCCCTAGCGCGCTGCTGCCGCACATTCTCCGTCAACACGTGCAGCAGCGCCGTCGACGACGGCCCGCACGACAAGCCGACCAGATACCGCTGCTGCGGCCGCCTAGTAGTAGGGCCTACCTTATTATTAGATGGCCTAGGCGCGGCGGTTTCGCGCTGCAGGGCCTCGAGGCGCTTGATGGCTTTGCTGGAGACGTAGTATGCGAAGCAGGTCCTAGGCGACGTTAGTATGTACGATGGTTTTTTTAATTTATAATTTATATATATAAGTAAATAATAATAAATAGCTAGACGTAATATTATATAAGTATCTTCACCTACTTGCACACGGTCTCGGCACCCCGCAAGTCGATGGTGCCCTCGTGGTCCTTGCACCGGTTGCACGGCCGAGAAGACCCCGCCGTCTCGGCCGGGGTTGATGCCGCTGTCGTCATTCTATTCTATTCTACCCCTCCGATGAAGATTTCTGGTTTGGGGTGGAGACGGGAGTTTATCGAGGATGAAAAGATAATTTAGTCTTTGGTAGGTTTAAGTTATGGGTTTGAATTTGACTCATGAATAATTCTTTCGCGGGAGTCACGTGGGCCCGTGTTTCTTGAGCTATGCATTGCCCCTGATACCTACCCCTGATATCCGATTTGCGTATGGACACCAAGCGCATAGACGTGCTTTACTAAACAACGTACCTAATATTTTCAGGAACCCGTTCTTCTTTTAACTATTATATAATTAGATTCAAACCTATAAAAATCTATAACTTTGTTTCTTCCCTTCCTTAGAGAATTGACTTGGTATTACAGTTTACTATCACCGCTCATCTAGTCGTACTAAACAGCCAGCCGAAGTCGCTCTCTTCAAACCACTGGCGGTCCTTCTCCCACGCGCGGGTTATCATATCTCTTCCGAGGCGTCCGCATTCCTCCACCTGCTCCGCCGACCCCCAGCCCGGGACTACCATCCCAAAGGAGACCAGGTGAGCGCCGACTTGGATCGCCGTGCGGAAAGCAAAGTCTTCGCTTACTGGGCCATAGCCCTCCACAAATCCCTGAGCCATGAACAGACCGGCTGGCTTATCCTTGTATAGCTTCAACTCGTACAGTTCTGCGAGCATTTGACCGACGTCGAGGTTAGGCTTTCCTATCTGTGACATCTCCCAGTCAATCACAAACATTGGCACGTCCGCTCCCTCCTGGATTTGGGCCTTGGGAAGAAGAATGCTGATGAGGTATCTATCAGTGAACTGGCCACAGGAAATGAATGGGCCTATAGCACTTACTTTCCTGTCCAGAAGTCTCCATGGATAACCTGGAGCTGATTGTCGTCCTCTAGCTCTGCCGCGGCCATCTTCCCTACCTCTTCGAATATATCTTCAGCGCTTCCGAGGACATTTGGAAACTGCTTGGCTCGATCTAGAAGCCACGAGAAATTAATTGTGTGCTTCAACTGCTGCAACTCCTTATTTGCGGCCACCGCCTGTCGCAGCTCGGGCTGTTGCGCCGCCCAGTTGTGGAAGCCTTTAAGCCATCTGCCCAATGCCTTGCCAAGCTGAAGACTTTGGTGTTTTGTCGTCTCTAGATCAGCACCGGATACAACTGTCAAGGTATGCATTTTTAAATCAATGCCGTTCTGTAGATATTCCTGAACTTGGGTGTTGTTCGTCTCGTCGAAATGGTAGAGCCTGGGTGTCCTAACGATGAAATTATAAGGATCATTCTCATCGGCCCTGCCGACGATAGGAAAGGCCGATAATGCTTTGAGACATTCTTCTTCGATGCGCTACCAAGAGTCAGTGTTGACTATTGCAAATATCTAAGGTTAAAGGTTTATTTAGTAGGCACAACATACGCAACGAGATAGAGTCAACTTAAAGCCCGGTGAGGTCGCAATGTAATCCTCGGAATGCTTAACGGCAACTTGTTGCGTACCATCCTCAAGCGGCTGTATTAATGATGCGCGGTATATGAAGTTAGCAGTTCCCCCTGATAGTACATCGAGCGACGATGCTTCATAGGGTGTTCCTTTAAGACTCTCGAGGACTTTGGATGTGATCTCCTCACGGCTTGCCGAGCTCATGTTTGGATGTACGGAATTCTTTTGCGGGCGAGTTACATTAGTTCGATTATAAGAAGGTAATAGCTTCAGCCGAATAGATGACCAAGATCAACTGCGCAACATATATATATCTCTCTCAAGGATATTGTTGATGGGAGACAAGTTCAGATTGATATATATATAGTTTAGTTAAACAAGCAAAAACTTGACTCTTTTCATTTTCATACCTCATCAGTCCTAAGCCGTACGGATTAGTGAAGCTATCTATGATTGGACTAAGTCGCTTCGGCCAATGACTCAAGTCTAATGCAGTGATAGAAAGCGAGGAATACGAGCAATCTTGATTCGCGGGATCTACGTAATTGTATGTAACTAGTTGCATGTAATATAAACTTCAACCCCCATCGCTCTCGCCTATCAAATGTTTAACTCTATTTCTTAAGAAATAGAAAAGGCTATGAGCTTCAATATGACGAAAGACAGGATTTGACAATCAAGTACCCAAGTATATTATATATCTACCCCAATTCCGGGCAGCTATTGGTCAGGTACCACCGTATAACCTTTTAGTAAGAGCGAAAAGCTCTTCCCACCAATCAAACCAATCAGAGATGAGACAGGGATTAGTTAGTCGGCATCTCAAACACGCACTTGTTTCGTTTGCTCTCCTTGACATCATTTCCCCTTTTCCATTGGCCTACCTCGACAACCCGCAAGAGCCTATGATAGTAGATAGAACACCTTATAAGGCAATAGCTACGAGGGGTTCGTTCCGATCGATAGGTCAGATTGGTTGGTCGCTTGCGATTAGCCCAGGGGTTTAGCTCGTGGGAGCGTGGGAACTACCTACCTACACTAGCTGACTAGTAAGGAAATCTCGCGTGGCCGGGGATCGAATGGCCATACACTATGTTAGGTACATAGTAGGTACGTAGTAATGACCCAATGACCCAATGATCCAAATGGTAAGCTGAATCTGAAATAGGCAATAGCCCAGGACTTGTAAAATTGATCTTTGTTTCTCATAAAGTGTTTCTTCCCATCTGCCGTCTTTTTCACCAACCTTGTCTACCTTCTGTAAGGGAGAAGCTATTGCTACCGTTACTATGGCTATGACTATGGCTCTGACTTTGGCTTTGGCTTTGGCTTAATATTGTCGCGAACACGACGTGCCAAAAATAGAGAAGCTGCGCTTCGTTTTCTTCAACCTTCAATCAACATAGCATTTTTGAGTGCTTGTTTCGCATTGACTGCATCGACTGCATCGGTGGCTTAATACTTCATTTCTGTTTGTTATCTTTTGCATATAATTGGCGTCGAGTGGCTGCTCCTATCATTCTGCACCCCTATCCGCCTTGGGCCTATTGCTCGACCCTCTCACAAATCTGCGTCTCGCGCCGTACTGAGAGGTCTTCCGTCATTTGTAGCCTCCTGATACAACTCGCGTTTCGGCGTGTCTGCTTGTTCGATCTAGCCAGATCCGACTGTGCCGACCTCACGTTATTCACGTTGTTTGGCTAAAACGTCAAGCCACCTTATATGCTATCAAGCTATATTCTCGGAGAATATCCGATTTCCTCAATTTTCTTTGGCTCTGTCATTTTGGTTGATAGCGCTCTACTGCGAAGACACCGGAGTATCGCGAAAGGACCCTACTCCGAAGATGGCGCATCGTCGGCAACGGTCGCGACGAGTCTTAGATCTCGCAGCACTGCTGGCTATAGTCTCGACCTCATCGGCTGTCAACTTATCTCAGTTCCAGCTTATTATATCGAACAGTATACCGAAAAGCTGCATTCGTGCCTATCAGACGGAAATAGAGGGCTGCAACGTTAAGGATTTCACAGGTGGAAGTCAATGTTCGACGAGTTGTGTGAAGGGAGTCCAGCAGGTGCAGGATCTTATACAAGACGCTTGCGGGGATCTTAATATCAGCCACAAGTCATTGCTCGGGATTGTGCTGTCGGGTGATTTAGTCGATACCCTCTGCCCTGGTCAGGAACCGACGACGGTCACTACGACCGTACACCCATCATCGACCAAAGGGGAATTCTCAACAATTGTCACGGCGCCGACAAGTTTCCCGACGAGCACAAGCCGCACTACCAAAAAGACATCTTCCACGACGTCAAGCACTAGTACAAGTACCAGCACCAGCACTAGTGACCAATCTACAACAACTCAATCTACAACGGATCAAGAAACATCATCACCAACGACCACGGCTACCGACTCGCCTACCGACACTACATCAGCACAGAACACGGCACAGCCTACTGCACCGAGTGAGGCGATACAATCGACGTCGTCCGACGATGGTGCTCCAACACCCTTTCTCGGCGGTACGCCATTCGATCCTTTGCCTGCACAACAAGGCTTGGGTACGGTTTTATCACCAGGATATGGCAAGGAAGCCTTACTGGTTGCAATATGTGCTGCCATGTTAATGCTACGGTAGTGGTTTAACGTAAAGCCTTAGAATGTATATCCGAGTATGTAAGAGTATTTGTAATGTTTAAAGGGGATGGGAGCGATAGGACAAATGATACCAAATCACGGAGTGCTAGGGATGGGGTACTGGGGATAGCGATACCATGAGCCATTATGACTTGGGGGTGAAGTGTTGGAAAAACGGTATGGGTTATCCGCGGCTGGGAGTAGTCTATTGGGATGGAGGGTATTTCGAAATTCGAAATTCGACGTTGAAGTTTTGTTATAGGAGATGTCCCTGCTGACTGAGTGGCTTATAAGATTAAGCTTGGTGACTTTTTGTACACTACATAGTAGAAATTAAGATAAATTAAGGACTATTAGAAGGCTAGAAATGAGAAACGCTATAACAAATTAAGATTTGAGCAGTTACTTGACGCTTTACTATATGTTTTGCACCTAGGTATGAATTATGAGTTATGAGCCTGTACAGGTTGCATTGCACAATGATGTCGGTAAAATGTAAAATGAGGGCGGTAGAATTCTGCCAATCTGGCTAAACCTCGATTGGCTAGCATTGGTTAGCATTGGTTAGCACATTGGTTAGGCGCATGTTAGTGTATGTACCTGGCGTTAGAACTCCCCGAACCGGAGTGCCGAGGTAAGGAGAGAGAAGGTGCGAACTACGCTTTAAATAATAACCACCGGCGCCGGCGTCTTGTAACCCACTACAGCACCTGCTGTTGTACTACAGACGCAATCATAGTAGCTCTGCTCTTTGTTCGTTGCTGCTTTTTTTTTGTTGCTTACTTAACCTACCATTCATTCTTCGTTGCCGTCTTTTAACTACGCTGGTCATTGTTATTAAACCTCACGTTGAGTCCCACGTACGACTAAACGTACACATTATACATAACGTATAGGTTAGTTAGTCATCGTCAATTTACTTGTGGTAACATAGCTCTCATTACCGCGTATTCAAACGTTATTACATGGTCTATCCAGCCAAGAAGTCCATCTAAACACCACCACAACAACAATAACGACAACAGCAACAACCATGAGCGCTACCGAAATCACCACATCCGCGACCGCGGACCTGCCCTCGGGCGATCCCGTACCATCCGCCATCCCGCTTCCCGTCGCGAAGCCCAAGCCCTTCCCAATTAAAGAAGTCATCACAGCGGCACCCTCGAACATCGATGCTTTTCTGGCCCATCTCCAGCGGTGCTTGCAGACGCCCTCGGGCATCGATACCACGCTGCTGTTCCTATGCTACTCCTCGCGCTTCGCCGCCTCCATCCTCGAACACTTGACCCGCCCCGCCATCCAGCGCAGCGCCCAGCAGCTCCTCGCTCTCGCGGCCAGTCTGCCCCCCTCCGCCACCCTGGTATTCACCGCCAAAGCGCTGCCGGGGCGCGGGGCTGCCCTCGCTCTGATCTTCGCTAAGCGGTTGCGCGCTCTTAGCGCCATGGTGTCCGACGCTCGGACTTTTATGAGGTTGTGGGGTCTGCTGAATATGTACTTCTGGCTCCGCCGCCTCGTGGCTAAGAAGAAGGAAGGCGAGGTGGAGAAGGAGGCTGAGAAAAAGACGGATAAGCTCGAGACGGCCATCTCCTGGTTCCAGCTGTCCACCTGCATCATCTTCCAGGCCCTCGAGAACGGCGCATATCTCTCCTCCAAGGGCGTCCTGGGCTGGGCCCCCGCTACGCAACGCCGTGCTTCGCTCTGGAGCGCGCGGTTCTGGGCCGCGTTCGTGGGCGCCGAGGTCGGGCGTCTGCTATACGAGAACCGCAAGCGCGGGCAGCGGACTCGCGCCGAGAAGTTCGCCGATGGGAAGACGGCGTCAGAGGTCCAGGCCGAGGAGACCGAGTGGGCTGCTACCTGGCGCAAGACCCTCCTGCGCAACCTCGCTTGGGCCCCGCTTACACTCCACTGGAGCTCCGAGACGGGGCTTCTGGGTGAGACGGCGGTGGGAGCGCTGGCTTGTGTGCCGGGGGTTATACAGATGAGGGATTTGTGGAGGAGGACTGCCGCTGAGTAGATGGCCCTCCACCCACGCGAAAAGGAGCTGGTTTATATATAAGGAGGCTCGGGTGGCAGTGTAGGTTATATGGGAGGGCGATATTGCTATCGTTAGTTTCTCTTTATTTCCATTGCGCGGGGAGACGACTCTAGGGGGTATGACGGCGAGGACGTTGCGATGAAAAAAATAAAGCAAGGGGAATGAATGACTTAAGCGTGTATTGGGATTTAATGGGCTTTTCGTCTGCTCTCGATGTCGATTGATCTATGAAAGATGTTATAGCGTGTGTAGGTCCAAATACATATAATACAAGAAAATGAAAACTGAAACTGTATTTTACTCTAACTAAGTGCTCAAGTAGTCTTTTCGTCTGAAACGCTAATTATTGTATAACTTAGATTCTCCTATGAGGATGGGCTATTCAAGTACCTCTAACTTAGGAAGGTAGCCTTGGGACAGCAAGCTTCAGAATAAGAAGCATTAAGTAAAGAGGGGGGGTGTATGACTCGAGGTTTACTCTGGTTGTTTTGACTAAGATCTCCGGGTATCGATGACCTTCATCGAATACTCTAACTATCTCCTAGGTAGGTAGGAAAATAAGCATTTATTATCTCGTTGAATATACCTATCATGTTAGATAAACTTGACCACTCCCTCTTTTCCAACTAATCGCCCCCTTTTCCCCAATGCCAATATATTCAGCCCATCCATCCTTACCCCTATCCGCAAAAGTTTTATACTTTTAATTTCTACTAGCATAAAGTTGGGTGGGTAGGTAGTAATAATAGGGGCTATTAGCTCAGTCGTAACGCTTGGAGTTCGAGATATGTATGTTTCTGGTAACGAGTAGCTACCTGTTATAGGTTATTTTATTAGTTAATCATTAGATGAAGAAACGTACCTAGGTGTGTGGATTACACACTTTCCTTAGGATAAGGTGAATATCGACTGGTATATGCCTTGGTAAGAAAGAAATAGTCTGATAATAATAATGTCATCGTAAGACCATTTCATGTATAGGCCATAATTGCTCACCTCAAAAATAACACCAACTGCAGGAAATGGATAAAATTGCTAAATATGTAAATATATTATTATTCATCATAATTATATTATAACTATATTATATTAGATTGATATTAAGCATTAATTAGTTGATTGTTTGGTTGTATTATCATAGTTTGCAAGCTTCAGGGGGGTTGAATAGCATAAGTATGAGTCAATAGTTTGATCCTGTTGCTATTTGGGGTTATAAAGGAGTAATACTCTTTGCCCGCCTAATAACTTCTATAGGTTGATTGGTATAGAAATAGAAGCAGCCACCTGGGTATTCGTCAGGTGTACTTAAGAACTGAGGTAACGATTGGAATACTAAGCGTTGATGTGCTCTGGTCCGAGAAGCAATCGATATCAGTATCCTGTAGTAACTTAACGTTATATGGATGTCGCCCTGGTGAGTTCAGGATTTGCTGCCGTTAGGTAGGTAAACCGCCTTCCTATAGGTATTCGATAGTATAGTTTTCTATGCTTCCGCGATTGTGTTCAAATACGCAATCCGTTGTTGGGTAGTGACTAATATGGCAGATTTCAGTTCCTTTCGTTTCCAAGCCATTTGTTTCCTTAGCAATGCTTAGTAGCACACACGCATCGTGTCTTAGGGCCATATATTCCTAGTCCCTGGCCAGTTAGGCTGCGGTATCGTTTTCATCCGTTCCTCATTACCATCATAGCTATCTTTTATCATAGCCCTTGATAGAACATCAACCGGCAATATGGCTGATTCCATAATCTCCATCCCTGATGTTATCAGGTTGACTGCTAAGGTCGCTAAAAGCTTTGTGGAGTACGGGAGACAGGTCAAGGACGCCCCTAGGCTAATTATGAATATCCATTTAGAGGTCAATGCTCTAAAGACTACCCTGGAGACTCTGTACATGACTCTAGGTGATAATGGAGCGTCTACCCAGAAAACAGGGCTTTCAGATTCCCTAAGCCAATGCAGGGGATTGTTGAACGAGCTTCAGTTGTTGGTGTCACCGGAAGTAGAAACAGAGTCGGACGACGAAGAGCTCCCCAACAGGAAGACACCACGGAAAAAGCAGGTTTCTTTTCATAGATTTGGACATGGAAGAGCAACACCCACACCGTCTCGCCATCAGCATAATGACAACTCTGATGTGGACCATCTGCAGTCTTTAATGCAAGCCCAGATCAGTTCCGAGCACCATCTCGCACAGAACGAGCCACACAACTTCAACATGAACCCAAACGTTCCTGGAACACCAACACGGTCGCCCCGTAGGCGCCCGATAATAGATCTTTCGACACGGTTCAAATGGCCACTGTTCCAGAAGGGAAAGGCAGAGGAATTGCTAAAGCAGCTCGAGAGGCAGAAAACCCAGCTGGGTTTGGCGGTGCAGACCGATAATGCGTGAGTCAAGCTGTGGTGGTTTGTAGCGTGCTAGCTGACTTCTTCTGATAGCATCAACCTCCACTCTATCGCCCACTCCATAAAGGATATCGAGGCCAATCTGAACGGTAAGGTAAATCCCCGAGTTATTCCAAAATGTGTGCGCCGGCTAAGACTGGAGGGGAAATAGATAACGAAAAGAGAGCAGTCCTGGCTTGGCTATGCCCTAGAATTGACATGTATGAATTCCATCGTGAACAACACGATAAGCAGGAAGACGAGACGTGCGAATGGATAACCACCTCTCGCGGCTGGAAGCAATGGCTCAACGGAGGCTCATATGAGCCCAACGGCTACCGCCGGTTCATATGGATCTACGGCATCCCCGGCGCCGGAAAGACGGTTTTGGCCTCGTTTCTCATCGACAGTATTGCGGTCCATTGTCGAGCGACAGGATATTCATACTACTATTGTCACAACGAACGAAACCAGGATGAGACAATCAACTTCCTGCGTTGGATAGTAGGAGACTTGAGCCGACAGATTGATCGCTTTATCCCCCAGGAATTAGATAAGCTCAGTCAATCCCAAGGTTTCACCATCGAAGGCCTTATGAACTGCTTCGCAGCCTTATCTAGAAAGTTCAAGAGTGAAGGCCGTCGGGTGTATCTGATCGTCGATGCCGTGGACGAGAGCAAAAAACCACGGAAGAGGTTGCTTGATGTGCTGATCGCAATGGGCACGGATATAACTTATGAGAACGTCTCGATATTGATGACGAGCCGTGAAGAGGAAGATATTGGAGATGCGATGGCTCAGGCTGCGACCAGGTCACAGCTTCAACTTCCAAGCACGGCCCGTGATTCAGATGTCTTGAACAGTGCCTTTATGCCTTATACGTCTATCACGATGTCGAATAGCGATGTTATGCGAGCGATCCAGAAGTACGTCGAGAAACAGTTTGAACGAAACGCTAAGTTCAGAATGTGGTCGCCAGATTTTAGGGCGCAGATAGAGAAAAAGCTGGCAAGAAATGCTAGAGGAATGTGAGGACCCAATGGCCATCTTTTCAAGAGAGTTTAGGTAGTTAACCCTTTCCTAGGTTCCGATGGGTTGCATGCCAGATCGATATCCTCGAACGTATCTATATGGACGCAGACAAGGTGTCGAAAGCACTGGATGATTTGCCAGAAACGCTGTTTGACACGTACGAGAGAATACTCCAAAGCATACGGCCGGAACAGCACGCATTCGCTCGCACGGCTCTAGCATTAATATGCAGCAACACCTTCAAGGCCAAGAGCGCCGACGTATTAGTGCAGGCATCGCTCCACAATGTTCTACATGGCGCCATGCACATGTATACTATCGAGACATTAAAAGAAATTCTCGGCTGTCTAATCAAGGTAACCAACTTGAGAAAAAGGTATCCAACCAAGTTCAGGCGTGAAGATGATAATATTCCCCTTCAGAAAGTTGCCGTCGCTCATTATACCGTCAGGGAGTTCCTCTTTGCGAAATCAAAAAAGGATGGGGAACCAAGACCGGCCGGCGAATTTGCTCTGTCGGATATGAGTATCCGCGTGCTAGAGACGCAAGTCGTGTTTAATGGTTTGCTGCAATGGGGGAGAAATCGTCCTCAAAACTCGCGAGCTCCCACTCGCTATGAGGAATACTGTTTGGAAATGAGTGAATGGGCCATGAGAGGAGCCCGGCAAAACCTGCTTATCAAGAATCATGGCGTATGGGAATCAGTCGTGCAGTGCTTGATCCCTGGTAGACCACACACCAAAGCTATTACAAATGTAAATCTTCGTAGGCATTTTCCACGGTGGGCAAAGCTGAGTGCTCTCGACGAACCGTCACCGGGACAACAGCCTCAGGCAGCTCCTAATAGGGGGTTCCGACAAGAAACAGGTATTTTGGCAAGCCTCGTCTTACTCAATTGGCCGGAATTTGCGCAAAAATACCTCAAGGACCCCAATTTCCAGATCTTATCACCCGAAGCAAAGCATGCCGTCTGGACGAATAAATTCAGTATCAACCCGCCGGATAATACGGACATTCCACGCACGTTCGAAAAGGGGGAGCCGGTTACACTTCTCCAAATGTGTGTATCGTGGAAACGTCCGGAGTTCTTGGAGCTCTTCATTGATGCTGGGGCGAATTTTACTCATGAGCCCGACATCATATTTACGGCCCTTGAACATCCCTACGGTCTCGGGGAACTCGAAAGTGATGGATCTGTTACCAGCCAGCTCTTGAAGATGCTCCTCGAGGCAGGCGCGGATCCCAACCCACCCGGCTATTTATATACACCTCTTCAATTTGCGGTACACCACCTCGAAGAAAGCTGGGTCCAGAGTCTGCTTATTGAGGCCCGTGATGCCAATTTAATAGGGGATCCCAACGGAGAGCATCCATATGGGCTTAAAAAGCATGAGGATTGGCACCGCTTGCATCCTCTTGAGATCTGTCGTAGAACGCCGCCAGGACGAGACAACGATGGATCGGAAGGCCTAAATAGCAAGGCCAAGAAGCGGATAGAACAGCTGTTAATTCAGTATGGAGCAGAATGTGAGCCCGATGTGATCGATGTCTCAGATAGTCCAGATAGAGATGGGCCATCCTAGTACCGCAGCGGCCGTCGTGTACTCAAAATCAGTTTCCCTTCTACGACGGATAACAAAATTTGCATAGGCTGAATAAGCCTGGTATAAGCTAAAATAGGTGAACAGTGGGATGGGAAGTGGTTAAGACGATGTAGATAGCGTAAGGAGGAAATATGATTCATATCTTCTACCATTGAATTGTGCTGCTCTTTCCCAGCGAAGCATACGCTCGTGTTGAACAAAATATAGGGGGAGGATATTGTTGAAAGCGGTTATCACTTGTCTGGCGCAGTGGCATATTCGGCCACATGTGGGTGCTGAAAAATTATGTGAATTAATAAAGGTGTGTGATATCATTATGATTGTTTCTGACCCATCTCTTCCATGCCGATATCATCCCATTCCTCACTCCATTCGCCAATCTTTCCACCTAGCCAGATTCCTCCGGCTGTTGCTACGCTTGCTAGAAGGAACCAACCCTCAAACCATCTATCCACGAAACCCGGCTCCAAGGCACTTTCAAGCGCGTCACCGACGGCGCTGCCTACCTCTTTGGGAAGATTACTTCGTAAGAGTAGAGCGGCAGAGATCACGTATATAGCGCTGATCTGCCCAATCAACAGAGCTAAGTTGGCTTGGGCCTGGTATAAGAGTCCAGGAGTCCATTTGGCGAAGAGATGGAATGTTTGGAGTGCGCTGTTGGCGCTCGCGGCGAGGATGACGCCGGATAGTAAGAACGATATCTGTCTAGCCCATGCAATCTGATCAAGTTTCGGGTCCCAATGTTTCGCTAAGAGGCCCAGGAATCGATTAATGGGATCTGAAGAGGAAAACGAGGCGGTGGGATAATACAGCCGCCGCAGAGTAGTCAGGGTAGTCGCTATGATACGATAAACGCAGTATACGCTGAACACATAAGTAGGCATCGAAAGTAATTTCCCGGAGAAAGTTGCAGCACGAGCTGAATTGGCCTGCCGAGAGCGAAGCATAGAGAGAGAGGACGATAAATTTGCTTCCATAGCTTCCAAGCCCGCGATCTCGAGACGTAACGTGCGGATTTCTGCTGCATCACCGCCTCCGCGGATAGAACCGATAACCTTAGTGACGAACCCACGCTTCTCAGCCGATGGGTTCTCAGCTGCCTTACGCAGTAGGCTCTGCAAACGGTGTCGTTTAGTTATGAGCATCTCATTCGTAGCATCAAGACCCGCTTGTTTACGGGAGACGTCGGCGTCCGTCACGGGGCGTCTTGCACGGCTGCCAAATGTGTGCCACGGTGAAGAAACCGAGGCGAATCCAGATAATAATGCCATAAGTGAAATGCCGATGACTCCAATTCGCTCAAGACAGGCACGTGCTAAACTGCCCGAAATCGCGGGCTCGGCCCGGGCCTTCTCCATCTTAGCGCTCGGGCGCACTGCCTCACTTCCTACTGGTACGAGATTTCCTAACGACCAGAACGCGCATAGCCAGACGCTAAACATAGCAAATTGAAGTATCCAAGCAGCCCGAGGTATTCGACCTTTAGAAGTGCGTTGAAACGACCATCCCGAGCCAGCTACAAGAGACTGGAGTTCGAGGAATGGTATGAGTACGACGAGGAGGAACAAGAGAGTGGGAACGGTGACTCGCAGAGCCAACGCTCGGGCGTAAGGATTAATCAATTCAGAGATCTCGCATAAGATCAATTCGCCCAACACAACCGCCAACCCAACCGTCGTAGAAAAAGCGGCTTCCGCTATTCGCCTTCGAAGAGATTTAGAGCCATGCTCGGCATGCGCTTGCTGGAGTGATGGGGGCGCATCGGAAGGGAGGAAATGGTCTTCGCCGTCGCGAGAATTTTGGACACGGGCCAGATAGGGAAATATCTTTTGAGAGACCAGAATAGAGACGGCCACGAATGTTATCACAAAAGGTGCTAACGAAAATGTCATTGACGCCGCCGAGGGTGCGACAAGGCTCGGGGCCATACATGCATCGTCTGAGCAGCTGAAGAGTCCCATTGGAAATAGTCTTGACGACGATGATTACGAATGACTGTTCTATGATAGCATTCTAGCTCGTAGAACAAAGTATAGATTAATTAGGTACTTATCGACGAGTAGGAAGTGCATTCGAGGTGGGTGTAGACACGGATCGAGGATGGAGGAAAAGATAACATGATTAAAGAAACTTTCACAAATGGGAGTTGAAACTTGAACAAAAGTCACAAGACGTTGGGATTCCCCCAGACAGATGACGACTGCCCTTGAACATAAGCCCCCACTTTCCATCCAGCCACGCGGCTACCTACTAAGGAATGGATCTCCGATGCATCCGTGCACGTCCCGACTCCCCACATTGCAGGCACCTATTTTATATGGTTTCAGCCAGGTAGGTACGTACTCGAGGGGCTCTCCAGAGTGTGGCTTGAAATACGAGGCGCAAGTCTAAGTCAAACGAAACAGGGGTCCATGAAAAAAAGTCGGATACATATCTCCAAGTAGTCGCGCGACACTGAAAATAATCGTCAGTAACTGCAGAACCTCTGCCATTGACGCTGGGAGAGGTACTGCAATCGCTGCCCCTGATTATGGCTGCTTCAAGTAGAGGTGGCAATGCCGCCGCCGCTTTATTGCGAAGTAAGTCGGCTTCCGCAGAATCCCAAAAATCGCACATTCATGCCACTTGATACTTGATGCTAAAAAACTACTAGAAGGACAATTCAGCATATGCGCCAACTGCAGGAATGCTCAATTCCGATCGTACTCTGCCAATGCCGAGGCCGCCGCGGCAGCTGAAGCTCACCATCTTAAGCCGACGGAATCACAACCACATCCACCCTTCACAGCGTCCCGCAAGGCAGAATACCGCATAAAATCCGGCATCATCCTAACCCGAGCACCTCTACTAACCCGCGCTCTCACTCCCTTCGAGAACGCTTTCTACTTCTACCAGAAACGATTGAACGAGCGATTAGTCTTGCCTTTCCGGCACACCCTCTTCTTCAAGAAGGACACGGCGGCCGACCTCGATTGGCGAATCAAATTCGAAGAGCGGGGCCGGATAGCGGCGAAGGAGCTGGGTAGATACTATGCCCAAGGTCGCAACGCGTGGAACGACGAGTTGTTGGTAGGGAGCACATTGAGCAGTGAGGAGAGGATACGAGAGATCCTGCTTAAGGATGCCGAAAACCGGGTAACTGAGGATGGCGAGAAAGCTGATCCGGATGAGGTCCTACCCGTCGAACAACCGATGCCAAGGATCACGGAGGCTGATAAGACGAATGACGTGAGGCGACTGGACCGCAAGCTGGACCGGACCCTCTACTTGCTTGTTCAGGGCAGTGATGGGAAATGGCAGTTCCCGTCAGAGGATGTGCCGACGGATGAGCATTTACACGAGGTTCGTCTCATATAAGCAACTATGCATACTATAGCGAGCCTATTCATGCTAACCATACCCACAGACCGCGGCAAGAGCCTTGGCGTCTGCGGCGGGTGTCAACATGAACACCTGGCTAGTGGGCCGCGTGCCTGTTGCCCATCTAGTTACACAACCCGAGTTCAACGAAGACACGTCCCTCAAGCAGAGGGGCGAGAAGGTATTCTTCCTAAAGGGCAGGATCATGGCCGGCCAGGCGGACCTGAAGGGCAACAAGTTGGGACTACAAGATTTCAACTGGCTCACAAAGGAGGAGTTAAAAGAGAAGCTACCAGAGAAGTACTTCCACTCCGTAAGGAATATGATGGCGGATCGGTAGAACGGGTAGATATCACGATACGAAGCCTCTGTAGTCTACGACCGTCAATGTAAAGACAGTGTACTAATATATTGTACCTTACGTGGAAACCAATCGTCCCCGTACATTTCTAGTACATACCTACGTACCGACTTCCAACGCAATTTATTTCTTCTCGTGCCCGGGTGTTCGGTCGGTGTATTACGTTTATGTCCAACCACGGCCATCTCGTTCAATCACCAAATAGCAAATCAATCTCCTTTCTTTTATGAAATCTCAAGTTTATTCGCATATTCTCTATGGCAAGTCCCCCATGGCTATCTCGAATCTACCTAATTTACCATACTAGAATTGCAACCGAAACGTCAGAATTCTAGATGAGTCATCTACCTAGATATCTAGAATATTAGCTGCCTTCAGTACCTAGCGTTTAACCACCAGTTTCCGTAGCTTAGGTTTGTTGCCCCTTACGTAAGTAACAGTGAAGCTATTCCCGCGTTTTCTGTATCCACCTCGTGACAAACCAAGGCCCATGCCAACGTCTTAGTACGCGAATCCGTTAGGTTATTGGTCCGGCAATTATGTTTATCGCATCGTCTGTTGCTCGCGTAAATAGGTAATTTGCGGTCGCCTGTCCTCGCCTCGGCTTGTCAGAGGCAATAGTATCCCTAAGGGACTGGCTCAAAAGAGAGATAGCCTGCCCCAGGGACGGAGCACTTGTTGCCATAGGCTCTCCAGAAGTCATGTGTCCAGAGGGGTATCATGTGTGTTTCCTTCTCCGAGTATGTTTCGCCCGATGTTGACATAGGCTCACTCTGCGTAGGTCTCTCCTTGGCTGATGGCATTGCCTCGTCGAGGATGTTCCATCTTTTTAAATTTCTCAACATTTGGTCGTCGTCCTGATCAAGGAGATTGATGGCGCTTGTCTCGGGCCACGAATTCATAGTAGAGTTTGTCGGCTCCTTTTCGTTCTCTTCGTCCTCTTCAGCCTTTTCTACCCGTTTCTTCGGTGCGTAGAACTCTGTCTCGAGTGGGACCAAGTGTCTCTTGGCTCTGAACAGAGTGTAGGTCTGTTTTACGAATAGACTGGCGGTCATACAACCTGACGAGGTAAGATACGGTATTCTAGCAATGTAAAAATGTTTAAAAGGGACTTACTATCAGATCCGGCATGATGAGGACCTGGCAAGTTGCTGCCTGATTCTAGGCCGAGTACAGGAATTGGATTTCGCGCGTAGAAATGGTGGATCCTTTCCAAAGCTCGATCCGGCTCCATCATATGTCTACCTCGTGCATACATGAATTTTGTATCCGCGATTCGTGGGAAGAGTTTGTTTGTCTCAATGAGGAAGTCGTCAACGTTGGCGGGTAGAGGCTCAAAAAACGTTTGATATATATAGGCAAGGTCCATGAATAAGTTATGGCCAACCAGGATCGGTCTATTTCTCTTCAGGCTGGCCTCGCATTTTTTAAAGTCGAATGTCTTGTTGAGTTCATTCCACGTTTTGGCGCGTTCTGGGACGTCGCTTTGGTGATAAACGTATTCTTGTTTCATTCTATCAGCAAAGGATCCGCCTGACAATGCCTCGAATAATATTTGAAGTCCTACGAAAATTAGTGATTCAGAATACATGTGTCTTAGAGGGATACGAACCAGATAATCTATTAACCTCCGCCAGGTTCAATGTCTTTCGTGACTCGGTCTATTCCAGTATGGCCTGTTAGTCAGATACTCGAGATGATACTGCGTATAGGATTACTTAGGGGGTTATGGACCTTGGCTTTCGCAGCATCATCAATTAGAGCAATAGAAGCGGTACCCGATGTCGCGTTTCTAGTTACCGCATATGAAGGATACTCTTCACGAATGATTTGGTGTATTAAACGGATCTGTAGTCCATTAAGTCTATCTCCATACGGGTTTTTTATGGTGGTTTCCGTGGCCTAACAAGTCATCAGCTTAACGACTATCAATCTGGGGGAGGCATCGTACCTGTCGAAATCTTCCAGAAACAAATTCCGTGATTTGCTTCTTAGTCCTCTTGTAAAATTCTTCAGTCTCGTAGTCCAGTGTCGAAGGGTCAACATGTTCATTGTTGGGATCTCTCGACAGACAGAACTGTTTTGCAACTCTCTGTTCCTCTCTGTTGAGATAATGAGCTCCAGTATCCAAAGCCTTGTTGAGGTTGAAATTGTGCTGTTGTAGAAAATCGTACGCTCTCACCGAGACGGTAAATTTTCTATCGAGACGTCTGGAGAGATTATCAAAGAATGTAGATTTGGGAAACAAGGGAGAAACAGAGAAAGTGAATGTCCTCGTCGTATATTTGGCTGGTTATACGAGTTAGCTATAACACAGGTTATTTTCTTGGTTACGTATTGTGGACCGACCTAATTCTTCGTTGTAACGAATGAAGGTGAGCCCGACTTGTAGTACTTGAAATTGTTCTGCCGCTTCTTTGATCTTGGCGTATGAGTCTTGGGTACTGTTAAGGCCATGAATAAGAGCGATGCCACTCATCTCAACGTCCACTGCTACAAAACGAGCATTCTGTGCTTCGTGTAGAATGGGTGGTAGCATCCAGAAAAAGTTGCCCCTGTTGACCTCCATGGTGTTGATGGTTATATACTGGACCAGCGTTGAAGGTGAAGCGGCAGCAATGAATTGTTGTATGTTAAATCAGAAAATTGAAAAAGTGGAAGAGAATTTATCTTTACGGTAGAATACGAAATGTTATATACTTTTAGTTATGAAGCTACGACCAGATAGATGATAACCACGTCAGGTATTCTACGTACATGTAAGGATTTTATACGTCTCCTGATCGAGAGACATATTCTTAGGGAAGGTACGGATGGTTTGTGAGTTGGTACCTGGCAACGTATCTTTGAACTAGAGTAACAGATGGCCAATCGTCACACGCAATCACTAAATATTTGTAAAACTACCCAGGTACCTAAACTACGCACGGTTGATTCTAACGGCAGCAACGTCCGGAATGATTCATAAGTTACTTAGTTAATAAACCAGGTAGGAAGCTACGATTCATTCCCATAGAGTCATTGTTTTGTGTTTGATTTTGGATCCCTTGAGAAAAAAAAGATGAGTAATAAGTATAGGAGGTACCTCAAGTAAACATTGAACTTGAGGCTATTCACGTCTGGTCAGAGTTTACTGTAAGGTACCTAGGTACGTACGGGCTGACCTCTATCGCGTACCTACCTACCTACCTAGGTAGGTATGTTCCTCAAGATGTGTACTCCCCGTTCGGTTTTCCTAAGTAGTAATAACTGTAACAACTTTGGCTGCTGGCAATAGTTAGGTCACTGAAAGACTACTATCTTGGTTTATGGTTTCCTGTGTCCAGATCCTCGATATCATTATTTCTTCCCTTTTCTTGTCTATCATGGCCAATACCAAAAATGCTAGCTAAACTTGTAGCCTTAAGTCTACGAGTTAGATTGATCGTTCATCTTGATGTAAGCTGAATAGGTTGACAATGAGAAAGCTGAAGTGGCTAGACTGTCGCAACGTTTGAGTACTGAGGATTGAGATAGTAAACCTGAACTAAGTGTTATACTCCGGAAATGATATATGCATATGTGCAAGTTACATACCAACTCTACTTCTAAGGGACGTTTGAAGGTGGTTGACTTAGCGGAAAAAAGGTACCTGGGTACCTCAACCCAAGCTAGAGTGTTAGCTCATCAATTAATTTCGGCCTAACCTGTTGTGGTAGAAGAACGTGTGGGGCTTGCCTAACGTTATTCGCATTCGTCGGCCGACGACCGATATACCGAGGCACAGCGCACCTACCCAGCTACCTAGGTCGGCTAGGGTACCATCAAAATACGATGATCACACCAGACTTTAGCAAGTGCAATCTTCCCGCATACTTTCGTACCTACCAGACAATCACTGCGAGCATTTTCCGACCTCGTCAGGTCCCACATGCTTGTGTTGTTTCTGCATGTGCAAGCTTCTCTACCACTACTGTAATCATTAATGTCATGTTGGCATAGCTATTGATTTCATTATTGATTTTGCTATCTTATTCTTATTAGTGTCAATTGTGCTGTTAGCATCCTACGACCTACATATCGTCGCGTATGTTAGTGTTTGAACCGACTCTTATCCGAATTGCCTACCTTAGGTTAAAATAGTATTCGCAACTATGTCGTTCGATGGTTCTTATTCCGCAACGTTGAGTCCGTCAGTGTCCGAGAGCTTCGGATCCCACGTTCTATCGAACTCGATATCGTCCTTGACATCCTCAACAACATCTCGTCCATCGTCGAACAATATTTCCAAGACCTACCGACAGGCTTCGCAATTATTCCTAACGCGTCGACTTCCCGAAGCCTTGTCAACAGTCCTACCCTTGATCACCCCATCCGCCGAAAGTTCCAACGTAAATGGATTGACTGAACCGGCACCCGTTGCTCGAGCTTCGAGATCCACAAGGATAAAGGTATGGAGTCTTTATCTGACGATTCTCAATGCGATATTGGAACTGGATGCCGACGAAGGGAAAGATGCCTTTGGTACACAGGAATGGCGTACTATATGTAAGAAGGTGCGGGACAGCGATGTTTGGGAAGAAGTGGTACAGTTCGGATATCATGGCGTCGAAGGGGAGGTAGATTCCGATGTCGTTATAAATCTGTAAGTTTGGTCTTCCACGATGTGGAACGGGTATTGACAAGTTTCTAGGGCGACTCTTCTGCTTGCACATGCGAAATCACAGGCAGTCAACCAGAAACGGCTGGAGAATTATCTAGCCTCATCAAGCACCCCGAACCTTGATATATCTAAACAGCTTGAGGCAACTAGATCTCCGCGAAGAACATCGCGGAGTCGAAGGTCCCACTCTAAGAGTGGTGCTGACACTCCTCGGGATCTCAACGCCAGGGTTAAGATTCTCGAACTGTACACCCTCCACGTCTTGTTACGTAATAATGAATGGGACTACGCCAGAGAGTTTATTAGCTCTAGCGCAGTACTAGACGAAGAGCGGAGGGATGCCTTCTTACAGGCTCTTCAAAGTTTACAGGAAGAGCAACAGGAATCAGAACGGAAAGAACGCGAAGAGAAGCAAAAGCAGGAGGAACAACTGCAAAAAGATATCGAAGAGGCTAGGAGATTGAGAGCGGAGAATGAAGCAAGAGAACGACGTCGAATAAACGAAGAGAGAGCCAAACGAGAAGGTACTGAAGTCGACTATGGTATCGAAAACACTCCAAGTACTTCAGGGGTGAGAAATAAGGCTCGGAGCGGTTCTAATGGCTCTGTATTATCAAAGTCATCCAAATCATCCAAGCCATCTGCCCCCAAGGAGAAGAAGGCTGCAGTAGCGCGTCCAAGCCTTAGTGCTCGAGCTATAATGATTCTATCAAATCTTCGCAACATCATCGAGCAGATGAGCGCTACGTTTAGAGCAAACCCGGTATTACTTATGAGGCTGTTGGCCTTTGTCATTGGTGTAATTGTTATGTTTGGTAGGAAAGGTGTTCGCGAGCGGGTTCGGCAGATTCTTGGTACGGGCTGGAATAAGGTGAGATCAACGGCTGGTATGGGTGTTAAGGTGAGCTACATTTAGTTGATGGGTTTATAATATGGCTTTCTGTATATCATCCTCTTTTAGCAGGTAATAATCACTCGGGAATACCGGATAGTATCCTGAACGAAGTATGTCGCATACGTTTCAAAGTTTTTAATGAGGATTGATTTATATTGGTAATATGTTGGGTAGGTAGGTAGTTAAATGTCAATTTCATCTATGTGAAGACTGTCATAACCTCTAAACGCCACCCCTGAATGCTGATCCGAAGTGTAACTCCTTTTCCTACGTTAGGTATGTGTACATTAGTGATTTTGACCTGTCAGATACGCTAATAATTCCGAATTTTCGAGGCACGAAGAACCATAGCCCAGACCCGGGCATCATGGAGGCTAGTACCCTGTCCGATTTGTTTTCTTTTGGTAAAATAGCTGTAAAACGTGTTAGCATAATTCGAGATTCGATGAGGACTCATGTGGGAGAGATGGAAACATACATCTGTACGTGAACTGCCTAAATTTATAATCTTGGGGCAGCCGTCTCTATCTTTCTCTAGTCGCGTACATTCGAAGCAGTAGAACGCGTCCGATATGCCCTCGCCGCCGCACACGACGCACTTATTTTGGTAGTTGCCGAAACTACATTCGTCACAAATACGCACGAGAGTTGTTGGGCGGACGTAAGAATCGCATACAGGACATTTGCCATCGCACTTGTCGCAGAGGCGGCCGATGGCGATGCCGGATTGCTTACGGCACATAACGAGATCTCTGGAAGATGAGGTTAGCTTCAGCTTATCGCGAGTAAAAAAGCTCAAGGTGTAAGCAAGGGGGGTACTTACGGATGATGTCGCGACATTTTGACTGATCGTAGGCCTTACGATGGTTGAATTATCGGGAAGAGAAAATTGTAGATGGACAGAACGGAGGGTATTGGGTCGCTGATGCAATAAGAAGAAGAAGAAGAATATGTAATAATAGCCTTCCGGGCAATTTCTCAGCCTTGCCACTCTTGCTTCTGGCGATTTCTTTGGTACGAACAACTAGTGTATTGAAGCTGCACGAGGTTGGAGCTTTCCCTGCCTGCTAGCCTGCATAAGGGAATTGTTATAAAATGGGTCATTATATGCGCAATTGCATAGCGTGGTACCGACGTGCATACGTTAGGTACATAATACACTAGCGTGGGGTACGGGTACCTGTTGGTACCCACCTATTACCGTTTAAGTAAACTTTGAATGTCGCGCGCGGCGCCCGTCGCACAGAGCGCTTTGGCCCTTCAGCCTCGTCCGCGCGACAGTCTGGTCAATCTCTCATCTAAGCAAACAATGCTTAGAAGTATGGTCTAACTTAATAGATCGCCCGCTGTGGCAATCATCTTTCTAACATTGCGCATTTTATACATAGGTAGTCTCATAAATCTTTTCGACACCGGGAGGGGGATCGGCACAATGTCATCTAGTGATACGTGAGAGACTGTCTTTACTCTAATCTTATTGGTCGCAATTGGCTAATGATAAAGCAGTTCTCTCAATGGTCGTGGCTTAGAGCACGAAACGATTACTACTGAAGCAGAAAAGGACCAGCCTAGTTCGAATAAGCGGAAAGCTTCGTCGCCTTTACCAAGCGAAGACAAATCTAGCCAGTCGCCGAAAAAATCTAGGATTGGTGATGGCTCGAGGGAAGACGGTACTGTCAAGCCGCTCCCCGCATCAAAGGAGCCCTCTACAGACCGTCGCGAAAGCGCGCTGCAGGAGGAAAGGAGACGCGGGAAGCGCTTATTTGGTGGTTTGCTAAGCACACTAAGTCAAACCACTTCTAGCTCTCAGCAAAAGAGACGTCAAGAGATTGAGCGACGACAGCAGGCAAAAGTTCACCAGCAGAGGGCTGAAGACGATAAGCACAGAGAAGAGAAGCTAGTAAAGCTAAGAACCGTACGGCAGTTGGAACAGCTCAAGTTTGACGAGCGAGTTGTATGCCAAACCTCTGTTCTTCTAGTAGTCATTCGAGCTAACGAGACGGTCAGATGCAAAATAGGCATTCCAATATGCTAGCGACGGCACGCTTTTTAGAAACTAAAAGTACACCTAAGATAGTGAGAACAGCTCTGTCACGTGGCCGACGCATCTACTAATCACAATGCCAGTATTATCTGCCGTGGGACCTCACAGAAGAGCAGGAAGACATGATTAAGGATCAGACCCGAGAGGTTGAGGACATCATCGATAAGGAGGTCCTCGATTTTAAGCAACGCAAAGAACAGAAGTTAAAGGTATTGGGCGTCACAGTTAGATCCCCCACGCCCGAACCCAAGGACACAGTGGGTAATAACCCTGGTGATGAACGTCCTGCTGACCCTCCACAATCTAACCCTGCCAATCGCCCGCCTTCCCACGCTGGTAAGATCGGTCATGAAAGGGAGTCCGATAGGGCGGACGATGTTGTGATAGAAGAGGTTGAGGATACGGTTATTTACTGATGCCTAAACTCTTCGGTGCGGTTGTTGATTTTACGTTACGTCTTTCTAGGCTCTGGTGATGGACGGCGGCACAGGCGTTTTGGTGTGATAGGGGGTTTGCGAACCAGGGATTCCCGCCGTAAGTTTCGATTCCAAGGTTGAGTTGTTCGTGTGTGTTATGTATATGCATTAAGCATGAATTTGATTAGAAATCATAACTTCTGTCATATTCTCGAGAAGGGATGAGATATCTTCACTGGGGCAGCACTGCTTCTCATGTATAGCTGTGCCCCTGCCAGCGATGACCCCTCATATTACGCCAAGGGATGTCTACATACCTAGTCACCACATACAAAGTGCGATGGTCTACGAACACCACTTCTAGTTATATACCATCGCACGGCGTATTGTCCGTGATAAGCGGTGTAGTCTTGGAATCAATAAAACCGGATTGCAACCTCGAACTCCCGCGGAATCCGGGCTGTCCGGGTATGCCTCGAGAGAATGTCAGAGCGAGACGTATTCGTATATGTTATGCGGTTGGTTATGTATGTACTTGAAGGGGTTTTCCTGCAGCAATAATAATATGCCGTCTAAATAGTATCAAGTGAACAGTATTAAATATCCTCAACGTGCTCAGCAGTCTATGAACCCCCTTTTTGCGGAACCGCCACGGGAGTCGTTACGTTACGTGAGTCTCCGCTCTTCATGTAAGCCGAGGCACACGACACGCTAATTGGCCACTAGCCGCGGTACCTATAACACAAGAAGGCGTATGTAGGTATATGGCATGTTGAAGCCCGTAGACTCATAAACGGCCGGTTAGACAATTACACCGAATAACATCCCCGATCTCTTGGCCCGGACATCACCTTAAAGATCACACGGGTTTTTTCTGGCCTCGGGATATTATAGGATAATAAGCGCTGTGGGTAGCCGATACGGACTTGTTGCTATTCCAATGTCTCTAAGCCCCATCAACCTGGCTTCTCAAGTTTAGGCACATCCGTTCTTGCCAACCCCTTATTAATAATAATTCAGTATCTGCATGAAGCAGCGTAGTTGTACTGCATGGTGGCTTTATTAAGATTAAGCATTACGTATACGATGTGCATCCAACAATGGGTGTTTTGCAGATGTATGTAAATAAATGATTAGTTACCATGATTTATAATTGCTTTTTTTAGAAGTTCTCCGAGAATTGGCTAGGTCGGTTAGGTATCCGACTGAAGCGGGGACCGGCTCTCCGGTAGGCATATAAAGGGTTCATAGGTAGGTTCCCGTTTGTCCTCTCTTTCGCAGTTCCCACCAACTTTGTGGAACAAAGACTTATAAGACACCCGTATATTATATCGAGGAAACAAACACTGAATTAAATCAACATGACTGTCGATGCATTAGTCCCTAATGACCCTCGGGTTGAACATAAGTTCAAGTCCTTTGGAGATATCAAATACCACTATATTCTAGCTAAGCCGCAGGGCAAGCCTGTTGCCACTGCTCTCCTCACTCATGGCTGGTAGGTGTCCCCGAACTTGACGAGGTTCTATATTACTCACGGAATATCGACAGGCCAGATCTAGGTTTTGGATGGCGGTACCAAGTCCCTTACCTAGTATCCCTGGGCTTGCAGGTCATTGTCCCGGATATGCTGGGATATGGGCAGACATCTGCCCCTGATGCTCCCGAGGAGTACAGCGGTAAGAAGATGACCGCTCAACTTGCGGCCATCGTTAAGGACCACACCGACGAGCCTATCATCCTCGGTGGTCACGACTGGGGCTCGTTTGCCGCTTGGTCAGTTTTCATCCTTTATGATATTCTTTTGTTTATGCTTTCAAATCCATTCTTTATGAGAATTTCTTTTTTTTTTGTCTATACTTGCTTTCAGACCCTGATAATCCTCCTGGATGGATGTAACCGGGATCTATGTACCATTCCCTGTTTTGAAAATCGCATAATGTGATCAATGAACTGACACGTTTCTATCATAGGCGCCTGGTTAATTACTACCCGGAGTTGATCCGCGGAGTTTTTAGCCTATGCGTGCCTTACACGCCGCCGTCGCCAGTCAGGCACTCGTTCGAAGACTTCGTCAAAATGATGCCCAATTTCACATACCAGCTACAACTAGCCAGCCCCGTCGCGGAAAATATCGTCAACAAGTCGCCAGCGCACCTCCGGGGATTTATCAACGGCATTTTCGGTGGCAAGACGCCGGAAGGCGGTCTTGCCTTCGACATCTCTGTAGGCATCATCGAGGAAAACCTAGAGAGGATTGGGCCGTCCCCGCTGCTCAGCCCGGAGACCGTCGACTTCTACGTCCAGGAGCACTCGCGCCACGGCTTCCACGGCCCATGTAATTGGTACCGACCCAACGGCCCCCGCGGCGAGGACGAGCAGGAGCTTGCGAAGAAGATTGACGGTAAGATCAAGGTACCTGCGATGCTGGTCATGGCCGAGAAAGACGCTGCGCTCCCGCCGCAGATGGCGGTGGGCCAGGAGAAGCATTTCGAGGCGGGGCTTAAGCAGGAGCTCGTTCCGGGCTCAGGCCACTGGGTCCAAATCCAGTGTCCCGAGATAGTTAACAAGCATATCGGGGAGTTTGTCAAAAGCGTGCTGGGGGACGAGCTTAAGGCCTCGCTGTAAAGCGTTAGCTTGGCCCGTAGGGATGCCAACCCCACCAAGGACTCTGCTCTCTTATATATGCATTTTGGTCTAAAATCTTTATACCTAGTGGTCTCTACTGGCGATATGTGGTAGTTGGAAATCTACGATACATATATGGCTCGAACTATAGTATAGTTAGTGTAGGTATGTAATTACTTCAGCTATGCGAGATGCAACATCTAGCCTAGCTAGCTCTATCTCGTATACCATGTAGGTATTACTATTATTGTCGTAACGAATACCATTCATAATGCGTTACGGAGACGTTGGTCGGTACTGCGGTCAGCAGCGCCGCCACGATGAGAAGCTACGAGCCCCTGAATTTGGCTTAAAATAAGATCGATGTAGGGCCCTACCTAATAAGACTTTTTTGCGACCGTATACATACATAGTGTAGTATTTAGTACACGGCTTTTCTCCTTGGCAGAGCTCCGTAACAAATAAAAATAAATTAGGCTAGGCTTGGCACTTTTCCTTGTGCTTATTGTGCTTGTTATTCTTCTGTAGTTACTATAATCTAGAGTTTGTGATGGTTAGTTATTTTTTTTACCTAGGTGTGTTTTTCACGATCTTTTCAAATTGTTTGCATGCGGCATGGAATAGGGGTGCAAAACCACTTTCTTTGGGGGCTGCTTATCACGATTAGATTCTCCAACTTATGATTGATTGATGTTACACTTGAAACTCTAAATACATACCACCTCTTACGTGCATATGTAGAGTACATAGGTAATGTATGTAGCCTTGTCAGTCGCGCATGCATTTCCTTGATGTTGGCTGGCTGGGTGAGATCCCTGTCGTTGCTGCCACACTAAAAGAAAATTCATTGGCGCCTCCTTAAAGAGCTTGTGTTACCCACGCCCCACAGGCGATTACTACTGGCCAGTAACGGAAGGCTGTGCATGTAAAAATGGATGTACATACACGAACACGGGAATGGGGGGTTCCACTTATTATCTACACTGATGCTTAGGCCCGGCCTTGCTTTAGATGAATGAATGAATGCTACCAAATGCTACCCTTTTACATTTCTACGTTTCGACTCTAATGCTTTGCATCGTAGCCACGGTAGCCACGACATCCGAACACTAACATCATTCATCATATTTGCGACTTTTTCGTTCTATCCCTCTCTCTCTCACTCACTGCTGCCTGCATTTCATCGGGCCTGGTAGCTTGAATTCACTTTTCCATTCTCGTCATCCACGAGCTGAGCCATCTCGTATTTTATTACCACCCCCTTGCTTGATACGTTGGACCAGGGGCGACTTCCAATTACCATTTCTTCAAGAATAACCTGCGAAATTATCTCTATGGAAACTTTATACGAAAATTAAAATTGCCCGCTACTAAATGCAAGCCTGAACCGAATCTATTTCGCAAACATCGGTTTTCTATTGCGCCCGTATGCCTCCGATCCTGCTCCCTTTGTAAGATCCATTCCTTCGCGACATGGCTGGCAGGGCGCCTCCCGGAGGCACCTCCAGCTCTAGGAATGATCTTTTACTAGACCTCGACGAACAATCCCCTTACGATGGATCGAGGCAACCTATACATGATGACCATTCAGCTAGACCCTCCGTATCCTACGACGACTTTGTCGGCGGTAGCCAAACCACTCATCCCGCTGTAAAGAACCCTCCTCCGGGCGCCGGCGCTTCGGGTCCTCGACCGCCCTACCTAGCAGATGCCGATAGGCAATACAGCCAAACCTCTGGTCTAGACAACTACCAACGATACGCAGATGATTTCGACGACTATCCCGATGACGGCCAATCGTACTATCAGCACGGAGGGGCGATGAACGCAGCTGGCGACTCGTCGAGTCGTGCCAATGCGCGGAATCGCAATAGCGTACTCGGGTTAGGAGGTGGATTCCTCGGCAGGGCTAGGAACATGCTCGGGATGGGCCAAAAAGGGTATTCGGAGATGGATCTACCTCTTACGGAGCCAGGGCATGGTCGACCGGATTCAGGCCATGACCAGCCGAAACAAAAGAAGAAATTCGACTTTAGGTTCGGCTTTGGTGGAAGTAAACCAGATCCGTCAACTCTCGGTCCCCGTATCATTCATTTGAATAACCCGCCGGCGAACGTCGTGAACAAATACGTTGACAACCACGTCTCCACCGCAAAATACAACGTCGCGACGTTCCTACCCAAGTTCCTAATCGAGCAGTTCTCTAAATTCGCCAATATTTTCTTCTTATTCACAGCTGCTCTACAACAAATCCCTAATTTGTCACCGACAAATCGTTATACTACCATTGGTCCTCTTGTGGTCGTGTTGCTGGTATCCGCAGGCAAGGAGTTAGTTGAGGATTATAGAAGGAAGCAGGCCGACAGTGCGCTGAACAACTCGAAGGCTAGGATCTTGCGAGGATCGACTTTTGAAGAGACAAAATGGATCAACGTTTCTGTGGGAGACATAGTACGAGTAGAATCAGAGGAGCCTTTCCCCGCCGACATCGTCTTGCTTGCAAGTTCCGAGCCAGAGGGCTTGTGTTATATCGAAACTGCGAATCTGGACGGCGAGACTAACCTAAAGATTAAGCAGGCGCTTCCGGAGACGTCAACTATAGTCAGCCCGTCAGAGTTAAGTAGGTTAGGGGGCAGGATCCGTTCTGAACAACCAAATAGTAGTTTATACACGTACGAGGCTACCTTGACCATGCAAGCTGGTGGCGGAGAAAAGGAATTGCCTCTCAACCCGGAACAGCTTTTACTGCGAGGTGCTACTCTTAGAAACACTCCTTGGATTCACGGGATAGTGGTATTTACGGGACACGAAACGAAGCTTATGCGCAATGCCACCGCAACTCCGATCAAGAGGACTAAGGTTGAGCGGCAACTTAACACGCTGGTCCTCGCGCTGATCGGTATACTTCTTGTTCTTAGTATTATATGTACCGTGGGAGAGTTAGTTTTCCGGTCCGTTCGGAGAGACTCGATTGCCTATCTAGAGCTGGACGCCCTTACCGAGGCCGGAGAGGTGGTACAGGCGATATTCAAGGACCTCGTCACGTACTGGGTGTTGTTCTCTTCGCTAGTCCCAATCTCGCTGTTCGTGACTGTCGAGATGGTCAAGTATTGGCATGGCATTCTGATTAACGACGATCTTGATATTTACTACGACAAGACAGACACACCTGCTAACTGTCGAACATCCTCCCTAGTTGAGGAACTCGGCATGGTCGGCTTCGTCTTTTCGGACAAGACGGGAACTCTAACTTGCAACATGATGGAATTTAAACAATGCACAATCAGCGGAATACAATACGCGGACGAGGTTCCAGAGGATCGAAGGGCCACGGTACAAGATGGTGTGGAAGTTGGGATTCATGATTTTAAGAAAGTGCGTGAAAACATAAAATCGCACCAGAGCGCCGAAGCGATTCATCATTTCTTGGCCCTTCTCTCGACCTGCCATACCGTTATTCCGGAGCGGGACGAATCGAAAGGCGGCAAGATCAAGTATCAGGCTGCCTCGCCCGATGAGGGTGCGTTAGTCCAAGGTGCTTTGACCCTTGGTTATACCTTCGTCGCTCGCAAACCACGAGCGGTAATTATCGAAGTCGAAGGCAAAGAATACGAATACGAACTCTTAGCTGTTTGTGAATTTAACTCCACGAGAAAACGAATGTCTACTATATACCGGTGTCCCGATGGAAAAGTCCGGGTATACTGTAAAGGCGCGGATACGGTCATCCTAGAGCGTCTGAACGAAGACAACCCCCATGTTGAGCAAACCTTGGTCCATCTTGAGGAATATGCCTCCGAAGGTCTTCGAACTCTTTGCCTGGCGATGCGTGAGGTGCCCGAACAAGAATTCCAGGAGTGGTACAAGATCTTTGATAAGGCTCAAACTACCGTCGGTGGCAACCGATCCGAGGAACTAGATAAAGCGGCCGAGCTACTCGAGCACAGTTTCTACTTACTAGGCGCAACTGCTATCGAGGATCGTCTTCAGGACGGTGTACCAGAAACGATTCATACACTACAGCAGGCGAACATCAAGGTTTGGGTTTTGACTGGAGATCGACAGGAGACGGCTATCAATATCGGCATGAGTTCTAAGCTGCTAAGCGAAGATATGATGCTCCTAATTGTTAACGAAGAAGACGCCGCATCAACTCGCGACAATATTCAAAAGAAGCTGGATGCCATCCGAAACAACACAGACGGATCGGTTGAAATGGATGCTTTGGCGCTTGTTATCGATGGCAAGTCCCTTACTTTCGCCCTGGAACCAGACATGGAAAAGATGTTCTACGACCTAGCTGTGATGTGCAAGGCAGTTATCTGCTGTCGTGTTTCGCCGTTACAAAAGGCTTTAGTTGTGAAGATGGTTAAGAGGTTCTCGCCGGAGATCCTCCTCGCTATTGGCGACGGAGCTAACGACGTGTCTATGATCCAAGCCGCTCATATCGGGGTTGGTATTTCGGGTATGGAAGGTCTTCAGGCTGCACGATCAGCCGATATTTCAATCGCACAGTTCCGGTTCTTGCGCAAACTTACACTCGTTCACGGCGCCTGGAGCTATCAACGTATTAGCAAAACCATCCTATTCTCATTCTACAAAAACATTACTCTATATATGACACAATTCTGGGTAAGCTCATGACATCTTTTATGGTCACCACTATCTCTTCCCTTGGCGCATCGTCCGTTCATGTTAGGCGTAGTGTTGACGATTCTTGAAACTAATACATTGATAGTACACATTCCAAAACGTCTTTTCTGGGGCTATTATCTACGAATCTTGGACATTATCCTTCTACAACGTCTTCTACACTGTTCTTCCCCCCCTTGTCATGGGTATTCTAGATCAGTTCATTTCCGCCCGACTACTTGACCGTTACCCACAACTATATACTCTGGGGCAACAGAACCGATTCTTTAAAGTCAGCACTTTTTTTGCGTGGATCGCTAATGCCGTCTACCACTCTCTCGTCTTATACATATTCTCCGAACTTATTTGGTACAGTGATCTAATCCTGGGCGATGGCACTATGGCGGGTCACTGGGTTTGGGGTACGGCTTTGTATGCGGCTACCCTTGCCACCGTTCTCGGAAAAGCGGCGTTGGTGACTAGTAACTGGACCAAGTACCACATCATGGCCATCCCAGGCAGTATGGTGATTTGGTATGCGTTTATTGTTGTCTATGGAATAGTAGGCCCGAAGCTTGGTATCTCGGAAGAATACCATGGGTTGGTACCAAAACTCTTCGCGAACCCCGTCTTCTGGCTCCAAACGGTCGCTCTGCCCCTCCTCTGTCTTCTGCGAGATTTCGCCTGGAAATACGCGAAGAGGATGTATTATCCAGAGACGTACCATCACATACAGGAGATCCAGAAGTATAACATCCAGGATTACCGACCAAGGTATGTCCTTGCTTCTCATGCTGTCTATCATCGCGTACTGTATTGGCTAACAAATGAAACAGGATGGAGCAATTCCAGAAGGCGATCAGGAAGGTCCGGCAGGTGCAGCGGATGAGAAAACAGCGCGGCTACGCTTTCTCGCAAGCGGATGAAAGTCAGACCCGCGTCATCAACGCTTACGATACGACAAGACACAGGGGGAGGTACGGCGAGATGCCGGCATCATCGACGCCAGGCAGGTAGTTAAAGGCTCGGGAGGATGGGCTTTGGTTGTGTATTTATATAGCCGGACGATATGATTACTACGAATCTCGCTTAGAGCCAGCAGCGGCATTAAAAACAATAAATGAGCAAAGGTCGCGAATGACGATCGAATAATACATACTGGTGCTATTACGATCAAATCCCCTAGGTTACATGATTCAAAAATCAGTCCTTATCCATAAGGTAAAGGTGGAATCAGGTGTCCCCAGCACGACTGCCCATGTCACAATTTTGCATCTAATCGCGGGTTCGCTATCCGTGTTCAATAATTCTCCAGCTTGATGACGTGGTAGGCAGGCTCCTCGTAGGGATGAGCACTACATAGAAGGAGATTTCTCGGTCAGCGGAGTTGCCTCGGACATGCCATATCTCCCCTCCCCTATACATGGATCTTCACCACTAGCGTACATAGCATATCACGATTTCCACTAGTTACAACAGCTACCAGCCAGACAGCTACAATCTAAAATAGCACTTCACTTACCCCTTAAGCGCCTTGACAGCGCCCTTAACGACGTCCTCGCCGACGCACAGGGTCTCGACGCGGACCTCGGGGACTTGCTCCAGGGCGCCGACGGCGCCGATATGCGGGTTCGCGGCGTCGCCGGGCCGGAATTGGCCGGTGCCTAGGGTCGTCCAGCAGCACTCGGTGTAGTTCCCCGGGCCGGGGTATCGGCCTGCGCCCGCGGCGAAGATGGCGGATTTGCAGGCCGCGAGGGCGGAGGTGGGTGCGTAGAAGATTAGGGTGAAGCGCGGGAGGGCTGATGCCATGGTATGGTGTTAAAAGTGGATGATGATGATAATGAGAGTGAGAGTGAGAGTGAGAGTGTGAGTGTGAGATTAAGAATGATGATGTGGGGGGGTATGAAGGTTGATTCGATAGGTATCTTTACTCAAGTCAAAGTGTTTAATGGATTTACCTAGCCCCGCGTTGAGCCAATGATTGGATGTCTAATAGTATAACTTTTGATGAGGTTTGGAGCAAACAGTTTCTATTCTATTATCACATGCTGGGATAACCCATGGTCTGCCACGTGCAACCTGCCGGTAATGATTGATGTATGTGTAAGTTGATTTATATTTGTGTGATATTGGCCGGAATTGATATCGAGAAAAGGTTTTATATAACTAACTGAAAGAAGCGTTATACCAAATATACTTATTACATATTGTATTTACAGCTTTAAAATTAAGCTAATAATTAAGTTCTACAAGTTTATCAAGCTAAAGCGCATAAGACGGCATCTCTAATAAAATATCCGTGTATACATAAGCGGGAACTTTTAAAGCGGTTGGCCTAAAACTTTAGGAGTTTAAAATACCTCAATTTTAATCTCTTATCATTACGGCAGGGCTGAAGTAACTATTAGAGGGGCCAAGCGCCTGGCAGTCCCTCTAATCAATTTAAGGTCAAGCTATTTCCTGTTATAGTCTAGCGCTTTATGGTAAATCAGGAAATCCCGAGTTCCCGGGTCAATGGCGGACGACCGGGCTTCCTGCAACAGGTTAAGACCCTTGACGCGGACTTCACGGCCGGCGGCTTGGGCCCTTGGCCCTTTGGCGCCTTTGGCCCTAGCGCCCTAAGCTTCTTTCCTGAAAAAGTAACAACTAGAAAAAAAAAGACCTTGACCTGATCCACCTAAAAATTCATCATATTCTTGTCATTTTCCTAGTTCTAATTGGCGACAAGTCTTGGCCTATTTTTTGTGCGCTGGGGTTTTTTTTATTGACCCCCCTAATAAATCGAACTTCGGGCTGGACAAAAGATTTATTTATTTTGTGTACCAAATTCCTTAAAACCATCCTCACGCCTCGTTTCCCTTTTTTCCTAGACGGTGACTCCGCCGTGCCGTTAGTTAAGACCCCGATGGCGTCGTCCTCTCGGGCCTTGAGCAGGCTCACTAGCCCAGCTAGTAGACAATTATCTGTGCACGCTGCCAGATCTGCCAGATTTACCACGACGTCATACCCGCGACAACAGCTAACCTCCGTTGTCGCAAGAACACGAACGAGAGCTATTGTTGCTCCTCGGCTTGCCAGGTCCTATGCTGACGCAGCTCCTCAACCTACCAAGAAACCGCGCAGAATCCGGAATACCATTAAATGGACATGGCGCTTTGTTTATCTGTCTATGCTGGGTGTTGTTGGTGCCGTCATTTACGATGGTTACTTGGACCGTCACCCCGAAGAACAGTTTGTTCCTGATCCCCAGAAGAAGACGTTGGTAATTCTTGGTGAGTAATCGTTAGGTACTAATCACCACTTACTGCTCTGTTTCTAATAATTGGGCTTCAAGGTACTGGTTGGGGCTCCGTTGCTTTACTCAAGAAGCTCGACACTGCCAACTACAACGTTATTGTTATCTCACCGCGCAACTACTTCCTCTTCACACCTCTACTGCCGTCATGCACCACCGGAAACATCGAGCACCGCTCCATCATGGAACCCGTGCGCCAGATCCTCCGTCGCAAACAGGCTGCTGTCAAATTCTACGAAGCTGAGGCTACCCATATCGATGTTGAAAAGAAGGTTGTTAAGATCACCGACAACAGCGAGATCAAAGGAAAAGTCCACCAGACCGAAGTTCCCTACGACATGCTTGTTATCGGTGTTGGTGCCGAAAACGCTACTTTCGGTATTCCCGGAGTCCGCGAGCACAGCTGCTTCCTAAAGGAGATTAAAGATGCGCAGGCTATCCGTACCAAGATCATGGATTGTGTCGAGACTGCTGCTTTCAAGGATCAGGAGCCAGAGGAGATCGATCGTCTTCTTCATATGGTAGTTGTAGGTGGTGGCCCTACCGGTGTTGAGTTCGCCGGAGAGCTGAGGGACTTCTTCGATGAGGATATCAAGAAGCTTATTCCCGACATCGCTCCCCGATTCAAGGTGACTCTTATCGAGGCTCTGCCCAACGTCCTACCCATGTTCAGTAAACAGCTCATCGACTACACCGAGAGCACTTTTAAGGAGGAGGACATCAAGATCATGACTAAGACTATGGTTAAGAGGGTGACTGATAAGACGGTCGAAGCTGAAGTTTCTAGTCCCGATGGCAAGAAGTCAATTGTTACGATCCCCTACGGATTACTGGTTTGGGCCACAGGTAACACTTTGCGCCCCTTGGTTAAAGACCTCTTGTCGCAGATTCCTGCTCAGAAGGACTCGAGGCGCGGTCTCGCTGTTAACGAGTACCTCGTGGTCCAAGGAGCGAGAGATATCTGGGCCGTTGGCGACTGCGCCGTCGCAGGATACGCACCAACTGCCCAAGTCGCTTCCCAAGAGGGTGCTTTCCTTGCCAAGCTGTTCAACAACATGGCCAAGACCGAGTCTCTGGAACAGAAAGTCCGCGATCTTAGCTCCGAGTTAAACCTCAAGCCTGGCGACACGGCGGCCGTAACGCAAGAAATCGAGTCCCTCGAGAAGCAGCTACGTCGTATCAAGGATGTCAAACCCTTCCACTACTCGCACCAGGGCAGTTTGGCCTACATCGGTAGCGAAAAGGCCGTCGCTGATGTCGCGTGGCTGAACGGCAACGTTGCCAGCGGTGGAAAGCTCACCTATCTCTTCTGGAGGAGCGCTTATTTGAGCATGTGCTTCAGCAGTAAGTCCCCTGCTTAGAGTTCCACCCTACTACAAGAAATAATGCTAACAATGTCCATTCAGCGCGCAACCGCGCTCTCGTCGCTCTTGATTGGGTCAAGGCCAAGATCTACGGACGAGATGTCTCCCGAGAGTAGACGGATTTTAGTTGATGATACCTAATCTCATTGTGAACTACTCTCCCAACCTCGTTCTGAGCCCCTCCCCCCACCCCCCCTTTTTTTGGATTGGAGATGGCGAGATCCATTTCCCCCCTTATATCCATATAGCACCGCCCCACCCCGTTCACCGTGTATTATTCGTCCCTTAGGGAGTTTTAGAGAGAGAAGTGAGAAGAGAAGTGAGAGGTGCCCAGTCACAATATTACGAGGACAGATAGGTCAGAACAGTTTTTTTTTTTGTTATTTTTGTTATTCTTTTTCTTTTTTCTCTCGAGGGGACATATCGTACACGGTACACGATACATGACGCTTGCGTATAGAGAGCGTTTTTCTACCCGTGAAAAATTAAGCTCGTAGATTAGGATAGACTTGCGGTAGGCGATAGGCTGGTGCCCGAGACGCTTCCGTTTGTACAAGTAAAACAGACAAGTCATCATTAAGATAATACTTCATGGCCATTTATTGATGCCCATTACCGATGCAGAGTATAAGTGATGTTTGAGTGGTAAGGCGTGGGTGTGCTCCTAGGCTCACACTTTCTCATATTGAGCTTACAATAATATAACGGTCTCTTGATCTTTACTTTAGAATTCTATTGCTGACAGCGTATCAAACAAAGTCAGACTCGCCTATAAGTCCAATCAGCCATATATTTTCTCATAGCTATGCTCGAAAAACTACTCACCCAACCTAACACCCTGTAAAGTCTTGGTCTGAGAGCATTGCTGACTCCAATCAAAAAGTTCATGTGGGTGCGAGAAGTCAATGACGATAGACGACTTTGCTAGTAGTAGATAGAAGCTCTTTTCGTTATATTTTTACTGCGTCAACTTACCTATATAGGTAGGTAGTTAACTTCTACATACCTATATTAACGGCATCAACTTCTAGCTCTATAGACTCGTGCGGAACTCACGTCCGTTGTGGTCTGGTTGCGCTCGGATTTCGCAACACAAGTAGGCGTGAAAAGGCATGATTAATTTGTCTGTGGCTTAGCACTGGGTTCTCTGACCATAGCGTAGAGTTTTATAGCTACGCCGTCGTCGTCGCATTCTAGCTCCTTCGCAAACTTGAACCCGAAGCGGCCGTAGATTTGCATGTTGGGAACATCCCGGCTGGATTCGAGGTAGCAATTCATACCCGCGGCATCAGCCTGGTCGGTCACAGTTTTCATCATGAGTCGGCCTATCCCTCTATTCTGGACTTTAGGTAGCACAACCATGATGTTGAGAAAATAGTAGCCTCGTGGGTCCGTCCAGACGGAGGATTGGGCTTTGGCTTGAGCCTCTTTCCATATGTAATAACGCTAGATATTTGCGTTTATGTTAGCGGTCTTTTGGAACTCGAGGTTGTGAAGGCCGAATAGCCGGTAGGTAGAGCAGAGACACTGATCGCTCGACTGATACAAACGCTGAAACGGACCATGGGGCGGAGCCTCTCCACGACAGTACCTCATGGTCTGATCCGGGAATCATCGTCATCCTACTTTCGCGTGCAATTCAGAGAGCTCGCCACATGCAGCCAAGCCGGCAGATCAAATGCTTGTCTAGAAGCAGAGATCCCCCCCGGCCTATATAATCCGTTGAAGTTAGACCCTTACCTTAACATTGAGGCCGCCTCGGCCGTAATAGAGGTTCATCCCGACCTGGCTGAACCACAGCCGCCAGTCTTCGATCCAGTCGGACCAGCTCGGTGGCTGGTTTGCCCTTTGCGGCCTTAACCAGCAAGCAACTCCAAGCACCTCATCGCTGCCCTCTTCCTTTGCGACGTGGAAGATGCCGTTGCGCATACCCCATCGGCACCGAATGCTAAGAGAGGCTGCATTGCGTTGCGGGTTGAACTAACGGCCCGTGTTAGCATGAGGTGCGGACACTAATCGCCATAGGAATTCGGCCTCGATAATCCAGTGTATTTGCTTGATTGGTTGGATGGTACACAAACGGAATGTATCTTAAAGTATAAAATACCAATACCAATGCTACTCGGCCATCCCCGCGCCCTTGAAACGACTCTTGGCGTACACAATGCTCGGTAACGAAAGGGCCATGCATACCGTAGATTTGTCAAAGATCCAATTGTTGTATGGATCGTCCGCAAAGGCTTGTCTTCGGTGATAGGGTAGTTAGCATGGATTATACGGTTACTATGTAAGTACACGGAGCTGAGGATGTTCATCAGCCGCAGCGCCCTCTCTTCCGCTCAGGTCACAGGCGGTATACGGTATACCGACCCATTGTTCCGTTACTCCAGACTGTTACCCACCGACAGGCTTCTAGGATGAAAGGGAAGATACTTACTGGATGGCGGACACGGCGCCTGGGATGTCTGCCTCGGCGAGAGGAGAAACTCGGATCGGCATAATGATGGGAGTATCCGATTCGGCGGAATCAGCCGACTTACACGAAACGTAACGCTGGACGTCAGGACGTTCGGTAAGGATGAATCAAGAATTACGTAAGTAGTTTCTACACACAGCCAGTCCAGTACTACATGTATGTATATGTATTTTATAATTTAAGAAATAAATGATAAAAAAACCACACAATTTATAGTTCTGGTCTTGACGCATACGTTCAGTTGGAAGTTGGATCAACTGGGATGTGATAAAATAAATGGCAGCGATAAACCGACATAAGTATTAGATAAGGTGAGACCTATTCGGGAGTACCTCGGGATAGCAGTTAAGATTCGGGCAGTCGTGGTTTGTTGATAAACCTTAACTTTTATTCTTATTAAACTTGGATAGTGCTATCACGTATTCCGTACAAAGTATCAACTTCCTTCCCAACTTCCATTCTTACCTACACGTAACTTACAAACACGAGGGAAACGAGGGCAACGAAATGGTAAACCGTAACAGCCACTTTAAAACAAACCTTGTTATTGACAAGGTCGATTCGGATTTGGCCGACGTGTTAAGCCGGGATGAGCCATTCCAAAAAGCTTGATAGAGTAACAATCAGATCTTCCTTCTTGAGAAAAGCTTGCGATGGCTTGGCTCGGGTTGGCGCCGAGGCTTCCATTACGCGTAAACTTACGTATATCGCATTGGAGTAGTTTGTCTATTGTCTATCTTATTCTCGATATCTTATTTTCGATATAGGAGAGACTACGTGGCTTAGAGTTACTGCGGACAATTGACTAGGTACCTAAACTACCCAGGCAAGTTATACTTGACAGTCTTACGCAATTATTATTATTATTCTTCTTCTTCTTCTTCTTCTTCTTCCTAGGGTAAACGACGCCGTCGTAAAATCGTCTCTTTTTACTTTAGGTAATTATGTCGCGACCACTTCCAGCTATCGCAAGACTTTCCATTCTCATGGTCCCGAGGAGCACAGTCCACTATAGGACTGAAATTCTATATGCCAGACGCTGATCTGTATCAAGTTTGGCGCCGTCGCTCATCATCCCTGTCTGAAACCCAGAAGACTCCGCAATTATCCCTTGTTCGAGACAGGACACCCCGGTCATCTTGTCACAATATCAACTTCAGGTTAAGGCGATACCACAGACACGCCGGCAAAAACATCAGCAGTTTAGCTATACATACTACTTTATACGAGTGGAAGGGAGGCAGCCCTTCACACACATACATACACCACACTAACCGTTAGGGATATCTAACCCCTTAGTTGCTCCTCTTAAGCCTCAGATCTCAACCAGTTTTCGGACTCTTGCGTTGACGTCGACGCGCTTCTATTTGGCTACGGCCTCGGTAATTAATATATCAACATAGTAAATAAATTCAACATACCACGAAGTTATCTAATATTTGTTCCTCTCTACGAGAAGCAAATGCGTTTAACGTGTTAGCCATCATATCTAAAAATTTCAATTGATAATTAACTATAAGCTTATGTGAAGAGTCGCATAAAGTCTGAGCTTTATTACACTATGACAGTACCTGGAACGAAGTCCCTATTGCCAATAGGATATTGGCACCACGAGCCTAAGCAAGAATAATACCACATGGGACAGCCATGCCGGTCAGGGATATGGCCATCCGGGGCTCGTTGAAGGGGTCCAGGGGCCCTCGTTACATCCCTGAGACGCTGCACTAATCGAGCCTTATTAGTCTCCGAATTCAACTTGGAAACCTCAGACCTGAGATCTAATACGACTCTGAATTGCACTTTCTTCTCTATTACTTCGTACCTCCGTTACTCTTGGCTTTTTCGATCTTTTTCCTCTTCTTTCCTTCTCTTTTTCTTCCAAGGCGGGCCTTCTTGTATTCTATTAGTCAATCCTCAAACTTGGGTTCTTGGTATTCAGTTCATTCCGTCCTGTCGTTTTCGGTGTACCCAACCAGATACGTTCTTGGGCGACTTTAATAATATTTGTCTTTCTTTTATCTTGTTCGCATACTGGTTATGTTATGAATTCAGGAAAAGTGCTTGGATGCAGAGCATTTCGGCATATAGTAATAGCTTCTGAACGATAACATGCCGCCATCGAACAGGAGACGACAATCCCAGGACGCTCAACCATGGAAGGGATCGCCGAAAATGGGTCAGCGGTCGACGCTATTCTCGCGTAGGAGTTTGGGACGTAGGATTACCGAAAACGATACCGTTGGTACCAGAAATTTGAGAGCACGACGGATTGTTAGTCGAGACCGAGGTGAATTCGACGACCTCGGTAGGTTCCAAGGCGACGATGAGAGCGACAGTGATCTAGACGATGATTATCAGCATGGTCCGGGAGACTTGAGTGACGATGATAGCGAAGACGACGAAGACGATAGGATCGACGATTCTCCACAGAAAACAACTCAGTTACCTACACCAAGCTCGTCGGGGTCTATCGTTACCCTAACTGCGCTACCAAGTCAAACTACTACTACTCCGTTAACGATCATGACCACTACTCCCACATCACAATTGTCGTCTACTTCTGTACCACTGTATATTCCGGTATGTCCATCCATCAATTCAATCTTGTTAGGAACGAACTAATAACTTGCCAATAGGTTTTTTCAACCCCTCCTAGTATAGGAAAAGCGTTCCCTCTACAACAGGGTAAAGAGGAGGACAAGGACTATGACGATCTGGAATTACCTATCACTTCCCAGTTTGCTCCCACAGTCACCTCTGGGCAGTTGTCTACGGAACAAACTTCAGTACCCAAAGCGGCAGATACTGTGGGCGATAATGATGATGGGGGCAAGTATAAATGGCATGGTGATAAAGGCCCTCAACAGCAACCACAGGGCGTATTGAATCCTACAGCAGAACACCTTCTCATTGCTGCAGGTGCAATAGGTCAGTAAAACTTCCTCAGTTCAGCGAAATTAGGCGACTAATACGTTCAAAGGTGCTTTCATTTTATTCTGCTTTATCGGATGGGTCATCTACAGGGTCTTAAAGAGGGCGAAGGGCCAAAGCATTGGTATTAGCGGCGGTATGGGATCCATCGACAAGTTCCATGAGAAAGGGAGAGGATCATACATGTCCAACGAAGCGCCCCCTATTTATGAGCAGGGAGAGTATGGAACCACCATGCGATTAGGCAACTTCTATGCCCCTAGTAAAGCGTATCCGCCAGGACCTGGGGGCATGGTACGTTCAGTCGCCTCAAATTCCGAGGCAGGAACCCTTCGACAATCACCAGATGATAACCCACCGCTTGCAAGTATCATAAACCAATATATGCCAGGGAATGGAGGCGTCTCAAATAATGGCGATATCAATATGACCATGAGGTCTCAAGTAACCCAGCCATATTACAACGAATCAGACCTTCCTCGCCAACCACCAGAAACATTTACTGCGCCGAAAAGGGCTGGAACCCGAGCTAGCGAAATATCATCCATCTCTTCTGGATTTGGGGACGGTGACATTATTATACCTCCGCCCTCAGGAGCCTCAGGAGCGGACAAGCCTATACCTATACCTCCTGTTCCGGCTGAGGAGAACCCTGCCGCTCGAGACTCATGGATGAGTCGGCCAGGCGAAAGGAGGGAAACGGTATATACGGAAGCGAGCGAGGACCGGCCAGCTCGGTTTCGCTCTATAACCAGCTGGGTCAACCAGCAGGCAGGACGAGCGAAGAGAGCGGGTTCGAGGGCGCGGGAACGTGGAGAAGTGCCTGTTATGCCAGCAATCCCAGGCCAGATAAGTGCAACACGACAGACCGCTTACCGGTGATGGATAATACTATTTAATACCAAAAGAATCCAACACGGTACTCTTATTCAATCTTAACTTTAGACTCGATGTTTCAGGAATTTTCTTTGTTGCACCCCCCGCCCCCCCCCGTCCAGGAAACCGCAAGGAAGAGGACCCCATAGCGAGACCAGGACGAAAAGGAACTATGATTTAACTTGTTCATTCGTGTTGGTCAATAACATATACATACCGATCCACGCTTACAATATTGTTACCGAGTGGATGGTGAATTACAATATCACTTAGCGTCTTATACACAATTAGGGCCCATATCCTTCTTAGGTTTGAGGACAATGCTGTTTCAGTACTTATACCATGCATTTCCCATGTTAGCAGGAGTCGGGCAGTCACATAACGGAGTATTACTATAGAAGAGCGGATGATAACGAACACTTTTTTACATAGAATTGACTTATTCCAGTCTAACTTGACTACCTAGGTACATAGCGAGTTCTTTTTTATTCTTCTTTTTTATACATAGTAGTAGTTAAAATGAACATAGCTGGAAGATATCGGGACATGCGAAAAATCCCTCTTACATCAATAGAGAAATGGGGTTGCCTAGATCAACTCCCCCAGTTTTGATCCTCGTCTTGGATGGCAAACTTGCAACATATGTACATATGACTAAAGTTCAAAGGTCTTGACGATCTTGACAAACCTCGGAGATTTTCAAGTGATGAATTTTTATTTTTGCGAGTACGACGGTCGATCTTATGTGGAGTGGCTTTGTATCGTTACTAATAGCGAACGAGTTGTGAAGATTCGTTACCGATAGATCAAGGGCGGGTACGCACTACGCTTAGGAAGATATGCTGTTGATATTTGATTTTCAAAAAAGGAGGTTTTTTTTTTTCATATACACGTAGTCACCTACGCAGATCAAATCACTCATGATCAACTCTTGCGTAGGAAGATTTACCTGACGCGCGTTGTATTATGATGGTGTCGAGCTGACTGATATCGTTTATGTAGTGTGTTTTGTTTAGTGATGAAAAAAGAGCGAATGGATATGGTTCTCGTTACCGATGTCCGAGCTGAGTCGCACAGGCACAGCCCTCTCGCCTTGTGGCTCGGCGTTCCTTCAACCGGTACGAATTAGCGGGGTGATCCCCTGTAATATTCGCAGCAAAGTTCCCTGTAGATGCCACTTTTAAGGGAATTCTCGAGTAACCAAAGCTGCAAACAACCTTGAGCACATGACGACAATGAGACATCGGGTCGTCGCAAACGCCTCTTTCGCTCTTCGTGACAATAAGTTGCCGGCGCCTGCATCTCACGCGCGCATACGGTACTATATTTAATTTAATATCGGATGTTTTTATTTTTATTCGTATCTTTATCTTTCATCATCTTTTTACCTTGATGTTTTTTAGTTTACATTTTACAACACATATTTAGAAGTATATAACTACATCATTGTCATCTCAATCCCTTTTTTGACCCTTGGCGCACCTCCATTGTTCTCGGAAGGCATATGTAACGACGATAACGAGGCTGAGTCTATTGTGCCGATCCGCGCTTGGCTTTTTGGCTTTTTGGCTTCGTCAGCCACTGCATAACTACTGCTACTTCCTTCTTTTTCATACATTGTCCACCTACTTGTTTTGGGAGTCGTTTATTTAGAATCATAGCTTCCTACCTTCTCTTACTTGGAATATTATATATCTTGTCCATCTTGACTAAGCTTTGTACACTACACTATACTACACTACATTACATCATATCACCACCTACAACTTTCATCTACAGACTACATTCGACAGATGAGCCAGTACAGAATACTTGGCGCAACTTTTGCAAAATGCTCGACGAGAACTTACCAACCTTCTTCTTCAGACCCTCTAATAATCCGCTATTAAGGATCTTATACTTCTCTCAAAACGGCTCCGAGCCGGCACCTGAATACTCACTCCAGAAAATAAACCCGGACCTCCCCCAGTCTAGGAATAAGTACGCCGTGGCCTTGGGAGACGCGAGCTTTCACCATGTCATCTTAGCTGAGGTCCTGATCGAGCCCGAATTTCAACAGCCTACTCTGTCCGCTGCTGAAATCAGACAACAGAATGGTGTTCCACCCCCGCCTGTACCTTTAATCCCTGACGGATTCGCCATACAACTGTATAACCCGGAGCACCAGGTTATGGTAAAGGGTGAGAAGAGCACCTGGACCGGAAAGGAGTCGTGGGAGTTTGAAATGCCTCAGCAAAGCTTTCGCATGCCCTCGGTGTCCAAAGTTGATCGCCAGCAGAATGACCCAGTCGCAAGTAGTCTCACACCCAAGATAATGTTCAAGTGGAAGAGGGATAGTAAGTTCTCCAAGGACATGACATGCTACATGACAGGCACGTCGGTTGGTGGCAAGAAGAGCAAGGACCCGGATATTACAATAGCGTTATACAAGAACGGGAGGGAACCTAGTGTCACCATTTACGAGCCGAATCTTCAGAGGGTAGACATAGAGGATCGCAAAGGCCTCGAAGTCGTACTGCTGCTCGGCGCTGAGGTCATTCGCGAGATATACCTATTCCCTAACCGGGACTCATTCAATATTGCAGGCTCGGCAAATAGGCGCAAGAACTCACGGCAGAACTCGCGGCCCAGTCCAACCTCATCTACATCACCACATCTTATGACGGGCGCATTCGGCAACCTCCCTCCCGCAAAGACCACCTCCCCCGTCACTCAACAGCCCACACCTCCAGCAGAATCCAGCATAGACGTCGAGACTAAGCGTCTACAGGCCTTAGTCCAGCAAGAAGAGCGTGAGCGCGAGCAGCGGGACCGTGCGGAGCAGAAGCGCATCAAGAAGATGCTCGAGGAAGAAGAGGAGAAAGAGCGCCAACGTCGTGACGCCGAGGTGGCCAGGGAGACGGAGAGGTTGCGAAAGGAGTTTGGCATAGAAGGCCAGGACTTTGGCCCAAAACCAAACCTGCCTCCCCGACAAAGCATCGCTGGGCCTAGCCGCACGCAGTTGCAACCACCACCAGCCCCACCACAGCGGCCCGTGAGCGCGGGACCCAAGCCTCATTCGCACGGAGGAGGGTTCAGCAGTTGGTTCCATGCTGTGGGACCTACTCCTGGTGCTCCTATGCCGCAGGCTTTGGGATATGGGTATGGGTACGGACAGCAGTTGCAGCCGAATTCGGGGCGGAGGAGGGGCGGGAGCGCGGATAGTGGGACTGGAAGCGGGAGCGGGAGTGGGAAGATGTTGAAGAAGAAGAGTACGTTGTTCTAAGGAGTGTAAACTTGGATTTGGGATTTGGGACTCGGTTGTATGGCGGGGATCAGGCGGTGCTATGTAAACTTGGGTTCGAACAGGCTGGATCTGGCAAGTGCGTAGGTATAAGGAATGCGTGATTTGAATGATACCCATGACAAGTTTGGTCTATATTTTGGTTTATGATGAATTTGTTGTGGTTGGTTAAGTCGAACGGTACTGTGAATTTATATGAATTGTAGATATTTGAAACTCCCATCTTTAAGGGGTGTGCTAATTACATGAGCCTACGCAGTAACTAGCAAGAATTCTCTCGAGAACCACTTTGAGGTTCTACCTAGATGGCAAATTCACCAGTACATTATTTTCTTTTGGGCGCCTGGGTAACTTGAAGTCCCAGCTTTGACGAGTATCTCTACTATCGCTGATCCCACGATTACACTTCTGGTTTGCTCTGGATGTTTACTACGGCTCATCTAAGTAGTCTAGGTTTTAGATTAACTAAATAGACGGGTATAATTGCCATGTATCAGAGAAGGGGCGGATAAGCCTTACGAGAATCAGTCCTCTGGATCTTACTTCTCGCCTCAGCTGCAACAAACTACGGTTTGCAGGCTTTGAGGGACCGGTTTGAGAAATTTTATATGATATTTTTCATCTTCTTAATTTTCTCAATAATAAATCTGTATGGTGAACCTGGGCCAAGATCATTCTGAACTTGGAGGTAGTCTAATTTATGATCTGGGAGTTTGTGACGGACGAGTTACTCGCAGTGGTTCCGCGCACACTTATCCTCCCCGTCGTCGCCTCGTATCGTGGCCCTCCCCCCACCGCACTGAATAGGTACCTACTACAAGTAGTTGTTTGTGACAGTTGCAAGTCTTTTGGTGAATCAACCCCCTCCTTCCTCCTTCCTGCAAAAAAGGCGACGAGGTGGTTTGTGCAAAAGGTTCCTACCTCAGGTACTCATCATCCCCTCCTCTTCTCTCTTCTTCTATTCTTCTCTTCCCAACCACCAACCTTTTCTACAACTTTTCTACAACTTTTCTACAACTTTTCTACAACCAAAGCATACAACACCTCACGATAACAACTCTACTCAATATTGAACATCCCATCGCACGTAACATTCCAAAAATTCAACTCTTATTCTATCCATCTATCTATCTTATCCTTTTTTACAACTATCATCCATCATCCGCTACAATGTCTCGCCCTCAGGGAAAAGGTATCTCGTCGACCCTGGCCAAATGTGACATTACTATCGCTGGGCCCCTCGGCGACGATTGGACTTACGAGAACGTTGCGCGCTGGTCGACGTACAACGGCGCAATCTTCTGCAACGTCGTCGACAAGGATGTGACGCATGTGCTCGCTACGCCTGAGCAGTACAAGGCGAGGACCCCTAATATCAAGCTGGCGATTAAGTACGGGGCACATATCGTGACCAAGGACTGGTTTGAGGATTCGCTCACTAAGAAGCGACGCCGTAAGTTTTTTGATGGTTTTATTTTATTTTATTTTAATCTCGTTGGATTATTATATTTCCCTATGGGTGTTGCCTGTTACTATGAAGTCTCTGCCTGATCCTCATCTATGGACAACGATGATGTGTACTGACACTCTTAATTTTTTTTTAATAGAAAACGAGGAGGAATACTCACTCAGGCGTATCGACCAAAAAGCCCAAGCCAAGAAGGAGCTTGAGGCGAAGGCGCAGAAAGGCATCAAAGAGGCCGAATCTTTCGTTAATACGAGTAAGTTTCCAACCCCCCCTTCCCTCCCCTTATATCCACGGTATCTAGAACAAGACAACTAACACCCACTCAAGACCTTTATCACATCTATCGAGATGATACCTACTTCCCCTACGAGATCACCCTAACTCGTAACGACAAGGAGAATGGAAACATCGGTCAGAAGTACCAGCTTTACGTAAGTATCCAGCCATCATCCTCTCCCCTCTCCCCTCTCTCACCCTCAACCGCCCACCTCTAACCTCTCTCTCAGCTCTGGGAGTCCAACGCTTGGCCGCACCTCTACATGTTCGCGGCCAAGTTCTACAAGAAACCCCGCGACTCCCACCCTTCCATCCATCGTCCGCGAGAGACCCCCGTGCTCCTAGAAACTGCATTGAATGAGTTCAAGGCGTTTTTCCATCAAAAGACTGGAATCCACTGGGACGACCGCATCGCCAAAGCGGGAACTACGGAAGATAACAAGTTCCAGTACCAGCCTCCTGTAAGTTGTACTTCCATTCCATGGCCACAGCTACAAGTAACTGACAAGACACGTGAAAATAGACTGGCGGAAAGCCGGTAGGCAGTGGCGCCGATTCCACGTCGGCCACGGATTCGGCGTCAAGCACCAAGAAAGACCAGAAGCAGGCGCCGGCGCTGGACAAAGCTGCCGACCGCAAGCGCAAGAGCCCCGCGGAGCCTGTCCAGCACGCCGGTAGCCAGAAGCGACAGCGCCGAGAAAAGGTGAAGGAGGAGGACGAGGAAAAGAAGGAAGGAGAGAAGCCGAAAGAGAAGAAGAAGGAAGAGAAGCCGAACTGCGAGAACTCGGTTTCCTCTCGCACGCGCGGCAAGACCGCGGCTAACAACAACAAGCGAGCCCGTACCTGCGAGGACGACGAGGACGAGGACGATCTTCCCGTCAAGCACCACAAGACGACCAAGCGCCAAAAGGTCGAGGAAGCCGATACTAACAGGGACGCCGCGGTGGCCGACGAAGGGGAACGGCCCGAGATCAGCAACCTCCCGGCGCTAGTCCGAACCATGAGGAAGACTCGTAGTCGAAAGGTGTAAGCGCCGCAGGTGCTATACGATAGCGACGAGGAGGAGGAGGAGGCGGGAAAATGCCGCGGAGACGGAAAAACGTCGTTGGATGATATATACCCGACATGTTGGAGGAGGAGTAGCAAGTGAAAGAGTGAGTGAGCAAGTGAGCGAGTACGTGGTGGACTGCTGGATAGACGCACGAATGAATGTAGGAGTGAAGCGATGGATGGATTTCGAATACTCACTCACCCACTCACTCACTCACCCCCCTTTGGCGGTGATTGATTGATTTACCATAGATACCCTCGCGCCAGCGAAATACTGCTTGCTTGCTACAGCTACATATTGCAAGCGTTTGATTTTAGATAGCCAGCCATCTTGCCCTCGGGGCTAAAATAGAAATGCGAATCGAATGAACTCCTACAGTTAATGTCAAAAGTCGAGTGCTTGTCCAAGCTAACACGACCGCAACATACCATACCATACCATATCGCAACACAGCGTAAACGCCTTCGCCTTACTTGCCAAGTAGATCAGCTCTCCCAGCTACCTTAGGTATGTAAATGCACCATCACCAAAACATCGTAATATCATAAACTTGCCCTGTCAAGTCAACACTACCGAGATACTCTTTCCTTTCCTTACCCCCCCTTTTCCCTTCAACTTCCCTCCCCATTCCTTTCCTTTTTTTTTTCTCTTCTTCTTCTTCTTCGGTCACCTTCCACCCCCCTAAAATCGCAACTTAGGAAACACAAAAACAAGCAACACAGCAAAGACTGCCAAGCCCGCTATCCACAGATACAACAGCATGCGTCCCCACCAGCCCTTCCCCTCCGTCAACCGTCTCAGCGCACCCATACGTCCCGCGACCGCGCCTAGCCCGCGCTCGTTGCGCTCGAGATTAGTCCCGGCCGCGCGCACCACGTCTTCGTCCTCGCGCAGCGACGACGCGAACCGGTGCGTCGATTCCTTGAGCGCGCGCGCCATGCCCACCATCGATTCCGTGAGCTTGTCTTGCTCGGCGCGGTGGAGGTCCATGATTGCTTCCGTAGTGGAGGGTGTGCTGGTAGTTGTTGGGTCGGGGCGGGTGCCGAAGAGTTGGGTGCGCAGCGCGCTGGTTTCGCCCACGTCTGATGGGAGGGGTTGTTGCGAAGCGCCGCCGCGGGGGCGTAGGGTCTGCGATGTGCTGGTTCCTGACCCCGAGGGTGTTGGTTCTGGTGCTGATGAAGTTGTCGTTGTTGTTGTCGCTTGATGTGATTGCATTGCACTGGATGATTGCTGACGATGGTCTGGAATTTGCGACTCTTGAATAAGAGATGGCGATTCTTCTGTCTCTATCTCTGCCTCGTCATTTGGTTGCTCTCCTACATCTTCGGTATCATCATCATCTCCCCGCTGGTCCGTCGCTGAAGTCGACTCAATACTTTCGCTTGGCGTATTAATGATATCGCCTAGCAAATCCTCGCCTTCGGAACTATCATCGTCACTATCCACGCTGATCTCCTCGAGCTCGCGGAACCTCTCGGTGATTTGCTCGAGGACCTCCCGCTTCCCATTTAGATCATTCTGCACCTCCTGCCGTCTCGTGTGTACTTTGATCGTAAGCGCATCGTGCTCTAGCTTTGTTAGGAGCGACCGGGCGTAGTCGATGTTCTAGAAGTAGTGGCATGTCAAGTTAGCTCTTCTAACATCTATTAAATCTTAAATATTAAACCAGAGGGATAAGTGATCTAGATCAAAGTACATACGACCCTAGCTTTGGCGCGTTCATACTCGCTTGTCCTCAGTCGTCGCTCTCTCTCAGCATCGGCACGGAGAATGTTCTCTTGCAAGCGGTCGAGGAGACGATTAAGGTCTGGCAGGGAATCTGGGTTAGATATGGTTCGCTTCTGGGTGATGGGCGCCTGGGCTAGTCGCGCCATATTGGAAAGCTGGTAATGATCTTGGGGGTTTGAGGTTGTTGTAAGTGTACTAGATTCAAGAATTCAAGAAGGAGGAAACTGAAGAGTATTAGCGGTAGGGCAACTAAGCTTCGAAACCTTGTTTTGTTAGAGTTTAGATGTTGTTCGAGTTGGTAACACGAAGCACGCGCCTTTGTATGTACATAGTACGTATGATGTATGACTGGTTCCGTTGGTGGGGCATCCCATCCGCAACTAGTGTAATACATACCATAAGCAAGGGGTTCCTTCCCTCCTTCCCTTCCCATCGTAAACAAATCAAAATGTTTTGAGGTGACAACGACGTGCCTACATGCATGTACGTATTCTACAGGTACCAGCCTTATATTGGATTAATGCATTACTTGTTTATGTACCTCCTAATATATACCAAATTATCAATCTTTAGAGGAATATATCACATAACTAACATATCACATATAACTTGGGACAAGTCGTAGAGAAGAAATAGATGCCTATCCCCTAGACTGGCATACAACAGCAACCCCCTCAAAATTAGTACAGTACCAGTCAGTTTGCCACATATCCCGTAATAGATCCACTTTTATTGAAATCTAAAACCTTTGATTGGTTAGAGGCCCCTCACAATCGATAATACATAACAGTACGGAGCTGATTCCTCGCATTTTACGTCTTTTTTTAAAAAACACGAATTTTTTCAAAATAGCCTCAAATCGCTGTATGTCGACGACCTCATTTCTAGCCTATTTTTACTGACTATCGATAGCAAAATGGCCTCTCAACACCCTAATACGACTTATTTCATCTATTTGACCCTGAATTCCTCGTTGAAAAGTGGGTCACATACACGAATAGTGTAAATGGGAGCCTGACAACGACGTCTGGGATAAGCCTCATACACGGTCACGCGACTGAAAAGAGAGGGTCCCCAATATGGAGGTCTGCTGAATCATTAGGAGACTGGATATATTATTAGAAACGGGTCTGGGGAAGTACGGATTTGATACTGAGGCTCGAAAAAGAGGCTCAAAATCAACGTCAAAAGGTGGCAATACGAGGATACCACAACGGCTTCATAAATGAGGCAAGATAGCCACGACGTCAGCGTGTTAGGCCTGTAAAGGTAACACTGTCTGGGGACGTCCTCGTCAAGCTATCTGGGGACGCTCTCGTCGAGGATTGACTGATATGGATGAAAGGGCTGCGAATAGCCTCAATCGCAAGCCAATTACGACTAGATACCGTTGTCAGACTTACAACGTAGCTATTTGTAACTCTGATAAATGCTGGTACAACTGGCACAGGCGAAAATAGGTGTAAAATTAAGTACTTTGATTTCATTGGTTCATAGCCTTAGATTAGATTAGCTCGTAGTACTCTACGTAATAATCGCGTGCTGCTGTTTTATGCCAGTCTAGGGGATAAGTAGTAAGAATATGGTTTCATCTTGGACAGTTATCAATGAGATTAGATTCACAAATGCAATCACATAAAGACATATAAAATCATGAAGCTCCCAAAATTTCAACGCCTATATTAGCAATGCAATTTCTAGCTTGCATCGATAGGGGTATACTAATATACTGATAATTATCGCTGACCCCTTAAGTTAACCTTCCCATGATTCTACCTCCACCTAAAATTAGCTCACCCATAGATCATAAAAAACCTCTCTTCTATGACCCCCCTGAGCAAATATGCACCGCTAACGTCTCGCGCTATTAGATGCATTTTCTAAGAAGTTCAACAAGAAATTCCTATCTGCAGGAGATAAAGGAGCTTGACTCTCATGCCTCGGCGCGTTCCCCCGTAATCCTGGTCTCCCTTCGCCTCCACTAGAAGCAACTGAGCCCAACCGGGATCGTGGAGCCGCGCTGGCACTGAACTGGTCGAGCGTTGCCGGCTCCTTCCCTTTGCTTTGTTCGAAATTTGACGGCGACTTCCCGAAAAGAGATAAAAGTGCACTCTTCTGCTCGGCAGTTGAGTCTTGCCGGAACTGTATGCTACCAGGAACCGGCAGTGCTGATGCAGAAGGCGGACCTTGGAGCAGCGACAGCGGGTTGTGTTGACTCCCATGTGAGGTACCGTATGGATAAGAGTGCGTCGAGTCTGCGTAGGTTCTCGGTGACGACCGGCCGAATTGTTGCGCCTTCTGTGGTACCAGCTGATATGGCTTCGGAGACGGATTTGTAAAGGAAGGCGAGCCCTTACTGAATGACCTATGACTAAGCTGTGATGTTGTGGCTGGATATTGGCCTGTTTCTGACCCGGCAGCTGAAGCTACTCTGTTCTGACTTGGTGACTGTTGTCCAGGTTGAGGGCGAGACAGTATGGTAAGTGCCCGGAATGGAAGGTTTGCTTCAGGATTCATTTGTACAGGACGGCCGTTCTCGTGGACTGCGGATCGCAGGGAACCGGCATTAGAATGAGGCTGATTGGGCCATTGCTGTTTCTCGCCTTCGCTCAGTCGGGAAGAACGTCGCGTTACTATTTCCCTATCGGCCTCATGTTGTGATGCCGATGACTCGGTCTTCTTGAACATATTGAGTAAATCTGAGCGATGTTTATCAGTCGGGAGTCTAGGCCGCGCCTCAGGCCCCGATGGCACTGCATGGCCATTGTTTATCGACGTTTTGTTCAAATCGGAGAGCATGGCTGTAGCTTCGTATTGGCTAGCAAATGCATTACCCGGTGCAGAAAACTGGTGTTGGGGATTCTGCGTCGTTGGCATGTTCGCAACCTGTCCTGATAATTCCGGTATGAAGCCTTGGTTTATATTTGGCTGCGTTACGCCACCTTTAAGAACATTCAACAAGTTGGCTGGATGTGCAGGTAGTTCAGTAGGTAGCGTCCTTTCAGGATACCCGCCTTGCGTGCCATGATTGTGAACCTGAGGACCGTATGCGCCGTATTGATGTCCCTGTGGTAATCGGGAAAGTCCTGGCTGGGCGGTCGTATTGTCCGTGACCTGTGGGGAGGAAGCCATGCCGCGTAGGAGCATGGCCTTTTGTACCTGCGGGGGTAATGGTTGGGGATGTACAAGTTGTACCGGTTGATTCCGGGATTGACGCGGTTGTTCTGAAGACTCCGGAGGACCAGGAAGCTCGGTGGTGACGTTAACGAATGGGCGAGCCCGGTGTTGTTGTGTGTAGCTTAGATTCGGATTTGCTTCACCTGACAACCGTGCTGGTCCATGACTCGAGTTTGGATTTACATCAGCCGTTAACCGGTTTTCTCCGTACATTACGTTTGTATTTGCATCGAGCCGTGCTGCTCCGTAACTAGGGGCATGTCCATGCTGCTCGGGATAATGGTGATGCGGAGCCACGAGTTTGGAGGCATTGGTTGACGCGGGGTCAAACGGGACGCGAGTCTTCCCCCCTTGTGCTTGTCTAGATGCATCCTCGTCACTTGGTACCTTTGGCCGCAAAAGAGACAGGAGGGCTTGCCCTGCCTGCTGGTCCGAGGTCGGTGATAATATTTGAAGACCCTGCGTGGGTGGCTTCACCTTTAACAATCTGTGCAGCTCCTTTGTTGCGCTATCAATAAATTCCGAGGTTGTACCTGTGGGTGCTACCTGGACTGGTTCGTGGACGACATTATCATCCGTCAAATTTTCCTCGTAGAACTGAGGGTGGTGGTGAGCGCTAGGGTGTCCGAATTTCTGAGCGTCCAGCTTCTTCTGTTTCATCACCCATTGCCGCAACTGAACCATGAATGGAGCGACCATATAAAACTTATCGTTAGAAGGGCCTCCGACCCCGTTCTTACCGGCACCTTTCCTCTTACGATATGCCGGTAATTCTTCGACCTTGTACCACTTGATGGCCCCAATCTCCTTCCTGGTTCTTGTTTCAAAGACAGTGTCTTCCGGTACGCCGCGAAACACATAGAGCCGGACCTGTTGGTCATGCATAGTAACCTCAAGGGGGTGGACTGGTTCATTCTTATCAACAAGACCAGCTTCCCGGAGATCGTACCCTGTCTCTTCGTAAACCTCACGGATAGCGCAATCAAGGTCGTCTTCGTTTTTATTTATCTTCCCTCGCGGAAAACTCCAGCTCGCTCCTTTCTTGTAACCCCGAACAAGGACGGCCGCATCCATATCATCGTTGAGCATGACTGCTCCTCGGACAGGTACTCTTGTCTTATACTGCATGAACTCTTCGAAAGCTTTGATATGACTCTCCGCAGAGAATGATGCGAGTAGAGGACAGTGCTGGAACATCTTAAGACTAAAACTCCGCAATGACATTGTCGGTAAGGCAGGATCTAAAGGTCGGATGAAATCTTCGTAGAACCATTGTGCTTCTTCAATTTGGAAGCAGATACGCGCTACTGAGGAGAGGTCTTCTCGGGGGAGGTTTATGATGAATCGAACGCAGAGGTCGTCCAGCCCTAAGGAATAACGTTAGCTAATATCTCATCAATATATGACGCGCTTAACGCTGCGCCGGAATCAACCGCCAGATCAAGATCAAACAGATACCATCTCTAGGGAAGCGATAATACGTACAATCTTCTAATGTCATTTTGTATTGCGCCATACTGAACTCTACTTCCTTGCATGACCACAGGTTGGGCAGAATGTTGTGTTGAACTGGAAGGCCGACCAATTATAGGACGGCGCGACAAGAAGGCGATAAGTGAGGGGTGGCGTGGGTGGTAGTTCTCGAAGCTCGAAGCTTAAGAGGCACGACTGCGCTGGGGAATACTACTGTCAATTAAATGATACTGATGAGTTATTATTTAATACGGAATCAGATTGATTGTATGTGAGTAACGTTATAGTTCTAGGCGAAACGAATAGAGAGAAGTGAATGAAAGCTGTTTGGGAGTTGTTAAGTTGGCAGTTAGGTAGGATCTGTCTGCCGATGTGGGGATCGAAAGACGATAATAAGGTTGTTGTGGCTGATAAGCTCGCAGTTGTAGAACGTGGCCAGTGCTGATTGCATTTGGAGGAACTTGCCAAGCCCCCAATATGTACTGTACAAGCATATACCTACTTACATGTACATACATATGTATGTACCGAGATACCCAAGAGGTATCCACCTGGGCAGCTGTGCAGTGAGAATTTTCAGTTGGACAGTAAAGCTATTAAAAAATCAGAACCTTAATATCCGTACGAATTGCGGCTATTAATGGGCAACTTTGCCACCTATACGTGTTTTAAAACATCTGTACATAGTGTATTTACCCTTTAAAGAATCAGAAGGTACTATGTAATTGAATCGTTTAGTGCCAGTGTTGTTAAACCGCCAAGTTACGTAAATATTTACCTTATGAAAATGCCTAGCTATCATATTAGCAGGACATAGGTACAAGGCTCATTCCGAGTATTCCAGCCAACATACCATTGACTCCACATACTGGAATAGATGTTTCTAAAACGAGATCGGCACTAAGCAAGATCGATAATGTTATGTTTAACCGGATGCTAAAACTCGGAATTTGTAGGTTTTAATATTATATCGACATCGGTAGGCATGGAGCAACTTTGTCACAATGATTGTAATGAAGTTGTATTGGGTAAGTCTATGAGGGAAGATCTAGCTTTATATACATGTGGGTACCCCACATGTCACGACAAACTTATCTATCCCGTAGAACCCTTACGTATACCTGTCATTATGTATTGCGTGGCCAAACTCTCATTATTTGGAAGTACATAACTAGGTTAGAGATATGCTTGGTCATACTTACTAGTTATACTAATGACTTAGACAGGCAGGTACTTTTATGGATCGAAGGTATGCTTCCACACAGCAAAATCGACTAACGTATTATAAGTCTACCTACACAGTAATTCTGTGTAGGATCTGGATATAGCCCAGATGTGATGTATCTTCTCATAATCTAAAAATAACTACCGAAATTTAGCGTCCGGTGCAGTTACACAGGCCCCACAGGAGTGCCGTAGCCTCGGGACTAAGTGGGTAAGAAAGCAGGGGCTTTAATTTTCGACAAGGATTATGACCGCCAATAATTACATACCTACCTCTCTAAAACTAACAGATAACAAACTGTTAAATGGTTCACGATGAATACTTTCAGGGATTAGTATAGCCTTACTAGCTGGTGCAAGTCTGGTTGGAGCATATGAGCATATGAATTAGCTACCTAATGATAGATACCTATGAAGAAGACACATCAAGCACTACACGTTGGGGATACCACAAGTACATAAGGTAATTAGTGTAGTCAAGCCAACCCCTCACAGAGCTCCGTCATTAGAACAACTGGACTACCAACGTTCAACGCCAAAATCAAATGGGTTTCTTATCACAAACAGGTCGTTCGTGACTCATGCAAATGTGTGAACTGGAGACAATACAATCAAGAATAGTGAACCTCACTAACACTAAAACTCCTGCGTAACCTAAACTGTACAATAGAACTATAGACTATAGTCCCTCAAAAACGTAGAGGATATTGATCTTATCGTCACTAATTACCACCGTTGTAGGTACCATGATTGTTGTCATTATCGTCTTTACGAAGAGAGGCAAAGCGATTCTGACCGCGGGCAACGGGCTTCTTGTTGGAAGTAGCCTTCTGCTTTGGAGAACGTGACTCTTGCGGACCGTCAAACGGCTCGGAGCACTCGTCGTGGCCCCATTGGATCACCCATTGCTTGTACTTTCTAGATAGAATTTATTAGACAGGGCCATACTATTGAAAGGTCCAGAGGGGCTTACCGTCTACTCTGCATACAAGTTCTGGCGACGATTGCTTCGGAGATCGCGTTGGTCTTGATATGGCAATGGCCATCTAAAAACATGACCTTGATGATGACGAGTTTATCGATATGCTCCATGTCCTCTCGAATCTCTTGTTCGGTGAGCTTCCCCTCGCAGTCTCGGATGATTAGATTTCTGCTTGCACCCTTACGGATCTGAGCAGCAAGCTCGCCGTTGATGTTGTATGGGCGAGCAGCCCATGAGACTTGAATCTATAGTATTGTTAGACAATCCAAGGGAGAGGTGAGCTAATATAACCAACCTTTCTATTCTGGATGTAGAGACCATTTTTCTGTACGTGGTCATAGAATGACGTAGCTGCTTCTTCCTCCACGAAAGATAGAAAAGCGATATTAATGTCAGATGCCCATCGCAAACTCGACAAAGAGCCGCCGCGAATGACACTGGTAATGTCCCAATAGGTCATACTATCCAACAAACCCTTCAAAACAAAGGTAGTCTTGTTCCCAAGGGGAAGTTGTAGTCCATCTACATCTTGGCGCCACGACTCTTTGAATCGTGGCTGAATACCAGACGACAAGAACATCGACTTTTCCCCAGTACTTTCTGCTGCTTGCTTGTCCGATGCTTGCTTGTCTGATGCTTTCTTGTCTGAAGAAAGTACACGGTCATCCCTAGGCTGCCCGGGTGTGGTGAGTGTGGTAGGTGCGTCCTTCTGCTTTGGGTGAGGGACTTTGCACTTGGCCTTGCCAGCCTGGACACTTGGAAGTTCATCCTGACTCAAAGCCTATTAATGGTTAGCCCGTGCTGAAATACTTCTGTAATATAGAGCGACCATTGTATATTCTTCAAGTTTCGGTATTATTGTACAACTATAGAGAATTCGAGTAGGTAGCGATACTTACCGTAATGTGCTCCTCGGTCATGCCTTCTTGCGCAAGGTGACGCGTCAGGTTTGCTAGTAAGAGGTCAGAACAAGTCTAAAGTACCGTGGACAAATTAGAAGGGGGAGGGTATACCATATTGACGTTGAGAAAGCAGAAGGTCCTCATACTCGTCCATAGGAAGGCACATAAGCGGACCAATCTCGCCGGGGGGGATGATATCCCTGAGTCGATAATCATTGCTCTAAGGATTAAGTCAGAAAGCTGGTGATCTAACCAAGTTGTAGGCAGGCTAGGTACTACTTACGGTGTTGGCTCTATTAAATAATAACATGTTAGCTTCTATATCGAGAATAAAACCAATAGCTAGGCAGAAAGATAATTCTTGGCAGGGGGATCCCCTAATCGCGTAACAAATAGGACAAGACTTTATGTTAACATACTTTTGCACAAGAACCTCAAAGTTCGTTTTATCGATCACAACAGTATCTCGCGGCTTGTCCATGGTATTAGCACCCCAGACGGGATAGAAAAGAAATGAAAAAGGAGAATATGAGCAAAAACCCAAATATTTCGACAAACGTATGAATGGGGGGAGGCGTTGAATAAATCGGCGATGGTGGCGTGTGAATAAATAAATAGGTGGTGAGGAATTAGGCAACTCTCAGGAATCAAAACAACGCGCCGTAGGTTATGCTGGCCGAAAATTTCTACCCGACGGCAACTGACAGATAGCGATTACGGAATCACCAATCTAGGCACCTAAGGTATTTGCAAACGCAAACTAGGTAGGCACGGCAATTTAACCAACGTTTGGTATAACAGAGTACCTAACCTAGCTTGATAACAATCGTCCAACATATCTAGCTATTTGTCCAAGTTAATTAATTATTATATATAAGACTGCCACAAAGGTGTTAAGGAGTTAGGGAGGTAAATGAAGTAACGGGTTATTAATGAATATTTGTAAAATACAGAGATACACCATACCAAAACAAAGCGTGAAGAGAAAACTTGGCAGTTACCAGCTGCTGATGACTCCATTGGTTAATGGGGTAATGGCCATAATTCATGTAACCTGCTTCTCTTGCTACGACACATTTTGGAATCAGGATACATAAACCTAGCTGGCGAATAGCTCATATAGTATATATTTCGGAATACTACTAACGCCTGCCTTTTCCTGAATCTAAGAGGGAACCAAGGTTCTCTTATATACAATATAATGAATGACTAGCTGGTAGACAGCTTCAAGCTAGATCTTAGAACCCTTATCACGTCATACACCTATCGTAATCCTTGTCATCTGACAGTAGCAAACTATCATCTCCCTTGATAGCTTGCTTCAAACATGCTAATATGGATGTTTAATTTTACACGTAGAGGGAATCTCTGTATACCTATCCAGCAAACTGGTATTTGCTGAAGCCGTATCCCAGGTATCCCTAGGTATTGACACCTCATAAACAACAAATCTGTGGGGTTGCCGACTGGAATTATTTGAACAGGGTAACTATTACATCAACCATTCTTCGTAGCACCGTAAGTATATATATTTCAAATAATATCCGACGCGTTTACGAGTTTTATATTGAAGACGACGTATATATGAATGCTCATGATACTGAGACTCCCCTATAAGTTGACATCTTTGACTAGCATAATTCTTGAATCTAAAATAGGGGGTATCTATACCAAGTGGTCGTTATAATAATATTCTGACTACACGTATTTATAAATCATATATAAGACTACTTACTATCCCCTCAACTAGCATAAAACAGCAAACCCACTATTTTCAGTATTAATACATCGAGATTGGCTAAAGAAGATAGACTGGTTCTATATTATTAGATTGGCCAATCATATTTATTATAGAGGTATATTGTAAGGGGTTTTTCCTTTTACCTTAATGAATCGCGTTAAACTTCATGTACTCTACCGAATATCGGGGTTTTGCTGTTTTATGCCAGTTAAGGGGATAATAGCTTGTTTGCGTACTCTTACGGTTTCTAGCTGACAGCGTATTGAGTTGCCATGTTCACAGCCAGTCGAAGTGTAAACTGACTATTATGGGAGTTAGGGTCGGAGAAAAAGACCCGGCATTACTTGATAGAAAAAAAAAAGAAAGAAAAAAAGAGCTGACAGGGTTTAGAGCATTTCCAACTTGCATAGTGGTGTGTCTTCTATATATGTATGTTTCGGCCGCTGGACCAAAGTTTGATGTCTTACGTTAGGTACTCTTTCAAATCCCCATTAAGGCTAGGTCAAGTTAATATAATCCGGGACCTCATTAAAAAAAACCCCTTTGATAGATCTCTATGAACTAAATGCCATGTGGTAGATACGAGAGTTGATGTGTGGTAGATTTCTCGAATGCGAACTAAGCTGAGGTGTAGTCAATGACAGAGCCTCCCTCCCGGGTATGTAGTGTATTTGACTAAGACTGAAAACCGTCCTATTTTTAGGTTTAAACAAGCATCTGCGTAGTGTACACAGTGCACGATGTTGGTGTGGATCCACCAAGACAGAGGTATGTCACCCGATCTTGGAGTAAAAGACATGGGATGGTGACATAGGAAATATTTAAAGGTAGCTAGCTATTAAATCTTGAACTGGAGATTATTAATTATAAGTAACTAGTGGTTAACAAGTTGTCAGTACCTATGTAATATGTAATATGTAGAGGAGAAGAAAATGATGGCATTGATAACCAGGGCATACTTCGTATCGTACAGTACTTGATTTGGCTATTGTAATGGAAATCGTTTAGAAGCAGGTTCAGCAGGTTCTGGATGCAGTTCAGGTCCCCGGATACTTCTCCCATGTCACTAATACACTATGGATCTCATTGGACAGCCAGTCATCATCGCCCACTGCAGGCCCATGCAGTGTAACCCGATTACCGCACCTACCAATGCCGCCATACCTTTTCTGGCAGAGAGCCCCATGTTATGGTGCGTACCGCTTGCTGCCAACACTTCGTGTTCGTCGCTCAACCCTGGGCCAATGGAATCGAATCTTCTACTTCGTATGTAATGTACACCATAGGCTTAGCGGGAAAATGCAAAGTACCCGTTACATTATGTAGTGAGCCCATCATCTCGTCTTCTCGTATCCTCTTATCCTTCTCTCATCCCATTCTTTCCCGCCCTCTCGCTCTCGATGAACTGACAACTTTTCTCATCGTTCAACCCGTCGTTCGCTTTAATACTGCTACCTAGCTACCAACAACACTCGCTTAGTTCTGATAATAACAGCCCTCGCCTAAATACGTTACTGAGGGAATCCGAATTTGCTGCGTTTTGGTTTTTAGTACTGTTTTCCTCGTATCAACAAAGAGGAGGAAAATAGGGGGGATTTAGTTAACGAAGCGGGAGCGGGCCAACGAGCAACAACTTTTTACGCCCACGATAGATTCGAAATAAACGGAATAATTGCTATTATTGTTGGATTTCGAGTGTTTATTTATTTGCGGCGTTCTGTTCCCTGCAACTTCGTCGGAATCAATCGACTATTAGACGTCTATCGGCATTCCATCATTTGAAACAAGATGAAAGGAGTACAAAGCCTGGGTCAATTTTTGACCGTTGCCCTCGCTTTAACCCCTCTAACGTCGGCGTGGCCAGGATGGCTTCCGGATGTAGATTCGCTCGTAGTTCGGGCAGACGACAGCTCATCGCGTATGTGTTATGTTCCGTGGTAACTGGGGATGAGGTTGGAATTGAATTTCACTAACAGCATTGAAGCAGCCGAAGCCACACCAACTGCCACTAAGACTGACGATTCATCAGACGATTCAAAAACCATAACGACGGATGTTAAGACGACTACTGCTGCCGACTCGGACGATCCCAAGACTACAAACCTTAATACGGCCGTAGTCACCACAACCGGAAAAAATGGCAACAGTACTGCCAAGACCACACATTCAACCTTCGATGCGCAGGATGGAGCTGGTGGTGTCGCTATGATTACGCCAGCCACTACTGCTGGAACAACGCTTTACAGAATCGGAGACCCCACGCCGATTACTTGGGTTTGGAATTACACTTCCCTGCAAGGCACACCAACCGCTATTGATGTTCTAGTGTCGTGCTCCACGGCCTCTGCCACGTGGACCCTGACTCAGAACATGACCTTCAAGCCGACTGCCACATTCACCTGGGACACGGAGAAATACTCAGAGAGCGCTGTCGCTAGCCCCCTGCTAGTCGCGCAGTACACCCTGCTGATTTACGACGCGGACTCTTCCCCCGATGCGACCGCCGAAGCCGGGTACCTGGCACCATTCGACGGCTTCACATTCGGCTTGTACACGTCCCGACCGTACCAGGACCTCGGAGAGTGGAAGTGCGCAACCTGCAGCGGCGCATTAGGAGATCTCGAACGCCAGGCTTTAGGTTTCGCGATAACCATGAGCATCATCACCGTATTCAGTTTCACGTGGTACGTGACGGGAATCGCTGCGCTGCTGTAGTCAGTCCTACTACAACCTATTCGTAGGCGTAGTAGCACATGGGGAGATAGTATATTTCTGACTTGCATATATTTCGGAAATAAGGGACAGCATCTTAATGGAGAAGTTCTCAATACGGTAATCTATCTATCTATCTGGGTTTAAGGATACATACATCATCATGTAGTGGCGTTTTTTGTTGAAATGAATTGCAAGGGCCGAAAGCGGGTGGGGGAAACTTCCGGCGTGGATTCGAAAATAGCGAAGATCTATCATTTACCTACATAGAAATCTACGGCATCAGAAGGGTTATTTATATCGCTATATACGTAGCTCTTAATGATTACACACCTAGTCAGGTTGCTTAATACCTTCCCGTCCCTCAACGATTTCGTAATATCTATTATTGTATAGATTTCATTCTCATATATATATATATATATATATTACTACATAGGCAACTTCGTAATTCATAGCATCCGAAGCGAGAACCCACCTCCTCGCTCTTCCTTCTCCCGCGCCGCGAACAGCCCGCTGAAATCCAGCGACCCCAGATCCGCGGCCTTCTGTCCCCTGCCCGGCGCATTGGGCGTTGATCTCCTGCGCCTGCGCTCCTGGCCCGCCTTGCTAGGGAACGTCGGGAACAGAACTTCGTGCTTGGGCTTGGGGTCCTGTCTGAAGAACTCGTGGTCCAGCATCTCCTTCGCCGTGGGTCTTCGGTCCGGATTAAGAGATAGGAGACTACTCAGCAGCGCACTACCAGCGGCTGTTAGCAGCGGAAACCGGGCGCGGATTATAGGCCCGGTGTTGGCGCCAGAACTCTTGGGTAATCGTAGATGTCGGGCGTTAGGCAGGCGGCGGAAGCCGGGCCAAGACTCATCTGTAGGAATGCCGCATAGCTCGAAGATCTTGCCTAGCTCATCGACCTCGTTCTTGCCCTGCAACAACGGCTCGCGCGTCAGCAGCTCGCCGAAGATGCAGCCGACGCTCCACATATCGACCGCAGCACCGTATGTCTTTGTACCGAGCAGCAGCTCCGGAGCGCGATACCAAAGGGTAACGACGAGCTGTGTGAGCTTAGGGGGCGGGGGATCGCCGACGTAGCGCGCCATGCCGAAGTCGGCGATCTTGAGCTGCCCGCGGTTATTGAGCAGCAGATTCGACGTCTTAAGGTCGCGGTGCAGGATCCAGTGGTCGTGCAGGTAGGCGACGCCGCTGGCGAGCTGGAGCAGCAGGGTCTTGACTTCGGAGGCTAGGAAGGGCTCGGGCATGTCGCCTAGCACGGACATGAGGTCGTGCTCGAGGAACTCGAGGACCAGGAATATGTGCTCGATGCGCGAGGTGTCGTCGCCGACTACGACTTCGCGCAGCGCTACGATGTTTCGGTGCGAGCAGTCTTTTAGGATTTGGATCTCGCGGAGGCCTGTTTCGGGCAGGCCTGATGTGTCGGCCGGGTCGAATTTGAGCCGCTTTAAGGCTACGACTTTGCCTGTTTTGATTTCTTTTGCTCGCGCTACCCAGCCGTATGCTCCCTCTTCGATATCGTTTAGTTTATCGTAGTTCTCGACGCTTCGTGATTTTCCCCAGCCGCCGGCCTCGAAGCGTAGGAGCTTTGCGCTACTCTCATTTTTTGTAATTTCGTCCTTTTCTTGCTCGTCTTGTTCGGGTGTGATTTTCCGTCGTTTGGTGGGTGGTACGGTATCGTCTGGTGGTTGTAGGTGTTGCCGTTGTTGCTCTTGCGCGGCTCGTTGTGTAGCTGCTGCTGCTGCTTCTGCTTCTGCTTCTGCTTGGGCGCGGCGCTCTGCTTCCGCTTTTTGTGCCTTCTCGGCTTTTAAGCGCCTTTTCTCTTCCTTTTCGCGCTTCTGTTTTGCCTCTAGTGCTGCGTCTTCTTCCGTATCCGCCCAGCGAGATTTACTCGCCATGGTTATAGTTGTCTCGATGGTAGCTAGCGTGGACCGTGGTGCTTGAAGGGCGGTGCGATGAAATGAAATAGTAAGATTATGATTTCGTGAAATCGTTGCGCGCGAAGTGGAAGGGTGTTGGAGGGTAAAATTGGTATTGGTAGATTAAAGAAAATCCCCGGTATGAAATTCATAAATGAATCGGTAATTGTTATGCAAGATATTTATCTAATTACCTAAGGTATTCAAGATGAAAGAAAGTTGGACCTACGTAATTTTGAGGTTCGAGGTCCGGAGAATGCTCGGAACTAAATTTCAGAGCTTGGAGCTTAATCTCGAATTACCTATACAAAACGTCTGTAAGTGTAAGTTTTCAACTTTTACTTATTATTAAAATCATAATAATGACTTATTGATTTTGTAAAGCCTCATGCATCTTCGTGATGTATTAATTTTAAGAGTACAAAATGAGGTCCAACGTGTTAAGGACGGCCCAATGCGGGCTCAGATACTTATCACAACGTCCATCATCATTATCCCATAGTCCCAAAGTCGCATATCAAAGTTATAGATGCTTCACAGCAACACCCGCAACTAGAGAAGAAAGGCAATGGTCAACACCTCTAGCTAAACAATTAGCCGAGGCCATAAACGTAAGTTAGGTATACAAATACATCGTCATAAAACCTCATACTCATGGTGTACAGATAACTGGCCCCATCCCTCTAGCTAGCTATATGCGCATGTGTCTTACAGGGGATATTGGTGGATACTACACAGGGGCCATAGAAGCCGGCCGTGATCAGTTTGGTCGGAAGGGTGATTTCATAACGTCCCCGGAAATATCACAGATATTCGGCGAACTTGTTGGCGTATGGTTCGTAGCCGAATGGATGTCTCAAGGTCGCCCGAAGCAGGGCGTAGAGCTCATCGAAGTTGGCCCGGGCAGGGGGACTTTGATGGACGATATGTTAAGAGTGAGTATCATAATCGATGTGTGAAACTGGTATTTTTATAAAGCTAACTCATAAATAGACTATAAGGAACTTCAAAGACATGGCTTCCAGCATAGATACCATATATATGGTTGAAGCCAGTAGCGAATTACGCACGGCGCAAAAGAATCTCCTTTGCGGCAACGATGCCGTAATGACCGAGTCTAAAATAGGTTGGCATAGTACGTCTAAATACAATGGCCTACCTATCGTATGGACAGATTCTATCAAGGCTATCCCGCGAGACTCTAGCAAGACTCCTTTCATAGTGGCCCACGAATTCTTTGACGCACTGCCAATCCATGCCTTTCAGTTGGTCGACTTACCACCAACTCAGCAACCCAATACGCCAGAAAGTAGCAAAAACAAGACCTCAAGTCTAAACTCCGCCGCCACTCCTGATCGTCAATGGCGGGAGATGGTCGTCTCCCCCACACCAAAAGGGACAACACACGCAGACCTCGGGACCCCCCAGGCCGAACGACACGACCCCGTCCCCGAATTCCAGCTAACTCTCAGCCCCTCCGTAACCCGCCACGCGCAATACCTCCCCGAGTCATCCCCACGCTACCGGGCCCTAAAATCCATCCCAAACGCCCTCATCGAAGTATGCCCCGACGCCTCCATATACGCCACCGACTTCGCCACCCGCATCGGCGGCTCCGGCCTCGCGCCCAAACCGCGGCCCTCCGGCGCCGCCCTAATCATAGACTACGGCCCTGCCGACACCATCCCCGCGAACTCGCTGCGCGGGATCCGGCAGCACAGACGCGTGAGCCCCTTCGCCGCCCCGGGACTGGTAGATCTCAGCGCGGACGTAGACTTCGGCGCGATAGTCGAGGCCGCGACCATCGCCAGCCCGGCCGTCGAGTGCCACGGCCCCGTAGACCAGGCGTATTTCCTCGAGGCCATGGGCGTGCAGCAGCGCGCCGAGATGCTATCGCGGAAGCTGGGCGCGGGTCCTGACGCCGACGAGAAAAAGAAGGAGATCGAGCGTTCGTGGAAGCGGTTGGTTGACCGTGGGCCGAACGGCATGGGCAAGATTTATAAGGTCTTGGCTATCCTGCCGGAAAACGGGGGTAGGCGGAGGCCTGTTGGGTTCGGGGGGGATGTGAGTCCTTAAGGGGTTTATTTGGGGCTTATGGACGCCGGGTGGGCTTGTATAGTACATAACATAACATAGAACCAGACTTGATCTGATGTACACTTGCGGAACCCTAATGTGTACAAAATGGAATTCACATAGCCTCTGTTTCTACCGTTGTACGCAGTGATAGTACCGAGCACCAATCATAAATACAAATACAGACACAGCCTCGAAAAACGTTCTTTTCATATCCGTACGACCTATTGCAATACATCGCAAATAAAAATAGGCCCTGAAGCTCTTCCAAAGACCTATTCGTGTGTGTGTGTGTGGATTTGTTCTTCTCGCCTTGGTGAGCCCATGGAACGAACAATCCAGAATCCAACGCCATGCGCAGAGTCTATAATAGTACAGTAACGAAGGTGTGCTCAATCCAAGTACAATTAATGCCGCCTTCCCCTTGCCAATTTAGCAATCCTAAGAGGTCCTACTGTTTCTTTCCTTTGACTAGATTTGAACCTTCACCACGATCCCTTTCATCTTCATCGTCGTCATCGTCATCATCTTCGTCGTCATCACTGAACTTGTCACCGTCTTCCCCGACGGCAAATATCGTCTCACCGTCGAAAGAATCCCGCGGCGTCTCCGCCTTGGCAGGGGCTTTATTTTGTGTAGGCTGCGACGTCGTAGAAGTGGCGTTTGCTCCCGGTGTTGAACGTGTGTTTGTGATCTTGGTGCCAATGTTGGCTTCCTCGTCTTCATCTGAATCATCAGGCGCGCCCACATCAGCGAACTCGAAACCTCCATCCTCGTCCTGAGCGATCTCATCGCTCATCGCGAATCTTCTGTTGTTCGCCGTAGGCCTCCACACATACGCGACCCAGGCTACATCGGCGAAGTAGACCAAGTTGAGCCATCCGTCAAGAATGAACCACCGCGATTTCCAGTGAAAAGGAACGTAATCCGGGTCGGAGGCCGAGGCAAATGAGAAGGAGTTGAAAAAGAAGAAGCCGAAGATAACAAGAATACTGATCAGGATGCACCACCAGAGCTTCTTGTACATGGCTTCTTTCACGGTCTGTTTGCGCTCGCGTAGATCCTTAAGGGTGGCGTTGAGCGAACTGAGCGTCCACACATAGAAGCCAGTCAAAGTACCCGCCAACGGGAGTACGATGAGGAGAACAAGAGGCCCTAGGAGCTTCAGTTAGCATCTATGGGTTCTGGACTATTAGAAGAATCTTACCAGCCGTATCCGGTGACACTAGAAGACTAGTAACGGCGTAAACCAAGCCAAAAATGAAATGGGCAATGGCCAACCACCGAACATGCACCATCGTCTTGCCCAGGGAAGGCTTCACAACTCCGTAACCCATACACACGATGAGGAGTAAAAAGAAAGAAAACGAGTTACGGAAAGCGTTCAAGACGGCCACCACAATTAGGAGAACCTTAGCTCCTACATTAGAGCCGTTTCTATTCAGGTAATCTATGCCAAGTTAGTCACACCCAACCAGCTTAACCCTCTTAGAGATTCAATAAAGAGCTCACCATAGAAACCCCAAGTCATCAACATTTCAACGACTAGGAAGACGAGAATAGCAGTGATGTAATTTTGAACGGGCACTACGAACATGTTAGCTTCAGAACAAAGGGGGAGGCTTGCGACAACTCACAGATATCGTATCTGTGCTGATAGTATAGGAAACCCCAAAACCTAAAGGCCATTAGCGAGGAACTTGGTTCGTAATGATCCCGGAACATACACTACGACTACCGCATAGAGGATAGTGATTCCGCCGTAGAAGGGAAGCTTGGGGATCTGGGTTGCAGGAAGTTCGCCATAGGCCTCTCGGAACTCTGCGACGCCCATGAACTCATTCGTATTTCCAAATCCATAGGCGGCAATGCAGTAGTAACCCGTCTTCTTGATTTCATAGTGGATCGGATGCGAAGAGTTCAAATGTATAGCTTCGGTTAAAATGAAGTTTTCGGATTTCTCAGTCGCATTAGGCGACAAAATCCATTTACCTATATCCGTGTCCTTGCAAAAGCCTGCCTTAATACTCTCTTCGTCGCAGATTAACACTTTCTAGTTTTCTTATCAGCCTTGTTTCTAGCAACACACATGGAGAATCGTACCGGGGACATATCATCATCAGGGTTCGAGGGGACGCCGATCAAATCTTCGTCTTTCCATTCAAATATAACCAAGCTAACGACAGGGTCGTTATCGCCCTCGACGGTCTGATTCGGGAACGTAGTAAGGATAAACGGTTCTACCGGACCTCCCCAGTCGCTTTTGCTATACATGCCTATTTCATTATGGTTAACAAGGCTCGGCCGGACAGCTGGTATCAACGGAGCATACCGGCGCATTTTTGGCGATTCTCATCGGTATTGTCCTAGCGAAAAAGTATTAGCGATAACTAGATTATAAGTAGCAGCGACTGATTAATCGTATCATACTATCTGCACTTCCAATGCCTGAGCTGTCCATAGGGACAAGCCCAGAAGAATTAACGGGGAAAACCAGCTCTTCATCTTTGTATCGTTGACTAGTGTAGTCGCCGCGCGAGGCAGCCTCGGGCGAGAGAATCTGTCGTCGCTATTCCGAAGGCTAAGTAAGTGTAACTACGATACACGACTCACGACACACATCAAACACAAACTCGAATCGGAATCGCGGGTCGGACTAGAATAAGTTGAAGTCCCCTTGAAGCATCGGGGAGACGCTGAAAAGAAAGAGTAGACGTAATTAAAAAAGATATCTCTAGGTTAGCTCCCTAAGTAATGTATGTTTGGCTTAGATACGCAGATACGCTAACTATTACGTTTATTAGAAACATTGAAATGGAACTATTGCGCAGCCTGTCCACCTAAAGCCAGCTAAATTGTTAGGCGCATACGTGTAAGGCAATTTTTGAAACGGAATACCGGCAACTTAAAATAGGTGCACTAGACTAGGTACCTGTTACATAAATATATGTAACTAACAGGGATATAGATAAGATAAGAAATAACTTCGATCGGTTTGTCGGTTAGCTTCGAAGCCGCCAAGTCAATTCCAGTTTGTATTTTTGTATTTATTTATTTATCTTTGCCGTCACATTACGAGTATGAGCCATGGGGAAAGGTACGGATAAGCTATATATCACACACTCCGAGTGGTCATCTTCAGACGCCTACTCGGCAAATACGGGTTCGCGAACCGGTTCTAATGGCGCATCCTTCAAACGATTACCCTTCAACTTTTGCGCCGCCAGTCTCCAGCCTTTCAAGAATCCCGTCTGTACCCCCGATGGAACCATATTTGACGTCGAGGTTATCTCAAAATGGCTCGAGAGTCACGATACCAATCCCGTGAACGGCGAACCATTAGCGGCACGCGACCTTATCAAGCTTAACTTCGCGCGCAATGGAGACGTTGACTCCAAGGGTGCAGACGGACTGGGTGGCGACGGGAAGGGGGATTTCATCGACCCGGTCACCTTCAAGGTGCTCACCGACAATACCCACGTTGTCGCGATTCGACACGGAACCTACGCAAACGTTTTCGCTTGGGAGACGGTTGAGAGGATGAACATCAAAGCGAAGATGTGGCGAGATCTTGTCGACGACGTAGAGTTTAGTCGCTCGGACATTATCACGCTCCAAGATCCTCAGAATGCCGCTAGCAGAGATTTAAGCCAATTTCAGCATTTAAAAAATGGCGGAGATGCGCTCTTGACCAAGGAGCAGGAAGAGGAGAGAAAAGAAGGCAACGTCAATATCAGCGCCTTGGGTAGGGTAGGTGACAAGGTTTTGAGAGCGAAAGAGGCCGTTGAGAAGGCAAGGAAGGAACGTGAAGCTGGGGGCGACATCAACCGTTCCAAAGCAGTCACAAAAGCTCCAGGAAGCAATAATGCTCGACCATCCATGATACAGGATAAGAAGCAAAACTATAATTCTGCAGCATATACGACGGGTAAAGCCGCAGCCAGTTTCACAAGTACAGGATTGACACCCGAAACCAGTGGCGAACGGGCCACGCTGACCGATGAGGAGTACATGTTAAAACCAAAGAGGGTAAAGATAAAAGGCTACGCACGGATTGAGACGAATCTAGGCGATTTAAACATCGAGCTACAAACCGAATATGCCCCGAAGGCAGTGTGGAATTTTATTCGATTGTCGCAAAAAGGATACTACAGAGGCGTCTCCTTCCATCGAAACATTAAAAACTTCATGATTCAAGGGGGTGATCCGTCAGGCACCGGACGGGGAGGTACTAGCATATGGGGCAAGAATTTCCAGGACGAATTCGAAGGTCCGCTAACGCACGATTCTCGAGGCGTTCTTAGTATGGCTAATAAAGGAAAAAATACAAACTCGAGCCAGTTCTTCATCACATACCGCCCAGTCAAGCATCTAGATAGAAAACACACCATCTTCGGAAAAGTTGTGGGCGGCTTGGATATCCTGAGCAAGATGGAGGCGGTACCTACGGATGGTTCGGATCGCCCCCTGAATAAGATATTCATCAAGGATGTCGTTGTCTACCTCGACCCATTCGACGAGTTCCTAAGGCAGAAAGCCGAGCGCGACAAGCTCGCAGAGACCCAAGCAGAGATTCAGCGGACAGGAGGTACCGAAGACGACCAGCTAACGTGGACGGGAAAGCGGGTAAGACGGGATGGCACGGTTGAGCAGGGCGGGGGTGGCGGTACCGTAGGCAAGTACCTCCAGGCCGCGATAAAGCAGCAGGGCAACGAGGACGAGATTATCGAGGAGGACGTCGATACGTGGGAGGAGCCGGTGAAGAAAAAGGCTAAGGTTGGTGGGTTTGGAAATTTTGACAATTGGTAAAACGGATTGCATTGCGTGGCGTTGGGTGATACCCAGAGTCTGTAGAATATTATCTAGATTGGGCTCTAATAAGAACTTTTGATGAGTTTATGTGGTTGTTGTAGTTATAGCTATTGTAAAGAGTAATTCGTAGTAGTTACTCATAATATTGTTGTCTCTTTCTAAGATTCGTGATTAACTACATGATTTGAAAAGCCTGGCCATATGAAGACCTTGTAGTTTATTTAATTCTTAAGAAAAATGTAAGCCCTTTGGCTGAGGCATAAACTCTACGGTGGTGATAGGTAAAGAAATATCAAAGAGAGCAATTTTACACGGTCCATAAATACAAAAATGGTGGACTATTCGGAGAGAAGAAATGTCCGAGCTTACAACCTCCAAAAAGAAGACAATGACACAGTCCTAGGCAACAGTTTCAAGTTTCATCGCGGCCCCCTTTTTACAATAATCCACGGCATGTCAACAGAAAAGCAGACTGCCTCATCTAGGCCGCCGCGGGTGCTCTCGTGCGTGTTGTGCCAGCAGCGCAAAGTCAAGTGCGACAAGATATTTCCATGCGCGAACTGTGTTCGGCTTCGCGCTCAATGCGTACCGGCTACGCTTGCGCCGCCTCGTCGCAAAAGCCGACGTTTTCCTAAGCGGGAACTTATGAATCGCCTTCACCATTATGAGAATCTGCTCCGGGAGAATAACATACCGTTCGAGTCCTTATACGGCGAGGAGAGTAAAGCCTCTAGTCCTCAGACTCCGCAAGATGCGTCCTCAAAAGGAACAGCGTCGAGAGATGACGCGGGAGCGGGAGTCAAGCCGAAATTATCATATAGACCCAAGTATGTTCTTTCAAAACGAGTTGAGCCCGAGAGGTTATTAATTAATTTTATCGCAGGGATATCTGGCGGGCTATGAGTCAGAAGGTACGATTCAAATTCACCAGTAGGCAAGGTATATTTATGCTAATAATCGAAAGAAAGGCCTCAGATTCCGAAGGTGATGATATCGATGAGAGCGACGACAATGACAGCGACTCCTCCTTCAAAAAAGATGTTCTACGTCAGCCCATGATCACCAAAGTATGGGATCGTATATACGAGAGCGCAGATAACAGTCACCTTCTATTTGCCGCGCCCCAAACAAGTGATGATCTTTCTACTATGCACCCAGAGCATATACAAATCTTCCGACTCTGGCAGATATACCTGGAAAATGTCGATCCCTTGCTGAAAATCACACACACTCCTACTCTGCAAGCACGCATTATAAACGCCACGAGCCATATCGGTACTATTGATCCTGCAATGGAAGCTCTCATCTTTAGTATTTATTGCGTGTCTATATTCAGTCTCACCAACGATGAGTGTCTTACCTTCTTTATGGCGTCGAAGGATGATCTTCTAGCGCGGTATCAGTTGGGATGCCGGCAAGCCCTGCAGAACTGTAGGTTTTTACAGACTACTGACCGAGATTGCTTAACAGCATTATATCTCTATCTGGTATGCCCTCCTTTCCAATTACATGTCATCTCTATCATTTAGTATCATTCCTAACGCGTTATAGATCTCTGTAAGACCTAAAGTAGACCCTCGGTCCCTATCCTCGATGCTCAGCGTCGCTGTTCGTATCGCACATGGTATGGGGATTCACGACGAGACCACCTGTGCTAAGTTCACAGCTTTGGAAGCTGAGATGCGCCGAAGACTATGGTGGTCGTTGATAATCTTCGACAACCGGATCAGCGAGCTTTGCGACTACAAGTCTGCGTCACTGGCTCCTACCTGGGACTGCAAGACTCCCCTGAATGTGTATGACTCTGAAATCCGACTGGAGATGAAGACCCCCCTGGCGATCCACGAGACGCCCACCGAGGCTATTTTCACCGTCGTGCGTAGCGAGCTGGCCGATTTCGTCCGCCATAGTTCCTTTCACCTCATGTTTACCAATCCATCTCTAAGTACTCTTGCCAAGAATGTCCGGCAAGGCTCCGCCTCGGAAGGCGATGAGCTGGATGCCCTGGAAAACACGATAGAAGACAAGTACCTTGCCTTCTGCGATCTAGATAACCCGCTTCACTTTATGACGGTCTGGACCGCGCGAGGTTACCTTGCAAAAATCCGTATCCTGGACTATTACTCGAAACACCTAACGTCGACAGCGCAGCTGACAGAGCTGCAACGCAATACTACGATCTCCTCGGCCCTAAGAATGCTCGAGTGCGATACGAAGCTCATTACTTCCCCTCTAGTTAAGGGGTACCGTTGGCTAATTAGCTACCACTTCCCGCTGCCAGCGTATATCCACCTTCTTCAAGGGCTGAAGAAGCAGCCCAGCGACGATAAGGCCGAAAAGGCTTGGGAGGTAATGGGTGATAATTACAAAGCCCGCTTTATGAATGCGGAAGTCAATGAAGCCTTCTTCCATGTGTTCTCGCGACTTGTCCTCCGGGCATGGGAGGCGCTCGAAGCACTATCGAGACAGGAGGGTAAACCCCTGGTTCCGCCGCTGATCGTGTCGGATATTCTGGACAAAATACTACAGAGGAAGTTAAATCATCCCCAAGGCGACGAGTTGGAACAATTGGGCGGGGTTACGGGTGCCAATAACGCCAACTTATTTCAAACGTCTGCACCCACGAACTTTAGTAGTGGTTACGACCCGTCATACGGCACGAGAGAACAGGACTTCTCTCCTGCTACGGGACTCTGGGATAGTCCTAATATACCAGCCCAGGCTACGATGGACGTCATGGATTTTGAAGATATTGATTGGACGACCATGGGCTGGAACCCTATGTGATTACACCTCTATCAGTATGGTAAACCATAAGGGCTCCACTGTCTCCATACATATTCCACAAGTAGTTGCCAGGGGATTTTGTATGAGAAAATACCCTGGCTTCTACTTGCTGATCCTCTATGTATTGATCTCGAATTTGAAGATGTCAGGCCTCGCACAAGCCACTGAAATGGGTTACTACGTATTTTGTCATATAAATTTGCCTGCGAGTTACGCGTGGGACTTGGATGGGGCAGTGGAGGCCCCTATGGTTTACCATACTGACGGAGGTGTATGTGGCTCTGGAACTGTAAATTAATTGTAAAATCAGAAGAATCTACACTAGATCAATACATTTCAAATCCACTCCACGTTCCCTGAATATATCTGGTTCTACATACAAATCTGCACGGGGATTGCCTTGTAGTCGTCTGCGGAAGTCTTCGAGGTCTACGGGTAGTGATTTTAAACGTGGGTCCTCGTAGAATATCTCGCCCGAAGAGATATCTCTAAAAGCCGTAGCGTAGTTGTCAACCCTTTCGTCATAGCATTCGATTATCCGAATGTTGTCGGGGAGAGGTCCGAGAAGAGCTTCGCCATACATTAAGCCAGGCACAAAACACCTACCAATTACCTTGAATTTGTTATTGCCTTGTGGGCGTAGCAATAACGAATGCGAGCAACCAAGTAGAATATAGACCTCATCACCAGGCTGTGCTAATGCCGGAGTAACCCCCATATAACCACCTGTACACTGAATGGATCGGCGTCCACTTGTTAAGCAATGAACTACCGAAAGGAAATTGCTAACACCCAAGGACTGCACGAAGTCCTCGTTGTTGACATCGTTGAAGTCACAATTAGACATGATGAACTCCACAAGTTGTTTCGCCTCTTCGAAGTCCGGTAAACTAAAATCGGGTGGATCTGAGCTATTGGCAAATCGATCGTGAGCAAGTAGCCTAGTGTAGTATTCAGTTGTGTGCTGCTGCTCCAGGTCTACCTTTAACAGCAAGGTTCGTATCTGCTCGAGCATCGTCTTTTTGGAGCGTGACATTTGCGGCAACTGATGATATACTGAGACAGCGCAGCTGGAGACACCCATAACTCTCAGTACGCCAGGTTGCGGAAATTTATACCAGGCTACAAGCGGCGACAGGTATAATTTGAAGACGAGCATATTAGGTCTGGAGTCTAGTTTTGACCAGTCAGGAACCCAGCTCGGGCACGTACCGCCTTGAAGCTGACAGCGGTGTAGTATGTTTAAGGACTCGTAGCGTTTAATCCAGCTTCCTACGACAGTCGTGTAAAGTTTATCGTAAGGTTGAGTGTAGTCCGGCGATGGGATCAATGCCTTGTCGTGGGCGTTTAACAAAGCCGAGATGGCATAGAGTCGGTCTCGTGGGTCTAGGCACTGTGTACTATTATAATCAGAGTCTAAGCCTATTAAGTTGCCTAGTTTTTTCTGAAAAATAAATCCTTGTAGAGCATATATTCGGGTTTCGCATTGACCAGAGAAGTCTGACTGCGGGATGGGTTTCATGAAATTACACCCTAAACCTCGTCGAAAACTTGTCCACTTGACTTGCTTGAGGCCGCACATAATAACTGCTTCCGGACTTGCCAAATAAATTTCTTGTCTGATCCATAGCCTGTCGAACCACTGTCGCGATAGTAAGTGGTAAATCGAGTAAATATCTTCGTCTTGGAAAGGGAGTGCGATGTTGCGGTTGCTGATTCCCGAATCAGTGCAACCCATCGCAGGTCTTATTGTCTGCATGACAAAATCAACTTCAACCTGCGATCCAATATAGTCCATTAGATACATAGCACGGTTGCTATCGTTTGCTTCTGGTCCAAGCCAAGCAACCACCTGACGAGCAAGCCGGAAGATCTCTCCCATCATTGCGACTTGAGGGCCTTTTTCGAGTTCATCCGTTTGGTTAATACAGAGTGCGTCGATCCACACAACCCGGGGCGTCTTATCATCACGCAGATGTCTCAGGGCTATATCTAAACTGCGCGTAACCCCGAGTTTCTCGAATTTCATTTGAACAGTATCCCGTAATCTATTGGTTGTAGTGGCATCAACCCTACTAACGTGGATTGACGTACGGCCTTTCTTCGAGCCCCATACATATGAGAGAGCCTCATACGGCAATATATTATTAGGAAACTTTGAGGTGTGAAATGAAATGGCAATCTTATCGTTGAACTTCCCCGGATGAATAGTTGCCAGTCTGATATAGTGTTGTCCCGGAAGGGGATCGTAACGGTAGCGCCCCATGATGAAAGGCTGATTATGCTATGAATGAAAATATTGATGCTTATAAACTTATAGTCTGGTCTAGGCGACGATATGGAAAGAAGAATCTTGATCTAATTACGTGGTCCGAAGAGAGGAGATGTAGACGAGGTAATCTCAAGATAGATACGGAGAGAAGAACGGATAGAAATTCATCTTGGGTGAGGGGGCCTCGCGACGTTTTGTCCAGAGGTCACTACTACCCAAGCATGAATAATCTCGGAATTAATCACTCAATCAGGTATTATGCGACCTACCATAGGGTCGTATAGAGCTCAATCCAACCTAACTAATAATTGAAATCGCGCCGTAGGGAAATCCCACTCAATTTATTACGAAGTATATACAGTTTAGGAAGCCTATAGCGCCAAAAAACAAGAGAGTCCGTACTCTCAGAAGAGCGAATCCAACAGTAGCCTTGAGGTACCTATCTCAGCGCAGAGACTGAAGTTCATTTGGTTAGCAGCCTTGTGATGGTCAGTAGCCTTGTGAGAATGAGGTTATACAATCCCACTTTTATATATTATATTTGAGGCGTATGATTGGTTGCTAGCGAGGGATTCTTGATAGGAAATGTTGTGTAACCTCAAAATGGGATCAATTCTAGTATATAATAAACTAGAGGTTACACCCCGGGCAACACAAAAGCCTAAGGTTTACACCGAACCATGTTTCTATACTATTTTTATTTTTATTATATATTAGCAACCTTACCCCTATTAAACTGGAGGGCACCCCTACAATAGCCTGTACTTACTGCTATTACACGGCTGGACAACACTCTCAGCACCCTCGAGACCTAAGTAATAAAGAAGCCTTAAACATATGCATAACTATGCAGACTTACTCCTTTCATATTCACTGCTTTCTATAAGGCAAGAAAATTATCTACAAGGTAGCAAGGCATGTGTCCTAAATAGGAAAATTTTGCTCGCATTCAACACAACATCTTAAGGTAAATAAATAAACCTTAGGCATATAATAATACATTAGTAAGTGATCAAGTAAATATATTAAGGCTATGATTCTTGGAGCAGGTCTTTTTTAAGGCAAGGCTTTCTGAGAGAAATCAAGATGCGAGAGCAGTACGTATGTGGATTAGGTATGTAGGGTTGTCTAATTACTAAGGTACATATGACTTGTCCTTCTTTTTTAACGCCTCAGAAGGACGTCAAAAAAGGTGGCGCACCTACCAGGATAATACCTAGGTACCTATGTTGTTAGTAGAGGTGCGCCAGCTTTTCAGCTTTTTACGCCTTTCTGCGCCTTACAACTACACCAACACTATGGGGCGTTGGGATATACTTATTCCTATTGCTACCTCATAGATATAATTAACGCTTCAGGTATTCGTTATCGTTAGCGGTGAGCATACGCTAGCACAAGCTTGGCAAGGCTTGATGAGGCTTAGTCGCTTAGTTTTATTTGTAATCCGTACGACCCAATGGAAATTGTACCTGAGATCAAGGATCTATTTCGTTCTCGCTTTCGTCAAAACCAAACCGAGATGGGGTATATTCAATGCGAGTCCTCACGAACTGGGTCTTCAGCTGAGTCCGCTGGACGAAGATATATAAGTAAACAATAGATAGGTAAGTTTTGCTAAAAAATCAGCATCTCAACTCACAATAATCCTCGTGCCTCATCTACAACTTATTCCTATACTTTTCCTATACTTTTCCTATACTTATCCGTACCTATACATAAACTTCCTCACTATTCAAGATGGCCCTAACTGAGCGGGATAACATCTCTATCGCTGAAATTGTTATTTACGTACCAGCACTCTTCATCGCAATATGGCTATCCATACGCCACGGTTTTGGTCGTAACTCGGGATGGCTCTATTTGATTATCTTCTCGTTAGCTCGCATCATCGGAGCAGCAATGCAGCTGGCCACTATACCGGATCCTACCAACCTTAGCCTTCTCGTCGGAGCAGCAACTTTACAAAATATTGGCCTATCGCCTCTAATTATGGTCCAACTGGCCCTAATTGGACGAGCTGCTGGAAGTATCCGAAAGTCGACAACATGTTTCGTGACCGAGAAACGAGTCCGCCTCATCCAGCTTCTTGTTCTTGTAGGCTTGATCCTAGGCTCAGTCGGTGGCAGCCAATCCGGACAGAGCCTTGCCGACACAGGGAAATACACCGTCTCGAGTCTCTCGCAGGCTGGTACGGGCCTGATGATCGCCGCGTACGCCTTGCTGGCCTTTTCGACTGCTCTCGTCGCAATGCAAATATCACATATGGAACCGGGAGAGAAGCGATTAGTTTTGGCCGTAGGCGTTTCTCTCCCCTTTATTCTCGTTCGACTAGCCTATTCGGCAGAATCCCTGTATGGGCACAATCCGGCCTTTAACCAAGTGACGGGCGACGTCAACATTCAGCTTGGAATGTCTGTCATCATGGAGATGGTTGTTGTCGCCATTGTGGAGAGCATTGGAATGACTTTGAATAAGATCACAAAAATTGCAGCTCAGCAGACGAAAACCGACTACGAAATGGTATCACAGTAAAAATACGGGCGTTGGCATCTTTTTGAATGTATATATAAAAATACAATATAGACGTAGACATATATATCATTCCATAGTATTCTATTCAAATATATCAACATAATGATAATGACGAGGAAGAACATTGGGTATACAAATGTGCTGTACTTTCGTACCATTCAAACTTTAAATAAGCTTTAGTGAGATTCTGGTCCCCTAATTGCAAGGGTTTCCACCGTCTCGGGGCTTGCCAAGGCCCTGAGCCGTCACGCTACCGCTACCGTAGTGGACCTATGTAGTACGTCGAAGAGGGGCAACTAAAAGCAATAAGGCGGGCAGCCGCGGGGTACTTCACAACGTCAGAAATTTTACAAATCCCTAAGTCAAGCTTTATCTTTAAATTAAATTACCTCTCAAGGAGTTTTGTCTTTAGCTGACTGGAAAATATGCCGGTAAGGACTTGGGAAACGAAACTAAGCGGACAGAATAATATTAATAAAATGCGACTAGTTAATCATAGTCACCGGTCTCCCTACGTCCGGTAAAACCACGCGCGCGAAACAGCTGCACAGCTACCTCTCCGAGCGCATAGGGGACTCATCTGCACCCGCCACGGCTAAATATCGACTGCACTTGATCTCGGATCAGACACTATCCATTTCGCGCTCCGTGTACGATCTATCAGCGACGCCGGCGCATACACGATCCGCCAATGCGTCCGAGAAGGATGCTCGCGCCGCCATCTACGGTGCCACGAAGCGCGTGCTAAGCGATCGAGATATCGTCATTCTCGACGGACTCAACTACATCAAGGGCTGGCGATATCAACTATTCTGCGAGGCCAAGGCTGTGCGCACACCCAGCTGCGTCCTACAAATTGGCTGTACGAGGGAGAAGGCTAAGGAGGTCAACGAGGAAAGATTGCGGCGGCGGCACGAAGACGCTGACGGCGCGAAGGATAAAGAGGAGAAGGGCAACGAAGAGCAAGAAGAGGAAGAGGGTCCTTACGAGCCGGAAAACTGGGAGAATCTCGTGTTCCGTTATGAGGAACCGAATCCTATGACGAGGTGGGACAGCCCGTTATTCACGCTTATCTGGGAAGACGGCGAGGAGCAGACGAAACAGGTTTTTGATAGCTTGTGGGATGCCATTGCGGGTGAAGCGCGGAAACTGGTACGGCCTAACCAGGCAACCGTGCAGCGGACCAGGGAGACGGGCGGAGATTACTTATACGTTCTCGACCGGGAGACGCAAGAAATCGTCAAGAGAATACTGGACCAGCAAAGCGATGATGGCGGGGACGAGATAAAGATCTCCCGGAGTAGCGGCAACGAAGGCGAGGAGTTAGTTGTGGAACTACCAGCTGGGAAGAAAGTAGGCCTGCCTCAGTTGCAGCGGTTACGAAGGGCGTACATGGGCTTGCATAGAGGTGGTATTGGCCTCGAGGGAGTTGGAAATTTAGGACCGGAGAGGATACGAGAGACCTTTGTGAGATATCTCAACGATGCTTTTGAAAAAGATGGTTGATATATCTCTTGTTGATGCTTGTTTCTCCTGTATACACATATATTGATACCCCTGGCGTTATTTACAGTATTAAATGCAACATCAAAAGAACCTAGTTATATATTTACACTAACAAATTCGTGATAATGATTATCGAGGTTGAAAAGCCTGTGTGTTTATATTCCAACCTGTAAAGCGTAGTCAACCTACCTCGTGGGTTATTCATGAGCTTGAAGGGTTAAAGACTAACTATGTCATAATCGATACTTAAATAATTCGTCTATTGTGATATAATGCAGCATAATCCTTGCATATACCGCATTGTAAGCTCAATCTCACTATTTGGTGGCTATACTTGTATGTCAGACACGAAAACATTGCTTCATCTAGTGCTTAATGAAGATATTTAGAAGTGCAAAGGATATATATCGTTAGCGGGCTCGGGTTATGGATGAACTAATCAAGAAAGCAATCCAAGAAAATGAGGCTACGAGGAAACCCTTGAGCGCTGTTCCGTGGAAACCCGATCAGCCGTATGCACAGCCCTTTTTCACATATGACCGCTCTAAACAAGCATGGACATCAGCGGAGCCCAAGCCGGTGCAGCAAGGGGGCGGTGGAAATGGAATTAATCGGCTGAGGCTGTACAGCTGGAACATCGATTTCATGCTGCCGTTCGCGAAAGCGAGGATGAACGCCGCGCTAGACCATCTCGACGATCTAACGAGCAAATTACCATCCTCAACCGCCGCGGTCATCTTCTTGCAGGAGTGCATCGAAGAGGACCTCGATACGATCGGCGAAAAGGAATGGGTAAGGGAGAAATTCAACGTGACGGATGTCGACGGCAGCAACTGGCAAGCCCACTACGGCACCACCACACTAGTCGACCGACGACTGGCTATCACGTCCTGCTTCCGCGTGCACTACGAGAAGACGCGTATGGACCGCGACGCCCTAGTCGTAGATATATCGCTGCTAAACAACAGCACGCCCAAGACCCTCCGGCTATGCAACTCGCACCTCGAGTCGCTAGCGCTAGAGCCGCCGCTGCGCCCGGCGCAAGTCCGAGTCCTGGCGACGCACATGCGCGCGCCGGGTGTGCACGGCGCGCTCGCGGCGGGGGACTTCAATGCCGTACAGCCGTTTGACCGGGGGCTGCACGCGGACAACGGGCTGCGGGACGCGTATCTCGAGGTGGGGGGGCGGGAGGACAGCGAGGCGGGGTACACGTGGGGACAGCAGGCGGCGACGAGCATGCGGGAGCGGTTCGGGTGCTCGCGCATGGACAAGGTGTATTTCACGGGGGGGTTGAAGGTGTGTGGTTTCGAGAGGTTTGGGGCGGATGTGCAGGTGAGTGGTGAGAGGGAGAGGGAGAGGAGGGAGATTGAGGAGTTGGGGTTTGAGAAGCCGTGGATTACGGACCATTTGGGTGTTGTGGCGGAGTTTGAGGTTGTTGATTGAGGATTGAAATAAGTAAGTATGTACCTAAAGTAAGTATAGGAATTGAATGATTGCTCTGTTAAAATTGAGATATCTTTTTGTTGGTAGTTATAGGGGATTGAGGGATCTTGGAAGAATCTTTCTACTTCATATTTCACTCTGGCTCTATGTATGCTCTTACATGAAATATAGGGGCTATGGGTTATACGCTTAGTCTTAGGATCTCATCAAATAAGTGGTTAATCTTGCATAAGAAAGAATTTATAACCGCGTTTCTTGTAAGAATTAATCATAGTTAGACTATATCTCCTGAGTAGAGGCTCAAGATATATTGGGTATCTAAGTGCCCTATGTGCTACTTCTGCATTGAACGTAATCTATCTAGGCTTTCAGCCTATAATAAACTAATAGACCTATCTCATTCGTGTCTAGGTTCCTATTTCGTCGTGAACCTCTCACTCATTGCAGCTTAGACCGGGTATCCGACCACAACTTATCCACGATCTGGAACACCGCCGTAACATCGCGCATGACGGCACTATCGACCTGTCCGCCGAGTCGCTGCTGTATCTTATCCGGATGCCACCGGACGCGTTCCTCTTTCAGTTTTGCCAAGAACTCCGTTTCGCCAACGTCCTCAGGGTCGATACCCATGACGAAAAAGTCCCTTACAGCATCCGCACCCACGTCCTCGCGCCGTCCACTCCGCACCGGCCACGCCATATGCTCCGGCGTCCCATCCCACTCCTTCCACGCCTGCGCATACTCCTCCCAGCGCTCTTTCCAGCCCTTTCTCCTACGCCTCTCCTCGCCCCTACGCAAGCTCCGCTCCATCTCGCGCGTAAGCCTCCTAGCCTCATCCTCTTCCCGGTCTCGCTGTTTCCGGCGCTCCTCGCGGCGCGCCCGTTCCTCTAGCAGACCCTGGTGCGTCTTCTCCCACATCTTCTGCCGCACGTACGCCGCGTACTCGTCGTCGTCCATCCGTTCTAATTCCCCGTCTGGCCCGGACCGCGCCTGGGGGTAGATGTGGATCGGTTGTCCGTATACGCCTTCCCAGTACGCTGCGCCTTCGTCGTCTGCCATTGCGTCAAAGAGAGATTCTCGGAACGCGGCTTCGGAACCGAGAGGGGGTGGCTCGAAGGGGTTGGGAGGCGTGGGTGAGCGTGAGCGTCGCCGCTTGTGTTTATGGTGGTGATGGTGGTGACGATGTCTGTGTCTGTGGCGATGACGGTGTGGTTCGGCTTCGTCTTCACGTTCGTAGTCATCATCGCGGTCGCGGTCGCGGTCTCGGGAGGAGTGCCGATGGAGCCGCGAGCGCTTCGATTTAAAGCGGAATCTGCTTGTCTTCTTCCTGTCCCTCAATTCCGTAGCTTCGAATTCTTCCTGCTCTAGATTCGGCTGCGGCTCCGGAGGTGGGGCCTCAGCCGGAGGTGTATTGCCATTTTCTATCTTGGGTGAAGCTGAACGGCGATCTGGGTTTATTGAGGATAGTATGTGTCGCCTTTTCGGCGACGCTGCCTCTGTGGTCATCTTGTAGACATAGCGCGTAGTTATCCCCTTTAGTATATAGGGAAGCTCCGAAATACTAGACTCGGTATGATGAAGAGGGCATAGTTATGATGAAAGTGGGTAGGTTTAGAAAACGTACCTCATAGGCACATGTAAACGGTCCATCAGATTTACATAAGCTTAACCTTATCTTATCGGATCCTTTTAAAGCTTGAAAGCGACGGATTGCCCCACATAACCTCAACTTGTGCTGAAACAATTTCTATTATTAAAGTCCTACAACCTAGATTTCAATGCTAGTATTTATTTATATGAACAATAACATGGTCATAGATTTCATATTAGGTAAACTTACGATATGGATGCGATAAGTCTATAGTACTATGTCTATTATAGCAGTATATTGATCCGCCACCTCGTACTTGGGTATCATAATCCGTCTTACTACTACTCCTATCCTCATTCAAAGAATCCACCTTCGCTTTCATTGTCGCTCAAATTCAGAGCTTTAGATATTTTACGTCTCTCGGCCCTATTCTTGCCTATTTGGGCACCCATAGGATTAGACGCATCTGAGCTCTTTGTCCTAGAACGATTGGCTTTTGCTGGGGCAGAGTCCTTCAAAGATTCATTGTGTGTTTTGCCTTTCGCATCTGTCTCTAGTTTGCGTTCCCTGATTTCGATTAATGCTTGGGTCCCTATCTCTGCTGCCTTTTCTATAACCTCCCATAACGGTGGCCGTTCGCTATGTAGAGCCTGTGCTGCCGTACTTGCATCCTCCGCCTTCTCCCCGACTGGGTACAGGCTAATGTAACGCTCCCTGTAAGGGAAAAATCGGGTGTAGATACTGTCGACTTCTGCTTTATGAAGGTCTGCTTTTAACTTCTCAATCTCTTTGGGATCTTCGGCCGTCGTTAGTTGAGTTTTGATTCGTTTCGCGAGCCGGTCCGCTTTCTTTCTCTCTATTTGTATTGTTAGAATACTGTTTACCAATTCCTATTGTATAGAAAAGTAGTCCTACCAAAGAAGCGAACCATGTGGTATTTTGCAATCATCGTCTTCCTCTTTTTTTCATCCACAGCCTCGGCGATTTTCTGTTGGTGATGGGCAAGCTCCCTCTCTAAATCATTCTTGACGTTTGCAGGCATATTCTGGCCTATCTTGAAGCGTCTTTCAATCGTTCGCACTCGTTTCTTAAGCCAATTTATGTTATCTGGCTTTATCTTGTTCTTTTTCGGCTTTTTATTATTGAACTTCGGCGCATGGCTTCCTGGAATGCGCTCGTGAGGGCCATCTTGCGAGTCGGCCCTGAACTCAGAAAATTTCCTCTTGGAGCTCATCGTGTGTGCAACGTATTATTTTTAACGGTAGTCGCTAAGTTTTTTGGGAATCAGGTCAAGAGAGTGCCGCTATTGAGGAATTGAAACGACGGAAAATAAACTTTCGAAGTTTATCGGTTAACTACATAAGGTAGATTTAAGATAAGATACGTACCTAAAAATACTCAGGTACATGCATAAGGTACAGGGTCCTGTCCCCGCCTTCTTTAGCTGCATCTAAACTTGAACTAAATGTTCGAACTTATTTTCATATTCTCATCTTAATAATGGAAATTGTATAAATCATATTAAGATGTATTCTCTTCAATTTTCTAGAGTATGTATCATTCCCCATTAGGAATGAAATACACACTCTTTCCCGGTCCCCCCTTTGCCGCAGCAATGCGAAGTGCCTCCTCCCAATCTTCAAGTCCAAATTTTCCGGCCACCTCCATGCCCACTCTCGAGCCAATCTTCAGCACACCTCTTTCGACAGTTTTGATCAAGTCCTTCGCCTGCTGAGATGTATTCATAAAGGTTCCCTTAATTGTGATACCTTTGTATGATATGTGCCAATAAGGGATGTCGATGTCACCTGGGATTCCTCCCATGAGACTCATCCGGCCTCCTGGTCTCAAAGACAATATACCCGCTCTAATATGAGAGCTCTTGCTGGCCGGCCGTGGAGATATGTCGAAATACACATCCAGCGGCCCAAATTTAGCCAGTGCGTCGACGTCTTGTTGGACATCGCCGCTAATCTTGACGGTTTCTATTCTTCCAGGATCGGCGAGCTTCTTCAGTTCCGCGAGAGCTGCCTCATTTCTCCCCATAGCGATGACTCTAGCGCCCATAGAAAGGGCCACATGTACGGCGGCACTACTAAATGAACCCGTCGCTGGGGCGACCAAGACTGTCTCGCCTGGCTTTAGTCCAATATCTGCCAGGCCACCGTACGGAACTACCAGCTGGCTAAGAAACCCGAGTTCTTCAAGTTTATATCGCAGTTGCCCAACTAAGATATCTTCATCCAGAGCATGCACGCTTTCCAAAGGCGCAGTCGATAGCGTGGCCCAGCACCCATTACGCCACTCTTCTGACGCCATCAGCTTCCTAGTCCCCTCGCTGAAGCCCTCATGGAATGATCTAAGGACCTTGATATTGGGGTCGTCCCGGCCCCGGACTGTCAACTCTACAAATACTAGCTGACCGGGTTTTAGGCTCGTGGCGTCGGATGGAACAGCAGCAACGCGGGCAATACAAGAACCACCAGGTACAAGTGGTAAGGGGTATTTATAACCTCTCGGATTTCCATTGGTAAATATCTCGTTAGCATACTGTACGATGATAGAGTATAGTGGCTTAACAATTGCGGTTCCAGCCGTGGGAATCGGCGTCGACAGTGCTGCAAGAGTGGGTGGCGAAGAGGGTGAATGGAATCGTAGACCAGTGTAGGTCTCCGGGAGAGAGTGCTTAGTTGGATTCGCCATCCTCGTTGTGAATGAGCGGTTTAGAAAATTAGAAGATGAAGGATTCCTAGTTGGATACTTCCATCTATTCCGCGTAGGTTGGAAGATACGGTAAGCTCTTTATATATCTAACCCGATCATGAGCCCTTGCCTTGTGATCGATGTCCTGAATTACTTAATTTATCATCAAAACTGCACGGCCCTAATAAGGTCCTATCATGTTGCTCTAAGTACCAAACCATCTCAAGTAGAGACGGCGGAGTTAGAGATGAAGTTTCTTAACTCCAACCCCACTGCATCGTTTCGCTCTCGGTTTTAGGAAATAGATGGCTATATTAATACTTTACTACCTTAACGTAGTATATAACCTAGCTATATAACTAGAAACTCTTATACTAGGTAGTTGGCTGACGGGTAAGCTCGTCGGAAACCGAAGGAAACTCGGACTATGATACCTAAGGACTAACAAGGGTTCTGTGGGACTGGGTGATCATTTCCTGTTAAGGTAAAATTATCTTTAATAGATGAGCATTGTATAGTTGAACTAATCCTAATTCCTAAATAAACATAATGTCATTGCCAATTACCTCGATTTTACTTGATATATACATGTAGGTAGCTTTATTTCTCTTCCGTGTTAGGTACAACTCTATAAAAAATTCATAGTTGCAACTAAGCTTTGTCAGCTACACGTATGGCGGTTTTTGATTGGTCAATGGATCACCTGCAGCGCTGGCGGGGTCTGAGCTTAAGTTTTATCGATAGGAGGCTAACTTCCAATGGTAGCTTCAATGTTGGCACGGAAGCTCCAAGTTGAATCAATCTAATACAACAAAGTTAAGGTGCTGTGCTATTAGTGGCAAGCACCTTACACATGTATCGAGCCGATCCAGCCTAGAGTCAATTAAAGTAAACTTTCTTTCGAGAATCCTTCGACATAAAACAAGTGCGCAGAACTTGCTCTATTTCTTCTATTTCTTAGTACGAGACATGCAGAGTCTACGACAAGATGGCTCTTGTCAGTTTCGTTCAATTCACATAGTCAACACCCCCTCTTGATCTTTTGTAAGAAACCAGCCTAGGCAATGATAAATTTATATCTGAGAATACCTCCTACGCATCTCTGGGGAAATGTCTCAATACGCAACTTCAAAGATGGATAGACCAGAGCCAGGACTGATCAAATGGTCTCCCAACCCGGCCTACGACACCTTTCTCCACGTTAACTTGCAACATCGAGTCGTGCAGCTATATGAACCCACAGGTCTTGCGCAGCCTGGGAGCTTTGACTTCGAAAAGTCATCAAAGTACGATGAGATCCCTCCGCTGACCACCTACGATTGGTCACCTGCTCATCCTGGGCTCGTCGCTATCGGAACCGCAAGTGGCACTGTGGATATTATAAATCTTCACGGTGATGCCAGCTCTCATCTCGAGCTCCCTATAAGGATTACTCGTACTTGTCAGGCAGTGGCTTTTAATACAGGGTCCTTACTTGCTGTTGGGTTAGAACGCGTTCGAAATGATCAGTGCCTTAAGATATTCGACGTAAGTCGACTTACGACGCTGGAACACAGTGCTACGTGGGCATCACTCGAAGGTTCGATGAATCCAGTGATCGGGCTTGAGGCTAGTATCTCAATATCAAGCACCAAGTTTTTCGAGGATAGCCCCCAGGTTCTCGTTGCCGGGATTAAAAATCAGGGTATTCGCATTTACGATCTCCGAGGTAGACCTTGTCCCCGATGATATCCTTTTATAAAATTTACTAATTGGTCCCAAGATCCACAAGGAGCGGTGATCAATTATCAAACAAAATGCAATAACAACTTAGCAATCGATTATGCTGACCAGAATTATTTTGCTTCGTCTTCTCTAGATAAACCAGGGCTGGTGATTTGGGATCGTCGGGCCACCTCAAGAACGTCTTCTTCCCGCTTTTACCTCGATGCTGTCGATACAGATGATTTGCCATGGGGAGCAGCACTCAACGTCGATAAAGCAATCGATGTCAAAGAAGCCAATTTCCAAGATAGGGGTTCATTGATCAGGTCGTTACGTTTCTGTAGGGATCGTTCCGGTCTGATAGCAGTGCTCTCTAGAACTGGTCAGCTCAAGGTCCTAGACACTAAGAAGGAATTTATTCCTTTCGAGATGCATCCTAAGGACAGCCCCGAGATCCTGGAAGTCAGGAAATCATACGAGCTCGACATGAGCTATTCAAAGGAACGAAAAGATGACAGGATTGTATCGTTTGACTGGGTGACGCTCGACTCTCCTGCTCTAACACCACGAGCAGTAGTTCTACGCGCCAATGGAACATTTGACATTCTTGAAAAACCATCATATTCATCAGAACATTTATATAAGATCATACCCTGGAAATCACCCCACCGTGGGCTAGAAGGTAACACTATATTGGCCGATAGATGATCATTGCTAATTTCACCTAAGGGGGCGGCGGCTATCACACTCTGATGCAATTCGAAGCAACACAGTATCCCGAGATGATGGGACCACTCAATATAGACCAGGCTTTCAAGGATCAACTTCTATTTGGAAACCGTAAGGAATCCACTAATGTTATAATACAGAAAACCTTATTATCTCCTCCACCCACGGCTGACCCTATATGCGACCTGGAGGCAAGCACTGAGCCACTACCAGAGCTATTCACCAGTGCTTCAACGACAGCAGACAAGTTGCGTGGTTTGAGGCAATACTCTAGGGAAACCCTCGAAACCGCAAAGCAACTTAATGACAAGGAGCGACAGCAATCAGTAACGAAGGATTTGGACCGGTCCCTATCGGATTTATCTTTGAAGGGAAATGTCTTACCATCAAATAGACAGCTACATGAGAGGCTACTTGCATCAACACTAGATTCAAGGGGATTCCCTAAAGAAGCACAACTCGTTCTCGACCACGTGATGCTCCTTCGTTCCAAAGATAAATACTTATTCGACTATGTCGCGAATAGGGACATAGCTGCCGATGATCCTTGGTTGAGGGAACTATGGGATTGGATTGCCGGTATGTACTTTGCGCTTTACCGCCTTATTCATTTCTAGAACTAATAAGTTGGTAGGGGCTGATGATGCTGCCTCTGACATGGGCATGATATCACACGGCATCGACCTGAGCTATATGGGTGTTGCTAACATATGGACGCGCGACTTAGGTTGGTTGTAAAGTTAGCTTTCTTTCGAAAACACTAATTAATGGCTACTTAGGGTCTAACTTTTCAGTCAGACTTCTAGACGGTACTAGGGCCCCAGATGCAGCGGCATGGGACCGATGTCTGCAAGAAATAAATAGGAGGTCGAAACGGCCAGCATACACTGGCATTGAATCAAAGAAGCCGCTACATCGCCAAGTTGCTACGTGGATTTGCGGATGGGGCAGGTCACCCGATACATATTTTAGTGACTATGCGAAGATGCTGCCTTCTGAGCGAAATTCATCATGGTATACGATGGCAACTGCTCATGCCCTCTTCGAAGGTGATTACGACAAGGCGGTGGGAATACTCAAGGGTGCCAGTACAGAGCACCCTGAGCTTTTGTTCGTCTCCTTAGCCCTACAACTCAAAGGCCAAGGGGATAGGAGCCCCGGCACAGAGCAGCTGGATTTCGACGACGCGGTTGCTTCTAAAACCGATCCCTACCTTCGCGCGATATCATCTCTTATTGCAACAAATAACTGGGAGATTATCGCAAACCAAGAATCCCTACCTCTCCGAGAGCGTACATTCGTGGCACTTCGGTATTTCGACGACGAAAAACTCACGCAATGGCTCGACAAGGAACTTAAGAAGGCGATCGATACAGGTGACATCGAAGGCATTGTACTTACTGGCATAACTGACAAGCTTGTCGACATATTTGCAAAGTACGTTGAGAAATTCAACGACGTGCAGACAGCTACTCTGGTCTTGTCAATCTGTTCACCGCGTTATATAAACGATTATCGATGTCGTGTGTGGCGGAATGCGTACAGAGCCTATCTTCAGCGGCACAAGGCTTTTATGCAGCGGACTAAGTTCGAGGTGGAAAGCACCAAGAAGAGCAAGCGAAGTGGCGTTCCTACCATCATGCCGCCGTCCCGACAGATCGCGCTACGCTGTGTGTATTGTGACGCTGAATACGAACTCTCTAAGACGGGGGCAAACCCGCAGTCAATGGTTGCCGGTCAGGGATCAACGAACCCGCTGACGGCGGCCAATATCAACGCGGGAGTCAGTTGCCCGAACTGTGGGCGCCATCTCCCGCGCTGCGTCGTGTGTCTTGAGATCGTGGGCGTCCCGCGTTCCGATAAACCAGAGGCCTCGCCTGACCCCCAGGTCCGTGTCGCTGCCCGCTTCCCGACTTTCTGCCTCAAGTGCGAACATGTCCTGCACCTCGACCACGCACGCCAGTGGTTCGCGAGACATGTCGAGTGTCCGGTTCCGGAATGCAGGTGCCGGTGCAACTTCAGGGCGAACCCGGAGTTGAATTATCATTGAGTGGTATTTGTGTGTGTGGGTAGCTGTAAGGGGTTTAAGTCGAGAGTATAGGATTATTGGCTGGTGTTTTATCTCTATGCCGTTACATCTATCCAGATGTCTGTATACCTAACCTTACGGCTTCCTTTGGGCAGAAATACTACCGTCTGAGATAAGTCGGGGTCGTAGTAGGGTTACAATTTTTAGTATTAGACCAATAGTATCACGCTTGGTCTCTTATATGCAACTACTCATCCTTTAACCATATGTGAATTGGCCTACTAAAGTTTTTGAATACATCATGTGTTCATGCTACTGCATATCTCATCACCTTGCATATCTACATAGACCGGCCGCTAACGGGCCTCTATTCAGTAGTTAGGTTTTTTAGAAACACGAAGCGCATAAGCGAAGCAACCTCTACCTACCACGCCCTATCATTTAACCTTATTATTGTCATTACTCGTAACCGTCGTATAACTCAATATTGTACAGTCTGAATCTAATCGTAACAACAACTCTTAGCAAACAAGCAGACATCCTCACGCCGCCAACTTCCAGAGCGGCACATACGCTCGCGCGGCGGGGGTATCGTCGTCTTCGTCTTCGATCGCCTTGTTCATCCGCGTGATCCATTCGTTCTCCGCCCTCGCCGCATCCCGCTCGATCTGCCCCATAACCGCCAGCTCAGCTAACATATCGTCGACGAGCGCACGGCTGCCGCGCACCATCCGCGCTAGCCCGGAGTCGGCTATAGAGTCGTCGTCGTCGACGTCGACGTCGCCGAGATCCTGTAAAGCGGCCCGCCACCCCTCGAGTTTCCGTAATAGGCTCTCGCAGTCGCGCGCCCACGTCCGGTCTAGGTCGCCTAGAAACTGCACCTCGTCGCCGGCGATTAGACCTTCGACGTCTCCCGAGCGCTGGGCTGCGATGATAGAGGCCATGCGCTCGGCCCAGACCTCGAAGTTGGCTACGACGCGCTGGTAGCGCCCGCCCAGCTCGCCGAGCTGCCAGACGCCGTTGAGGACTTCGTCTAGGATCTGGACTTTCTCTTCTAGCCCGAGACCCGACCGATTACTTTTGCCCCACCGCACGAGCGCCGCGATATTCCGGGCCTCGACACCGTGTCTCTCGAGCTTGATAAGGGCGTCGTGGTCGGCGTTTAACCGCGCGAACCGCGCCCCGAGTTTCTGGCGCGCGCTATGGCGCCATTCGGAGTCGACGGCAGCGGCGTCGCGATGGAGAAGCGAGAGCTGCAGTAGTTCCGTCTGTAGACGGCTAGTCTCGGCGGAGATGGCGACGTTGGCGGGGAGCTTGGAGGGCGAGGGGGGTGCGAGGAAGGTGGATGTTAGGGGCTTCGGCGCGAGGGACTTGGCTGGGCTGTAGTGCTGTTGGTGTGTGTTGAACGCTGGGCGGCTGGTGGGTTGCTGCGAGGTAGAGGTGGAAGTAGAAGTAGAGGAGGGTTGGGATTGCGATTTCGTGCGCGTGCGCGTGTGTGTCTGGGAGCGTGTCTGCCGTGTCGGAGCTTTCGAGCTCGCTGTCGTGATTGCGCTTGCGGCGGGGCTCGTGCGGCCCGACGATGTAGATGATGTTTGGGATATTCGGGATTGAGCGGCAGGGCGGAGGGTTGTTGCGGCCGTGAGGCTCGTGACTGTAGATTTCGATCGTGAGTGTCCGATAGATCGGTTAGAAGCCGTTGGAGGCGGACCGCCGGATGATCTCGGTCGGTTGACGGTTGTACTTGCGGAGCGGGTTGAAGGAACCGATCCTGCTGTCGTTGACGAGGATGAAACTTGACGCGTAGACGATGCTCTGCCTAGAGGCCTGGGAGCTTTGGCTGCAGTATTACCGGCATTGTCTGAGCGTGCGGATGGGGCCTTGCTATAAGTCCCCGAGGGAGGTCTCCCCGTGATAGTAGAGCTTGCTATTCGTCGCGCAGTGGTAGTAGAAGAGGTTGTGGTATTCGACACCATCGATCGGGTCGTCATTGTGGGTTTCACTGGTAGTCTGCTAGGCGACGTGTTCCTAGCCTCGTTACGCGCCGAGGGTATATTCCCCCGTGTTGATCCATTGCTCCCGGAAGTAGGTTTTTGAAGCGAGCGCGTGCGGCTTAAGCTAGTTGACGACGACATAGTGTTGGTCTTTTTAAGACAAAGTTTCTTTTATGGGAATTGTTTAGTTAGAGTGTTGGTAAAGAATCAGGGGTCTTTGTGCTGTTGACCCGTGCACGCGACTAACAAGGTAAAGTTACCGAGAATTACAGTGGATGATATAGCGGGCTCCACAGTTAAATCCCCTGCTGTCAACCCCACTAAGTTGGCAGGTTGGCAGGTTGGAAGGGCTGAAAAGGTTAAAAGTCTATCGCATCGTTGGTCAGTCTGATCGTTGGTTCTTTCACAGTTGATTGAATATTACATAAAGTCAAATGCCGTAATCCATCCTATCTCCCCTTCCTTATACATACTACCTAAGGCAGGTACGCACTTCCTATGTTACTCAAGCGTTTCAGAAGATATCACCAAAGCTTAAAAAATGTAAATAGGAAGGAGTTATAGGCTGAGTAAGGAAACTACTATGTATCATTGGGACACTAATAGGTAGGTACTCAGAAAGTCAAAAAGAAAATGTAGCTGGTTCACTTGTATTCATCTGCATCTACGTGGGCTTAATTGCAATTGGTATCATCGTGCGGCTTCTAGCCTGGATCCCATTATATCCTTTCCCCTTTGCCTTCCCCTTTCCCCTTCCCTTTCCAAGCTCTTGTCGTACTTGTTATATACCAGTACAAGAGAGGTATCATCGTATCATAAACGCCTACTTCCTAATGCAATTCCTTCCTTTTCGTCATCTATGTACCATTGCATACGCCGAATAAAATCGTTCGTTGCTTATTGATGCTTCTCGAGCATCAGGGCCGGGTTCCGTACTATACATAACCCGAGAATTGATGAAAGAATAATAATATGACCCCAGGCCTGAAGAAAATTATTTGAAGAACAGTATTTGAAGAAGAGTATTTGGTTGGTTGGTGAGTAGTCATATCGAACAAGAGATCAAGTGCTCGCTGCTTGCTTCCCCTTCTCGCGGCGCTGGTCAACTTCCATATTGTCCATCAGTAACTTAAGGTCCGACTTATAAATGCCCATGAGTCGTTCATGACACTCGAAGCAAATGCGCAGATTGCACCATGAGCAGGTCTTACGCGAGCCAGCGTCTTCGACACTACATGTCTGACAAGCTAATGGGTAGTTCAAGTTCTTAACTGGTACCCATTTATTGTGGCGGACATAACAGTTGTAATGTCGCGAAGATATAGGAGCAGCTCGCCATACGGTATCGGTCGAAAGAGCGGCTAGGCTGTAGTTCCTTGGGAAACGAGAGAGGGCCTCGTTGACTTGGGCTATTTGCTCTGCAGTCATATGTTCCACGGACTCGCCAATATCACTAAGTGCGCTCGCATCAACATCTCGAGAGATCTTACGCATCGGTTTGCGACCACTCGAGTCTGGCGACGGCGCGGGTTCGTTTAATGCCGTTACGACGTTAAAGAGCTCAAGCTTCTTCATGGGTTCGACTGAATCCGATGGCAACATTAAAGGCATCGCAGCGGACGGGCTTGATTGCGGTGAAGCTTTGTATCTCATTGGCTCCTGAGCATTTTGAAGAGCTGGGGGAGAGCGTAGGGAAGGGTTGCTTTGAGATGGTCGTGGATATCGTGGAGGTCCAAGACTCGGTTGTCTCAGATCGGACGAGCTCCCCTTCTTATGGACTTCCGGTTGGCTGGGAGGCGTAGGAGCTGCGATAGCGCGGCGCGGAATTGACTGTTCTGCAGCTGCGGACTCCTTTGGGGGGGTCTCCGACGATGGTCCGGGACGAATCGGCGAGTAAACTACGGTCTCGACCGAAATCTTTGGTATCACAGATTCCTCGGCGAGAATCTGGTTTTTTACAGGGGGCGTAGGATCCATGCTAGTCTTATCCCCGTACTGCACCTTAGGCTCCAGTTTCTTAAGGTGCTCAGCCTTTTCAACTGGCTCATCTTTGACTTTCGCGGGACCTTTAGCAGCCTCGCCTCGACCAGTAAGCTCTTTGAGCTTGGCCGAAAGTTTGCGCATCTTGTCGTCTTGTTGCGGTTCTATCGGTTTACCTGGTCGAATGTTTCTTCCGGGGAGCGAGGCACCTCTAGGAGGTAATGGAGAAGCGGTGTTGTTATTTTGTGTGGACGGTGGGGGCGGGAGAGGGTCTAGGCTGACTGGTTGTGCAGTGGATGCGGTAGATCCGTGGGAACCAGCTAATTTGAGCTCTGGGACGAGAAGGCCATGATCGGATTTTGATGATGCACGTCGCCGCCAGATTTCCCGTCGCTGAGGGGAGTCACCTACAAGGTTAGATGGCGACGCTGATGCTGACGGACCTCCATCATTCACACCGGTCCCGGACACAGGGAATGCCGGGAATGGGTCTACAGGCCGGGTATGAGACGGCGTACTCTGACGGAGCGGGTCCTTCAATGGTGGCGGCGGTGGCGGCGGCAGTGCATCAGGTATCACCTCATCTCCATAAGGGTTGCTTGGAATAGCCGTCAGAGTCTTTGTTAATGACTGCTGGGCATCGTTTATTCCTTCTCGCTCTGGTGAATTGGACGGCTCGCTGTCCTTTGTGATTGTACTGCCTTGCGACGACCTCTGAACAGAATCGGACGATGTATTCGAATATGCCGACAATAGACTAGATATAGAGGAAACCCGCCTCATCTTCTTTGTCTGAACATCCGCAGCTGGGACTGGGGTTAGGGTCGAGGCCGGGCCCGGGCCCGGACCCGGATTTGCTGGTAGTCCTACCGGCTTCCTTGGGATCGACTTCGTCTGCGTTTGTAACTTCGGGGCTCCCATGATATTATTCATATTATTCTCTGGAGGCAACGCAGGAAGAGATGAGCTAAAGCTTGACTTTGGACTACGAATGCTCCTGGCAGTAACACTATCCTTCCTGGGCGGAAATGGCGAGAAAACCGAAGGTAACGGCTCTTGAGGAACTATCTGTGGCCTCTCGTTCTCTAACTCAGGCGGAGGAGCAGGCAACGCTTTTGAAAAACGTGAACGACCCGACTTGGGGGCCTGAAGGGTAGGGCGTTCCATTATTACGTATTATCGGCTGAATTAGGGGTTTGATAGGAAGATGCAAGGAGGACGAAACCGCATATGCTGTCATACCAACTTGATGAGATATGGCCGTTCGCGTTGCCCACTCGTTTCGTCTGATAAGGTCGAGAAAGAAGAGACGGGGGTTGAACAATCAGGGTTGCAGAAGAAAGAAGTGATATGCTGTTAAATCGGGGCTGGGTTCACTACATAGTAACCTTCTGTCAGTACCCTTGGCTTCATACTGCTCTCCGGCTTTGCGGAATGACAACTTTTATGCAGGTACCACGCTCGAAGGATCCACAAGAGAGAATCTCGACGAGTCAAAAGACAGAGGATCCCTGCTTGGATGGAGACCCCAACGTTCTTTATAGATTTTCCTGCAAGACTGCCAGGACTGCTGCGGAAACTGGCCAAGGGAGGAAGCAAGTTTAGTGATGGGCCAGGGGCGAGTCGGAGCTAGCCCTACAGACTTCTCTGTGGGAGGCCTGCTCGATCTGTTACGTATCGCTGACACTGAAATGTGCGAATCCTCTCGCCTCCCTTCAGAACAGGGCCGAACAGCAAATCTACATGGTTACTTTAACCCCTCGTGGAGATGTACCCTTGAACGGACGTTTCAGCCACAAGGAAGATCCCAAAGAGGCCGAGAGGAGGGTAGTCAACTTTAATTAACGGGACTAAGTGGATATATATCATGTCTTTCTTTGATGTCGTTTTTCGCAACTAATTGATACCTCGAGTGGTGTTCACAATTGACACTGTTTAGGGTTCGAATCACTCGGATGAAAGCTGTGGATAGAACTGGAACAAAGCATGCAAAAGCTTGAAGAGGAAAGCGAAAGCTCGAAGATCCTTGCCACCTCATACAGGTACCGATGCTGATGCCTAGAGATTCGAGAACATGTCTAATTTGCAAATTTCACCATTACCTAGACTAAAATGAGACTAGCAAGATATGCATGTCGAAGATGTGATGTGCGAGAATCGGTCCAGCCACGATAGTCTATCCCCTAGGAGGGACCGTACGATAGATTCGAAGTAATCTGAGGCTGTGTCTTCAAGCAACTACCTACTACTACGTGATGGGCATTCAAACGCGTCGAAATTCGCCCGAGGTGGGCTAAACCGGGCTATGACAACTCGAGCATGGTTAATGCCGTCCCGCGTACGGAGAGATTAGCCAGTAGGGGCTTGGACACAAATCAATAGGTAACATTCATTCCCGGTTTAGGGACCCTCATCAGAACTTCACGTGCAAGCGTCTTTGGAACTTCGGGAGAACCGGAGATTGGTATGTAGTTGTGTTTTGCATTCCCGCTCCCTTGTACTTCGTAAGGTAGGTACACATGTATCGGGACTTATCGCATAGACAAAAATGGGTGTTGGTCCGTGTAAAGTTGTTTCGGGAGTTGGGGATCAAGTTTCCGGGTCCACTGAACCATCAAGCCGGTGTGATGGACATATCCCATACATATGAGCAAGGTCTGATCTTAATTGCAAGTTGAGTTGATGACGAACTAATAATGCTATTTAGGTTTTATTTATTTTCTAACCAACTCATAAGTAAAGCACATGATGTGGGAATTCACTGATTTAAGCAGTGAAATATGAGGACCCCTACCAAGAGATAGATTAAATCCGAGACGACGCAGCACAGATTCCATAGACCTGGATTTCAATCTGCAGAAATTAAGCCCATACGAAGGCGACACGGCAAGGTGCATTGGCTAGCTCTCGGATTCCTTATTGGTAACCAGTTATCATGCAGTCTGAGAGAGCACTGCATCTAAAACCGTTATACTATTATCGTTAGGTAACTATGTTAGTTAATCAAACAGCGAATCTATAATTCTCGACTAAAATTAGGTCAACTACCACGATGCAGATGTAAGACACCAGCCATTACTATATGCTATACCTATACCATATACTATATACTAGTTATATAATTCAATCCTCAACTTTCAAGTCGCCCGAAGCCATCCACTATGGTCATCTACTATGGCAAGTACCTGTCAGATATTATTATCTGTCCGATATAAATATAAAGCATAATAGAATAGAATCTATTACCAAAATAACCTTTTAGTGGTATAGCGGTTTGTTCGACAGTACCTAGTTTATAGTAGCGATTGCGGGCGAACGTTATCTCATGAGGGCCGGACAGCGGCGTCCGCATGCCCGATAGACAGCGATGGATTAGCAATCACCTCTGCAGAATCCTCCAATTGCGTGATAGGTAGTAGACCTGATAGGTAGTAGATATGCAGACCGCTACCAATCACTTATACTAACCACTTGAAGCTCGCCTTTGTTAGCAATCTCTACCTCCTACTTCCCGTCTAGGGAAATAGTGCATGTGAGGTCGAAGAAGTGCTAATTAAGCCAATTCACCATCTTCTTTTCTTTTCTTACTATACTTGGATCTTCGTTAAATAAATAAAAAACCATCCAGGTTTTAGATCAATGTCTTCCGAAAACATCACCCCTGTCCATGGCGAAGGGGCCGCAGAGACGACACCTCTGCTAAAGAAAGATGTCTCCGTCGTTAGCGTCTCGGCTCAGAGTCAGTCTAACGGCACGTCTTCGAGCTCGAGCAACTCCATCGCTGGTGACTTCCCGGAAAATGATGTGGAAACCGGCCGGCCCAACGGCGCTGCGCCGAACGGGGATGCCCCGAAGTTGAAAGTAAACATGAAGGCGCTGCTGCCGGCGCTTGCTATTGGTGTAAGTGAGAGCCCCTAGGCAGACCTATTGTCAGCTATAGGTCCTTTCTTCTATGCAAATATAGATACCTTAGGTAGGTATTCATATTGAAGGAGTTCATAAATGCTTATAGTAATAGATCTTCATGGTAGCGGTAGACCAGACTTTGACTATCGCCACATACGGCAAGATGGGTAGCGACCTCAATGCCCTGAACTCGACGAGCTGGATCTCTACATCGTATTTCCTAACGCTAACGGTGTTCCAACCCTTATATGGACGGTTGTCCGACATATTCGGCCGCAAGGAATGTCTGCTGTTTGGGTACGCCGTCTTTGGGCTTGCTTGCCTCGGCTGTGGGCTGTCCCGGGACATCACCGAGCTGTGCGTGGCCCGCGCCGTAGCCGGCATCGGGGGTGGCGGTATGAACGCCGTTGTGACTATCCTCGTCACGGACCTTGTGTCCCTTAGGGACCGGGGCCTCTTTCAGGGATATATTAATGTCGTGTACACTGCGGGCAGTATGTAACACTGGTAATTCCTTTTTTTCCACTTCCCCCTTTTAGATCTGTCTCGGGTGTCGACATTCCCTCATCGAGCTGAATAGATTGTACTGCGCCCGAGACATGGCTGAGTTTCCTAAACACCTTTCTGGAAGAAGTATTTATTGATTTTCCTCGCTGCAGTGATATCCGGCGCACCAATCGGCGGGCTGATCGCCGACACTATCGGCTGGCGGTGGGCGTTCGCGGGCCAGTTCCCGCTGTCGCTGGTCGCGTGGCTAGCTGTATTCTTCGTCCTCGACGTGCCCAAGACGGACCACGCGCACTGGACACACAAGGTTCTACGTATCGACTTTCTAGGGGCCTTTACGCTGGCCTCGGCCGTGTTCACTCTACTATTCGGCCTCGACAACGGCAGCAACGAGGGCTGGAGCCAGCGGATTACCATTATCCCCCTGGCGCTGACACCGCTCCTCTTCGCGCTGTTCCTCTTCATCGAGGTCAGAGTTGCGTCGGCGCCGTTTGCGCCAGGCCACGTTATCCTCGACCCGCCGCTGTTGGCCGCGTACGGAGCCAATATGTTTGGTGTAGCCTCGCAGATGGGCGTCTCGTTCTTCATCGCGCTGTTCTTCCAGGCTGCCGTGGGCCTCTCGGCAACGTCCTCCGGCCTCATGTTCATACCCAGCACGTTCTTTGGGCTCACGGGGTCGCTGGGCGGCGGGATTCTCATGCGCCGGACGGGCAAGTATTACTGGATCACGGTTATCGGGTATGCCTTAATAGTACTTGGCATAGCGCCATCTGCGTCGTTCTCAGGCGCGGTGGTGAAGTCGACAGTGGGTGTTATCGCAGGTCTCTGTGTCATGGCGCTTGGGTCTGGTTCTTGTATGTTTCGTCTTTCCCCTCCGCCTCCCGTCTATTTCTCCCTTATAAATAGTTGCACCTCTCGTAGAGGGAGAGGTGTAAGAAAAGGAGCATGACAGAATGCTAACATAGCCACCTAGCAATTACAAGCTCGCTCATTGCCATAATCGCCAATGCGGATCCCGCCGACACGGCCGTAGCCATCGCGTGCTCGTACCTATTCCGGTCCCTCGGCACGACGCTCGGAGTTTCCATTTCCACGGCGGTCCTGCAGCAAGTTCTACGCACGGAGCTAGCCGCGTCGCTCGGCGGCGACGGCGACAAGGCGCGCGAGATCGAGGAGGGCGTGCGCCAGAGCCTCGACTACATCCGGACCCTGGATCCGGCCATCGCTGAGATCGTGCGGGCCTGCTACGCGGTTGCCGTGCAGTGGGCTTTCATACCGGTTGCTGTTTTGGCCACGGGCGCACTGGTTTCGTCTATCTTCGTCAAGGAGAAGAAGCTCGAGGGGCGGTAGGAACTGGTTGTTGCTATGGTATATATGTTGCCTTTGGATGTATGTGAAATTGTACGGGTCCACTGGTTGCTGTAGAAAGCCAGGCACCTGATGTACGTTCCTCGTCACTGAAAAGGGGACATGCGGGACGAGGTACCTAGGTAGGTAGAATCAGGAAGTAGGCAGGCAGCAATATAATTCCCGACAACAGCAATCAGAAGTATCAAACAATGAAGTCAAAGTCCCGGTGGTGCAGTGGTAAGCACATTCCATCATTACGCGCTTCCGAGAAATGAACTTGGATGAGAGGTCGAGGTTGGAAAGGCATGGGTTCAAATCCCATCCGGGCTGTCATTTCCTTTTTGCTATTTCCTCCTTTCTCTCTCTCTCTCTCTACATAGAAGATATATAATTTCTAATGTCATGTTATTTTGACCTCTAATACATCTGTATATATTCGCGAAGTTGGTTGGATATAAGGTCATGTTCACATAGGTAATGAGTAGCAGAAGTTTTAAGCATCAAGATTTAAGCGGTGCATTAATCAGTCTCATAATTGCGCGGGGAGCCGCGCATACATATTTAATTCATCTACTCATATAAAGCAAAGCAAAAACCACGCGCAACAACCAGGCGACACTAGCATGAAGCATATCAACGCAAGAAAACTCGCAGCACAGTGACCATAGCAAGCAAGCAATCGTGGTAAAGCGAACTCAGTATTCCAAAACCCCTCGACCGAGAAAGAGGTCCAAGATAGATGAGGGGGTATGTAAGTAACTTCTCTAACTAATTCGTGCTTGGTATCAGATCCCTCCCCCGGAGATGTATGTCCGTCCCATCACACCTCGTCGTGTATGATAATTGATAATGCAATAAGATCCGCACGTCGTATGCTCGTAAGAACCATCCACTCATCGCCAGTCTACGTAGATTAAGTCGTGAATCGAAGAAGAAGAAGAAGAAGAAGAAGACAGCACATAATTACTCGCTTGCGGACCTCGAGAGAACACCTCCTAACTTTTCTTTCGCCTGCCGTAATCTAGTCCCAAATCATCATGTAGCTCTGACCGGCGGTATATCCTCCCCGATCCCACTCGGCAGCAGAACTCTATAGGAATCCACGTCGGGGAAAGCTGACACCTTCTACGGCAGCGGTGTCCGTAAACCAACTGCATCGCTCGCCGGTTGCTTCGTTGACGAGCGCGCACGGAAGCCCGTTCCCTTGCTCGAATATTTTCTTCATGATCTCCTTCTTTCCGGCGCCCGTGGCGACGAAGGCGACCTTGACGGCGTGCGTGACGACGGGTAGCGTTAATGTGATGCGTCGAGGCGGCGGCTTAGGTGAGTCGTCGATGGGCGCTACCCACGCGTCTGTCTCGCGGAGGAGCGGGTGACCTGGGAACAGACTGCAAGTGTGACCGTCTGGGCCGCAGCCAAGAAGTAGAAGATCGAAGATGGGCAGCTTGACCGAGTCGCCCTTAGCAAAGGAGTTGACGAGTACTTTTTCGTACTGATCAGCCAGCTCCTGCGTGTCATCTAGGTACTGTGTGTCGATTGGGTGTACGGTTGGTTGGCCCAGCTCGGTCGGGATCTTGTCCAGCAGCTCCTTCTTGACCAAACCGTAATTGCTGTCTTGATGATCTAGAGGTACAGCTCTCTCGTCGGCGAAGAATATTTCCCACTTGTCGAATTTGACCATGTCTTCGTCGGATTTCGGTTGCGCAAGGAGAGCCTTGGCGAGGGTCTGGGGTAGCGAGCCACCCGAAATGGCGACCTTGAAGACGCCATGACGTGTGATGCCAGCATTTTGACATGTGATGATGTAGGATCGCAGAGCGGGCGCAAGAGCTCTGACGTCGCTAAAAGCGAACAAATTGGGTTGCTTTCCCGGCATGGTAGCGTACTATTGGTATGCGACTCTGAATACGTAGTTGGCTGTAAGGGTAGGTATAAATGCGGGATATGGGAGATGGGATATGAGATATGAGATATGAATGTGGTAAGTCGGTGTAAGTCGGTGAGGCGAAATTAGAAATTCTGAGTTATTTGCGGAAGATGATGATGATAGTGGGGTAGGTCATGTAATGTAATGTAATGTAATGTAATGTAAGGCAAGGTAAGGTAGTGTAAGGTGAGGTAGCTTTCACGAGTGATTTTTTTAGGGACTAGGGAAACAATTACCACCCAAACTTATATTTAAGAGCCTCAGGTAAGTGGAAGGTAAAAAGGTAACGGTTGGATATCGATAAGGTATTGTACCTAGAAAAGTCGATAAACATCACACCGTGACAATCAAAAGTCTTGTGTCTGGGTGTAGGTTATATGATTTCTTGAGCAATTGTTTGTTCTTTGGTCCCTACGATGCTAGATTGGCAGATTGGTAGATTGGTAGATTGGTAGATTGGTAGATTGGTAGACCGGGGAGTTGACGATATCGAAAACGATACGGTTACATACCTAATGTAGGTTATGTATCTTGCGTTGGCAGTGTCCACTCGCTAGGAACCTTGGCGTTGAGCCACCGGGCCGTTTTGTGATTGGGCCGAGAGGTCTGGGTTGGCTGGCTGGTTATAAAAAGTTGCAAGACTAAACTCTAAACTTTGAGATGTGCGAGATATCAAATCTTGGCTTAGCATTAGAGAATAGTATATATTGTTTATAGTGGTATTAAGAGATAAATAGAAAGACAACGAAGACTCTACCTAGGTAGTTATCTTGTCTAACTATTCTTATTCACATGTAGATATGGTATGGGTACGGATATGGGTATGAGTAGTGTATGGGTATATGGAAGGTTGTAGATTAGGTTGTTGTGTCAACGTTGGGTGTTTTTGCGAAAGAATAAAAAAGAAGGAGTAAAAAAATATGGAGGGGTAATTCAATGATTGACGTAGGGCTTACTGATCTTGGATGACCAGAGGGGCGGGACAGGGAGCTGGACAGGGAGCTGCCTTGTAGATAAACGGGCTCTATTCCGTAAGTGGGCTGGTAAGTGGGTTGGTGAGTGGGCAAGTGGGGGTTGGGGGGTTTCTGCGCAACATTAGTCTTTAATAGATAATATCTGCATTGCTGCAAGGACCCCTCCTACCCAGCTACCCAAACCAATCGTCGTTTCTTATTTATTCCAACTTGTATTATCAGTGTCGATTCGACGACTTTCGAAGGTTTGGAATTTAACACCGTCTTCGGTTAGCTTGGCATCGCGCAACACGGCGCTTCCTTTGATCGTCAAGTATTATGAAAGATCTTTCATAATACACTACATCCCCGAGTTTCGCGCATAATTATTCATCTAATCCTAGCCTACCTAATCAAGGTACTACATACATACCAATTGGTTGGGGATCAGAACCACTCAACCGCTTCTTTTTTTATCACGGAAGAAACAAGTCGATAAGTCATTTTCACTGCCGGTGTAGGGTAGGTATGATCGGAAGCTCTGTCGAATCGCAACCCTCACGATTCACTCAATTTTCGTCGCAACCATAAAACAATAGATAGGACTTGGGTGTGATTACACATACGACCTCACCGGGCAGTTCCAGGAATAGTCCGCACACGTCCTACACGGGTAGGGTTCCAATGCAGCACGAACATGGCACTCGATCTTATCTGAGACTTGTGGCGTTAGCTGCCCTACTCGCCTACTCAGAATAGCGTCAAAATAACTGGCGCAGTCTGCTAACAATTATGCTGGTAGGTGCGCCACCTTTTTGACATTATTCTGCTAGCGTATACAAAATATATAGCATGACGGAAAGGTGCGGCAACGGTGATGAGCAGGTAGGTATAAATCTTGTAGTTCCTGAGTGTTTGACTTGGCATAGTCGAAGAATCAACATTAGACTCTCATTCCGAATCATGCATTGTTGCGTGCAGATCCAGATTATCGGGCGTTAAGTAGGTATTGTACCTTGCGGTTAGCGTATAGCCCGTTATGTAGTGTATTATGTATAGTCCTTATTCCGCTAGACTTCAGTAGAAAAAGAAACCCGAGTAAGTAGAATCTAAAGGATATATGTCGGGATTTTGATATGTGAATGTAAGAAATGGAAATATTGAAAATGGTCTTTACGAGGGGGGAACACATATACTAGGTACTAAAGTTGACATTTTTTACCTGTTCTAAGGACCGGGCGCGATGAGTACCTAGTGCCGGTAAGGAACGGTGATTGTGATTGAACCAAAAGCCGCGGCTGCTCTGATATGAAGTAAAACAGTCTTTGAAAACTTCACTCTTACAACTACTTTATACGACAAATAGATCGAGACGACAACAACAACCGATAATATATATTTGCTGCATTTTCTGAATCTTTCTGATATAAAAAAATGCCACAAGCACCCAAGTACCTGACGGGTGATTCAGCCGCTATTAATGAGTTTCTCGATAAGTTTGACGTGCGTCATTTTAACCCGATCCGCCACCTTTTCATAACACAGTCTTACACAAAGTCTTACTTTATATACAGGTTTTCCTGCTTGATTGCGATGGTTAGAATAAACGACCAAGCTTAGGAAGGACCAGATGGCTGAAATCTTACAGGAGTCTTATGGTCTGGGGACAATGTCTTCGAGGGCACCGCCGAAACGTTGGAGATGCTGAGATCCAGGGGTAAGCCAGGCTAGGCCTAACAAAACTACAAAACATACACGCATTTGTACCACGAACTAAACAACTAGAGCAGGAAAACGGATTGTATTCGTCACCAATAATTCTACAAAAGACCGACCGGCCTATCAACAGAAGTTGGCGGGCTTGGGCATCCCTAGTAATGTCGAGGAGATATTCGGCTCGTCTTACTCAGCCGCAGTATACATCTCGCGCATCTTGAAGCTACCGGCACCCAAGAACAAGGTCTTCATCATCGGTGAGAGCGGCATGGAGTCCGAGCTGCGTACCGAGGGTATACCCTTCATCGGTGGGACAGACCCGGCTTTAAGACGAGATATTACGCCTGAGGACTACCAGAGGCTGGCTGACGGCTCTCTGTTGGATCCGGATGTCGGTATTGTACTTGTCGGGCTGGATTTCCACATTAACTATCTCAAGCTATCTATAGCCTACCAGTATTTACGACGAGGCGCTAAGTTCATCGCGACAAACCTCGACAACGTGCTACCTATAGGCGACACCTTCTTCCCCGGCGCCGGCTCTATCTCCATTCCACTGGTCAACATGACCGGGCAGACACCCTTGACCTTGGGGAAGCCCAGTCAGGCCATGATGGATGCGATCGAAGGGAAGTTCCAGCTAGACCGGGCACGGACTTGCATGGTCGGCGATAGGTTGAATACCGATATCAAATTCGGTATCGAGGGGGGCCTGGGCGGGACTCTACATGTGCTCACTGGTGTTCACAAGCGGGAGGATTGGGAGGTTGAGAATGCCGTGGCCGTCCCCGCCTACTACGCCGATAAGCTAAGCGATCTCCGAGGTGCGACCTCATGACGAGATGCGCTTTGTCCCTCTCATGTCCCATGCTATTCGGCTTTTATTTAGACTTAGATTTGATGCTTAGCATGATACTACAGAGTCTATCTAACGTAAGGTATAAACAGACAAATAGAAACTACAAATTTCGGGGATACTATCAGGAAACCTTCGATTCATGGCAGTCTATCTACTCCAAGCTTCGGCGCAATGTTGTCGACCAGACTAAACCGAGCTCTCCAACAGCTCTCCGAAATCGCATGCCCTATTGGACAAGGGAATTACGGCTCGATATGCCGATTTCCCCGCGTAACTATTCAGCTACCCCGATGGAGAGGGGGCTGGTGTATGTGTATTGATTTGACGGCTATCGTCACTCGTGATGGAGCTTAACAAGCTACTATTCGTTGGCACGTAAATATATAAGAATATGGTAGGATACTGTGATAGGAGCGTAGTCTTTATCTTGAACTTTTATTTCTATATATGTCTACCTACCTAGATTATCTAGTTACCTTAGGTATGTACAAATACAGGTCGTCTTAACTATACGTACCTATATATCCCGAGACAAAACTACGGCCACGGCCTAATAAGTTAACAACCTCTTATTTATTTATATACTAAGAGCCACAAACCCAGCCATGACATCGCCACCTACCCCCCTAACACAAGAGCAGAAGGACTTCTTCCTCGCGAACGGCTACCTCAAGTTAAGCAACTGCTTCACGCCCGAGCAAGCCGCCTTCGTAACCGAGGGGGTATGGACGCGCCTGGGCATGTCGCCGACAGACAAGTCGACGTGGACCAAGGAGAAAACCAACATGCCGTCGCACCGGACCTTCGACTGCGCCGAGTTTGCGCCCAAGGCGTGGCACGCCATCTGCGAGCTGTGCGGCGGCGAGGACCGCGTCAACCCCGAGTCCCGGCATTGGCGGGACTCGCTGATCGTCAACTTGGGCACGGCGGAGAGAGAGGGCACACCGGTCCCGCCTAAGGAGCTGACGAATTGGCACGTCGATGGCGATTTCTTCGTGCATTACCTGGATAGTCCCGAGCAGGCGCTGCTTGTGATTCCGCTGTTTACGGATGTTGTTTCGGAGGGAGGGGGGACGATGCTTTGCCCGCCGGCTATCGATCGGGTTGCGAAGCATTTGTATGAACACCCGGTATGTGGTCTTAGTATTTGCCTCTTCGTCCCTTTTCCTTCTTAAGTCAGTTTTACCTAGGGAGTCAGGACTCCAACTTCTCCTACTGATTTATTTACCTTACGTTAGGTACTTAGACAAGTATCTATCTAAGCGCAATGCTGATCTATGTACCTATCGTCACAGGAAGGCGTATCGCCGCGCATGGTACCCCGGGCGCACCCGGATTTCCCACGCGAGAAGAACCTAGAATGGTACGTCGACATCGCGCGAGACTGCGCGGACACCGAATTCGTCGAGGCGACGGGCGTCGTAGGCGACGTGTACCTGCTCCACCCCCTAATGATGCACAGCGCAACGAGCAACGCGCGGCGCGCCGTGCGCATCATCACGAACCCCCCGGTCAGCATCCGGGAGCCGTTCCGCTTCGACAGGCCGAGCGGGGAGGAGGAGTACAGCCTCGTGGAGCGGAAGACTATGGCGGCGGTGGGCGGGCCGGAGATGTTGAAGGGGTGGCGGATCACGACGCCGAGGGAACGGGTGGTCCCGGAAAGAGTGCGGATTCAGGAGGCGATGAAGCGGGAGGAGTTGCGTAGGTTGGAGGAGGAGGAGGAGCGGAGGCTGAGACAGGGCAAGGTTGCTGCTGCGGCGGCGGCTTGATGGGATGATGAGTTGAGAAAGTGTAGGTATAAGGGGTATAATGTATAACGAGGATTAATGAAGGACCAAAATTGTGTATTACCTAGCTTCTAATGTTAAGGTTATAATGTAGCTGTTTTTATTATTCGCATGATGCTGGCTAAGATTATGTTCATCTAGATGTAGTTATTCATGATTATTACCTCCTTATGATATATGACTTTCGAGAGGGAGCATAGGTAAGGTATCTTATACGATTCTTATATTGTTGTCCTCGGAAGTCATATTTACGTTCCGGTTGAATGACATGACTATGATTATTAATTTTTCATACAAGTTTAATAAATAGTAGTCTTATATGACAAGGCCTAGGAATGGTATGTAGGGTATAGGTGATGAGATACGGTGCGTGTTATTGAGTAGTTGTTTGTATAGGGAAAGTAAAGGAACTAAACGGATTTGCAAGTAATACTAAAAACTAGGAAAAAATAATTATTAGCGACCTTAACTCGCCTCAAAATATCCAATCCATTCACCTCCAAGTTTGTTTGAACAACTTACCTGTTTCTAGGCCTATTTCTGCTTTAACGAAAAATATACAATACCTACCACCTATCTTGGCCACCAAAATCCCCAATAAGACGCAAGAAAAGAAAAACCGCAAATGTCCAACCCCTCACCCTCACCGTCCGCAGCCATGCTCCCCCCGGAGCTAACCCTCATCGTGGCCGCCACGCGTACCATGGGCATCGGCCGCAGCGGCACGCTCCCATGGACCGGGCTCAAGAAGGAAATGGCGTACTTTGCGCGCGTGACAAAGCGCCTACCGCCACCACCTTCGGGTTCCCCCCCTGCGCTGAACGCCGTCATCATGGGCCGCAAGACCTGGGACAGCATACCGCCTAAATTCCAGCCGCTGAAGGGGCGTCTCAATATCGTCGTCAGCAGATCGCATGCTGGCTCCGAACAGGAAACGGCGGGGGAAGGCCCGGTAAGGGTAGACTCGCTGGAGCAAGCGCTCGCGCACCTCAAGGCCGCTAGTAATATTGGCCGGGCGTTCGTCATCGGTGGCGCGCAGATCTACGGAGCGGCGCTGGGACTTAAGGAGGCGCGACGCGTGCTGCTGACGAGGGTGTTGTCGCCGGATTTCGAGTGCGACACGTTCTTCCCTCTTGGCCTCCAGGAAGAAGATAAGGCTGGTGGTCAATGGAACGGCTGGGTGAAGAGGTCTAAGGAGGAGCTGGATGCTTGGACTGGGGAGACGGTACCTGAGGGTGTGCAGGAGGAGAATGGGACGCGGTACGAGTTTGAGATGTGGGAGCGGGTTGATTGAGTTGACTTCGTTCTGTCTAAGGTACCTTTACGGTCTGGTATATATGTACATGAATAAATCTCGCTTTGAGATCGCTTTTAACTTCTATTTTTACTGCGCGCAAAAAAGACAACGTTGCGCAAAACCCTTATATGCCAGACCAACTTTCCACCTTCATATAACATGCCGTCATTATAATCCTTAACCTACCCGACCTACACTAGTATCTATCATACAACCCCCCGAGCCTTACACAGCTACCTTCTGCACCGGCGGCGTTTCCTGCGCCAGTTGTCCCTCGAGTTCCCTCGAGGGCTTATCGACGAGCAGGAGCTCGTTCTTGGCGCGCCACTTGAAGACGGCCTCGGTCTGGTAGTGCAGGGCCTCGTCGGGGATCTGATCGAGCATCTTGAGACACAAGCGCATCCAACTGACGATGGCAGCCAGCGAGCGCACATCGACGTCCTCGCGGGCTTTAAACACGTTGCGCCAGACGGCGGCGGCGAGCACGGCGTCTCCCTTTACGACGCCCTCGTCGTACGCGGCGATCACCCCGCGCCACTGCACGAATAAATCTTTCAGGTAGCGGTGCCGCAGCCCGCGCGAGGTGATGCCGTGGGTTAGATCCATGCGCTCCTCGGCGTTGAAGAAGAAGTGGTCTGTAAGCTGCCGCTGCCACGACCGCGCCGCGTCCGGTTCGAGATCGCGCAGTCGAGCGAATACTAGGTATAAGTGTAGCATCGTGATTTGCGACCACGTGCTGAAAGTCGGGGCGAGCTTGAAGTCTAAAAAGGTGAGAGGTAAGTAAGTAAGGGTTTAGCCACAATGGCCGGATTGATGACCAGTTTAATATTAGGAAGAATAAAAAGAAAGCATGAATTACCTTCATGCCACATCGTCTTCCCTTCTCCTATATCCTCGCCCTCTGCCGTCTTAGGTATCGTGCCCGCCTTCCTGTCCTTATCGGGGATGGTATAGTCTGCCTCGCGAGCGCAGGCTTTATATATGTTCTCGGTAGCATGGATGATACGGTATGGTTCGGCCGTGCTTTGGAATATCTTAGCGAAGGTCTCGCGAATATTTATGGCTGGCTGGTTGGGAGTATTTTTGAAGCCTCGTCTCTGGTTGGGTCGGGAGCCGATAACTGGGGCGATAAGTCGTTGTGCTGTAGCAGCATTTTGGATCTCTGCAACCGAGCCGGCTTGACGGGTTAGCAGCATAAGCTGTCGCCTGCATGTTCTACACGCCATTGCTACCGCGCTGAAAGGTAGTAGGTAATTGTCGTTAAGAAGGGCATTGATTCCCTAGATTTGGTAGTCTAAGTTATCGAATGTCGATTCACGTCATTGACATGGGGGACGTCAGAGACAAAAGAGAAAAAGATTAAGAAAAAAAAAAAAAAAAAAAAAAACCTGCGTGAAGCTTGGACCCCTGCTCGATTCTGAGATCTACAACAGGGGTATGGATCTAATATAGGTACAAATGTACCTATGTACTTCTAGATCATAACCATTCATGTAACATCTAAATATTAGTAATATCTTATATATAATATCGTGATATAAGTGTGGAAATATATTATATACTCGTCATGTCTTTATAGCATTTGTGGGTCATTATATTTTAGGTACATAGCGTAAATAATACAATAGCTGGATTTTCTGGATAGTCGATTTAATCGAGTCGAGAGAAGACTAACGTCGCGTTAGTACCTCCGAAGCCGAAACTGTTCGAGAGAGCAACATCAATCTCCTTCTTCTGGGCTTCAAGAGGTACAAAGTTGAATTTCGGCCCAACATTAGGGTCTGTTAGGTTTAGTGTGGGAGGGAGAATGTTCTATCCATGAATTAGTTAGGGGTGTCTATTGCGGAAACTGAAGATGGCGGATTAAAAACTTACTTCGACAATAGCTAGGATGGTGAAAATGGCTTCTATTGCGCCGGCCGCCCCAAGCAGATGCCCAGTAGCTCCCTTGGTACTGCTGACAGAGATTTGGCCCTCGTCAAAATGTCCTTCCTCGCCTGCCATCAATGAACGGATCGCAAGGGCTTCTGCTACGTCGCCGACAGAAGTACTAGTCGCGTGCGCATTAATGTAGTCGACTTGACGAGGTTTGATTCCAGCATGCTTTAATGCCTTCTTCATGGAAAGATATGCCCCTGATCCATCTTCACGAGGAGCTGTCATGTGATGCGCGTCACCGCTAGACCCATACCCCTTTAATTCGGCATATATACGAGCACCCCTCGATTTGGCATGCTCTAGTTCCTCTAAAACAACAACTGCTGCGCCTTCAGCGACGACGAACCCATTCCGTCCAAGGTCGAACGGCCGACAGCTTGAGGGTGGATCGTGGTTGAAAGCAGTGGATAAAGAACGCGACCTCCCGAATCCCGCGAAGGTTAGAGGGTGAATACAGGACTCTGACCCCCCTGCAACCATAACGTCGGCATCTCCAAATGCAATGAAGCGCGAGGCATCTCCGATTGAATGTGCTCCTGTGGTACAAGCTGTAGTCACAGCATGATTAGGACCCTGAAACCCGTATCTCATTGCAATATGCCCCGCTGCTAGATTGATGAGGATCTTCGGTACGAAGAGAGGAGATACCTTCTTGTAGCCCTACCATAAAGATTTAGTAAATATTGAATTATTGAAATGGTGTATGTGATCTCACATCTCGTTCATACGCAACACTAGTGTTGTATATCTCGTCTAAATTTCCGATGCCACTTCCTAAACAGACACCAGTTGATTCCAAATCTTCTAACTTGTTTGGTTTCCATGCGGCATCCTCGAGAGCCATCTCTGCCGCGGCCATCGCATATTGAGTGAAGGTGGACATGCGCCGTTGATCCGAAACTGTCAACCAGTCGTTGGGGCACCACCGGGTTTCACCGGAACCTGACTTTGGAACGATCCCAGCCACGGTGCTCGTAAGATCGCGCCATCGTTTCTGCGGCTCGAAGTCCGCAACACTAACGATGCCAGAATGTCCAGCAATTAGTCTATTCCATGTATACCGAACACCTACGCCAAGGGGTGTGATGGCGCCGAGGCCTGTGATAACAACTCGGCGCATTCTTTGCCATAGCCAGGAATTCCTGAGCTGGATTTATATGTAATCCGTAGAAGGCGTCTAAAGGCATTGACCCATTTAGTGATGAGCTGCCTGGGTGCTGGACTTGGATTTGCTTACTCGTAGTTGTAATTTATGAATATTGAGAAATTAGAAGGTATGAGGCAAATCACGCAGTTATGAAGTTAACCGATTTTCTTCTATTAGCGGAAAAGATACCCCCCCGGCGCTTTATGTACCCAAGTACCTCCCTAACGTAATGCATGGAATTCTGCAATACATAGTAGTGATGCAAGAAGCGTATTATTTTATGCACCTGGGCAAAGATTGATCAACGATCCCGGCTCCCAGGTTATGCCCAGATGCCACGCGGCAGTTATCTAAATTTAGTTTCAGAATAACAATTAACCCAGTAACTCAACCCAGAACTACGTACACATCATCATCATCATCATCACTTTTCACACTTCCGCAGAATTATAGGAGACAGCAGCAATTTCGGAGAAGCGTAACGGATATTCGAATTGTAATATCATACATTCCAATTGATGCATTTAGCTTTTCACAACCCAAGATTTTAAGCTCGTAGACGAATAAAGGTTTGAACACGTTTCGAGCGTCCAGCTTCAAAGATAGCTCAAAGAAACGCCAATTGGCTACCTCGGGTTTATTATTCTCAATCCTCTCTATATTACTTTTCAGCCATCCTAGCAATATTAGATTACCGGACAATGTCTTCTTAAAGGCAATCAACTTATGGCTCGCCACCTTGTTTTAGCAAACACGGACAACCCGTGGCAATCAGATTTCAGGGGTAGTATCTTCGATGATACCCTATATGGTATCAACACCCTTTTAACTTAGGGGATTAAGACGTGATCTTTTAGCTTTGCGGGCTGATTTCCTACCAAGCCACATTTAACTTTCAAGTTACGCAATGGGCGACACCCGCTCTTCACGGCCGTCTGGAACGGCTAATAGGGAGAGGATGGAAGAAGACGATCATGTCTCGGAATATGGATCTGATCTCGATGAGACCTCTGGTGAAGTAAGACATCGAGCGAGAAAGTCTGAGGAACACTCCAGTAGAGCTCCGAAAAATAGTGCTGCCAATAGCCTAAAACGCCAAATCCCCGAATGGTCGGAGTCTAGTGACCGAAACGACAATAACTACGAGGAGGACGAAGAATATGACCACTTGCTAGATCCAAACTTCCCAGATGAAGAGACTATTGAATTGCATCGAATGGATTCTGGGAGTCTGGCATCGTTCGACGATGAAACCGCCTCCAGAGCAGGCGAAGAAAACTCGCCGTATGAAGAGGTTCGAGCTGCAGTACGCAACTACGATGAAGATCTTCCTTGCAATACTCTTCGAGCTTGGTCGATTGGGCTAACGTTGGTCCTTGTTGGTGCATCGACGAATACCCTCTTTTCATTAAGACAACCCTCAATCGGCCTAGGTGCTCTCATCGCCCAAATCATCGCCTGGCCACTTGGTCGCGCTTGGGAGAAAGTCGTACCTGACCGCCAAATTAGGATATTTGGCCTAGGATGCGACTTAAACCCGGGACCTTTCAATATAAAAGAACACTCTATTATCGTTGTCATGGCTTCCGTATCCTTCTCCGTAGCCTATGCTACTGATATTATCCTTGCGCAGCTGGTGTTCTACAAGCAAAATTTCGGCATCATATTTCAACTTGTCTTGACTATCTCGACACAGTCTCTAGGATATGGGATTGCGGGCATGATGCGGAAGTTTTTAGGTGAGTTTAGGCGAGGGTTGTAAGTTATCGTTAGTACTAACGTTTTTCAGTGTATCCTGCTTCTATGATATGGCCTGGTAATCTAGTCGCCGTTGCTCTAATGAATGCAATGTATGAGAAACACCAAGCACCCGACCCATCTATCATTGGTGGGCGTATGCCAAGATATAGATGGTTTGGTATTGTAACTCTCGTTTCCGCCCTATATTACTTTATTCCTGGATACTTTGCCCAGTTCTTGAGCGTCTTTGCTTTCGCAACATGGATGGCTCCTCAGAATCCGGTAGTAAATCAATTATTTGGTGGCACGACCGGCCTATCTTTATTGCCGATTACTTTCGACTGGACTCAAATCTCAGGATACATAGGTTCGCCGCTGACCTTCCCATGGTTAGTTCCCCCTAGTTTTGCGATCCCATCGTGGACGCGGTGTTAGTATTCAGTAACTAAATGGCTTCTAGGCATGCCATCGCAAATACTACGATAGGTGTCGTACTGTTTTATATTATACTCTCTACGCTTTTCCATTACACTGGCGTATGGTATGCTCCGTTCTTGCCAATGAGCGACTCTTCTACATATGATAATACCGGTGCCACATATAACGTGTCGAAGATATTGAGCGCCCAATTCACCTTAGACGAAGAAGCCTACAAGGCTTATTCACCGATCTTCATTAGGTTTGACATCCCCATATCACTCGCTCGTATATTGAGCTTACATGAGATATAGCACCACTTTTGCATTGTCTTACGGTCTATCTTTTGCGGCTATCACTGCCTTAATAGTATATACCTATCTACATCATAGCAAAGCTATCTGGGATCAATACAGGAACAGTACCAGTGAGAAACCTGACAGTACGTATAATTATATCCAACATATTTAGATCATCACCTCTGGATGCGTCCAGCAAATTCGAATACATCCTTAACAATTGGTATGGCCATCGCTAACAGAATATTGTAGTACATATGAAGCTCATGCAGAAGTACAAGGAAGCACCTTCGTGGTGGTATTTTTCCCTTTTCGCGATCGTTCGTTCTCTCAAACCCAGATCACGTATGGCTTTCGTCGCTAAACTGTCATATAGGTGCTGGCATTGGCCTTTGTTTCAGTCTTAGCATACCCAACCAATCTAACTTGGTGGGCTTTCTTGCTCGCCGTGGGGATCTCTTTCACTTTTTCTCTCCCAATTGGCATTATACAGGCTGTTACGAACCACCAGATTGGGCTCAACGTCTTAACCGAGTTTGTATACGGTTACATTCAGCCCGGACGACCTTTGGCCCTTATGCTGTAAGAATATATTGCTTTTATACCTATATACGTAGGTAGCTAATGAGTCACTCTTAGATTTAAAACATACGGTTATATCACAATGTAAGTGCCAAGGGATACTTTTCTAGTTGAAATCACATTTAACCAACTTGCATAGGGCACAAGCCTTGAGCTTCGTCTCCGATCTAAAATTCGGTCATTACATGAAAATCCCCCCACGGACCATGTTTATGGCACAGGTCGTCGCGACGACATTTTCGTGCTTCATTCAGATCGCAGTCCTCAATTTTGCGCTCGGTAACATTGAAGGGGTATGCGAATTAACTCAGCCGCAGCGGTTTACTTGTCCCGGAGGCCGAGTGTTCTTCTCAGGTACCTACCCCTTTATTTCTAAAGGAACCTTCCTCTTGTCCAATCGCTAACCTAGACAATCTCATAGCTTCCGTCATTTGGGGTCTGATCGGACCATCCCGAGTATTCTCTCCTGGCCAGATATACTCAGGGCTCCTTACGTTCTTCGTCGTTGGCGCCGTTGCACCTATTGTATTCTGGTTCGCGGCGCGCCGATGGCCGAGGTCGGGCGCCAAATACTTGATGGCGCCCTTAATCTTCGGTGGCGCGGGTTCGATCCCGCCGGCAACGCCCCTTAACTATCTGTCTTGGGGCGTCGTCGGCTACATATTCCAGTACGTAATCAAGAAGCGCCATTTCCGCTGGTGGAGCCGCCTCAACTACCTTACGTCTGCTGGCCTCGACCTCGGTCTTGCGCTAGGCACGTTGGTCATATTCTTCGTTTTTACGCTCAACGAGATCGAGGCTCCCCGCTGGTGGGGAAACGATGTAGTGACGGGCACGATGGACTACCAGGGCAAGGCTATCCAGGTCGTATTACCGCCGGGCGAGACTTTTGGGCCGGAGGTATGGTAAGGCTGCGAGTGTAGAAGTAGAAGGTCGGAGTTAGCATCTCGTAGCTTACGAGGAGTTGAAACGCTATTAGAATTAAAATAAACGGTTTAACATGGAGGAAAGTATTACCTATAGATTTGTATGGACATTTACTATCCTATTCTAGGTAATTTCCTGCAAGTCCAATCGTCGGGGTGCTCTTATGTAGGATATTCAATGTGCCTTGACAATGGTACAAGTCTCTTAGTTTATGAGATATGATCGGGGTAAGGGATATATATTATTATCAAGTGCATGCAGTCCTCGGCGGCCACTTATAAAAGTCTTCGCATAAGGATCATTCAATAGGTTTTATTTAACCGACTACTCTCTATTTGCACATCCTCCATTGTTCTCATCCGTATATTTATATATTTCGATATAATTTCCACTCTCATTAAAATAATTGTACTTATCTAAGGTATATACTGCTATTCGTATTACAGCGCTAAGGATTATGTCGTAAGCAGTCCTACTTACAGGAACGATGGCTTCGACTCTTATCTTTCTTGTCCCTTACCTGAAATCGGTATTCGTGATACAGATGACCAAATCAGGTGTTGCGATTACCTTACGATCGACTACTTCGAATATAGTGGCCATCCAGCAGATAGGCTTTGCAAATATTGTGGTCACATAAGTTGCTCATGTTGTGATACTGTTCGAGAAACCACGTTGAATGAATTGGATGTTTTATGGTTGGTAGGGTCTGGAGGTATTTTCATAGGTAGTGAGTTCACGTATTTAGACAACGTAAAACCTTGGATATATATACTTAACACATTAACCAACCTCTGTAATGTAAGATAACCATCGCCGGAATGTAAGCTATTCGAATAATATTAACTGACTACCTAGGTACTTAGGATCAACCCCTTACCCCTTTTCAGTGGCTAACTCATTGATTGATTATCTGGCTACGTTATAACTACCTACCTTTATCCTAAAGTCCAATAGCTCTACCCTTCACATAGATGATGATGTTAAGACCAGCACTAGTACCGCAATCTAAAAAATTTTCAATAATCTCGTCGGCTCTCGTTTAGTTACACGGACCACCCATTATGACCATCATCTCAAGTAACAGGTATACAGGCAAAGACTGCTTTCCGCACCAATTAAGTCGCATTTACGCTAAGCATACACCAATAATAATAGACTGATTCGTATGAATACAGCATCTAGGAATGTTTGAATTTGAATCCACGAGCTCTGTCCCGTACATTCTGCGCCGCTCTCGCCTTGCCCAGCGCTCTCGCCACCTGCTAGAGTCGAACCGGATTCTGCCATAATAAGCCTACCCCAACGACGATAGCAGCCGTGCCAGCAGCCATGAGCCTAAATCAAGGTTAGAAGAAGGATATTATTATATAGCACGGTCATAAGATTGGGAATAACTTACGCTTTGTTCCTGCGGTCGTGTAGCCACGACGCAAGACCCCCAATCCATTTCACGAACACGATCCGTATGCAAGCTTCGAGCCAGTCCGGATATTTATTGCGGCCCTGGAAGTGATGCGTAGAAGGTGGAGTAGCCGGCCTGTCAATTATACGTTTCCGTAGGCCTGGCGGGCTGGTAGTACCCAAAGATGTTGATTTTCCTCCTGCTTCGCTTGTACTCTCCACGCTGGAACTGTCACTCAAGCACCTATCTGGTGTGCGACGTGCAGTAATAGTTGTGCTGGGCTTAGGCAAATCGCTTTCGACGACGGCTGGTACGTCGTCATTACTTCCCGAAACATCTGCGTTGTCTTCCGGCACTGGGTCCTCCAGTACCGATGCAGTTTTGTCTGGGACCAGCTCTGCGGCCTCCGGAATATTCCCGTCGGAAGATGCAGGTGGTGAAGGTAAGGATGGCGGGCATTGTTGAGATTGCTCGGCCAATTTCCTGGAATCAACCCTCATGGCAATGCCTTCGTCTTTTTCGTCATCGCTAACGACGCGATCAGGGGTAGGAGAACCCCAAGAAGGTCCAGGATGTTGTACAAACGGAGCTGTGGCATCCTCCATCTCACCAGTCGCATGCCCGTTGCGAGCTTCATCGTCTTCAAAAATTGACCCCAGAGAGTTTGACGATGATGCTCTGCGACCGGAATGCGACCGCCTATTGCTATTGCTGGGGCGGAGATTCTGTTTAACATCCGAGAGTAACTCACCCTGGTTATCTAGTGATTCGGCATTCTTGCGATTCTGGAGAATTGTAATTACAGGTGACTGTGGAACTTCGTCGACAATTGTGCGGTCGGCGTCTATGCTCGTCGAAATGCGTCGCATGGCAGCCATGATAGACTCCCGATTGTCCGACGGGAACTCTTCCAAGTGAGGATCGTCAAAGTCTAAGTCTTGGTCCTCGATCTCAATAGCCGGGTTGCCGGACTCGGAATGAGATTTATTATCCTTGATAATGCCATCATTATCGGATATGTCTTCTTTGTGAAAAGACGGTCCTACGGACTCGTGGGAGAATATAGGGCATAGGTTTTTTTGGCCCTCATCTACGTCGTCTAAAGCAGATTCATCATTATCCAGGGTCGCAGCGACGTTGGCGACCTCCGCAGCTGTCTCTGAGACTTCACCAATTGGAGTGGTTGACATGCGCCGGGTACCTATTCTTCCTGCTTCGCCGTCTGATATCTCCGGCTCAGGAGTCTCGGGATCTAAAGTGCGTGCCGAGCCAGACACCTCGTCAGCTGTCTGTGCGAAGTCCGGAGTCTCCGTGCCACTGTTGGTTTCCAACCCCTCTGATTCGTTGGCCTTAGGGTTTGGCACCTCGGTGACATTTTCTTGAGTCGCATCAATTGAGACTCTGAGAATATTGTTCGTGTTTCCAGATTCGTCCGTGACTTGGGAATTGCTATTAGTATATGAAGGAGTAACGTAAGTGAAAATAAATAAATATTTACCTGTATCGGCACTTTCATCCAAGGCCCACCAATCACCAGATCCTATGCGGAATTTGTATTGGATTTCAGTGCCATCGTCAACCATGACTTGTTTAGTGAATAGATAACCTCCAAGCTGGTCGATGGCGACATCCATCTCCTGGGGCTGCCATGGCGGCTCCGAAAATGAACCTGCTATATAGATGGGAGGATCTGTGTCCTTCCTCTTATAGGTAAAGGTAATAGGGACCTTTGGGGGAAACATATCGGGTGAGTTAGAAGCTACTTTTCGATTTATTACGAGTTCATGACTAATTGAAGCCTGTCGAGGGTCGACCGAGTGTCGGATAGTCGGTTCGACAAGTTTAGGATCGAGGATGGAGTCCATGAAATGAAATAGATATTAGGGGGCCGGATGAGGCTTCTGGGCCATCAATCAAACCGGATTGGAGTTACTTCGGCCGCTGTTGTGCGAACCCAGATTCGCGGATGCTCGGGTAAGAGCCTGGAGAGAGTCTGGAGAGAGCCTGGAGAGAACCTGGAGAGACTCGAGGCGAATCCAAAGGGAATCCACGGAAGTCCAGCTACGGGATTAACGGGATAACACAATCTAAGATTGTGGGATCAGTCCCTCGCCTGGAAATATATATATATATAATATCTCTTATTCAAAATCAATTAGCTTTTTCTTTTATTGTAAAGCATGGGTTAAAATTCTGACAGGCTGGAATGGTTTATATGAATGGGCTTGCATGATCCATGTAACTTTTCATGTACAGCAGCTACATACATACATGCAGCCTTCATGCAGATAAAAGGCAGGTATGTAGGGATTGAACTTGATAAGGTGTTTGCTCAATTGATAACTTACAGTTGGGCAATAGTTATTGATGCGGTGTTAGAAGGACTCTAAACCGACGATACTTGGTAAAATAATAGATTTGTGCGTGTGTGTGTGTATGTGTATTGGTAAGAGGATGATGAAACGATAGATCCAACCAAGCCAACTGAAAAAGAATCAATGATAATCTCTGAAAGTGACAATTCTGGTATAAGGATTTCTCTTGGGTGGTAATGGCATCATGCGAGAACCACCTAGTGCGTGTAGGTAGTAGGAGGTAGTATGTAGGGGAGTAGGCAGTAGGTAGGTACTTGGCCTAACTCCCTTAGACGGCTGGATGGTCGTGGCATGATACCAGGTAGTTATTAAAATCAAGCTGCGTCAGGACGACGCAGGTTTTACGCTGGTCTGGGTCGTTCCATTCATCAGCAGTTGCCACTGGAGCAACCCAACCTCTACAAAGCCAAGGTTCTTATGGATCCGGACCACTCCCCAACTCGCGAGATAGTGAAATGTCCAGAAATGTCAAGTCGAATCATCACTCTTGAATCCATCCCTACCTGCCCATATCTATCCATACCTATCCATACCTACCTAACCGTTGAGGCTCACCAGTATCCCCGATGTGTCAAGAAGCTTGTGGGACATGTACGCTTGTAGAAATATATGCTTCTAGGCTTGAAGGAGAATGGTAGACACGTTGTCGTATCTGTAGGCCGAGTGGACATTTGGGAAACGTGTCGCCCTCCTGCCCTCCTGGAGGAGAGGTTGCATAATGTGAATCTAGCTGTAATTAGGTTCGCCTATCAGCCAACGATGCGAGTAGCGTAACGCTAAGTTCATGGTCAAAAACGTAAAGCTTTGTAGCTGGATGGGCAATGGGCTACGATGGAGAAGCGGGGATATGGAGACAATGGAGACGATGGAGAGAGCCCCACTACTAATCCGTAGTACATCTGCAATACATAGTGTACCTATGTACATATAAAGAAACAGTGGAGGACCTTCTCCCTTCTCCACTGTCATTGACTCGGTCCATCCGGGAAAGCGGATATGTACCTACCTATGGTTATGTAGGTCGACTATGTTATACATAATGGCATACATATGTTAATCTATGAATTGAAGAGGTAATTATGAAATGATAAGATGAATAAAAGTGCGCCACCGTTTTGTTGAGACATTACACTACAGGTACCTAATGTATGTAAATCAGTTTCTAAGTTCTACGAAGGCCCACGGAGCAAAAGTTCCCTCGCTCATGTCGGCAATTACAACTTCGCCCATCAGATAAGTAAAGGGTTTGACAGCTTAGTAGATGTTAGCGATTTGTATGGGTTTAACCGCTACGTTCATAAAAGTTACGATGACTCTATGTATGAATGGTTTATTTTCTTTCCATGAGTAACGACGTCATCTTAATACTAGCTCCAAAAGAATGTTACCTTGGAGTAAATCCTCACCATGCTACCAACACAGATTCACCCCACCTACCTAAGTATTAGTTTACCATCAACTACCTAACAATATCGCCTTACCCCTTACGAAATACAAGTATCTAGGTTAGATCTTTTAGGTTCAGACTATTCAAACGCGACTTTAAGTGCGGTATTGTCCTTGTTAATTTTAGCCCACTCGGCGCTCTTCTCCCATATAATGCGCTGCCTCTCCTTATCCAGCACCGCGGGATCAGGGTCGTCTTTCTTGAGGAGCGTATAATAGCCTCGTTCTCCGTCTTCGGCCTTAGCAACACCCAGCTCTATGATATCAACGCCAGCCTCGCGCGACGTGCGGAACGTCGGGTCGGCAAAGCGTTGAATCAAAGGCATTAATGGTTTGAATACGATTTTCTGTATTACGATTTTCTGTATGATTTTAATGGAAAGTGGGACATTGGTTCGAAAAGCGCGGGAGTCGCCAAGGTTTCCGGGATTTATGGCCACGACGGTGATCTTGGAGAACTTGGGGTCCTTATAGCATCAAAATGTTAACCAAAGGCCAGAGAAAATAAAGCGTTCAGGATATTCACCTTTTGTAGATATTCGTTGAGTGGATACATCCAAGTGGTAATGACCAATTTCAAAATGGCATATCTCTGGGCCCCTCTACCTTGCTTATCGCGGTCCGCGGGTGGATGTATCAGGAGGTCGATGTTATCAGGAATTTCGGGAAGATATGGCGTCATCGGGCTCTTTTTACGATAATGCGAGATACTCGACAGGAGCTCAATACGGCCGCCATCGGGACTGAAATGTTCGAGAAGGCGTAAGACTAGTGCTACATGAGCGATGTGCCCGACTTGTAAAGTCTTATCATATCCGTCGACGGTGAGTTCGGGATCGGCGACAAGATTCCAGTAAAACGCATTGCAGATGATCGACTTGATGGCGGGTAAAGATCCACTAGTGATCTGCCCCGAGATGGTGGTAGCAAATGCATGAACGGCAGTAAGGTCGGCTAGATCAAGCTCGTAAATATATGCTTTTGCTTTGGGATACCGAGCTATGATATCACGTAGGCTGTTGGTATTGACATCGGTGTTGGCAGCACTTCTGACGGTGAAAACAGCAGTATGCTGCGGATATGTTTTGAGAAGGTGGTCAACGGCGTGGAGACCCGCTGAGCTATTAGCACCAGTAAGTATAACGGTGCCAGATATAGTGGGCATAGTGGGTGCTGAGCTGTAATGAGACAACGGCGCGAGATAAAGAATGTAAGACAAAATTGTATGATACACGAGTTCACGCACCTCAGATACCTATCTAAGTATATTAAAGGGGAAACAAAACGACTATGTGCATCACTTCGGACCAACAACATCTTATTAATTTAACTAGCTGGATAGCATCTTCATCCGAAGTCCTACATAGTGTATGTAGTATTAGAAGGATTGTATATTGTTTATAGCTTCAAATACCTGACGAGGGTATTAGCGACTTTGATTGGCTAGTTAGTTGCTTCTAGGACGAATGAGAAGCTTCAATTCTTTCCACGCCTCTACGGAAGTCCCCATCAAAAGTTTTGTCCATAGGCCAGCCTCTGTCAGCTTTGACCAGCTTTGACAGGGCTTGGCAACAGCTGTAGGCATATACTATCCATATTACACTATTTTCACTTACATATAATAACCCGCGATGTTGTTTTTAAATAATAAAACTTATAAAGGCGTATAAAGCATTTATTAATTTTATACAAGATTTAATTTCAATATTTAAATTAACATATTAAAGCTAAGATTAAATATGTTGTAAAAGGTAAATGTTTATATATTTATAATCTTAGCTGCCATATGGTATTAAGTCTTAAACAGCTGTAACAAAAGCTGTCAGGTGGCACATATGGACAAAACTTTTGATGGGGACTTCCGTACATAGTGTGACGAGCTTATGTGGTTACCTCTGTAAGGCTTAGCGCTCTAAATTTAATATGAGCTAATGCAGGTAGAATCGTCAAAAACTCTGATTGGCTACTCGTATTTCTTACATCTGATGGCGTATCTCTTTTCATTGCTTGGTAGTTTTTTTCTTTCTTTTTTGGACCCATAAGTATGCCTTGAAGTCTGGAAGTTCAGTCCACAGTCCACTATAGCTACGAATATACTATTACTTCAGCCACAAGCACGTCAATCCTGCGCACTCTTTTGGTAGGTAGGTATTAGAAATTGATGGGATTACCATACTTGTCTACTTCAGGGCTTCTTATACGAATAGGTAGGTACTTAGGCTCGTTACTACCCACAACCCTAACTCTCTAGGTTAAAACTTGATACAATAATTGGTACCGTAGCCATTTTAACTCTTTCAACTACTGATAGGGGCTATAAGCTGAAGCTGTTCTTGACTTCGAATATTCTAGGAGATCTCCATGCTGGGTACCTACGTATTTAAAATGAAGCGACGTCTAATATAGTCCGCGGGTTGCGTAAAAGACATGGCGTGGAAGCATTTCATATATCTATTGTGTGAAAATACCTTTTAGTTTCTCTCACCCCAGACTCCATGGTCGTTTAAGAGTATATCAGAGCTTCCCAATGAAAATACGTCTAAAAGTTTTCCTTTTAGGTTCACATCAGAAGTATACCTAAGGCATGGCTCCTATCTTAAGTCAATATTCTATCATGTGTATACGATGATCTTAATAGTCATAAATGATCGCGGTTACTTGCGTATAATTCAATTAAGAAAATAATATTGACTAAAATACGAACGATAGATAAGATAAAGCTATCCACGTACCTAGGTACTGATTTAAGGCTAATTAGGTGGGTATCTTACATAATGCACAATACACATGTGCCTACGTTAGGTACCTAAGTACCTATGCGTAGATGACATATGAGGTACCTATGTATCTGCCCCACGTCAAATAGTTTCCATAGAACAACTCATTAAAGAGTTCCTCATTACAACTTCTAACAACAGTTGCGCTGCCAGCTTTTGGTACAGAATAGCATAGTCTACATTCAAATATCTGCTCGAATCTCCTGTATTACCATGTCTGTACCACCGCAGCTAATTCGCGTGAAGCGAAAGGCCACAGAGGAGGCCCCAGTCTCTTTTCTTCGTAAGTTATCGCGTTACCCGTTACCCATCTCATTACGCGCCGTGGAGAAATTAGCAGTTGACCTTTATTCTAGGTGTCCAGGAGAACAAGAGGCACCGGAGCGAAGCCTTTGTGTATCAAAGACAACAAGAGCGAGCTAATTCTGCCGAGAACATTCCATCCGAATCGCACAAACCAATCATTCATACCTCTCACCCGCACTCGAAGACCCCGGCATTCCAAAGCCCCAAGACATCAGACACTATCGTCAATGATGGGTCCAGCGATAATGAGACTACCAGCGAATCTTCCAAGTCCGCGAGCCCTGTTAATACCCCTTCTGAGCCTCGAAGATTTCACATGTCGAGAAAAGATATAATGCTCGCGACGGCTTCTCAGCCCGGCCGATCTCATGGAGGCGTCTCGAAGAAACGTTCTGCACCTGCGTTATTCGTGGAACGCAAGATTAAAAGAATCTCGTCTAGACCCCTTGAAAAGTTTCAAGCTATTACCAATGCTGCCAGTCAAATACCCGGACCAGCACCTACCGCAACGGAGGACATGGAAATTGACAAACCAGAGCCTCGCAAGCTCAAGAAGCCGGGTGTAGCAAAGCTTGCAAAGAAGCAAGATGGGGAAAAGTACAAAGCCGACCTCCCGCAATCCATAACCGAACGATGGAACGTAGATATAGACAAGTTAACGGCTGAGCTGGATGCATACACAATGGAGCAAATTGGTCTGAACCTCCAGAAGGCCGAAGAGGAGAAGCGACAGCAACGCTCCACTGCCAGCCAACACAGATTCAGGCCCAAACCGATCAAGCGATATGCAGAACGACACCCTGGGGAGATACAAGCCCCGGCGGACAAGGATATGATGGATACGGATGCTGATATCAGCGACAGTGATAGTGACTACATTATCGAAACCTACGAACGTGTACCTGCAAGCAAGATGGGAGAGCACGTGCCTCCACACAGCGTTGGACTCCTCGTGTTTGACGAAGAGCCTGATATGGAATACTTTTATGGAGAGGATGATAATAGTGAAGACGAATGGGCCGAGGACGAGGAGGACGAAAACGGTACGTCTTACTCTCTAATTAGAAGGTTCCCTATTGTTCAGCACACTCACGGGTATATAGCCGAGAATTATTACGCAGCGGACTACCCCGATGAGGAAGTTGCTTCGGATGATGAGTTCGATAAGAATCCATATTCTTTCCGAACCGGCAACGCCTCAGATCTCGAGGAGTATGATCTAGATGAAGATGACGGCGATGCGGCTTTTACCGATAAGGACGAGGCAAGCAGATTCGCTGCGTACATTAGTCGTCCTCGGGATAGGTTCATGGCAAACCAACTGTAAAAAGTGCTATTACGAAATCTCGATATCATCGTTACCTACCGCGCGGCTAGTCTACGAAGCACATTATTAATTTGTGCCAACATCTATGAATGGCTGGTTTTTATTGAACGGGTTGGTCTACAGCCCGGCCCGGTATTCTAGCATAGCATCGGCGTTAGACCCCTGGTTGTAGTTTTCCGAAATATAATTTGACGAGGGAAAAGGGGGTTCTACCTTGCCCAGCCTTGTCCGGCAGGGTTTAAGCAAACATGCCCTAGTCCCGATCCGCATGTGAATCCCGAATGGCCCGAATATGGAATGGATATCGCCGTGGATGGCCATCCTTATGACAGTCGTTTATTGGTGCGGTAGCACTGTTAGGCAAACTTCACCTTCAACCTCTCTCGTAGATAGACAGGTAGCACAGCCGATGAATCCAGCCAGTCTGAAGAGGAATCACATAGCATTGCATCCCACTATTTTTTGCTTTCTGCAGCGTAGTAGTCATCTATATAGCGTGAATTCTAGCAAGTGCTTGTTCAAGCCCCGGTGTAGGTGAATAACACACCATAACTACTAACTTGTTCACGCTGAAGAAGATGATGATTTATTAGGTAAACAGGCACATAGCTGGCGAATGATGAAGCTGATTACGACTGAAAATGTCTGAAGAAAAAAAGATGGTTGCTTTTTATTCCTGCCTTAACGAAAAAAAGGCCTCCCTTGATACCGCTTGACCGCCCAACCATTGCATATACGCTACGAACAAGTACTTGCTGACCAGATAAACCACCTATTTAAGACACGGGAATTTTTAGAAGACAACTAGAGCCTCACGAGTAGGCGAACAAAATAGGCAGAATCGAAGAAGAAACAAAACAATAGCCGCTTCAAGACGCAAGAAAGAAGGAGAGAAAGGAGGTTATATACATTAATCCGTGCCAATACCCATTTCCGTGTCCACGTCCTCATTCGTTAATCCGTAGCCCATACGAACGAAATAAAATCAAATAAAATCAGATTAGATCAAGGAACCAGCGAATCGGTAATTCAGTCAACCCGGTTCCAACCCCGAGTACCCAGAAGGAGGAGAGAGGATAAAAAAAATATAAAAAAGAAGCTGTGGTTCCCAGTGCCAAGTCAGCAAGGCCCCCCTTTCTCGTTCCCTCTGACGCCCCCAACCTCACCGCCTCCAGACCATTTGTTCGTTGGGTGGCTGTCCCTCGCCATGCTTAGGCACGTTAGGTAGGCAGACGGCGCTTCCCCGTCGCGATGTATTTCTAGAGATGGAAGAAATAAATAAATAGATAGATAGACTCGTTATGGTGGTGGTGGGGGTCTGGGATTCGTAGATGACCCCGTGGATAACTCGAGTTGGTTGGACAAATAGATACAGACGAAAGAAAACGGGAGAAGCCTATGAGGCTTTCGGATCGGGCGTCTATGCATGTAGGTATTATGTTAGGTATGTATGCGTGTATGTAGGTAGATATGTCTGTCGGCTCTCCGAGATGGTCTGAGTGAGTGAGTGAGACAACAGGCGGTATAGGCTCTTAGTGTCTGCCTGAGCGTCGTACTGTCTCAAGTCAGTCACCTATGGCTTCCTCCGAAGGTAGGATTCGCGTAGAACCCGTCTTCCGTCTTGACGACGTGCGAAATTTGGAGAGGGTCGTCTGCGAGCTTGGGGGGCACGGCGAATTTGCTCTCTTCCGGAGAGGCCTCGCGTGGATAAGAACGCTTCTGGGCGTCCTTGTCGCCGTCCGGCTTGAAACAGCAGACGCAGTTGCCGCTCAGCAGCTTTTCCTTCCATATGCCCTTTTCGATCGCTTCACGTCGTGCTTGTTCCTTCTGCGCAGCGCGCTCCTCGGCTGGTTGAATTCGTTAGCTACGGCTGCTATGGAAGGGGGAAACCCCCCTATCTGACAGGGACTTACCTAGTTCAGCAGCCGCGATTTTTATCTTGTGTGGCACCCAGTCGTAAAGCATGGCTCGCTCGGGGTATAGGTAGGTTAGGCTGAAGTATGGTTTATTTTCCTTTTGCATTCGAACCCCAGCAACCACTGCCTCTACGTGTCCCTCGGGTAGAAACACAAGCCTTCTTCCCTTGTCTATAAGGTGAGGGACGTGTTGGTTGTCTCTGTAGTGAACGCCTTGGATGCCTTGGGTCCTGCGTTGCTTTCCAGGTGGCATTGGGAATTTCTTCCTAAAGAGACGCTTGTTCTCCTCCCACGAAAGCTTCATCTCGTATTTGTTAAATCGAATAAAATCGGCCTCCTCTGTTGTGTACTTGAGGTTGTTGTGGGTGGTCTTTTTGTTGCAGCCTTCCTCAGAATCTTCAGACAGTGAGGGTTGTGATCGGGGTCGATGACAATAGCCGTGGGACTGCGGTGTGTACTGCTGCTTCTCCCGATAAAATACTGGTTGCGAATCGCAGAATTTCAAGGAAATGTCCAAGGAGATGTTCAAAGAAACTCCCCTTGAGTTTCGGGGTTGCGAAAGGAGTTCTTGACAACCATTAGATTCCTTCCTTCTGAGATTGAGCCACTGGACGATAGGATCTTCCGGCGCCGGAGAGCCTGGCTGTGATGAGAAAGAGTACGCATTTTCGGGCCCCGGGCTAGACTTAGGTGTCTGTAGCATCCTCCGAGGTCTGTGGTGGCAAGTGGGTCGACGACCTTCACACTCCTCGGGTGACAGGATATGGTAAACACTTGGGAGTGTGACTGGTTGGAGCCTGGCTTTCTTCGAGCTTTCAGCCAAGTTATCACATTTACGCTTAAGAACCTCTCCACGAAGGGGTACTAAGCCAACCCGAGGAATGTCATCGGGCTCGTGCCTTGACTTCGGTGACTGAGGGGGTGATGACCTAATCGAAATGTTCTCCCACGGCTCTGTGGTAGTCGAAACATTTTCCCACGCTTCCGCGGTAGAATCATGGGAGAATGAAGAGCCGGACCTCTCACTGATTGGTGAATGAGGATATAATGAGATATCTGTGAGGCGAATCGTGCTTTCAACTCTTCCATAAGAACTAACCGGTGGAAGTAGGCATGTATTCAGTGGGACCGACTCGGACTGTGGCGTACGGAGTGGGAGTGGTGAATTAAAAAGCGGTTTTCGCTGAATAGTTGAATGATCCATCCTTGTCATATTGCTATCGTATTGAATTGGCATGCTATTGGTAAAAGTCGACTCGTTGATATTATGAGAAGAAGTAAGGGTAAGGAATTAGATAAAGACTTAGATAGTGAAGAATGTTTGCTGATCAAAGCGTGAAGGGATGAAGACTATTTATGACTCTCGAATCGATGTAAGAGGAGGATTTAGTGTGGGACAGGTACCCTACTGTTTAATATAGACCAACAACGTCCCGATATACAGGGTTGAGTCTACTGAAGACTACTGAAGAGTACTCGATGCAACCTTACAGACGAGCAGCAGCCCTGCAGTAGAGAGACACCCCCGGGGTGCGGCTTGAGTGGTGACTATTGGTACTCCGTCTCTTGGCTTCTAATATATACCACGGCTTGGGGTTGATAAGTACGCCTATGTCTCTAATAAAATGACGAGAAAATGGCTTTTCTTTTAGAAGATTCTACTAGTCAAGCGATTGGCGGGTATATGAGAAATATGAACTACTGCGGAGAATACGCCATTCTGCACCGAGAATCTAAGTTCGACAAGAGGCGAGCGGAAGCGGGAGCGGTGGCCAAATGTGGTAGGGTAGGAACGGACGATACAGAGAATGACAACGCTTGGTCGAGTGGCGGTATACCCAAGCAGAGGAGCCCATCCGTCCCCAGTCTGAGATGCTTGAATGGACGGACCACGGCGCAAGGGGGGGCTCGAGGTCTAAGGCTATTCTCGATACAGACCTGGACAGCCCAGACACACTGTTTCAATCAATGTAACCACATCGATGGTGGCCGATCGTGCATGAGACCAAAGCCAGAATAAAGGCAAGCAAGACATTATGAGTATGTGGGAATAGCCATAGGTACTAAAAAACGCCCTCCGCATTAATGGTATCGGATATCGTCTAAGGCGTAAGGCGGGAGTCCAGTGGGATAGAAACAAAGCAATTGAACATCAATCCCGTCTTTTCCAGCCGATAAGTCTAATTACCGCCGTTTGGCACTGTGAATGACCTCTTATGTGTCAACGGCACGCCATTCGCTTATAACCCTGAGAGGTTCCCAAGCTGTCGGGACCGGTCTACCAATAGAACCATCGAATAGGTCCAGGGGCAGGCCAACCGAAGAGGGGGTGAAAATACGCGGACCGGTTATAGGATGGAATAGATGTGAAGGACATAACTGAATTATGCCAGATGTGCTGTCAGCCGGCGATGGGGATTGTCAGGAAGCGCGCATAAGCAACCCGGGCCATCATGGCGCCAACCACTTGAGAGAACGCTGTCTTAGGGTGTCATTTGTGAAAGAGGCTTAGGTTCGTCTATATAGGTACCAGGTAACCTAGGTAGGCACATAGGTAAAGACCAAAAGCCGCACGGTGATGTGCTTTTTCGGGTTCCGTAAGCGCGACAACATAGCTTGTGATTAATTTTCATTGGATCATTTTATCGTGGGGGTCGTTCGTGGTCGAGACTTTTCGACACTCGGGCCGGTCAGAGAGAGGTGAATAATCGGGCTAAGGGAAATCATTACCCAACTCGGCTCTGAAGAATTATGTGGCCCTGCGCCTATGACCCCCGACAGTGTAAATCAGGCATGTGAATCGCATGTTACCAACATGGGAACATGGGGAAATGCAGAGGGCGCCAAATGCGAAAAGATGAGCCATTTACCATGATGATAAGAGACGCCAGTATTGAGTAGAAAACTGCATCGAGAGAAGGATCAATCGCGTCTCCCTTGTTCCGAGCACTCGAATATCACCTAAATTTGTTTTCATGTTGGTTGAAAGAACTTGGACGGCGTCTAACAAGCTGGTAGCCCCTTGGCCTTCCGAGGTACCTAAATTAAGCATCCGAAGCCGATGTCTTTTTTAGAAATTATTTTTCAAAGTCTCTCCACTGCCCCTATTTTTCAACTTCCTAAATCTGGTACCCCCGAAACTAGTAAACGCCGTAACTATGTAGTATATTCGGTGTTTAGTGTGATTATAACACCTAGCGGCTGAGCCTTGGCGAGGTAGTTAGTCGAATTTTGTTCACAGATCCGGTAAAAACACAATTCCTCGATTCTGTGTTCAAACCGGCTCGGGGTCTTGCTTAATTTCTTTTCTCATCCCGTCTTTTGTGCTCTTTCTCAACCAATAGGCCCGTCGAGATGCAGTACACGTACGGAGGGGCGTGTAGTACGAATGATGTTGAGGCTTTCAGCAAGTTTTACAAAATTCGCAAACCCATTGGGCAGGACGGGATCTATCTGCCGTAATGACGATCAAGACACCGCTCGTCAGTACCGTTCACAAGGGTTCTCCGGACTGATCGTCTCCAGGGTTCTGTAAGCCAAGATGTCTCAGCGGCCTGATGGTCAGATCTTAACGCTAAACTGAATCTCGCGTCGTGGAGAATTCGGAATCATCGTGGTCTTTAACATGGTGCAGAAGCCGAGACCATACCTACTACTAGTGTATACCTAGCAGGTTCAGTTCCGTCTTGTTTAAGCCAATTCCACTAGCGACAAGAAACTAACCTGCTAAGGAACTGGCCATTTTGACACGTCACATTGTCGAGGTCATTGATTTTCGTCTATGAATACCTAGGTAAACATCTAAGACTGTCTTAGCTTTCAGCTGCGTCGTTATTGACGTCCACTTTCGCTGCCAGAGAATGCAAACATGCTCAGTTTATGGTTCAATCGGGTTGGGAATATTCCAATTGCCTTCGAGGCTTTCTGGAGTAAGATAGACAAGACGACAAGCCACCCACAAGATGGTAGCACCGATTTTAAAACACCAACCAGACGTTGCAATAAGTCGTTTTCGTGTCATCGTTACACCTAAAGTTCAAGTGCATTAACAACCTCTGTGTGATGGACAGTATTTGATGTGAATTCACGACAGGAGGCGACTTAGTCCCAATGGGGAATTGTTGTTAGGTAGGTCTATAATAGAAAGAAAATTTGAAGGCGTCGCTAGACCTTTTTGCAAAGTCAAGAGAATAGTAATCTAGACGAGACTGATTGAGGACTAGATCGGTGCGGCAAAACAGCCAACGATACTATTGAATACGACAAGCTGATTCGTGAGAGCCTCAGCATCATAGCTTAGACCGATCGACTACTGGGTCACTATGGCGGTTGCTACTTGCTATTCTACCGTCCTCGGCGGTTGGGTCAAGGTTGGAGGCCGCTGCCGACGGCCACACGCTATTATCGTCCGCCTCGATGAACGATTCGTCGCCAGAAAATTTCCTGTCATTTGTTAGTTCAGGGCTGAACCCCCCTGAAAGAGGCAGATTACTAGAGATGCTCACCATCCTCTTTCCTCGCCGCCTCGAAGAAAGCTACATTCAGAGTCCAATTCGCAAGTCCAGCCTCCGTAAAGTCCGGAGCCAACTCTCCCTAGCGACCCTGGATCGGGCGACACTGAGTCGTGTGGCTGGCGATCGACATTGCATTCAGGATCGATTTTCAAGTGGATTTTAGATCTTGCTTCTCTAGTCTCTCCGTCGTCCCGCGCTGCCGGGATTAGGGCGTCAGTTTCTGCCTTACTTCCAGACTCTATAGACGCTTGGATGGCGCTACGACGCCGCCGCCTGTATTTGCTTAGTCCGCAAGTAAATGCCCCGAAGTCTTGCTCGACATGCCCAGTAAGAACCCGCCCTAGCGCGATAACTACCGCTGCATGAGTGCATACTAGCACGGCTTTATGACCCTCCTGGTCGCTGCGTCTAATAATGAAGTCGATCGCCTGTGCAACCCGATCATGCAACTGTGGTAGAGTCTCCCCACGGCGTGAAGGCGCCGGACTAGATGCGTAGCTCGCATCGAGCTCGGGGAAGAGGCTCTGCAACTTGTTTAGGGGTGCGGATGACGGGTGCTCGAAGTGTGCTAGGCCATACCATTCACTAAGGCCGAGATCTACACGAATCTTGGAGTGTGGATCTCCTGAGACATTCCCAGACGATTGGGCCTCTCGATTTCTAAGTTTGCATATAAAGGGCTGAATTGTCTGCATGCATCTATAATAGGGACTAGAATAGACTTGCTCTATCGGCGGGTCAAGCCCTAGTAGGTATTCCGCTAGCTCGTTTGCCTGCTCAATGCCGTGGGATGCAAGAGCCGGGTCGGTTGGTAAACCCGTAGGAGAACGGACGGAAGCGGTATAGTTACCAGTAGACGGGTCAACAGCCCATGGGGAACGGAACTAGCGAGGATAAGTTTGTATTCACCCAAATAGCTTCGAAGTGGCTTCCGCTGTAAAGTAGGGGTGAGATGAGATAATTTCGGGGTCAAAACAGAATGTATATGCTATGGATAGACTAGAACTAGCACACCTTACCCCATGCCGGGTCACGTAAATGACTTCTAGAGACATTGACTGATGTCTATTTCTATATGCGACGGTAGGTTGCTTAGGATCTAATTGGCCAGTTGAAAAGCAATAGTGAAGCCACCGGGAAAGAGAAAGACGGACGCCGTACTGCTACTCATTCGATTATACCACGTTCCGTGCTGGAGTAGATGTATAGTTGTGATTTGTAGTGTCCTAGAAATAATTTAATATTTATGAAATATTTATGAGAGAAACTTGACGGTAAACTCTGAAGAGAGAACATTCAAGTTGAACCTGGGCTTGTGAAGAAAGTACCAATGTACCTAAAATATTATGCCGAGGTAGACTGAGGTCATAGCACGATCACGTGCGCGAACACGTTTACTCGGGAATAAGACATAATAATAATAATACACCAGTACACTCAACTTGGGTACCTAGTTATACTAGGTTAGGTAATGAAATTATCCTTAAAAATAGGCGCTATTTTCTAACGAGTTACTATGTAGAGCATATTCCAAATATCTTGGCGATAGATTGAGTGCCACTGCAAATCGTTATATGCCTAACATCGCGAAGTCTAATTGCCCAATCGTCATAACTGGGAACACCAATAACTAGCGAGATCTAAACTGCCTATCAAGCAAGCTATGTCCTTAAGTGCGAGCTTAACATGGTAGAGTTATCTCTTAAAATCTACGCAGTTTGATTTGCCCAGACAGTTCACTATTAATTCTGGTTGGACATATCTTAGATGGAGTACTCCACCGTGTCAAGCTCGCACTTGAGGACATAGTTCTCTTCGACAATATTCAAGCTGCTAGTCTATATGCAGCATCAAACGTGTTGATCTGATCCTTAGCTCTGTACCCTCCTAAATTCGATTGTCAATAAGGAAACTATATAATACATACATAGCGACAAGGGCAAATGGCGGTATGTAAAACTTTGCCGGGAATTATGGACCCGAAAAGCAAGTCAACCAAAATACGGGCTTATAGAATTATTTGTGCTGGCCGTGGCATAAATCTATCATATATCATTTCTGCAAGTAATACTAACTAGGTAGGTATACCTAGTACCTATGAGAAAAGCCTCGAACTGTTCGTCGTCCGAAGATTATGTAAAGCATCAAAGTGTCAAGCAGTCACAGATCTGGGGAAGCTTTCTCGCTCAAATAATCTTCATTCTATATGGTACACTTCGCTCATGCGCGCTAGTGCTTTCTATCAACTTCCCAAGAGGTATCGTATGTACTTCACAACCAAAAGGATCACAACAAGTCTCGGTAAACCCCAAATAACCATCACCCTAAGGCGTAAGAGGTAAACAAGCGTCATTAGTTGCAATTGGCGTCGGCTGCGGTAGCGGCGGCGTTGTTATTGTTGTTGCCGTTGGCCTGCTTTCCGGCGTGGTGACGCTTGTTGTTGCTAAGTTCAAAGTTAGCCATTAGTGTCGGTATTAATGAAAAAGCAATATAAAAATGATGGGTTCGTATTTCAAGCTCCCGGGGTGAGAATCACTTACTTGTTGCATGCGTTGGCATTGTTAGCGGCGTTATTATTGTTATTGTTGGTATTACCGGTAGCAGCAGCGGCGGCGGCGGCGGCATTGTTGTTGTTAGCATTGGCATTGCCGTTGTTTCCGGTACCTGCTGCTACAGCAGCGGCGTTGTTGTTGTCTATACACAATTGTTAGGAGAATTACACAAATCCGCAATAGTATAGACTTACTGTTACCACCGTTGGCTTTGCGCCCAGCGTGGTGACGAGGCATCACCATAGCGCTGGCGGCGGTGGCTAGGAGTAGGATGGAGAAGAACTTCATTTTGACTGGATGGGTAGAAAGCGGTTGGCTGAGAAAAATAGAAGCTGTACACGTCCGCGGGATCGTATTCAAGAGAAGTGAATGATAGTTAAAGAGGAGGACCAGCCACCAAGAATACGAATAAGGAACGAAATAGAATGAAGAAAATTGAGACGAGTTATTTTTGATGATTGATAGCGGAATGAAGAAGAGAAACTGTTGAATTATCGTGGGATTCTTGGCTACTTTTATATACTTGGATATTCTACATAGTAAGAACTGATGGGGCAGCCGGTTATACTACATACTAACCAACAATGTCATCTTGACAGGCTCACGACGACAATCACGACGACAATAGGCTTAGCTTCGACCCTGCGCAGCTCGAGACGCCCTGCATTTTGTCAGTGACCGGGTGTAAAACAGAAGCGCCGTCACACTTTAGTCACTGGACTTTTCCTATTCGTGATAATAGCTTAGGGTTCTCTCCAGGATTTCGCGACGTTTCAGCAGGATCTGAAGCAATGTGGGACATCTAGAATATGGGGGAATAAAAAGCTTGACCCGATCGCTTCGCCTTCCTATTGGTGTATTTTTTCCCAAATGTTCCCAATTGACCAGGGGTCAGCTCGCGCCTTAATACAAGCCCTTTACCAAAGCCTCCTAAAATAGTAAGCTCCTTGACTCCTACCTAGTCGTTAAGATCCCCAGACCCCGACCATCTTGGGGAATCTATCATTGATCGACTTTTGCAACAATACCATGCCAATCTCTCATTGGGGCATAAATTCTCATCGGCGCTGGGATGTTTCCCCATTAGCCGAATATGGAAAAACTCCGTGCAAAGTGACAGTCTCATTTCTTTTGATTCCCCTTCCAATGCAACCTCCAGACTTGGCATTGTGTTCACTTGAGTCTATTTAATATTACGTAGTCCTGATTGGCCCTTGACAAGTGCGTATTAGAACCACCATAGTATCGAATTCTAGACTTCTACAATATCAAAGCAATAATCGCGTAGGGTGGCTGAACTTGGCCACAACCAAGGGACCAAGACCAATTTGTCGTTTCGGAAATTGGGCCACGGCACCGACCCCGTACGCGCGACGAGCGACCTCTGGTAATCTAGCATCGTTAGCATTTCAAGGTTGTTATAAAATTGAGCATTAGGACTCAACAGCCAGGATAATGTCCTTGGCTACTGGACGCAGATCAGTTTCAGCGAAAGGCAGGGCCTAAGACGAGATTTCACAGACCTTACCACGCAGGGAAATATCTTGAGAAGGTCAAGAATTGCCGGGATTTGCGCCAGGAAATGTAAAGATCTGCGTTGATCACGTACGCGCTTATGTTGCTGGGAGTTCACCCTGCGTAAATCACGAAATGCCTCTTACTTAGTATTGAAATAGCTGTATGAATATGTAGAACGGATTTATACGAACCATAAAATGTGGCGTTCTTCGAAATTGATTTGTATTATTTTTTAATACTTTCACTGTGCCTAATGCTAAAGATCATCTGCACAACTGACAGGTCATAAAGCCTATAAGCTACTATTCCTTAAAAAAGCAGGGTCGGAAAGGCTTAACCGAAGTCTATTCGCTAGCGTAAAATGGTCGCTAATTAGTCAAGTTTCAGCTTTTATCCAAATGCCGGAACTGGAACTGGAACTGGATTCGAGAACATGAATAATGTATTCAAAAAGCACTAACAGATACCGTTGGATGACCGTTAATTTAGATCTCGATCTATAGTCCTTCGTTAGAAGTTACCATCAGTGTCTCAAGTCCCTAGGTCTAAGCTTTTGGTGATCGGTAAGAGAGATGTCTTGTGAGACGCAACCTTGTGGCTGGAGATGACGATTGCTAGGTACTCTCCTATTTCCTTGCCATTCCCATCGAGAATCAAAAAGGAAATTCGATCGTAATCATTGATCCAGAAAGCCACGCCCCGAGTGTTCGCAAGAGGAAATCAGTAAGACAATTCTTGTAAGACAAATCGGTACTCCTCGGTTGAATTGTACCTCACAAGTATTAGGTAGGCCTGCTAATAACACTACTCATTTGGAAGTGCCAATTCACTTAATATCAAATATCAAGTCCGCACACCTAGAGAGAAGCCAGTAACTTCAACTTTAGTTACCTACTTTGAATAGTAAAGCTGTTATAGAGTCCTCAAAGTTAGCAAGCGGCCTCACCGTCTCGGCATCTTATTACGGTCCCAAGCCCATTGGGACGGGTAAGACTTACATGCAGAGCTACCACGGCGGCTGAAGCCTCCATCTAATCATTTAAACTAATATCCAAAAATCCGGGGAACTGATCCAGCCTCCAGCGCTAATACCTAGTTGAGACATTTGGGGTAGGTAAGTAAGGTAGAAGGTTAAGGAATAGGCGGGAACTAGAAAAAACAACCAGGTAAAAGGAGGCGGTCAGGTACTGAGTTCTATTGAAACACTGTTCAAGACAGCTATATCTTTAAAGCTGAGAGTGTAAGGGTCCAAGACGGGGTCCCATGGAGTAGGTAGTACCTAACTAAATATTCTCCGCTCACATCTATTTCACTCAACTAGCGCCAGGGCTCAGGGGTTAATACTAGGTATATACTTGAGGAAATATAAAACGAAAGAACATAGGTCTGAATTATGACATGCAAGTGTAACGGTGATTCTTTGAAGCATGCCCCTTCTAAAGATAGGAGAGGGATGCACTACTTATAGAGACCTGCTACCTTGCCGCTATCCCCTTAGCATGCCCCTATTACGAACAGGCACCTAGGCTGTAGGTATGTAACAAGTGTGTAACAATATTATCTCATACATTCCTACAATATCTTACCTAATACAAACTCGCTTGCTATATCCAATCCTACGCCCATGTAGAACGCTCATTCATCTAAATTACCCTAATGCCTATCTTCAACGTCACGGATCCATAACAAATAAGTTACGAAGTCATACAGAGAAGAATATCGCCGGGGTATTTAAAAATTCTAAAGTTATATACACATTTTCAGCTATACAAATTGTACACTTCATTTTTACAAGGCGCTCGTCTTATATAAGTGCCTGACCCATGAACATGCTTTCTCTGACCTCAGCAATGATATCCCGCCGGTCGCCCCTGCCGACTAACACAACACCTCTTCCTCTCCTACCCATGCGACCGGCACGTCCTAAGCGGTGTATAAAATCGATGGTGCTGTGCGGTACGTCGTATAATATTACATATCGAACCGCCAGGGTATCAATACCCCTCGAAGCCAAGTCTGTGGCCACGATGACCTTGGTATTAGGCAAAGTTCTGCGTCCTCTTCCTGGGGGTGGCACCTTGGACTTTGCGAGTATTTCTTTTAATGGCGCGGTGGTAGTAAACGCATCCAGCATTTCAGATTGACGTTGTTCCGAGGTGTCCCGGTGTAGCGCAACAGCGTCAATGCCCTTGGAGACAAGGAAGTCAGCGACCTCTTGGGTCTTCTCGCGCTCATTAACAAATACCATAATGCGCTTGACATCGACCTCTCCAGGTACGGGGCCCTGATGTCGGAAGGCATCTTTTCCGATGGACCAGATTGCATCAGCACAAGCAAGGTCTTTGCTATTTCGGTAAGGATCTTTAGTTACGTCAATAACTCCTAGTTGAACGCGTCGAGGGATGGCGTGGAGATTTGGCGTAGTAATCCGGACCATATCCGGGAATTCAGAACCTAGGTAGTTATCGAGTCTTTTTGGAATAGTAGCAGAGCAAAGGATCAGTTGCTTCATAGATGGTAGCGCACGGTCTAAAATGTCTGTCGTCACAGGTGAAAAGCTGCGATCGAAAAGCGAATCGGCTTCATCAACTACTAAATGAGTGACTCTAGATAGGATGTAGGGATCCGAGTCTGCCATCGATGATAGTAAATGAGGTGTTGTCACGATAATATCGATGCCAGTAGGCGAGTACATGGTCGCATTGATAACCCTTGCGGAGACGTTGGCAGAGAACAAACCAGCCCTAAACTTCACAATATGCGATAGAGCCTTTGCAACACGACCTACTTGGTCAACTAACTCAGCTGTTGGCACTAACACGACGACCTTTGGCCGTGCGGCGGTCGGATGAGGATCGAATTCTCGGGGACCGGTGTATCCTGGTTCCTTCATTGCTGCCATCTGCTTATCGAAATATTCTCGGTAGGCCGCGATGGCAGGATCAGAAGCTTCGGCCTTCTTAAGAGCATCGATCACGGGTAGCAGGTAGGCTAGCGTTTTGCCCGAACCCGTCTCAGCTGCTAATAGAAATTCTTGCCTCTCGTTACTATCTTTCGCTCCTTTCGCTCGAGAGGACCGTCGGCCGGTGTCCTGACCTAGAAGTGCAGGAATCGCGAGTCGTTGAATAGGAGTGGGCTTTATGTCCACCATGTCTTTTAACACGTCTTGGGACATGGCTTCTTTGATCGAGGGTAACAGTTCGAATTGTTCAAACGACTCCATCTCGGCTATGCTCGCTTTCGTTCGTGTTCTGTGGCCGTATGAAATTGTGGCTAAGGAGCTTTGCATTTTCATAGCTTTCGTTCTTCGGTCGTCCTTCCTATCACCCTTCTCGTCTCTACCGCCTCTGATCTCGCTCGTTCGAGATGTCCCTTCTGGTATACGTTCTTGTATGTTGGCGTATGTTTGATTCATGCCGCCAAACGGTCCTGCTGATCTCTGACTAGGTCTTCTACTTCCACGACTATCACCATCTTTGTTTCGTAAAAAAGAGCGTGCGACACGGTCGGACAGGACCATCCTCGAAGGTCTAGCTCTTCCTCGGGCATTGAAGAATCGTTGTTGCGCCGCCACCCATGGTCGATAGGCACTTTGGAAGGCTGTTGAGTTGCTCGCTGCGAATAGGCATGACGGGCATATTGGCGCTGAGAGAAAGGAGCGCATCTTGAGAATCCGGACGTCGATCCGGTTTCCTACCGCGCTGAAATTCATGAAGTTAATTAAGGCTCGTTTCTTGCCTCCCGCCTTCTTCAAAATTAATTAAATTTTCTACATTTTTTGATCGCTATCGATAACAGCCAATCGGTTGCGTGCCCCTCACCCCTCCTTCCGAAAAGGGCAATTTTTAAAAGGTACACGGGTACCTCTCCCTCATCATGTCCCGATCCAACATATATCCGGACCGGCATCTTTGCCGGGTATGTACATAAGACCATCTAATTGATATCTTGGTGTATTGGCTTTGATTTACTTACGTCACCAACTCGTACGTGATGCCATCAAGCAGAATGAGTGCTATAAAAAACAGAAGACACAATATGCAGCATATGTCCCTCATAACTATACCTAAGGTAGGTAGCTATATACATCTACTATCAACTTGCCATGGCCCATACAAGTTCCCAAGCAACTATTCCTTTCCCCCTTCAAAGAGTTTAGCGGGTATGGCAGATCTCCGTATGTATTAAGAGACATATGGGTTTGCAATAGCAAACATTCATTCATCCTCAATTCCGGCCCTATCTACCATGTGTCCTCATCCCCAGTATAGGCTATGAGTCTCCCTCCGTGCGTGGCTTTTGTGGCTGCGTCGATTACTTTTATCATTCCCCGGCATGATTCTTCGACCGTTATAAGTTTTACTGGAATGTTGTCGTGGACTGCTACGAGGCCTGCAAGAGCGACTTGGCCCATGTCGGTGTCTGCTAAGCCAGGGTGAATCACAAATGCCGTGAGCCAGTTTTCTTCCTTGTCGATACGCTTGGTTACCCAATGAACCGCAACCTTTGACGGTCCGTAAGCGGCGTGGGGGACATCAGGTTGATCCCTATACTACGATTAGATACGACGATGCGGGGGGCGGGGATAATATTCACTCACTATAGTACACATTACGTCAGTTGACGTCGACAAACAGAATAGCATCATGTGGAGTTTTAGGAGTATTGTTAACTTACCACTATCTTTCCTCCGACAGAGCCCATAGTTATCCACTTAGGATTCGTAGACTTCTTTAGGAGCGGAATTGCGGCCTGGTATAACCATACCACACCAAAAAGGTTAGGAGTAAGATGTCCTTCTAGATCTGCAGTCTTAATGTCCGACACCTTGGGGAAGACGTAGCAGACACCAGCGTTCGCAATGACGATATCGATATGGTCGATACCCTGTACAGTTAATTGTTTGATACCCTCGGCAGCATCAGATTCAACGGAGGCATCGATCTTAATAACAACGAGGCGAGTATCTTCCCCTTTGGGTAGCTCGGCAAGAGCTTTTGACGTAGGGTGATCTGGGTTGCGAATCGCGGCAATGACGATATGGTTCGGCCTAGCTAGGTAGAGCTCAAGGAGCCCTTTGCCTAATCCTCGGTTCGCGCCGCTAATTAAGACGATAGTTGGGGCCATGGTGTGTGTTTTGATAGTAACGCTATTGGTATTAATAAAAAAACTTAACTACCTGTCTAAACTTATTCTTAAGTTCTTCTCGTAGTCGGTTCGTCCCCTGACTTCTTATAGTCGACTATCCTATTCACCATACTACCGAGCCACACGTTCCCGGTTAGGGAACGCTTTGGTTCTCGGACGTCGCCAAGGTTAATTGCCCGGCTAATGCAGAATGAGTTGTTCTTTTACATGCTGACACTTAATAATGAGATGACTTTCTTAAACAATTAACGATTATACTAGAAAAAATAAACGAAAGGTACTTATAATATGTATCATGTTACTCGCAAGAGGTTATTGAATATATTTATCAGTTTTAATCATTTTTTTCTTTTTTTATACTGATTTTTCAGAGTGACTAATTTGAATATAATTTGTGATGTTATCTTCGAGGGAAACGTGAAGACTACACCATTACCACGAGAGAGGGGCTAAGTTCTTCACCGCTTTAGAATTTTTCATGGGTCCCACGAGGTTTGACCCAACATTCATAGATTCAACCATGGAACCCCCAGGGGTAACACGGTAGTATAGCATTGATCGACGTTGGTGACTTTACACAGTTAATAATGTCCGGGATTCAACGCGATTGGCAGGATTGGATACCTAGATACTTATTATGAGAGACTCCGAAGAAGCTTTCAAGATTCTATAGAGCCTAGTCGAGCGCTAAGCTATTACGGTTTAAGATAGATTCGTGGATCCCAGGTTGCGGGACACCAAAGGATTTATTCCATGGGGTCAAAGAGACATTATGGGGCTGTTGGAGCCGAAGGATCGCATAGTCAGATCCGAATTTCTATTAGGTAGACTTATTCTAGATTAGCGAGCTGATAGACTGATTACGACACCAACTTGCAAGACGACATATGAAAGTTATCAGGCTTTACATATCTTTAGAATAGTCAACTACCCTTAGGTAGTCTTATAAACTATGAAGAACTAAGTTATGATATTTAAATTACTCGATTTTCTTTTCAATCATGCTACTATTCTAATACATTTTCTACAGTAATGTATGTGTACCCAAGTTAGTATAATGTTTAGGTTATCGCGTGAGATTCCAGTCCACCACGATGTAACATTGCGAGAGCGCTATTGTTCCGCTTTCAACGCTTTGCTTTAGCGTCTTATCGTTTTCTTTTAATATCCACTAAATATAGGCGAGGAAACTACCTAATTCGTCTTTAGAAAACTTGTTGGAATAACTCAAAAAGGACACATGGTTTAATTGGATAGGAAAAAAGTCAAGGAAGTTAGGTATTACCAACGAAGGTTTATCATTTAGTATCTGAACAGTAAGCGTAAGCGTGAGTATAAATAATTCAGTTTCATCATCTCGGGAGATGGAATTTTCCTATCAAAGCTTGTTACGTACAACACCAACACGAAACTAGCGACTAGCTTACTGACGGTACGATTATTCTAATTATCTTCGTTGAAATTGTCATCGCTAGATATGGTAGTTGATCCAGCATGAAGTACTCAGGCCTTCCATAGGGGATGGGAGACGGGAACTGCAGGACCCTCTTGGGGGGTTACTTAACGAAGAAGCTTCGACCAAGGAGAGAATTTATGTAGCGGAGATAGAAAACTTAAGTAAAGTAAATTTGGCGGTAGTCAAGGAGAGAGCAAAAGCCATGGGTTGGAATTCGTATCTACTAAGTTTACACTAATTAATAACGACGCGGCAACCTGTGTAGCTATCTCCTAAGAAGACCAAAGTTAAAAAGGGTGAAAGGCCTACCTAAGGTATAATTTGTGAGGTGTCAAAATTGTACTTTCTACGATTAGTATCATCAATTCACATCGTATAATCTCGGTTCTCCTGCAAACTGATGCATATTTTCCTATCCTATAGTTTTAGATACAAGCCATTTAACCCATACAAAAAAGGAACTAATGAAAATTTTATGACAACTCTCCCTCGTAGCAGATGTTCGCGCTTCACATGCCAATTAAGCTCTTCTGTCGTTGCGAATCCTGCACTGGAGCATGGTCCCGTATTTCCCCAAAGGCAGATATGTCTATGTCCAACACCAGAGTGGATTTCAAGGTCTCTTTTGCTGGTGAACTTGGCTCTGCACGGATCCCTCGGACAGATGTGATAACCGTCTGTCCCAGCAGATATCTTATCCTTAACTTGTAGGGGGCTAGCATCCCGATCCATAATGCGCCATATTAATCAAAGGACACTTTAAATATAATATTCACCACGTTGCGTAGCAAACATTCTGCCAGTTAGCAATTACGGCGTCGTTTTTGCGATACATTCCCAAACTAGGAACCCCTTGGCCTTGACCGAGCTCCAATGGCGACCTGGACCCCGTGAAAAAAACCTCACAGAGTTGTCTCAGGCAGAAATAATATAAGCCGATGCTGCCCGCGCTTAATATTGGTTCTACCTGTAAATGTCCGAATAATAAGCTTGCATTTTGTACCGGTGGAAACATCGCAGCGAAAAGGCCTTTCAATTGGCGTAGTATCATCCCCATGTGAAAACCCGGATAAGTTCTATTTTCCTCCGTTGATGTTGCTTCGGTGATCAAAGGTTCCATATCGTGAGCATATCCAGAACTAGCTGGAGACACAGCAGATCGCCGGTCTTCAGGCATGTTCGAGTCTCGAGATAGACTATGGCGCATATGGTCTGACCTAGAGTGAACGTATATGCTATCTTCCATCTCAAGAATAATATAATAGTTGGTTATTAGAAAATAAGTAAGTGGCGGCTGGCGACGGTAGAAGAAAAGGCGTAGAATTTATTGTGAGAACCGGGACGAAAACAGCGCTATCCCAGTCGAGAACCCCTGATATTATAGGTTGCTTTCGATCGGATGTCGGGTTGATTAATATGTTGCGAGGAGTAGGCCAGTTTTATTACCACCAATAGTCTCTGGATTGTAGGCTGAGCTTGTTTTACACTTTCCAAAAGATTGCAGGCCTTGCATAACGGCGGTAAGAATCTTAGGTCGGCCGCATGAAATGGAGTGGGTCTGTATAGGAAGGGCAAGCTTTTCGGGCACATGTAACGGTACCCTAAATATTGTTAAATAGGTATATATAAACACATATAAGGTGTAACGTACCGTTGTATAGCTCTATCCGAAGTTTGCAAAAAGGTTTCGTACATGGCTTGTGCGGGAGTTTCGTTATCTTCCATGGATGTTCGAATACCCCAACCGCTTAAATCCCCCGTCATGAGCATGACTTGTCCTGACTGATTGGATCAATTGTTTGCGGCACCATCGAAAAGGTAGGCGGTTAATAAAAGCTGGGTGTTTTCGAAATATTTAGGTATATCAGCGGACTCGAAACAGTCTTCTGGTATACTGGCGTTGGCTCCTGTCAATAACAACGTGGAAATATGCTAAAGGATATGTGTTTATATGATTACGCATCGACAGTGGATATTGTCACCCGACCTGAACTTGAAACCTGGCTGGAGGTACTGACGCTCAGGAGGATGTCCGCATACACTGTGGCTGTAGTGTTCGGAACAGTAAAGGCAAATTTGTTCGGAACTGTATATAAGCGCAAATTTGTTCATCCTTATGATGGTCGTTAAAGTCTGCAATGCATTCTGCGTGAAACCTGTATTGACATGGCAAGGCGACTAGGCTGGTTGCATCTTCGCCTTCATCATGCTCCTGGTACATCACGTAAAGAAGGCATGGACCGTTCGGCAGATTATTTGAATCGGTACCCAAGTTGGGCGGTGACTGCGTAATATCAGTGGCCATTGAGAAAGAGTTAGATAAGTGGTAGTAATGAAGTTGTGGTAGTGCTGAAAAGATAGCTTTGGGGATATTGCTAATTGGGAGAAGGGAACAATGGCTGAAGAGTAGAGGGAGTAGTACGGTATTTATATAAGATCCATCATCACATGCAAGAACCCAGAGATGTGTTCAGGCCTCTTGAGTTGTCAAGAGCAACAGGCTAGAAAGTTTAGCTTGTAAATATATAGTTCTTGTTTAAGTTTAGTAATGAGGACTTGGACATCAATCGAACCTTTGGCTTTGACTCGTACGGCAATAGCACCATCCTAGGCAATTGTTTTTGTAAAAATGATGTGGAACTGGTCTTGTATTGCGGAAGCGTTGTTGAATCCCGAAAGGATTACGGGACCTCGTCTGTGTATACACCCAGCCCTGGGGCCTCGTCCCCTCCCTTGATGCTATAACCGTGACTCACGATGGTGACGTGGACCACCTGCCAACATATGATAATTTAAAATTATACCGTTACTATCAGGCTATAAACGATTTATTCTTGCTTAAAAAACAACGCTTTAGGAAAGACCAATGCTTTAGGAGGGAACAACGCGTTGGGGAAGCGCGATAAAGTAGCAGTAGTTCCTTACTATTTCTATATGATATCTCAAATCAGCACGTCCCTCGTCCGTGCGTAATATGTACTTATCTTATAAAATGACGTAGTTGTGAACATTGTGCTTCTAATAGCATTATTCCTTCCCAAAGCATTGGTCCCTCCTAAAGCGTTGGTCCCTCCCAAAGCATCAGTATCTGATCAGGGATCATTACCTATACAGACTAAGCATTAGGTAGTCATTACGATCGAACTGTTACAGTTCGTACAGGGTATGGAACAACTTTGTAAACAGGGCTGTATCGACGGCTATAATAGCACGCCTGAGGTAATAGCGCGGATATTGTATACGAGTAAAAATACCCTGTAGCACAACGAGTTGTGCTAACTGGAAAGCTTTTCCGGCGAAGCTTTTTAATTAAATGCGTTGAAAACTAAAGTCAATGGCTTAGGTTTTTGTTTAAGGAGCACGTACCTGAACGTTGGGTAAACTTCAGCTAATTGGAAAGCTTGCTTACGAGTTTGCATTCGTGGTAATATGAGCCCTCTAGAGACCAAATTTAACTTGGGAAAGCAAGCTTTCCAATAATAAAGATAGCTCTAAGATTGCTGGGGGGATTAGGTTATAGCTAGCCTGGTAGGGCTAGTTGATAGGTACCTGTAAACAAGCCTAACAGTATCCTTAGCACGAACTATGTACACGTGGTGTCTGGGGTTTACGGGACGAAATTTAAAAGATGACGTAGAAATAGATAAGACGACTCCAAGAAACTCTATAGAAATAAGGAACCATAACAACCGCCAATGATGATGGCTATATACATTAGGTAACGTAAGATGGCTCCAACCCTATCATATGCAGGGTTAACGAGGAAATATCTTAGTTTCCGATACGCTGCAAAATAATAAAAAACTGGGAAAAAGTATAAAATGGCAAGATATAGTCTATTTGTGAGTTCAAAAATACAAAGGATGGTCCCAGAGAGGCTCGAACTCTCGGCCTTCGCATTATTAGTACGACGCTCTAAACCAACTGAGCTATGGGACCTGATTGGAACCCCTTTAAGGCTAGGAGACTTGAATGAGTTCTCATCGTGTAAAAAATGGTATAGATTTTAGGAAAGAAAGAAAAGATTTTTTTTTTTTTTTTTTTTTTTCATATGGACCTGAACGTTGGATAGTAACAATACGCTATGCATAATCTGAAGTGTCAGTATGCGCTAAAAGGGGCTGGGAATTATGGGTCTACCTACAATATGTAGATTAAGCGGCTTACATTAGGTAATTTAGCTGATAGCTACGGTTAATCGCGACTGCAGGCGCTCGTGCCCCAAAGCTAATGTAAAGTCGCCGCTATTAGAACAAGTTCACATCCCCAACATTCCCAGAATCCTATACGCCAACCAAGGACAAACCATGTACGAGGATTCATGGTACAATTTTGTACCAGATCATACCCACAAGAGGACCCCTTCTATTCCACAGACCTCAGGACACAGAAGAAGGGAATCACTTCTTCAACAGCCCAATGTCAGTTCCATCTTTAACACACCCATTGTCCGTCCTCTTAACGCCTTAACGCAATGCTAACAGCCAGTCTAGGGAAATAAGCTGTCCGATGCTGTAGAGCCGCTAGAAGAATTATTTGAAGAAGCCGAGGCGATAATTGAACCCCCCGAAGCAACCTTGAGTCGAAGAGCAAAGTCTTACTCTGACTTCTACCATGTCGTCCGTGCGCAGCTCTCTAAGGATGCTGCTGCGAAGAAGAGGCGCAAGAAGGCCAAAGAGAGAGGTTTAGAGGCGCTGATGGTTGAGAGGATCGAAAAGGTCGTCCGAAAACAAGAACCGCCCCGGTTGAGGTCTTCCGACGACGAATTGATCAAGGCTAGCCAGCAGGAATACTTGTACGGTACTTGGTGTTTAACGGGTGACGATGCGGTCGCTAATAGGGAGATAGGCTTTACCAAGAACAACTAGAGATGACTGAACGTCACCTAGATACGCTTATTAGCGATACGAATGGTGCTCTGGATCTGCTAACATCTTTGGCTGGTTCATTTCGTGCTGTTGAGTCGCAGACGTCCTCTTTCCAGGCCCAGTGCGACGATCTCATATCAGAAGAGAGAAGATTACAAAAGCTTGCCGACGAGGTCGGAACTGACTTGCATTATTATGCATATCTAGATGGCGTTACAAGGAGGCTGAATGCTCCTGGTGCTAGCCGTCTAGTGAACCACGAAAGCTTTGGCGAAATCCTAACGAATCTGGATGCTTGCATAACATTTATGGTAGAGCATGTTAGTTTCTGCACGATCTGCGTACTTCACATATGCACTCTTTGCTGACCTGTATTAGCCTGACTACCGGGATGCCGAGTCCTATCTGGCCAGATATCAGTCTCTACTCACTAAAGCTCTTCATTTACTCGAAGTTGGGTTTACGGGCCATCTTGATCGAATCTCATCGGAAATATCAAAGCAAATTTCCGCTACACAATCCGAATCTGCCAGACACGCGCTCGCATATGGCCGATTTGAGGAGATGGTACTTGAAGTAGATGGTTTAGTGGCGAATGCCCAACGCGTTATTCGTAGTTGTTATGATCAACTGGGAAACCCAACCCCTGGGCAAAGCTTTGATTATTATTCCAATACTGCCGTCAACATCTTTTCCTCTTACGCGGATGTCAGAGACCGTGATCTCCGTCCCATGACTCAACATGACCTCGAGGCTTTTAGAAAAGAGGTTAAGGAAGTCAACGCAGAAACCGCATGTCGCAACTTTGTCAAGCAATGCTATGAACGATCATATGATGAAGCAAATCTTTTCGCTAAGATCTTTTCCATAGAGCCGCAGTACAACGTGGACCCCCAGTCCGCCTACGTAGCCTTAAAGTTGCAACAAAAATCATTAGTCAGTGCCGCAAACATTGCCCCGATCGCAACGACGTTGCAGTCTGTTTTACAAACAAGCGAGCTCCAATCGGTTTGCAATCTTGTAGGATGGATCACAAACGAGTACCTCCTATCAGAATACGACGAAGAAGAGACTCGATACTCGGTTCACTGCCATGACCTCACCGCTCGACTGCTCATCGAACATCTCTGGCCCTTGACCGACACTGCTTTCGAAGCCGAGGTTACGAAATCTATCTCGAAAGCCCCCATTTCGCAAGACTCTCTTAAGATCACGCCCGTTGTGAATGGTGTCGCATCTTCCAATGTACATCCAATTACGAAACGGGCCCTTGAGCTTCTGGCTATGTATGACCAAGCCATGCCGAAAGAGCGAAGCGTAAGTAGTACCCTTGTTTTATTTACGCTATGTTTGAAAATTGACCCATTCCCTTTAGTCGAGCCCAGTTGTATTCCGAATAATCCACGAGACTATTCTTGCCATGCAGCGTGCCGAATCCCGGTTAAAGTCTAACAAGGCAGCTAATCCCGAGCCCGATCCTGATTTATTCATGATTAAGAATCTGCTTATTCTTAAGAATGGACTGGTGTCACTCGAGATCGGCGATGTTAGATCTTATCCGGCAGCGATGCAGCACTTTGGCCAAATATGGGATGCTCTTAGTCCTCAGAATTGGATGGGCCTATTCAGGGGTATTCTCGGCGGTTCTCTATCGCTCGGCCTCTGGTCATCCGCAGTTAGCGCCTCCCCGTCTACGAACGGCAAGGCCGCACCGGCCAAAAATCAGGTTCAGCCCGAGCAAGATGCAAACGAGAAGTTGGACGAACTGCTACGGCAGAGCATTTATGCTTTTACACAGCGGTGGGGAACATTGATAAACGCAGCTAGGAGCGGCAAACGCGGCGCCAAGAGCCTGGAGTCTACGGAGAAGGAGCTTGATGAAAAGCTCCTGACTGCGTTCGGTGGCCAGCCCGAAGTTGTAGCCAAGCTGCAGGAAGCTATTCAGATAAATGCACAAGCTCAGAATGAACTGAAGGCGGAAAAGGGTGTGCGATAGGAAGAAGGAATGTTTATTCCTGTCCGTACCTGGTACTAACTAGCCTCGCTGATGATAATTGCGGTGGCAGTTATTTCCACCGAGTTCGCCCCGGGAGAAATACGAGATACATTGGAAGCATGCTAACATTCGAGCATAAAGTCTTTTATTGGTGTACCTTATCCTATTCTATTAGTCGCTGTTTCTATTTTCACATCTAGCTCCCTCCCTGGATACCATTCCTCTTTCCCTTGCGTCCCTCCCGTACCCTGTACTTATCTGTACATTTCTCCTCAATTGCCCAAGCCTCATGTCTAATTTAGCAGCTCTTTTCAAGTTGTACATAGAGGGACGGAATATACGTAGGTAGGTATTCAGCTTGGCATGTAAGAGGACCCCCATAAATGATACGCCTGCTAACACCGTAGTCGTATCATAGTAGCCCCCCGTGACGTATGTAGCTCGGGCGGAAGGAGTAGTAAAAGAACGGGTAACCCAAAGGCTAACTCTCTACCTAAAGACGCAATAGCTCCAACTACTAAGAGCTTATTCGGGCTCTTGCCCTTATTAGTTTCGTAGCTATCCCGATGTGGTCTAGTAACCGAGTTGTGCCGCACCATCGGGTACGGGCGATCAAAGGGAAGGAGACAAGGGAACTAAGCAAACCTAAGTTCTTTGAAGTATAGGGCGTATTAAAGATCGAGGGGAACCTAGTCCAGGCCGTTTTCAGTCCAACATCTCGGTACGAAAGTTTAACACTAAGTCAGTTCAATTAGCGTAAAGGAGAGACACCATGGCCGCGACACAAACAGTACAAGTCTCACACTTGGAAGCCCAGGTTGGGTATGCTATATCGAACAACAAGTTGGATCCTTCAAAGCCGACATGGGTGCTCATCAACTCCATGTGCACTACAGTCGAGTTCTATCGCGCCCAGTTAGATAACAAGACGTTAACGGCCGCAGTGAACCTAGTGGCCATCGAGCCGCTCGGCCATGGCGCAACAAGCTGTGCTACGGAACACTTCACCTACTGGGACACTGCGCTCGTTGCATTGCAGGCCCTCGAGGCTTTGGGCGTAAAGAAGGCCTACGCGTTGGGAACCAGCCAGGGGGGTTGGATTATCGTGAGGATGGCACTGCTGGCGCCGGAGAAGGTAATTATTCAATTTTGGACGCTACTTGACAAGTGGATCGTCTCGGCTCACAGAAGATAGATTCTGGGCCTCATTCCTCTTGGCACGTCGATGGAGGCTGAAACCAGCGAATCCCGTGAGAAGGGCTGTTGGTAAGTTAAATGTCTATCGACGACGCCCTCCCGGTTCTATTATGGTGTCCCTGGACTATACTCGCCTTTTTGAATGATAGTTGTAGTTGAAACATCATATCGCTAACCACATTTTATTGTTAACGGCCGTAGGGACCCGGTCCCATTTCTACAGCCGTTCCTTGAAAAATGGGGTATCCCTACCCCAAACTTCGTCATCGGTGACGACTGGATCCAAGCTGTGAGTGGGTTGGGTTTCGGGTCTGCGGGCACCCCTCAGGTCCTTGAGTACTGGACCGAGATCCTACGTCGCGTCTACTCGGGGAACGAGGGACGTCGAAAGCTCCGGATGGCTGCTATCTGCTTGGCGGACAGAGATGGGCTGCAACTCAGAATAGGAGATATTAAATGCCCCGTCCATTGGCTACACGTATGTTTTGCTTTCTCACCGCTTGGTGGTTTCTGTTTTGTTTAAGGGATAATTGTTGCTGAGACATTTCTAGGGATCGGCCGATATTATCTACACTCCTGCCATTGCTCAGGAGCATTCCCAACGATTCACGGGTTCAAGCGACGTCCAGTTTAATATTCTCGAGGGTGGCGCTCACTTCTTGGTTGCGACGCATCCTAAAGAGGTTGAGGAGGCAATTTTGGCTATGACAGCAAAGGCCTAGATTGTTATTAGGAGGACCGGGCCGTATATACCTTATGAAGTTTTGGTAGTCGGCAGAGAATTCTATATTATTTCGGCCAGGGTTAGGTAGACACAGGTTTATTAGAGGACAAAGCAAATAGGTCATCCAATACAGGTTTCAAAAAGGGGGATATTTCACATCCGGAAGTTGAACCTGCTTACCTACCACTATTATTTATATACAATCGAAAATCATTCTCTAATACCAAGACCATTTATGTTAAACCTATTGAATACATCACTTGGCTAGAGCTTAGACAATGATCCGAGTGCTTGTCCCCTGACAGCCACGGCCCCTGTCGCGGTTGAGCCGCTGACGCAAGACGGCGTTCAATAGTACCAAACGCACGAATCATCGTCAACAATTGGATATACTAGGGAATAGCCCTTGTAATACAGTATGCAGTCGTACATCAGAGCTATAGATTCCCTTAAGTCGATTAGACCTAATATAATATCAATTTTGCTATTTTTTAGATGGTGGCATTCCATATTTTTCTGATGGCTTTCTATCCCGCTTTTACCTTCACCTACTTCTTCTCCTTTTCAATTATGTCCTCATTGACTTCATTTGCTCTTTTAATTTTCTAGAGATTCCGCTTCTTCTCACCCGTGTACCCAATCAACTATGGATCAATGGGTGCTCAGCTCTAACTTTATAGAACCACAGTGCTTCATCGGGCCCTGCGTAAGTCTTGCCTTATTCTTAATCCTTGCACAAATGTCAACGTAACTGAGTCTAATGAGGCTTAAAATTTAGTGCCTATCGTTGGTGGCTTTGCTCGGCGAAAAGGTCGCCTTTCCAGGAAACCAGAGATATAGTTCTTCTATTTCTTCGTATCATAGCCAACAGGAATCTCGTCTCGAGCCTTTATGTGTCGTTATACCAACTACAAGAGAAGATGTCTCTATCGCAGTCCACTCGCTATCCTCTATAGCTGAGTCGCTTGGAGATTATGAACAGAATAGCTGTCAATTCGCTATCCGATCCGGTGGGTACGCAGGCATTGCTGGAGGGGCAAATATTGCTGGCGGGGTGACTATAGACCTACGTTCTCTTAACACCATTGAGGTCAGCGATGATAAGTCTATAGCCTCTGTAGGAGCGGGTGCTCTTTGGGGTGACATCTATTCAATACTAGATCCTCTTGGTATATCGGTAGCTGGCAGTCGTGTAGCACAAGTCGGTGTTGGTGGGCTAACTTTAGGTGGCGGAATTTCATACTTTTCGCCGCGATATGGTTGGACATGCGATACGGTATCGAACTTCGAAGTTGTGCTGGCCAATGGGACCATCGTAAACGCCAACGCCGACGAGAACCCCGATCTTCTGTTTGCTCTCAGGGGTGGTTCAAACAACTTTGGCGTTGTCACCCGGATCGACTTTGAAACTTTTGAACAGGGCCCTATATGGGCTGGAGGGGTTCTATCGTCCAGTGAAACCATAGATGAACAGCTGAAAGCGTTCGTTGATTTAAATTCAGCGGAATCTTATGATGAGTATGCGTCGTTAATAATGAATATTGGTTACGCCGCCGGCGGTCGCAAAACTTTCATCTTGAGCAACATCGAATACACGAAAGCCGACGAGAATCCACAAGTTTTCGAACCATTTATGAAAATATCTGCGATGGATGAGAAAGTGCGCATTGCTACTATGGCAGAAATGGCGGTAGAACAGGGCTCGTACTCGAAAAATGGACGGCGGTATGTACCAGGGGTTGGAACAACCAGAGCACACACACCATTAGGTACTTAAACAACATGCTAATACACTAAACAGTCAATTATTCGTCACGATAACTCATAAGTCCACTGTCCCGATGCTTAAGGCAGTTTACTTGAACTGGAATAAAAGTATAGAGACTATCAAAAGCGTTCGTGGCATTGTCTGGGCCATCTCGCTAGAACCGTTACCACCAGCCATTTACGCGCGATCCGCAGCGTCTAATGTCTTCGGACTTTCAGACAGGTCAGACGCACTGGTGATAACCCTGTTAACCGTATTTTGGAGAAACGAGGCGGACGATTTGAAGGTTGAGACGGCAGCGCGCGAATTGTTTAAAGAGATTGAAGACGATGCGAAAAGGTTGGGCGCATATGATCCCTTCATTTACCCAAACTACGCAGCGCCATGGCAAGACCCTATCGCTAGCTATGGGGGCGAAAGCTTGCGGAAACTACAGAGAGTGAGGATGGATGTAGATCCGAAAGGGGTTTTCTCACGTCAAGTTCCTGGTGGTTTCAAGATTCCGTTCTAGTCAAGGTATAGCAGTCATGTGTATGAGACTACTTAGATACATATAAGAAAAGATTCTTGAGTATTTCACAATGAAGCGAGAAATGGTTGAAATAGGATCTTCTCTATGTTTTGTTCACAGTTAAAGCCAACACAGGGGCCCTTTTCTGGGGGTTTCAAAAGTCCCAGAACGATACTCTTGGTTCTTTGACTCTTAAGGCTGGAGATCAAAGATTGGGATAAGCCGGATTATTGAAGTCTAATCATGCCATTGTTTGCGAACAAAGAAATAGATACCAAAAGGGGAGCCCTCCGTACCTAATATATAAGGACCGCTTAATATTGTTTATTCTCATCACAAGATACGCCGATTAGACATATCTGCAACTATCTACCTACTAGGTAGATTAGCCCTCATTATTAGCTGACCTATATTGAAAAATGGAAACCCCGTATTTCGGCAGAATGCGTCGCAATTCTGCAACAATGAGTTTTTACCAGGAGCTTCCAGGCATTATGTCTATCGTTACACTAATCGGCTGCTGTTTCTTCACATTTTTCCATGTTGCCGCAAACATCGCCTCTCCCCGGGGGGCTCCCTCAACGGAGGAATGTGCTCATTGTCCCAAGACGCAAAAGACACAAGCACATACGAACACGCAACAATTCCCGACAAAGGCCCATACCCCAAACGGCCTTAACCACTATGAAATTCTCGAAATTCCATTATTCTCATCGGTTGAAACCGTAAAAGAGGCATATCACGAGAAGTTAACTATATACTACCCCGAAAACTTTAGGGGCGACGAAGAAGAAGCGAGCATGAAAATACACCAAATAAGAGAATCCTACCAAGTCCTCACAGGTAAGGAACGCTGCATCTACGACTTTAATCTTGGGTCGGGTATACGCCGTTTTGTCGACTGCAATCAAGCACGGCTCGACAGAGAAGAGGAGATTTTCAACGAAAAGCGGAAGGAAGCGAAACTGAGAAGAGAGGGACAGAAGCAAAACCAGGCGCAGGGGAAATCAAGGTGCTCGACGGATTGTTACAAGTGGAAGGAAGCTTGCTTTGAGGGTCGAGGACATCAGAATATCTGCTAAAACTACTTTTCTTTTGTTGCAGGGTGGGTTGTTGTAGGTATATATTGGAAGGGGGCTTCTTAGTAGATCAGTATTCTTCGTATAAATAAATCATATAATATCTCACACCATGGTCGCGTTTTCAAGTGATTAAATACCTATATAGATACGTACCTAATTTGCCTCCTAGATAGTATTATACACGCCACCACCAGACGTTAACGAAGTCATCGTTATCATTATCATTACCATCATCATGAAATATTACCAACCATTTACGAAATAACCAATCCAACATTAGAATAGAGAACAAGTGAAGGCGTCGACAAGAGGAGCTCAACTCTGGTATTTCTCGACCGTGCTGTTGATTGCATTGGTGAGGTAGTTTTGGATCGGCTCACTCTGACATAGAGTCCCGTGCGTTAAGATATCATTCTTCAGGTTGATAACTTCATTCCGCAGACCGTTTACAGTGGCTCTGAGATTTTCGTTCTTCTGTGATAATTTCAAACTCGTATCCTGAAGTAACTTAGCCTTGTTCTTAGCTTTCCGCCTACATTTTCGCGCGGCCATTCGATTCTTCGCCTTCTTGTTCTCGTTCTCGTTCTCAAACTGAGACGTGCTACTGGAGCTGTCTAACATTTCGGGCTCTCGTGTCCTGCGCTCCTGAGGGATGTAATAAGCCGCAACGGCCGACAAATTGGACTCATCCGAGTTATTGCTTTCCAATTTTAATCGCGGCGACATGCTAGCTCTTGGGTCATTAGGCACAGGATTTGTACTTAGCGGAATGCAACGCGAAGAGCCCTCAAGGCCGCCTCCAGACATAGAGCCCAGACCATCACGGCTATAAAACGAAACCTATGTAATTTGAGGCGTAAGTCTGCCTGCCACTGCTATTAATATCGCAGGGTTACACCCACCGGGGCGATTGACGTCGTAAATTCGCAAGGGGGGGTTATATAAGACGGTAGTACGTTAACATTGTGCGTGGACTGGGTTGTTTGGACCTGCATATCTCAACGTCTGATGGGTGTTCTTCCTATACGTTACTGATTTACTGATTTACTGATTAAGTGTTGCGAAATTTAATAGCAAAATCCCAGCTAGAACTCGGAAGTGCTTGAGATGGATGGTAGAAGCAAAAGCTAATGGTAGACTACGTCATAATTACATCGGACATGCCCGGACGACCCAGACGACCCGGACGCGTAGGGTACATAGGTAGCAGTTGAAACCCCTCAGCCGTCAACCGAAATCAGGGGTATTCCCCACTATTCAGATGCTCCCCCTCCGGAAACAATCAATCCACCAAGATATACATACGACAACCGTCGCATAGCTCCGCTCATAAAGATTAGATTACCACTACGACCATTCGTTTGAGTCCCTGATGTATTATACTGTTTAAGAGAACCTTTCTGACTTGGAATAAAGATGGTCTTCCATATGGATATCAGCTTGGTATATGCTAGGTTAAACGTGTATAAAACCAAGATATTAATCAATCAAATAACTTAATAAGTAACCGACCCACTTTAGAGTTGTTGGGATCTCTTTATGATTTGAGGTCGGTGTGGGAAAAGTTGTACGTAAAGTATGGTTATGTACTATAATCACAAACAGATTTAGCAATGCCCCATACGGTATAAGGCACTTTGGCGGAGTGGTTAACGCGATGCCCTGCTATTAATTAAATTGATGGACTAGGCATTCCCTTCGGGGGCGTGTGTTCGAATCACACAGGTGTCGCTTTTTTGCCCCACGTGGTGGATTTTATATTTTACGTAATGATATTTACCTATGTACCTACCATAGCGGGAATATACGGTTACTGACAACCATTGGTTTTAACCCAAAAGGGGTATATGGTAAGTCTGTATAACTTCCGTAATTTCAGGCTTTTAGCGTTGCTTGGTGCGTAACGGAAAGTCGAAATTTAACGGTAATGGAAAGTACGATCTGAAAAAATAAAATTCTAATATAAAAACCTTAATTTCTTAGTGTTTTTCAGTACTAATGAACCTTCTTAGTTTAGTTGAAACATTACAGCTTCCGTTTTGGGAAAAGACTGGGCCTAATCTTTTTATTTTTTTTTATTTTTTTTATTTTTCTTCATTTTTAACCATTGTGCTTTCCATTACCGTTAAATTTCGACTTTCCGTTGCGCACCAAGCAACGCTAAAAGGCTTTTAGGTACCCCAAGCAACGGTAATAGCCTCAAATTACAATAGTTATACAGACTTAGCATTGAAAATACGCCAATCGTTCTCTGTAATCGTCTAATCCCACTACGGTAATTACATATCTTCTTGGTGGGCAATTTATGTATGCGTATGACTTACTTACCGTGAATCAATAAATTTAGTCGGGTTCGGCCAATACAGCCGCAAATTCCCAGACAATTAAATGCATGTTGGCTTGGGCGTTGTTCCTCTCGTCGCATGGACAGAGCCTCTCATTCCTGCAGGCGGCGAGCCAGGCCGAGGACCCGGCGGTTTTGTGGGGCTTGGCTCCGCATAGGGCCCGGGACTATCGGTATAGATAATTCATACCAGTGTTGTCGATTTAGTGGCAGTCGTAACAACATCAGGGCCTTTCAATGGTAGCATCCGGCTCCGTCAAGATGCTGGGGTCGACGAGTCTAATGATGAGATCTCTGAGCAATTTACTCGCCCATTACGCGAGGTTATCTGGGAGACGGCTCAGCAAACCTTCGACATGACTAGGTATAATTGCCTTGCGTGAGTCTTACTTAGCTGACTGTCGATTCATATCTCAATCTATTTAGTTCCGTTCGGGATTGCAGTTTAGCATACAAGGCCTTTCTTCTTCTTAGCTAGCGATTTCTCGCTACGGGTCTCTATAAATCATTAGAAAGGCTGACGATGAGCCTCTCTGCGCTGTACGTTTCCCAAGATCAGCTACGACAAGACGTCGCACCCGACAATTTCAGTCAAAGCGTACACGGCACTTTGCTTCTCCGAAGTCTCTTGCAGGTGTCATCATTGATGCCGAATCTGAAAGAATTTGATATACACTGGACGATATCGGGGCCAATACTTCAACTTCGTCCGAGGACCGCGCCGTGCATATTGTTGCCGACGACTACCCGGAATCCGCACATCTCCAAGCTTGCTCTCTACGTGGCTTATATGTACCGGAAAGCAACCTGCTTGAGTTCCTGAAGGCTATCCGGCCTGGATGGCTGTCACTGGTTGATGTTCGCCTGGTCTCAGGGACCTGGGCCCCTATATTTGATTACCTGATCTCCACGGAGTCGCCAACTGCCACATGTAGATTCGATGATATCCGTGAGGGTTATCGTCTGGTACATTTTGACGTGCCTAGTATATCGAAACTCCAGTATAAAGATGTTTTAATGGGACCAAGTACACTCATAATGTCTCAAAATGACGTTTAAGACGCGATTCGTTACCGTACAGCCTCGAGATGGCCGCTTGGGTCAGGCGAAAGACTGCGTTGATTACAAAGTCAGATTTTGGACTATGGACCTGTACATGAACCGTTTTGAAGATTAATTTAAATATTATCAGATTGACCACCTAACCAAAAGGTGGCTTGTAACGTCATAAATCGTCATTGCTTAATATATAATCTTTACATACCTAACCTTTAAGTATTAACAGTTATGGGATTTTTAATAATATTTATTCTGCTAATATTGCGCTTAGATACCGTGATTCAAACCCGGATATATACAATCATGGGCTTTAGAGAACAGTCTAACCTAGGTACTTACCTAGTTAAGACGATGAAGAAGTGCTTCTCCCCGAAGCCACCGCTCTAAATTCTCTGCAGTTTCTTCGTACCAAGTATGCATAATCCCGTCTTCGACATATCCCATATGCGGAGTAATAATCAAGTTGCCTCTCCCCTGAGTGCCCCATTCAGTCGACCGCCAAGGACTGTCAGCGGGTAAAGGCTCAATGTCAAATGTATCCAGCGCGGCGCCTCGGATGCGACCCGTCTGCAGCGCGTCATATAACGCTTGATCGTCAATTAATGGCCCTCTCGAGGTATTGACCAACAGCGCCGAGTCCTTCATCCGGGCTAACTCGGCCTTTCCGACAATCCCTCGGGAACGGTCGCTAAGGACGTAATGCAAGCTGACCACATCCGCCGTCGCGAACAGCTCGTCCTTGCTAACGGCGGTAAACGTCGGCGCGTCGGGATCCAGGGCGTAACCACCGCGGACCGGAAGTCCCATTTCCTCGGCCTTCCGGTTCGCCTTCTCCTGCGTCAAGTTCTCGCTCCAGCACACCACGCGCATGCCCCACGCCAAGCTGCCGATCCGCGCCACCGCGGCGCCAAGACGTCCGAGGCCGACGACGCCGAGCGTCGCGCCTGTTAGTCCGATGGCGAGCTGGGACTGCCAGCTTTTCGTCGGGCCTTTCATGGCCGCGTCGTCGGCGGCCACGTTGCGCGCGAGAGCCAATATCAGCGCCCACGCGTGCTGCGTCGTCGGATGGCTGCCGCCTTTCTTGATATCGAGCTTAGGTCGCGCCGGACGGCTCGTCAGTTTACCGTCCGTGCGGCCCCTGCCGGGCGCCGCGGCAACGCTGATGCCAAGCTCGGAGGCTGTGGCTAGGTCGAACGTTTCGAACTGCGTGCCGGTCGCTAGAAGAAGCTTCAGATTGGGTAGTTGCCTTAGTAATTCTCCCGGGAATGGTGTGCGCTCTCGCATCGACGAGATGATGGCATACGGCTTGAGCCTGTCGACGATGGCCTGCCGGTCGGAGGCGGTAGTCCGCGGATGGTTGAAAGAAGGAAGGCTATCGTGGAAAGCGGTGACTGAGAGCTCCGACTTGGGGATATGGCTGAAATGTGGTCGGGCTATGTCTAAGTAGTCGTCGAGGATAGCCATTGAAGGCGGTGGCCTTGATTGAGCTGTCAGCCATCTCGCCTGTGCACCCCGACATGGCGTTCGGATAAGTAAATTACGGTAAGCCATTCCCGTTAATTTACTGTTAAGCATAACAACCAATTTGCTGTTTCTCTTTTTTTTTTTTTTTTTTTCTTTTTTTCTCCGAATTTAGTCCCTCTTCAACTACTATAAGTGCTTGGTCGAGTTTAATACTTTTAACAATATTATCAAATATTCACAAGAGTTGGAAACAGAGAGATAGGTCAATACTGCTTAGTCATAAAGATCTCGGTTAGAACGAACGGAAATAAATAGTCCATAAATACCTCCTTATAACCAATCGGCTGCCTTTCATCATTTTAATGTATTAATTGGCTCTAGTTCTTTACGCCCTCAATGATATCTTCATCACACATACTCCGTCCCATTACCTATACCTTTTCTTCAGCCTTAAATAAGGATACAACGTTGGCGTCAGTTGTGTAAGTACCCCTAAACGGTGTGTCTGTGCGGTTGTACCTTGTATTACTATCATAGATTACATTCTAGTGTCTTAGATACCTGCTATAGCTCGAACGACTCAGTAGCTTTCATCTTTTTTCCTCATCTGATATCACGCTGTTACGTTTGTCCGTATGACTATTAGTAGCGAGTTCTGGTCTTAATACATTCTTGGACCTTTGGCTATCTTTTATCCGTAGACCAGTCTATCTAGACTGAGCGTGACTTAAGCCAGACATATTAACATCCTCATAGTCAGTTTACGTAAATAGGCATGGGGATGACAGAGGCGGGCTTGCTCTTAGCTTCTTATCCTCAGGCACTGCTGTCTTGTGGTACGTTACCATGGTGTCACCACCTCGGGCGGGATTCAAATACATACACCTTCCCAATCTCATTCCCCTCGTCGGCGCTTACAAGGAGTCAAGACTGTATAAACAAGTCTTGCGGGGTGTATTTACGCCCTACTTGGGTAGGTATCATAACCAAACCTGGTTAACAAGCAAAGGTAAAGCGCCCAGGTCCGGCACCGGCTTACGTTCTTGTTAGAATTTCGTAGATATCCGGAGACGCCCCCACCACTCCCGTAGTACAAACCGATGTTGATCCCCCTACCCATGACAGATGTTTAATTTGAGACATTACGCGGGATATCACTCATAAAAGAATCTTATCACTTGTGCCTGACGACTAGTAAAGATTTCTTGGCCCCTGGGACTGGAAAGAACTTGTTCTTCTAGGCAGGAAGACATTATAACTACGCAACTAAGTATGTATAGTCTTTATTTCGATTCGTCATCACCCTCTTTACCTAGTACTATTGGCTCGCTTCTTTCCACCTAACTCCTTAATGCATTAGTTAATATACCCATATAACAGCAGGGCTATACCGAACTGTCATTTCAATGGCGTGCATGGGATTACTGCCATGAACCATGATCTGCCTACCTACATTGCCCGTACCCTATCCCAGCAACCAGAAACATTAATTCAACCCTCCAGCCTACCGATCTGATGGAACATTCAAATTTGAACGCTTGTCCCCATTTGCTTAACCCGCAAAAACTTATCTTATCTAACCTAATGTCAACTTGGGATTTGCTTAATAGAAAGGGGGTGGTCCTATAATATTTGAATAATCTCTTAATTGCACTATTCTATAGGGCTATTTACTCCAGGATCATCTCCCTGACCTTAGCATGACAGGGTAACATTGGGTGATCACCGAGACGCCACGTGTGCCGGCATCGGTACAGCGCAGACTCGAGGGACAAGAGACATCCAATGCTCGGCCACGCCCGAAGTTCGGAGCAGTACCTCCACGGGAATTTACGCCTCGATTCCTTAAGACAATTAGCGAATTAGCGGGCTCTTTTAATATCATTCGCTCGTCGTTTATCAAATGGAAGGATATTAGCAAGGACGTAAGCCGCCGATCATGTAGGCATGGTAAGCTAATAAGGCTGCAGTATCATCATATTTTCACCGGGGCCACCATGGCAAAACACTATATAGTTGATTCCGGTTGGTAGGTATTATACAATGTCTTGACCGGGGACTAGGACTTTACAGCAAAGTAGCAACATAGAATAGGTCACATTACCACTGGAAGTATAAATCACGCATCAGGCTAAAATAGATGAAGGCTAAGGTCGGGATTGCCGATAAGTTGTCCAATGTCCATTTTTGATATAAGACATCGGTGTGGAAGAACTCGAGTCGGCACCCATACATTCCCTGACCGTGGTATTTTACGTCCTATCGATACTCAGTCATCCTTCTAGTTTTCCTATTTTAGATAGTCGATGGAGCACCGGTGAACTGATGATTAGGTATGTATCTTACTTGCAGGAGCCTTTCTCAATGCAACGAACGAATCCCATTATTTTCAGTGAATATCCCCAACAGCCGAGCGGGAAAGCCTTACAGATCGGCTCATGATTGACTTTGGAATAGTGACGTGTAACTTTTCTCGGGTAGTAAAGAAAAGCGATGGTGTAGATGTACAAAAAAAATATGTGAGAATGACGGCTCACTTTTAGAAGTCAGGCGAGCCTCCGTCGGTATCAGTTAGTTCTAATTATACTAACGAGTATTTAGACTTACGCATACTTGCCGGCAACTATATCCTAGGCAACCCGTGTCAGGTGGCCATGATATGGTCTTCACGGAGATGTTCCCGCCGGATCGCCCATACATCTGACTGGACATTGATCAGAGAGCAAGAAGCAAGGAGACAAATACATTGTTCCTCGAGGAACTCTAAGCCACCTAGCTTTGGAAGCCTACGGCTATACATACCGACAATACCCCTTTTCTAGATGTTTCATCTAGAATCTTGACATAAACATTGCTTCGAGTTCTTCAGTCTCATATACACCACCCTCATCCTATGTAACCTATAATAAAGGGCTAGCGGTTGAGAAATCCTCGGAATTCATTCCACGGCTCATAATTTACTCACTACCCATGTCTACTTGCTCATTCGGTCTATGCAGTTTCATGTGTGCATACGCTCACCGGTTCTCATATCGCATCAAGTTCCGCCAGAACGAAGCTGCTAGGTGCCTAGGTTCTGGGAGCTAATGCAACCAGGATTATATGAAAACATACAAGCCTACCGGTGTGACATTATTCATCGAGTCTCTTCACCGGACAGAAGACGGTCGAGTAACAGCCCGCCTTTCTTTGGGGAGTATTTTCCACCTGCCTACCTACCTTTCGGCCTTTCTGACAGATTATTAGGATTGGTTATAAGCATCTTTACTGGGTGTATGCACCCTTAGTCTCCGTCTTGCTGCTTTCAAGCCTACCGGCAGCCTCCGGAGAAATTACTATTATAAGCTACGTCACTTTTATTGTAGCAACCGTCCTATGGCTTGTGGCCTTTGCCTGCCGCAAACCTACGAACATCTTCAACCAAGAACTGCATGCGGCTTCAATAATCGGGGGTTGGCGTCTACTTACTGTTGTCCTATTGTTTATTATAGCTTGATCATGTCCAGGGCGAGGGACTTGAACTCACTAGGTCACGTTGTGTTAAAGTATGCGCCTTTTGACTTCCGCGGTATATTGGTTAACGTGCGTAGCATTATTTCTGAACTAATACTGTCCCAGCCTTGCTATTTTATCCGTTCTTGAAACCTTCAAGGTACTCTCGCCATTATATTGGTTATTGAAGATTTGATCTTCAAGTACCTTTATTATATTGGCCCATGTAAGGTAGGTACTTGGGGGGAGACCACTATACATTGTGTACCTTAGGTATTTGCATAGCCTTGCAGTATACTAGGCTTCGAATATTACATCGTACTCATAAAAGCTAAACTCCATCAGAGTATCTATCATACTAATACCACAAGGCAAGGCGTATTTAAATAGTATCTCTTACGAGATACCTAGGTCTAGTAACCAGCGAAGACCATGTCAGCACTAGACTTAATAATTGCTATTGTATTGAGTATGTTTAATATAAATACTGATATATGATGTCTCTGAATTAATGCTATCATGTTGTGATATAAAACGTGGTTACCTATTTGGGAACGGTTTCGATGAAAGATGCGTCCAAACTCTTTAGCGAACCAAAGTGATAGAAATACACCGTACTAATAGCTAAGAATATTACAGCATTACTAATAAGCAACTCCAACATATTGTTCTGTATATGTATAGGCGGATAGGTTGTGCAACTAGGTAACTCAATCCTTGTCGTAGGTATACTTACCTATCAGTTGCACAACCTATCCTATTCGACCCATGATCGGATATCATAAATAAGACTACCAGTTACATGAGCTATCATTCTAGAGTTGTTGCATTAGCATGAAAATTTCAAATAGCCCGCAGATCGGAACCAAGAATATCCCCGATAAATATTGTACTTGTAGCCTCGTAGTTAGGGGAGGTATGAGTAGTCGGACCTGGTCAAATTACAGCTTGATCCAGGCCCCTGGAAGATACCCAATGCTATTAACTTAGGAGTCAAGATTTGGGAAATTCCAGCAAGTGGCTTCTACCATAGCCGAACTAGACGCATATTTTTTCATTTTATATAGCTTGGCAGGCAAACCTACCTATACATTGACCTAAGGCTACTATATGTAGGTAGGTAGGTAGGTAGGTATTACCACCTATAGAGAGAGGCGTAGCTGGAGATGCAATCACACGTCCTTGATGCACGTCGTTTACCATCATATAACCGAAATATCCGATTCAATAATCTAGAGTACTTACATAGGTACCTAAGGTATCGATGGATGATCCTTCTCGTTTTCCATCATTTCATTGACCGCTGAAAGACAGTACTAAGCCTGCCTTTCATGGGCTAAGAAGCATATATAGGTAATTATATATACCACCAAGGTGTATGGAATCTGACATTTTCCATCTTACAACTCATCCTCGACAAGTATCAGTCTCCCCCCTCCATCCTCGACCAAACCCGACTACTTCTAAGTAGGAACCCTACATTGAGTTTCACTCGAAACACATCATAAGAACTTCAAATTTCCACGATATTCCCCGGGTAACCTCAAAACTCCTCTGCGTTGTTATTGATAAATATGGGGACGGATCAAACTAACGACACAACCCACGAACCCATTGTGTAAGTGCCGTGTCTAAGACCCCGGTTGAATTTATTTCCCCAGGCACTTCATCATCATAGACTCCCTGCACCTCATAATTACCTGTCTAACGCCACCTAAGGTCTACACCTGCTCGGAATACTACCGTGCCAGTCAACGTTCTCC